TACAACCCCCGTCTTCCTTCCACCCACCAGCCCGGTGCAAATCAGACCTGTCCCTGTCTAGCCCCTCGATCGATGGACAGGTCGTGGCAGCAACCAAATAATCAGGTGGCTGGGATGATGATTCCCCACCCCCCCCCCTTTCACAGTGAACTTGTTCGCCCTGCCCAGGCGGATGCGCCGGCCAGTGAGGTATGCAGCTATCCCGCCCGGTCATTTTATTCATTCATATCTCTCGACTCCGTACTTCCTCCCCACCATCCTCACCCCTCGAGCCCCTCTCGGGATCGGCGCATCCCACTTCGAGATCGAAGAAATGATCAATGGTGGATGAAGCCACAAACAGCGACGGTGCCACCCAGATTGACACATCGCGTACTTTTGTCCAGCAACTGTGGCGCCAGCCCCGCGAGTCATGAGGGCTGAAACACCAGAGGTTCTGTACTACTTATCAACCACCAATAGACCAGCGGCCTTGCTTTCCTCGGCAGATCTCCTGTACCAACCCATTTTTGATTCATTATTGAATGAATCGAAAATGAGAGGGCCAGGATACGACTACTCGAACGACTCACGCGCCATCGACCCGCTTTGTTCAGAGACGCGATCTAGTGCGGTTCGGGGCTCCACAACTGGTACACTAGGGAGCGCGGCAGATCGGATGTCTCCCTTACAGACAAAGGAGAACCTGTGAATTCTCGCCCCTCCGTGGGGCAGCCACTGCATCATGGCCGGCCACGACGCGGACGCGGTTACTTGGGAAACGCGTGTGAAGGCTCATTCATCGCCCGAATACACCGCCTGCGTCTTCTCTGAGCGGTGAAAATTATCCACTTGCCGTCCCTGCAGCGGACCGGCCCTGTCAACGTTCTCGACAACTTTTCTGTCTGGTCAGATTCCGGGAAGCGAGGTGAGATGGATGGCCGATCCACCATTCCGCGAATCCCTTTGGCCGGGGCAAGGCCGTGTGTCTCATTCCATCGGTGGATTTTGAGCAACTCCCACCACCGAGGCTGCAGCCGCGGCCCAATAATGGATCTGCGAAAGTGAAATCAAATCGGGCCGGAGACAAATCAAGTCTGCCTAACGGACTCCACACCACACGCCAATGCCGTTGGTAAGAATTTCAGGAACCTGTTCCCCGACGCCGGCCCCTGGACTAGTGGACACCGACAGCCAGGCTTTCGCTCATCATCGTCCCGACAACTGGAGGACGAGAGCGCGACCCGGCCCCGCCGAACATCCAAGTCGGTCTGGAAGTTGTGTGTAGATGTCGGTGAGGATGAGCTTCAACGAGCCAGCTTCACCGCTTCATGATGTCGAGCAATTACGACCTTGTGCGAGTCTCCACTGATTAATCATTGTCAGGATTTCCTTTTCGTCACTCAAGACCCATTGTGCGCGCTATCCCAAAAAAGCCTCTCGCTAAAGGACGGATCCCGTCCGACTTCCCAATCGCTTGGAAAGTATGATGACGAATGCTCCACAGGCAGAGAAAACGGAGTCCGTCGCAGTTGTGTACTACGGAAGAGGATTACGTGGGATCATCGTTGCACAGAAAATGATTCCTTCAGGAGCGGGCGGATGTCTCGCCCCGTCCCGACCGACGGGAAATGGGAATCTGGGCCTGGACGATGGCCGCAGAAATTACCATCCGCCCGCGAGGCTCCAAGCGATTTGTAGGCATGCCAGATGGAGCTGAACCATGGAAATTGGATCTCCGGGGGCGTACCATGGATCCAGTCGACGGGCCGCATCTTGGTTCGCAGCTGAGGCACGTTCGATGCAGGATCATCCTTGAACAACCGAGACAAGCTGCCAGGGGACTGCCGGCTGCACCGGAAATAAGCATCCAATGCAGGGGATGGATCTTTCCATGTACTGTCCGATCTGTTATTCCGTAGATAGTCAATCAATCTCGCGACGAGTCTCTCACGGGAACGACTATTGGCATATTGAGTCCATAGTCTAAAAGTTATTGAATGTTAGGCGATACATAATAGCCAGTTATGAAAAGCCCACGGAATTTTCTCGAAAATCCGACAGGGAAAAGACGGAGAACCCGGCGAACTTTCTTCCACCGCGGACATGGCTTGGTAAGGTTCAACGTCTGCGACGACCGTCGTTTATAGCGTCATAGCCTAGTCGTTAGAGCGGGATGCGAGTGGGGGAATTGAGAAAAAAGAGGGGCGGTTGGCTAAATGTGAAAGGGGAAAAGGGGGGGCAGCAGTAGGGCTTTACCTGTTAGCAGTTAGCATCACCCGACGGAACGGTTCACCCATCTCTCAGGGGCCGGTCGGTGGCCGCCATTGGGTCCAGCCCGGGTAGGGATGCGTTGGTGCTGTGGATGATGTCGCTGGGTCTGCAAGGCACAGGGGGGCTGTTTGGTGGCGATTTTGGCTGATCAGGGCGGACTACTATGGCGTTCTAGTTACTGCCTGGATGTTGTCAAGGCGGGCATGATGATGGGTTCATTATCGTCGTTGAATAACTAGATTGGGCTTAGGTTTGGAGGGTTGCTCGGTGTTTGGGCTTGACTGTCTGACTTGCATAGATTTGGGTTTCTGTTCTGGAAAGAGGTTGGAAGCTAGGTTTGGGATTGGTAATAAGATTTGCATTTGAGGCTATACTTCTGTGGTTTTGTATGTATGGTTTCTGGATTTCATATGGTTATTTGTTAATTGTTCACAATTAAATTGCTTGGGCAGACTAACAAATGCTTCCTAAAAGAGTGTATATGTTGGTATTCGTGTTCAGCTTAGAGCCTTCTCTCGAGTATCCCAATGCGGCAATCCAAGACTGAGATGTCGATGTCATAGGGCTGGACCATCAATGTACCGGTTTCAATTAATCGACTCCCTCTCCTCTAGGGTTTGAGTTTGTCATCCACTGGGCTGAAACCTCGAAGATATATATCGCGAACTCAAACAGTCGGAAGTAGGTACTCCTTCCGACATAGGGTTTCATATTCTCAGAGACAGGATATATATAGTCCAAAATTTGTTTTATCTATACCCTAACACCTAGTCTCGTCTCAAACGAGGAGGCAACAAAGGAAAGAGAGAGAGAGAACCCCATAGATCAATTCCAAGGGCTTGACATGGCCCCTCATTTTCCAACTCCGGGACCTACATCCCTGACCCTTTCTGCCCAACCCACACTAACGGATCTACGCACCCATTGACTCCAGTACAGGCTAAATATCCCCGGCAAATGCCCGTGAGTTAGTATTATTCGCCACGTTGAACCAGGATATGTAGATTCCCCAGCGTGTCGCAACATGTCTACTCCTTCGTTCATCCTCCCTCCTCCCCCAGTCCACTTCAGCGGGGACGGGATTGACCCAAAGAGTCCTGAGCCCACCCGGCAAACCTCACGAATCGTGCCGTCCCTGCCGAGCCGCCAATAATGGACTTAGAAATGGCCCAGCGCGCCTGGGCAACGCGGATGTGCATGCATAGTCTCCCCCAACTGCCGGGTCGTCTCTACCGAAATGGCGATGATTGCCAACGGTCTTGCAGCGTGGACATGGATTGGGTGGTGCAGACGGGAGCCTCCTAGGTCCTCGTGAACGACTGTACTGTACTAGTTAACCCTGAAAACGGGCCGTTGATGGCTGTCCTGAACAAGAATGACCTAACTGATCGTCGTTGGATGACGAGAAATTCAATGGAGATTCAGTTGACTGTCAGTTACTGTAAGGGTTTGGGTTATGGACTGCCGAGAGGAGAAGCTAACTACACGGCGGCCTCGATGGATTGACACCAAACCATTCACCTAAACATGTTACAACAGTTCATTTTGATCTTCGAGTCATTTTCCTCTCTATGTTCAGCCACGCGTGAAATCATCGATCGTGATGCCAGGGATCAATACCGGGAGATTTCAAGTGCACCAATCAACCTGCCACCCCTGAGGCATAGATCCGCGCCATCGTTCGAAGTCAATTATTTAATGATCATCAGCAACTGCCTGTGCGTAAATAATAACAATACGGCTGGCCCGCAGCATACCCAGGGTTCTCGCCGCCCCGTGTAATAATTCCCGACAGCAGTCTATAGTTAATCAATCAGGAGCAAGGGTGCTGTCAGCAACACCAGTAAGCTAACGCGCCTCGCGTCTGCTCACTTGTTTGGAGCACCAGCCACCGAACCAGGAAGGAGGTCAGCAATCCGATTCGAAAAAGATGTAATTCGTTAGGGCTCGTGGTGGTTACGCCCCGAACACTACTACGGTACCTTTCTTGAAGGACAACGGGGACTCCGTGAGTTTCCGTCACACTGACCTCGCGGTTGGGTTGGATATTGTCCGAGTACACAGCGCTGGTGTTGGCCTCCTCCTCAATCCGTCATTATCCTCGCCCGACTGACACCCATGTGCTCATCGGCCAGAGCCGCGGTCGATCCACCACGACGCCCGTGCGGGCCACAGAGTCTGGCGGGACGGAAGAAGGGGTTGTGGGCGAGATCACGGTAACACGGTATGTAAGTAATCATAGATCAGTAATAATCAGGCCGTAGAGTAGGTCGTAAGTAGGCCAGTGAACCGAGCAGTTCGTCCGTAGTAAGTGAGCACTCCGTGTCGCTCAGTTTTCCCCCCTCTTTACTTTTTGGAACGGTAACGTTACCACCCACACTACTCGCTCTCCCCACTCCTGACCAGACCGTTCTCCCCCCTTCTCCTTCTCCTTCCATAATCCTTCTTCTGCTTCTTTCGCCGCTGAACATTATTCTTCTTCCTGCTCTGTTCATACCCTCTTCTTCTTCCTTGCTTGGTTCTGTCTTTGTCTCGTGGTTGATCCCCCACTCACTCTCACTCTCAGACTGCCCAGGCTGGCCAGTCACACCCACTCGGGTCAGTGGGTTCGGCAAAATTGCAACCCTCCCCCTCCAACAGGAATCCCAGCCATGAGCCCCGCGGTCTAACTCCTAGAGAGAGAGAGAGCGTGCGAGAAAGCGTTTCAGTTCAGCACTATCCCATCTGGTGGCCCCCAGCCACCCCCAATGTACGACACCCGCGCTGCAGACCTGGCCGACTCTGGAGGCTCCGCGTTGGCGACCAAGTCGGGCACGTTTGCGACCGTTGTTGAATACACCAACGAACAACCCACCAACCCCACAACTCCCTCCCGCTTTCGCAGCCGCGAAAACAGCACCTCGCGAGACTTCCCGACCAACCGGTCGCCTCAGCGACTCAATCCTCCCCCTCAAGATGGCGGCCCCCGGCTTCGCGGTCAGCCCCGAGCCCCCACCGGCGCTGTTCGTGCGCGCCATGTACGATTATGATGCGGATGACCACACCAGCTTGAGTTTTCGCCGTGGCGACATCATCCAGGTCCTGAACCAGCTCGAGACCGGGTGGTGGGATGGAGTCATTGACAATACCCGTGGTTGGTTCCCCAGCAACTACTGCCAGATAATCACGGAGGCCGACGATTTCGGTGAGCACCTCGGTGAGCACCTGCGGATGCAGGGCCATGACGAGGCGGAGATCAGTGCGGGCTCGGGACTGGAAGATGAGTACGGCGAGGGGCATGACGAAGAGGACGAGCTGGACTCCGCAGGCAACCCGCGCGATTCGCATCCAACCCTCCCCATCGAGGGGGTCCCTCAACCCAAGGAGCAGGAAGAGGCGGCATTTTGGATCCCGCAGGCGACGCCGGATGGACGTCTCTTTTACTTTAATACCCTCACTGGCTACTCGACCATGGAATTGCCCTTTGAAAACCCGACTGCGGCCAACGAAAATGGCCCCTGGGACCGGACCAATTTTTTCGTGCCCGACCAGACTCGGCCCCCTCCTGAGATGATGGCGGGCGGTTTTGAGCGTGTCGAGGACGAGTACGACGGTTCGGCCTCGGAGGCGGAAGGAGAGTCGCTGATGTTGGCTTCGCACGGATCGATTTCTCGCCGGCGCCAGTCCTTGATGGATGGCGTGTCTCCTGCCACCTCGATGGATTCCTTGTACCCTCCCAAGACTGTCATGGATACCAAGGGCTCGGAACATATTGTCAAGAGCCACCAGACTTCGTACAGCACCGATACAACCAGTCTCAACACCTCTACCACCGAAAGCTTCTCCAGACCCTCTATCTCTTCCAACGCTCCGCAACACTTTGTGGACGATGGCTTCGCACCACCGGTCACCTGGCCAATGCTTGTTGATAACATGCAATACGCTGTGGAGGCTTACCGTCAAGCCCTCCTCAATGGCGAACGTTCAGAGTATGTGAGGAAGGCCGAAGACATTTCCGACCATCTTCGCATGCTTTTGGCTGCTGGTTCAGATACGACGGACAATCACTCTGGCAACCCGTCCATCATCTCCACTAATAAGGCATTGTATCCTTACTTCCGGGACATGATGTCCAAATTCTCCAAACTCGTTCTTTCCTCCCATATCGCCGCTGCCGATTGGCCAAGCTCCGACTCGGTGAACAAGTGCTTGCAAGAGGCCGATGGGGTCATGCAGGGTGTGCTGGGTTATGTGGAAGTCGCTCACCAACAACGTGGTGAGAGTATTCGTCGTGTTATCCCCGGCTTCGTGAGCGGCAGCCCCTGCGGTGGCAGCTGGCAGAACAATGGCGTCTCCTTGAATGCACCTGGCCCGACCTCGTTCTTGGTTCCAGAGGGCGGTGATTCGCGGGTGGAACCGTCGGTGACTCTTGATGCTGTTCTGTTGGACCAAATCGATGTTCTTCGCAAGTCTCTGGTCGGAAGTATCCGCCGGCTGGAAGAACATTTGTCCCTCAACCAGAAGGTTATCACGATCGTCGAGCACGAAGATCTCGCGGACCAGATCTCTGCTGCAGCAATCAAGGTCGTCGAACACTTCCGTCCTTGGCTTTCGGCTGTCGAGTCGATCAACCTCGCGCCGCTGGGAACCAGCTTCCAAAATCCCCAACTGGTCGATTTTAGCTTACAGAAACAAAGAGCCTACGACGCCGTTGCAGATTTTGTTTTGGGCTGCCAGGCAATTTCTGCTCCTCTCGCTGATGAGTGGGCCGAATTGCGTGGCGATTCTCTCGATGACCGGTTCACTGCTGTGAAAGGCATCGCTAGACAATTGGAGAATTACATCTCACAAATTGGCTTCTCGCTGTCGTTGCTCCTTGAACAGATTCCCACGGAGCCCACATCCATTCTCCGGAGTGACAGTCGCCTGGATGAGGTAGATGAGTCGTTCAGCGGCAACCACAGCCGTACGGAATCCTCCGTGACCAAGGTTGGCGAAGAGTCAATCGGCATACCTTCTTCCTATGCCGTGGATGATGACTCCCAGAAGGTGCGACGTAACATGGACAAGGCTCAAAGGTTCTTTGGCCAGGCGCCTCCTTCATCCATCACCCGCGAGCCGGTTCAGGAGCCAGTTCGGGAGCCCGAAGAGACACCTTGGTTCCTGAAGATGGATCACGAAGGCGAAGTGTTCTACGATAACAAGGGCGATACTCCTGTCCTAAAATGTGGAACACTGGCTGGGCTGGTTGAACAACTTACACGTCATGACAAGCTCGATGCCTCATTCAACAATACCTTCCTCCTTACCTACCGCTCCTTTACCACTGCCTCGGAACTTTTCGAGATGCTCGTCCAACGTTTCAACACTCAGCCTCCGTTCGGCCTGAGCCAAGACGACATGCAAATGTGGACCGATCGCAAACAGAAGCTTATCCGATTCCGGGTTGTCAATATCCTTAAGAGTTGGTTCGACCAATTCTGGATGGAGCCCAACGATGAGACGAATATGGATCTCCTGCGGCGAGTCCACGCTTTCACCAAGGATTCTATTGCAACCACAAAGACCCCTGGCTCCCCTACCCTGCTTGCTGTCATTGAGCAACGACTTCGAGGTCAAGACATTTCGGTCAAGCGCCTTGTTCCAACCCAAAGCACTGCTGCGCCGCCGCCGATCATTCCAAAGAATATGAAGAAGCTCAAGTTCCTCGACATTGATCCAACGGAGTTTGCCAGGCAGCTGACGATCATCGAGTCACGTCTGTACTCCAAGATCCGCCCGACTGAGTGCTTAAACAAGACATGGCAGAAGAAGGTTGGCCCGGATGAACCAGAACCAGCCTCGAACGTCAAGGCCTTGATTCTGCATTCGAATCAGTTGACCAACTGGGTCGCCGAGATGATTCTGACGCAGGGAGACGTCAAGAAGCGTGTGGTAGTCATTAAGCACTTTGTGAATGTGGCTGAAAGGTGTCGCACTTTGAACAACTACTCGACTTTGACATCTATCATCTCTGCGCTTGGAACTGCACCCATTCATCGCCTTGGCCGGACATGGGGACAGGTCAGCGGTCGCACATCCACCATTTTGGAACAGATGCGCCGGCTCATGGCCAGCACGAAGAACTTTAACGATTATCGCGAGACATTGCATTCTGCCAATCCGCCTTGTATTCCTTTCTTTGGTATGACTCTCAACTGCCATGATCACAATCCTTTCCCCCTTCGCACCACTATCAGTAAACTGACCTGTTATACTAGGTGTCTATCTTACCGACTTGACTTTTATCGAGGACGGTATTCCGTCTCTGACACCATCGGAGCTGATCAACTTCAACAAGCGAGCGAAGACCGCCGAAGTAATTCGCGACATCCAGCAGTACCAGAATGTGCCGTATCTGCTCCAACCGGTCCCCGAACTCCAGGATTACCTTCTCAGTAACCTCCAAGCCGCTGGCGATGTGCACGACATGTACGACCGAAGTCTGGAAATCGAGCCTCGGGAACGAGAGGATGAAAAGATTGCGAGGTATGCTGAAAACGCGAGCAGAGACAAGAACTCCCTACTTTTTGCAAGCACCGTCGCGGTTCTGCGGTGATTTTTGGCTGCAATTTTCTACCCCATACCCCCATGGAGTGTCTGGCATTTGCTTGGCGAATACCCAAATTTTATGACATTATGTGCTTTTGCTATTGGACGAAGACAATATCCTTGAAACTGACCGCTTTTGCTGCCCCGTAGACTACTTTCCGAGTCCGGTTTCCTGTAAGCCGCGGCGGGGGAGCCACATGGACCCCCTGTCGCGCAACATTCTACGGGACGGCACCAACCGAGTTATCAGCAGCCTCGCTCCAAGATAAATCGCCATGGCGGAAATGTCTCCAATCGAAATCCGCCATCCGTCTCCAGCGCCCACTTGACAGGATCATGGCGCCCTCTCATTCGACCAGTCGGGAAGGGCTTTCGGCCCGTGGACCGTGCCCAAGACATCCTAGCCTGCGCATCCCCGTCGGTCCCCTCCACGCATGACTTTGTTCTGAGCAAACTTGTCGAATTTACCCGGATTCTGCCGTCCAATGCCTTGATCAACCCCACAAATTGGGTGGGGCGGGTCGTATTGATCTGCGACCCTCTCGACCGGAGCCCGATTCCACCGAAGTCTCTCGCCGGTCTTCGATCGTGCTAATCCCTCACCTCCTAACCACCCATTAAACCAAGAGCATCCTCCCACTCCTTCTTTTTGCTAGGAGTTGACTGTTTCTATTTCCTCTGCCATCTCTACCTCTTAGACTTTTCGCCCCCATCGGTCGGGCCCATGGTCCCTTGTTTTTTCTGCCTTGTCCGCCTACCCACCACGCACATACTCATCCCTTTCTTCTCGGTGTACATATTTTTCTTTTCTTCTCCCATCCGGTTATGACCGTGTTTTACGGTCATAACACTACTTGTTCTCTAACCCCGAGGAACGGTCGATCCGATCTCGCAAGGTTAATATGTCCTCGATGCCGTCCGTGAATTAATGATCCGTCACGAACTTTGGGGGACTGATGTTTTTTCTTTTTCCATTTCAGATGGATGGATTTGCCACCATGTTTGGCGAGCAGGATACCTTTTTGTTCTCCCGATTTTGTTGTATCTATTGTGTTCTCTTTCCCGTCTGATACTCTCATCCCTATCTCTCCCTGGAACTATTGCATATTCCGTGTCACTCAATAGAAGCTGAATTCGAGATTCCCCGTGAATTCTGGATAGAATCTTAATATAGAGCAGCATTGCTTTCCATACTTGATGGTCTTTGTATAGGGGGAGGGCCAATCGTCGACTTTTATGTGGTGACACTGCCTAGGTTCACACTACTCGCAAAGTACCGCGCAAACAAGAGCATGGAGTCCCCGTCCTTCGCGTGGAAGCGGTATAGGCGGGCTACTGGATACGGCGCAGAACCAATCGCAGATAGCTAGAGTCTGGTGAGTACGTGTCTCCCTATGCAACCGTCAGTCACCCTACATAGTATGCCGACCACAAGAAGAACGAGTAACTAAAAGGAAGAAAGTCACGCAAGTTTGTCTAGTGTTTCATCTCGTGTGCAGGCTCTAGCTGGCAACTTCATTTGCTAGAAGGTCCTTCTCCTGTTGCGTGATGCAATGTGTCAAAATATGATGATATTGATATTTTTTAATCGTCATTTGTCATATTTCTTTCTTGGTCTCCGAATTCAGCCAGCGGAGACTTGGGTCTTTGTTTCTGAGCATTACTCATTACTGCTTGTTATGCTTTTCTTTGTTACTGTCTGCAAGTAGCACCTCGATCAAGCCTCGGTCTGGCTTTGATCTCCAATGCCCTGGAACAGCCTCATCTTCACCTCAGAGGCGAGTAAACCCTTCACTTCCTCCGATACGATCCGTTGTCCACCGCGAACCACCTTGTCGAGTTGCTGATCCTTGGCGGAGGCACTATTGCCGCGTGGCCCGCCGTTCTCGATCCCCCGTGCAGCTTTGCGCACCTTTTGGCTGAGATCCATCATCTGCTTGCTGCCGTAGTCGCGAGTAGCAACCAGCGGACTTTGGCTGAGTGTCGCAACCCAATATTTATTCCAGAGAAGGGAAAGAATCTCGGAATCGAGAGTGCTCTTGAAATGTGACACCTCGAGGGAGTAGTACTGGTTGGCATGGGCGCCAAAGTCCTCCGCCTTGCCAAGCGGGATGGTCTGGTACTCATCGTCCTCGTGGGCCTCTCGCGGGGGGACAAAGTCTTGCGGGAACGTGCGAAATGCGCCGATCTCAACCCGCCCCGCCGAGATCGTGCGCTCGGGATCAATCACCACCGCCACGAAGGGTCCTCCCATCTGCTGCGTCTGCTGCGTAGCCACATCAATCCCGGACAGCCAGCACCCGTAGCCCGGGTGGCTGTGGTACCAGCCCACAGCGTTTTCCATGCGTCCTGCATCCCGGCATGACTGTAGATATGACACCATGTACTCGTTGGCCTCGTCCTGTGCGTTCACGCGAGTCTCCGTGCCCTCAACCGGTAGCCGGAAGGCATCTGTCACCACGAATGTATTCGGCAGAATGTATCCCTGCATGAGACCCATCACCTCGAGCGACCCGCCGGACCGGGCGTGCATCACCATCTTCAGCAGCGCGGAGGCTGAGATCCGAACGTTCTTGAAATAGTATGGGTCATTCGCCCATGGCCGTTCGGCATCGAGGGCTCGCTGTGCTACTGGGTCGTATCTGTAGAGGGCGTCTCGTTGCGGATCAAAGACAGTGATCGCATTTTCGAGCTCTATGATGGCAAGGCTGGTCAGCTTGCTGGCTGTTTCTGGTGGTGATGTGGGAGTACAAACCCCAGGACTGCTGGGCAGCCTGCATTTTGAAACGAGGTGGAGCTCGCCTGTGTTTCCCTTGATGGAAATGTGAAGTTGTAGGTGAATCGTAGCAATTAATACTCAGGAAGCACTAAATGGAGACAGCGGGGGAGAGTTAGTTACTCTCTCCATTGGGAACCCCGGGCGGTGTGTGTCTGACCGGCAGAAACAGGCGGTGAACACAACCCGTTGCCCCGGGCGACCCGCCGAGCACGAGATCTGGGAAAAGCGGCCGATCGTTACTATGACCCGTCGTTCCTGGTCCCCTCATAAACAATCATCTCTCTCCACCTGCTGAAACCCAGGCCTTTCGTTTTCCAACTCCCTCATTGTTCACATCCTCCCACACACCCGCCCACCGGGCTCTCTCTTTTGCTTCCATCGGCCGTTGTCCGACGCTGCGACTGCCCGGCGCTCTGTCGCCCCGGTTAAAATAACATTCCTTGATTGATTGTCACCTCACCCAAGGGGTGGTGTTTCCAATGGCGGTAGACACGAGTTACCTGACCACTCAGGTCAACAACATCGTGTCCCAGCTTCATGGCATTTTTGATGAGATCGGAGTCCCTGGCCGTGAGCGGGAGTCTCGTGAGGCAGAGGTATGTTGTTGTCCGGTCGCGAAAGAGGTCCTCGTCGCCGTGATATTGATTATACTATACAGCTGTTTTCGGCCCTGTCAGACACTCTTCATAACCATCTCAAGCTTGTTGACGAGTGGGTAAACACGTCCAAACCCCAGCTACGCGGTGCTAATCAATGTTTGTTTACAGTGAGAAGGAGAAGTTGACACAAGAAGCTCAGCGGCTCATCACCACCATTCAGCAGATGGAGGCCTCTCTGGGTGACGAGAGGGCCAATGGCCGTTACGAACTCAACCGTGACGATTTGCGCGTCACGTATCCGCTCCATCGCTGCATCGCTTTCCTCCGCGAGAAGAGCGAGGCCATGAGCAAGTTGCACCGGGAGCGCTTTGAACAAGTCAAGAGTGAGTTTATCTCTCAAATTCTTTGAACTGTCTTGCTGACTTTTAATAGAACTGGTTGATGCCCTCGAATCCTATTCCTCGCACCTCGAGGCCTCCTTTGTTTCTATTGAGTTGCCGCCCACCGCACCCGGCTCCTCTATTCCCCCCAGCTTTGATCTTTCTCCTTCGTATGTCACAGCCCTGGACTCCGAATTTACCAGAGTGTACGAAGAGTACCACCGCCGCGTGTCTCATGTCCAAACCACCTCCGAGGAGATGATCAAGCTCTGGGCAGAACTGGGCACCCCTCAAGTCCAGACGGACTCCAACATTGTCAAGTTTTACCGTGAATCTCCTGAGCAGCTGGGCCTGCACGAGAACGACATTGCCAACCTGATGGGCAAGCGCGACAAGCTGATTGAGGAGAAGAAGGGTCGCGAGCGCAAGATCAAAGAACTCAGAACCTCAGTGGAAAGCCTCTGGGAGCGGTTTGGAGTGGAAGAAGCGGACCGCAAGGCGTTTCTTTCTGCCAACCGCGGCTGTGGACTCCGTACCATCAACGAGTTTGAGGAGGAGCTTGCCCGGTTGAACGAGCTGAAGAGACAGAATATGCATCTCTTTGTGGAAGATGCTCGCTGCCGTCTCCAGGAGCTTTGGGACAGCCTTTACTTCTCCGAGGAGGAGATGCTGGATTTCACTCCTGCTTTCTCCGATGTGTGCAGCGATGCCCTGCTCGAGGCGCACGAGGCCGAGATCAACCGCCTTGAGGCCCTCAAGGAGCAGCGCGCTCCTACTCTGGAGCTAATTGATAAGCATCGGAGTCTCCTGGCGGATCGTGACTCGTTGGCCTCCTCGAGCCAGGATGCATCTCGTCTCATGGGCCGCGGAAACAAGGGCGAGAAGCGCGATCCTGGAAAGCTCCTCAGGGAGGAGAAGATGCGCAAGAGGATTGCAAAGGAACTTCCCAAACTCGAAGCAGAGCTGCGGAAAGAGCTGGAGCATTGGGAAGATGAATATGGCCGGCCATTCTTGGTTCACGGAGACCGGTACCTCGACACCTTGGCTGCCGCTGCCGCTGCCGCCAGGCCGCAAGGGCGCTCTAAGACGCCCTCGGCGCCATCGTCGACTACGAAATTAGCTGGCGCAAAGTCTATCTCACGCCCTGGCACTGCCGGCTCCATGCGAGGACCTCCCCCGCCGCGCTCGGCGACCAAGACCCCGACTAGCAGTGGACCTGTGAAGCATAACACTATCGGTTATTCCGGCGCTCGATCTGCAGGAGCAAAGTCTCCCTCCAAGCTTCCTGCCCGTGCCCCGCTGAGCAATATGCCCCATGGAAACAACTCCCCTGAGCGTCGCACTGGGCCAGGCTCCTACTCGTCTAGCACGGTCAATGGAAAGATGGGACCTCCTCGTATGCCGCCACCAAGGATGCGAGCTCTGACCGTTGAATCAAACAATGAGCGCGGCAACTATAACAACGCGGAGCCGCCTCGCTGCAATAGTTCCATGTCCAGTGCCTTTGTGAGGCCTGTCAGCCCTGAGGACGTTTATGATGACCGCCAGCGTTCCTTCATGAGCTCTTCTGCTCTATCTCATTCCCGTTCAACTGGACTCTCTCAATCCTCCCATTCTTCGCAATCCTCGCTTTCCCTAAACTCCTCCATGCAAGGCTACCCGCGGCCGAACCCTTACCTGCAGCACGCACCTCCTCCGCTGGCCTCACGCATGCCATCCAGTTCTTCATCCGCCAATACTGCATCGTCCGAGAACTGGGAGACATTCGATGATGCGTCTGACGCGGAAATGGACGCAAATGACGTCTACTATGCCAAGCTCCGAGCCGCCAACGGCAAGCGGTTTGCTCCCGATGATGGCCTGGATCTGGGAGGCAAAAAAGCCAAAGGCATCCGAAGTGTGAGTCCCGATGGTCCGCATGCTGGGCAGGTCCTGCGTGTGGCGGGCAGCGACAACGAGTGGATCGAAGAGTTCGAATCTTACTAGTAGTTTCGACTTTATCGATTTCCCATTTTGGCATGATGCATCCGGCGCTGATTGGACTTCACTTCTTTTTTCTGCCCCTTCCCGGCGCCTTGGACATTGGGCTGTGCTTACGCGACGATTTCGGTGTTTGACGAACCTACGACCGAGATTTTGCACGGCTCACGGCTCATGATGGACCCTTGACGTTCCTTTACGATAGAGCTCCTTTCCGCGTTCCTTCACGTGCACAGTCGTGTGTGTGATGCTTCCCAAGTTGCCCGACCTTTCATCTCTTTCTTCGTGTTTAAATTATGAGCCCATCATGTCAAGCCTGTTCATGCTCTCTTTCCTTCGTCTGTTGATTTTATCAAGTCCAGCGCTGCCTGTTCAGCTTTTGCTTTGTTGTTAACAATCCAGCCCTGGGCTTTTTCTAATTGTCTTTTGTGGACGCTTTCTTGGGTCCTTCGGCATGGTGTTTCTCTTCTTCTCTTCCTTTGTCATTTCCTTTTCCAATTTCTTTGGCTCGGTGCTTACGGCTCAGTCTTGTTCATTTTCCTATGCCTTTTGGTTTCATGTTGTTAATTTTATCTTTTTTGTACGGTTCGACTTCTTGTTGGACGATTTGTGGGTGATTCTATCTCCGTGAATGCAGTGATTCATTGGATCTGGCTTCGTAGGCGCTTAAGATATCAGTAGCTCTCTCTGCACTTGGATAGATGAACGTATGGTCTACCTTAATCATTATCATAGTCAGCGAGATAGACATGCCGACACTATTTGTTCTTGACTAGGGCCAACTGACAAGGTGTATATAAGCAGTTATACAACAATACTATAGAATTATTTCCCTCAAGGCTTTACCCTCAGCCTACTATACAGTAACATCATGATATACATACACCACTCACTCCTCATAGTCCAATCAATCAATGCAGCTCACCGCGAAGCAAGGGACCCCATCCAACTCCGATCCCCACCCTCCTCCGAAGAGGAAGAAGAAGATTTAGGAACCCTCCTCCCGACAGGCGGGACCAACGACGCCGTCAACGCCTTGGCATCCTGCAATCTGCGGACAGATTCATCGCGGCCGAGAATCGCCATCGTCTCGGGAATTCCAGGTCCCGGGGCGGATGCCGAGAGCGCCCAGCGAAGGTAGTGATAGAGTTCCTTTTTGAAGAGCTTGTTTGTTGCTGCTGACGAGGCGGAGTCCGCTTCTCCCTGTCCTTCAGAGAAACTGGCTACTGCGGAACCGTCATAGGAGGCAATGTTGGTGCGGTGCGTTTCGACGGTCCAGTGAGTGGGCGGGACGAGGGTTAGTGCTGCGGCAGCGGTGTGGACTGCTTGCATAGGAACTGCCGGTGTAGTGTCACTGGCGTTGGTGGGAGATGTGGAAGCTGGTGTGTAGGGGGGTCGGGAGAGTTGGGTGGTGAAGAAGGTCGAGTTGCGCTCGACGAAGGTCGGCGCGTCGCTGTAGGTTTTGGCGTCGGCGCGGAGCAGCGGTGCGATATACTCTGCCAGTGTCCTTTCCTGGAGGATCGGGCCTCTGTTTGGAATGTTAGGACGCCCGTGCTTTGGACTTAGATGAACTTGAAGACTTACAGGGTCTCTAGAGAATGCTTCTTTTCCACTGCTGAGCAGACGGTGCTCACCATCTGCTCGAATTCAACACCACCGGTCGTTGCGAAGCGCTGGGCGTGCGCTTTTTGCAAGAACCAGAGCTTCTCGAAGGCAACGACCGTGTTACCACGCGTGATTTTCAAGTTGAACTGGATGCGATGTCAGTGATTGCGGGATTGCTTCCGTGTTTGGGGGACCGTACAATCTGTTCCAGCTCCTTTAGGCTGAACACGTCCGATTTCTGAGTATGAGACCAGCCCAAGAGTGCGGCAAAGTTGACCAAAGAAGCCGCAAACACGCCTTGCTTGTCCTTGAAGGACGAGAGGTCGATGTCCATGTTCCGCTTGCTGAGCTTCTGCCCGGTCTTATCGACCAGGAGAGGGACATGTCCGAATCGTGGGGGCGTCCAGTCAAACGCATTGTACAAGGCCACATGCATTGGGGTAGACGGCATCCATTCCTGGCCGAGTCAGCATGAACGAAGATGCCCAAGAGAGATGCTTACCGTGCCGCGGATGACATGAGTGATTTTCATGCAGTGATCATCGACCACATTGGCCAGATGATACGTGGGATGGCCGTCTGACTTGAGCAGAATAGGGTCGTCGTACACTCGATCAATGAGGTCTAGCTTGCTGCTGTTGAGACGGTTCTGGCCCGTCTTGCCGTAGACCAGATCGTTGAACATGGGGTATCCCTCCACCTTTAATCGGACAACATGTATTTCCCCCTTGGATGCCCGTCCCGCGGACTCTTCGGTGGAGATATCTGCGCATTTCCGGTCATAGCCCGGAGCTAGACCAGCTTGACTGCGGTGTCGCGCGAAGGAATCGAGCCGTTCGGCAGAGCAGAAACACCGGTAGGCATGGCCATTGGCGATCAAGCCATCAGCATGCTCGCGGTATAGAGCTGTTCGTTCGGACTATGTCCCAGCAAACCATCAGTCAGGATTATTCGCGGCCGACACTGCAGGAAGCTCACCTGTCTATATGGACCGTAGGGCCCACCGACAATAGGGCCTGCCAACGAGTCAAGTTAGCTCAGTCGGATGATACTGTATATGCAGAAATCGACCAACCTTCGTCCCAGTGTAACCCAGCCCATTGTAAATCCTCGTACAGTCTCTGTTCAGCGCCGGGGATCGTCCGTTTCTGCGTCCATCATCAGCTCGCCGTCCCTCCACACGAGGATTGCGACCGCGCAAACGAACCTGATCGGTATCTTCAATGCGCAGCAGGAATTGACCGCCCGTGCGCTTGGCCAGCAGATAGTTGAATAGCGCTGTTCGCAGCGAGCCCAGATGGAGGTATCCCGTCGGCGAGGGCGCAAAACGCGTGCGCGCAGGCGTGTCGGGCAGGTTGGTTTTGGACTTGCGCACCTGTGCGCCCGCGGTGGATGCTGAGGAGCAGGTTCTGCACTGGATGCAGGTCCAGGAACGAGCCAGGAGCCCGCTGTAAGGGCGGCGCATCGTCGGGTGGTCTGTTAGTGAGTATTTGCGGAGGCTCGGAGGATCGGCGGGAAGGAAATTTCTCATCAATAAAACTTCCCCAAACACTTCCTCTTCTTCTTCCTCTCTGCGCCCCCGTCCCATCAGCCACATCATAAGCAGTAAGTGATCCCGCTGGATTCGAGGGCATATTTACTAATGCGTTTCTTACAGTGGTTCAAGCCGAGATTGATCTCTATGGTATGGCGTCGTTGCTGCCCAGACAAAAACACTGAACTGGCTGACTGACTCGACTGCAGAGGTCCTAGAGGTCCACCGCGGCGCCAACAAAGATGAGATTCGCAAGGCATATCGCAAGGTAAGACTGACCCTCGTAGGGAAACCCTGCAGTACTGATATCTGCCAGGCCGCGCTCGCGAGCCACCCCGACAAGGTCCCCGAAGCCGAGCGGGAAGAGGCTGAGGTGAAGTTCAAGTCCGTGCAGGAGGCGTACGATATTCTCTACGACGACGAAAAGCGCCACATCTACGATACCCACGGTATGTCCGCGTTCAACGGGTCCGGCGAACCTGGCATGGGCGGCGCGCCCGATCTGGACGAGATGCTTGCGCAGATGTTCGGGATGGGGGGTATGGGAGGTATGGGCGGGATGCCCGGAGGACGGCCACGTGCGAACCGGCCGCGGAAGAGCCCGAACGAAGAGCAGGCGTATGAGGTCAGCCTGGAGGAGCTGTACAAGGGCAAGACCGTCAAGTTCGCCAGCACCAAGAACGTCATCTGCAGTCTGTGCAACGGCAAGGGCGGCAAGGAGAAGGCCACGGCTAAGAAATGCTCGACGTGCGATGGGCAAGGGTACAAGGAGGTTCTTCAGCGCATGGGCCAGTTCCTGACTCAGTCTACCGTGGCTTGCACCGTCTGCAACGGTCAGGGCTCGTTCTTCAGCCCCAAGGACAAGTGCAAGAAGTGCAAGGGCAAGAAGACTGCGGAGGAACGCAAGATCCTGGAGATCTACATCCCGCGCGGTGCACGGTAGGCTCTCTTTTCCGGTCGTCTATATCAGAAATACTGACCCTGAACAGGGAAGGAGAGAAGATCGTGCTGGAGGGCGAGGCGGATCAGGTCCCGGACCAAGAGCCCGGCGATATCATTTTCAAGCTGGTGGAGGAGGAACACGCAGTCTTTACCCGGGCCGGATCGGACCTGAGAGCAGATATCGATATCACACTGGCCGAGTCCCTGAGCGGGTTCTCGCGAGTCGTGTTGAAGCACCTGGACGGTCGCGGCATTGAGCTCACCCACCCCCAGAAGCCTGGCCAGACCCTGTCGCCCGGTCAGGTTCTCAAGGTGCCCGGCGAGGGCATGCCGCACAAGCGCAGCGATGCCCGTGGCGACCTGTACCTGGTGGTGAACATCAAGTTCCCCGACGAGAAGTGGAAGCCGACCCCGGCGATGCTGGAGAAGCTCAAGGAGCTGCTGCCCAAGCCCGACAAGCCCATCGAGGCGGAAACGATTGACGAGGTCGAGTACAATCCGCAGGGCGACCTTAACGAGTTCGGGGCGAAGGATGGCCACGGGTCGGCGTGGGTGGACGAGGACGAGGATGACGATGAGCCGGCGCAGTGCGCGACTCAGTGATTTTTCTATGGCATAGACGGCGTTGGGAGTATCTTTCTTCTGAGTCTAGATGTTACTCAGGCCAATTCCACCCCCACTACTCTTTATCTTTACTGTTGTACCTTTTTTGACCTCACAAGAGATCGTACGTGACGAATGTTACCCCTGGCCTACCACTTGTACCAATTGTTCCACTTCCACCAACGAGTCAACCGTAGCATCTGGCTTCAGCTTCTCGCAATTATGGGCGTCACCATATCCGAAACGACACCAGACCGATTTCGCACCACCGATATTCGATGCAAATTGCAAATCCGCCTCGGTATCCCCGACCACGAAGACATCCGATGCATCGATGCCTTCTAGAAGCCCCCTGTCTCTGAGAGCCGGAACGAGCACATTGACATAACTCGCAGGATCCGGTTTCCTGGTGGCCCCCGGAGTTTTGTCACCGACAATTAAGGCCTCTGGTATACAATCGCCAAGACCAGCGTTGCTGAGAGCCGCTACGACTGCGGCAACGCCTTTATTACTCACGATGGCAGTGGGGATGTTGCGGCTCTGTAGAAACCGCAACAGATGCTGTGCGCCATCAAACGGCGTGACGAGTTGTTGTCCATCACTGGCGTAGAGCTGGCGGTACGTCGAGACCCATTCTTCTTTGTTGAAGGTGCTCGAATCGGGATGCAAGGCCTGGAGAGTATCTTCGAGTCCCATTCCACTGCCAATTAGTCGCTGCACTTCTGTTTCACGAGGCGAGTGCGTGGGTAGCAGCACTTCGAACGTCTTGGTGATGCTGTAGGCAATGGCCCGATGGGTGTCAAACAGCGTCCCATCGAAGTCGAAGATGATCAGCCTGGATGGTGCCATCGTCTGCAGGACCTGGTCGTGGTCAATGATAATAAACGATCGCGAAGGGGCCACGACTAACTCTTAAGGCACCCCCACACTCTCGACCCAATCACCATCGCGCAGTTTCAACAACTGCGTGGGATGCCGACGACCCGGAGTTGCTCCGTGGGGTTGATTCATTCATTCTTAATCATGGCTCGGCCCCTCAATTCTTCACTCGACAAATTTCCACGATCATGCCGTGCAATCCTCAACAAGCCTCCTGCGAGGGCTGTTCCTGCGCTGCCGCCACGGCCGCGCCGGTGAACATCGAAGACTGCGAGAGCGAGCTGCTCGCCCTGCGCCAGCGCACCCACGACTTGGAGAAAACCCTCGCCACCCTCAAAGTGGACTCCGACCTCCCCGCAAGGGCCGTAAGCTGCGCTCGTCGCGCTGGTTCAACATTGAGGATAATCCCGGCATGACTGCGCTGTACATCGAGCGCTACTGCAACTACGGCATGACGCGCGAGGAGCTCATGTCCGGCAAGCCGGTGATCGGCATCGCGCAGTCCGGCTCCGACATTGCGGCTTGTAATCGGCACCACCTCGAGCTGGCGAAGCGTGTCCGTGAAGGTATTCGCTCAGCCGGTGGTATCGCGTTTGAGTTCCCGACACATCCTATCCAGGAGACTTCGCGGAGACCGACGGCTTGTCTGGATCGCAATCTGGCGTACTTGGGCTTGGTAGAGATTTTGCACGCGTACCCGTTGGATGGCGTGGTGCTTTTGACGGGTTGTGACAAGACGACGCCGGCGGCGTTGATGGCGGCTGCTACTGTGGTGCGTTGGGGATTTTTGCTTTCTGGTCTAGACCTTACACTGACACCTTCTCCAACAGAATATTCCCGCAATCTGTCTCAATGTCGGCCCGATGATCAACGGCTACCTTGGCAATGACCGGGCAGGCTCCGGCATGGTGATGTGGAAGGGGAGAGAAAAGTATGCGACGGGCGAGATTGACCGCCAGGAGTTCATGGACTATGTGGCCAAGGGCGCACCCTCCGTGGGACACTGCAATACAATGGGCACAGCGTCCACCATGAATGCCCTCGCCGAAGCCCTGGGCATGGCCCTCCCCGGCTCGGCCGCTATTCCCGCGCCGTACCGCGAGCGAGCCCAATGCGCCTATGTGACCGGCGAGCGAATCGTCGAGATGGTGCACGCCGACCGCAAACCGAGTGATATCATGACCCGTGCGGCCTTCGAGAATGCCATTGTCGCCAATACCGCCATCGGCGGCAGCACGAATGCGCCCATCCATATCAACGCCATTGCCAAGCACATGGGCGTGCCGATCTCGCTCAACGACTGGGACCAGCTTGGATTCCAGATCCCGCTTCTGCTTAACATGCAGCCCGCTGGCGAATTTCTGGGCGAGGAGTACTACCGCTCCGGCGGTCTGCCTGCTATCATGGCGGAGCTGCTCGAGGCCGGCAAGCTAAATGCCAATGCATTGACCTGCAACGGTCAGACGGTGGAGGCGAATGTGCGCGGGAAGCAGACGTGGAACCGTGATGTTATCAAGGAATATAATAACCCGCTGATGGCGGATGCTGGGTTTGTGCATCTGCAGGGCAGCCTGTTCAACTCGGCGATCATGAAGACATGCGTGATCTCTCCGGATTTCCGCAAGAAGTTCCTCGAGAACCCATCTGATCCGAACGCCTTTGAAGGCTCCGTTGCTGTATTCGACGGGCCAGAGGACTACCACCGCCGCCTAGACGACCCCGCCACACCTATCGACGACTCAACCATCCTGGTCATGCGCGGCGCTGGCCCGCTGGGCTACCCCGGCGCCGCAGAGGTGGTCAACATGCACCCACCGGGACGCCTCCTACGCCAGGGCGTCGCCTCACTCCCCTGCATCGGCGACGGTCGCCAATCCGGCACGTCAGGCTCACCGTCAATTCTAAACGCCAGTCCCGAGGCAGCCGCCGGTGGGAACCTTGCCCTGCTGCGCGATGGAGACAGACTGCGCGTGGATTTGACGAAGCGCCGCGTCGATATCCTCATTGACGAGGAGGAACTCGCCCGTCGTCGTGCGGAACTCCAAAAGAATGGTGGTTTTGCTGTGCCGGAGAACCAGACGCCCTGGCAGGAGATCTTCCGCCGTGAGACGGACCAGTTGAGTGAGGGTATGGTGTTCCGCGACGCGGTTAAGTATCAGCGCGTGGCGCAGAAGTGGGAGGAGCCGAGGCATAATCATTAGACGAAGTTAGGCAAACAGAGCAAGTCTATCTTCGTTTCATCGAATACATGTAGCCGTGTTTGTATACGCAGAATAGGACCAATCGTTCTTACACTGTACAGAAACCAAATAAAATAGATATATACAACGATCCTCATCTCTTTGCACGGCCCTGCCGCATCTTTTATACATATCAGCACCCATAATGACACGTCCAACGCAAACCCGACTTAAGACGCCGGATTCTTGCAAGTAAAAGGCGTCAGAGCGGACCCAGCAAAGTCCTCATGCATACCAATAACCGACGCCCAAATACCCAGACCCGCCGTTCCCAGCGCAGCCAGGAAGTAAATGACATCAAAGGAGTTGAGAGCAAACTGCTTCTTGAACCCTCTCGCCCAGCGCTTCCAGCCCGAGTCAACGCGCAGAGCCTGGCCCGTGTGCGGATCGAAAACCTCGCCGGGCAGAATGGCGTCGTTCTGCACGCTGTAGCCGACGCGCAGGAGTGGGGGGAAGGTGTAGGAGAACTGGAGGATGCAGGCAGCGCCGACGAAGGAGGTGAGGTTGCTGATTTGGGGGATGGCGGCTGCTACAACCCAGGCAAGGACCCAGTAGATGGGTACCAGGGCAACCCAGAGCCATTTGCCGAGGCGGTGGTCCAGTGGAGGGAGGTGGAAGACGTCGCGGAGGACGGCCGAGTAGAAGATCTTGATGCCGATGTTGCCATATAGCAGGGCGGCGATGGCGCCAGTAATGAAGGAAATAGCGTTACCTAGGGTCTGGAAGGCGTAGGCTGAATGCGGGATGCCTGTATTCTTTAGTCAGAAACAGATGGAAGAGAATGATTGTGACGGAGTCTTACCCTGGTAAGATGGGTTGTAGGTGAACTGGCCCTGGGCACTGTAGACAACCATGCCGTTGATCAGGTAGCACGCATAGATAAAGATCTCAGCGCAGATAAATCCCTTCCAGAAGTCCATGGGCCGGCGCATCTCGGACATGAGCTCGTTGAACAGCGTCGCACCACCATAGGCGAATACGCAATTCATCAAGCCATTGACCCGGTCATAGAGCGTCGTGTGGGCGGGCCAGTTGGCGGAGGTCTCGATCGGGCCCTTGGGGATTTGGTAGGAGGATTGGACGGCCTCGTAGTTCGGCGGATACTGATGCACGACGACCATGGTCATTATGATGACGACGACGTTGAGCCAGATGGCGACGTTGGCCAGCCACGACAGCCGCTGCAGCGTGCGGATCTGGCCCAGCAGGAAGCCGATCAGCATGAAGATGACCTCGGCAACGATGAAGCAGAGGTATCCATTGCCGCTCTTGCCTTGCGCCATCTGCGCCAGACCCTGGCCGTTGCTCACGATCAGAAGGGTGACGTTGAGGAAAAATTGGAAGCTCTGGAGGACGTTGACCAGGATGCGGGCCCAGTGACCGTACACCCGGAAGGCAAGGTCACCGTAGTTGCGCATGGGGAAGCGCGTCGAGTCCAGGCCGGTGTAGATCTTCCACAGTTGTAGACCCGAGTAGCAGGCCAGGATGCCGAATACGGTGTACAGGGCGAATCCGGGCCCGTAACCCATCTGACTGATTGCCCAGGGGACATTGGTCGGCCCCAAGATATCCGTGGTGATCAGGTAGAAGATCGAGCCCCAGGTTGCCGTGCGGGACGCTCTCTGCGCCTGTTCCCACTCGGACTCGGTAACACCATGGCCGTCTGTCTCGACATCCGTGTCGCTGCCAGCAGGCGCGTTCGCAGGAGTGGGATTCGACTTTTTTTCCGACTCAGTTGGAGCCGGATCTTGGGCCACTGTATCTATTTCCGGGTTGGGCTTCTGGCCCAGCATCAGTTTGCCCAGCTGCGCAAAACCGGCATTATCGGTGCGAATGTGCTTCTCCACCTCACGCGACCGCTGGGCCCAGAAACGATACTCCTCGAACATGATACTAGAATCCACGTAGATCGACTGATGGCCGTCCAGTACGGGAGGCGGGATCTGGTGAAGCCGATCTTCTGGGACATATTCCTTCGAGGTGCCGATGATATCGGCTTCCTCGCCCAGTCGGGCATCCGCCACGCCGCCGAGGTTCGCCGCCGAGATATTGCCCGCCATTGCTGCAGAAAGAAAAAAAAAAGAAGCGGAGTGCAGATCCGGGGAGAATATCAAGGCAAGCGAGTGAACAAACACAAAAAAAGAGGGAAAGAGAAGACCAAAAGACAGGGGGCGTGGAGAGGGAGGCAGTAATAATATGTGTCAGGGGAATTGTGTTCCATTTGGTTAATCAAACCACACCGATGGTGGAGCCGTCCATGTGCCCGGCGGCCACCGGACGAATACAACGTCGACCCATGACGAAAACACCCATGGACAGCCAAGCAAAAGCTTGTCTTCTCCGCATCCGACGCGATCCCGGCACCCGGGTAGCCCGGATTACCCACTTGGTGTCTCACTCGTTTCAGGTATCTGTCGCATAATGGCGGGTATTTTGTGCTGGCTGCCTGGCGGCGTTGCATCTTGCGCCATTGCATGTTTGTGTCGCATAAGCATACGAGTATGGTTTGGTGGTACGCTCCCCCGATTGATTGGTCGGCACGGGGGCCACTCCGACTTGGGGGCGAGTATATCTTTTTCGGCGGCGTGTTATTGTGGCCCCGCAGGAAACCCACAAGGGCTGATTAATCGCGAGATTCCCCAGTGAATTGATCGTGTGTTCATTTTGGACCTCGGCCCGTGGTCATTGATTGAATATTGTCGAAATGAGGTAGACACCTTCGATTATGCTGAGGTTGAAGGAGAGCTGCTAGGTCCCGGTGGCGTCGATGTTTGATTCAGGCTAACCATGTCCAGACTAGGTACGGACAGGGGTCAAAAGTCTTAAACCCGCCCGTCCGTCTTTAGGGCTAAACCCGCCGGGCTTGACCATAGATGTCTTTGGAATATTATAGCAACGCCACATGGCGTAGAAGGCTAGACTCATTGAAAACCACACTGAGCCTCCATAGACTGCCCCAAAACGACTTGACTCAATTCCGTAACTCTCTACAGTCCTTCCAGCCGGTACAACAGCTCCAACTTCGCGGACCGCTGCAACAGAACATACCGCTTCACAAACTCAGGCAGCCAATCCCCATCCTGTACTTCACATGCCGGTGTACAGGCACACCAATATATAGTCTAATTCCTCGAGCGTGCGTTGCCTGATTCATCTTTGTCAGTAAATTCCCGGAGTGATGGCGCAATTGACGATACCCGCCTCGAGATGTCACGCCCTCACCAGCGAGAGTGGTGAGGGCCTTCCACAGTCTAATCATATTTCAGTCTAATGATAACCCTCGCCCCCCTCCCTTCTACCTTATTATTCCAACCACCAGGATGTCAGAAAATTCTAGGATAGTGAGGATCGAATGACTAATACCTTATAAGCATAACAAGTGTAAATAGTTCTGGCCCTGAGCGCCTATTGGCATTGGGAGGTGGCCTGGGAGGAAAAAACTAGACAATGTCCTCCGAGCGAAAGGCTCCCACGACCGAAGTGTCAGGGCTGATCATACAGTGCTGCGATCAATGTAAGGGAATTGTTTACTCAGTCTAGACTGGCCCGTCAAATCGTGTAAGAAATAAAACCAGCCCTCGCGTCTTATCATATGGGTGGCGGACCCTCGTATGTAGAGTTTTGTAAGTGCCGGTTAGAGACTATAATCTTTTGCTATGCCATTGTACGCCCTGCCGCAGTCCCAATCCATACCCATTGACGGGATATTCTCAAGTCCAACCGATATCAATGGCTCAAACCAGGAGGGACCTCGGTTTTCCACTAGCTAGGTAGTAGCGACGAGCATACTAAACATGAGAAGTACAAAAGGAAGGAACATAGCCTTTTATACCCGTAAACAAAGAAGCAAATACGGCGGAACATGCCCATGAAGGGGAAGTGTCTGTAATGCCATGAAGGATATCAGATCGTGCCACCCGACGACGAATTATTGCGGTGTGCCAAAAGTGTTAGGCCAGTTATTAATGTCCGCAACATATGTCGGGAGTTTGTCTAAGGAGTCGTAGCAATGGGCAGTAATACCCAGAGGGCCTTTTCTCGGTGGCTTTGAGCCCATCAGTTCTGGGGGAACCACTACCTGCTTTATGTGCTGGTATTGACGACCAAAGACCGTGGAAAGCCGAATGGTTTTGCCTGGCTGCGGTGCTCCGACGGACTCGATTGCGTCGTCGATAACTTCCTCATCCATATTAAACCATACCTTGTTATCGCAACTGTCGAATTCGGGGACCCAGGCTTTAGCGACTTTGTCAAAAGCAGGCTTCTCTGCAAAGACGACACAGTACCTTGAATTGGAAAAAGAAAAATCATTAGTCGGGCTATACCAGTATGCATGTGTTTCACAGAGCTTAATACCAATCCCCATCACGCCCTGGCCAACCTCCCGGGTTAGGTGTAAGATATGCACCTGCACCAAGTTGCGCGCCTCCCCTTGACCCTGACCAAACAAGTGTTCCGGCATCGTTATATATATCGGCTTGATCCTAAGTTCCTGGGAATCAATATTATATCCCACCTGACCTGAAGTAAAAGGCTCTAGAAGTATGAAGTCGGGTGTTCTCTTCTTACTTTGCTAACGGTCCTGTACCCGATAATGATATTTTGAGTAGGTGCAGCTCCCACTAATCCAAGAAAAATGGCTAGCAGGAGCGTTTTCCATATAATAGTCATCTTGACGATTGATGAAAACAAAAATTTTTGAAAGAAAGCCCGGAAGTGTAGGCTCCGGGAAGGAAAGATGGGTGATGTCGCGGATAATGGCCACAGCAAGTACTTTTTACATCAATCATGTGGCTTAGTCCCCATTAAATTGCCATTGTTTCCATATTTATCTCTTGTTTACACTGTACACGACTGTAGAAATATTCTGCTAAGGGATCTTTTGGCCCCAGTTAGTCCACATAGTCCCTACTAATCTAGCATGATGGTGTTTCATGATATCGTCTTTCAACCAGTTTATCACATAATTCGTGGGAGAATATTAATATGTCTTTCCAGCACTTGGTATACAATGACTGGTTAATATAAGTGTGAGGCTTTATGGCTAAGGTTGTCTATAAGACCTGAGCGCTGGTGGTCGGGCCTAAAGTCGGGTTCCAAGACCTAGGCTAGCGGCCAAAGCTGGGGACCAAAGCTGGAGGCCAAGGGGGGGCCAAGGGGGGCCAAGGGGGGCCAAGGAGGGCCAAGTAGGGCCAAGGCCGCGGACCTATGTTCGGGGCCAAGGCCGGGGACCAAGGTTGGAAGCCAATGACGATGGTGACCTGACTGATATTGCTAGTTGCGTATAAAAACTACTCTTGAAGGTGTGCAGCGAAGGGCATATGCAGAAGTCTCTGCGTTGAGCGACACAGGTGTGATGTACATACGCTGTACACTTTGTTTCCTCGTGTGAAAATTTTATGACATAATTGGAGGTCCAATAAAATCCAGCCCCTGCCAGGGCCTTCATCGCCATTCCTTGTCATCGTCAGCAGTCAACATCTTACAATCAATCCTTATTCTTACCTTCTCTTTCTCCATTGCAACTTATTATCTCAGCCCTATGCGATCACCAATATGGCAGTTCCTGAACGGCTCTCAGACGTGACCTTGATTTCCATTCTATGTGGTGAGACCTGGTGGTGGGACTCAGATAATGAAAGCCATATTATCTTTCACCAGAACGGTACAGGCTTGGTAAGCTGATATATAACCAAACCATCGTCAGATCTTTAACAAAACAGTAGCTTGTCGCCCGTCGCGAATTTTGTCTGTTTATCGTCGCCGAGCTCAAGTGGGTACCTCAGAACCAAGAGCTACTGAGCCAAACTGTCAACAGCAGCAAACATCGTTCATATCCCCAAAATTTAGGACAGTTGAAGCTCGAAATCTGTCTCACAAAATATCGCCCTCCGAAATTGGGATGTGTTGAAACAGAGGAATACTTAATGAATGAGGCCCTGCTTACCGATGAAGCCTTTACGCCTCGAAATTACATTCTCACCATTGAGGAAGGATCTTTTCACACCTTCGATGATGCAAAAATAAAAAAGAGACGCGGGGTTGCTCCAAAATACCTATATCGGCTGAGATTTGACCAATCACCCTATCCTTCGCGCGAACAGTGGAAGGATCCCACCGGTGCCCCGGATGCATTAAGGTTCTGGGAATGGAGGGATTTCTGTGCTATTAAAAAATCAAATCAAAGTGCTCCTGGTCCACAGGGAAAGATATCCCTTGGTTTAATACGCAATATTTCGAAAAAAATCTGGCACTGAACTACATCTGAGCAGTTCTCTGACGCTTTGCCACTGCCACTGGGAGAAGTTGGTAGCTAGGTAGCATCAACGAGCATACTGAATATGGGATGGAAGAGGAAGAAACAGAGGAAGGAGGAGAGGCAGCCTTAAAAACAAAAAAGTCACATAATGCAGCATGTGGTAACAAACATGTTGATAAAGCAGCCTTTTGTCACGACGGTCACAGATGATACTTGATCCAAAAAAGCTAAATTTTTTTAATTTACATTTGCATTTGCAGCCAAAATGAAGAACTGCTCTACAAAGTGGAATCGATCCTTCGAAGATTATGGATAGGAGTATCAAAAGCGAGTAGATGAATGTAAGACCAAAGCTATCAACTCTCAACAGAAGAAACATATCGCGTACCTGGCCTTCGAAGGCCTAGATATTAATAATTGAAAAGCAACATAGCCTTGGTGTTCATGGCAAGGGCAGGCCAAGAACTGGTAGAGGTGAGCAAGAAACAGTTCCATGCACCCTTTGCGCATGGTTCAGTAGTGCTGATTTGGACTTTAGTTTTCTCCACAAATAGTGCACTCACATTACTCATCGTTCGAATATAGTTTCATATGTTTGTTCACGAAGTGTCGGCTGAGAGACCCAGAGTTCTTGAACTTCCGCAGTCGTTCACTTTCCGGCAACATTGGATTTCCAAGGCAGATAAAGCAAATTGTTGGTCTCTCTTTTGGAGATTTGACGCAAACCGAAGCGATGGCGTGAGAAAAGGCATCGTCTTCTGCATCTGAAGAAACTGCCTTCTGCCTTCTGGGCATGGGAGCAGCTGGCGGCATATCGGCAGTATCGGCGGAGCGCTTGTGTCATACGGGGCCGTGAGGGTGCACCCTCTTCTGCACCACAGACGGCAACGACTGCATTTATTGCAGTACTCCGAGCGACTTTGCCTCTCCAAATCGGAAGCGCAAGAGTCTCGCTGAATCACGTCCACTTGGAAACCACGAAGTAAAATACATGAGCATGCGACCGACAAGAGGAAGCTTTTCGGTGCCTGGTAACTGTACAACAGGAACAGACTCAGCCAATTTGAGATGTGGATGAAGATCTTCCAAGGCCATCGGGTCGTCAATGGAGGATTGGAATTGGGTCCCAGTCTCGCTCACAGCTTTCAGTGATTCTGGTCGATTGAGCCATTTTAGCGTGGCAGAGCTCACACTCTCGAACAACATTTCCCCTTCTGAAAATGTCTGGGAGATCCGTTGCAAAAGCCCTCTCGCATCTTTCTCCGGTAGATAGGCCAGCAATCCTTCCATTATAACTAGCACGGGCCCGGAAACTTCACCAATATCTTGCATCCAGTTCTCATCAAGAACGTCAACGCCAATAAGAGAATAGTCTCGCCCAGGTAAGGACAGGGGCTGGATTTTCTTTCGAAGCTCAATGACTTCTGGTAAGTCAATATCGCTCCATCGAGTTCTCTCGCCCCATTCGACCCGTTGCATACGGCTATCAAAACCGCACGCCAAATGGAGAACAGTCGCGTTGGCGTTATTCTTGAGGAATGCCGCTGCCCATCGATCCATTTGGCTTGTCCTCAAGGCAATGCCGCCGTTTTTAAAGGGTGTCAGAGACATCGCATCAACGTCAACCTCGATTTTCTCCAAGACATCTTTGGCGTATGGATCGCCGAGAATGGGCTCAGGGAGGTTATTGTCATAGACGCGAGCAATAAGAGGTATAAGAAGAGTCTTTGCAACGCCATCGAGTTTAATGGTTATCTTCTCATTGTTTCCAGTTTGTTGGCCGGAGAGCGGGGTGATTATATGTTTAGGGCAATCAGGTGCCTCGTTATCGCAAGCAGTAGCCATATTGTCTGCGGAGAGCTAGCCCTGCCAGCCAAGGTCAAATAGATTCCACGCGGATGATCGAGCGGGACATATTAACTATTTAACAAATCGGTCGTCGCGTTGTTGAGCCTTGGAACTATTTATGGTGGCCTTGGCGCTGCATCAGACCAACACCGGTTACTGCGGCACCCGATAGCGGGATCCGCCACGTATGCCCTCGGGATGGCCAAGTTCCGAGCGTATTGCACACTTATAATCGGGACCATGATCTCCTATAAGCAAACGAATATACGTCTAGTCTGCCCTGAAACGAATGTAGTGAGAAAACGAGAACTAGTCACCGTGCTTGTACGTGCGCGTCCGCAGAAAAAAAAAAGATCTTGTCTACGTGAGGGCTCTATTGCCACGTTGCAACGAGAGTAGTTGCGGTTTGACTTTCTTGTTATGCTGTTGTAAAGTAAAGTAGTGAGCTCTCCACTCATATATAGGAATCAATCACCGCAAATAAATAAGCTGAAGCCGTACTGTGCAATATGGAACAGAGAGACTTCTCTTAACGCCTACTGTCCAGTGATCAAGTCTGCACTCCAGGTTCCATGATTTTAAACTCATCACTATCGGAATCTAGACTGACGAGCGCGCCGATGGGTAATGTCAGAAGTGGACTTGTGTGACCAAAGTCGACGTTCATCAAAATCGGCAATTCATCCTCGCGACTTCGACCGACAGTAACATCAAACACCTCCTCAATCACACTAGCAAGCTCTTCCTGCATACTGTCATCATATTTGTATCCTCGCCCGACAACCAGCCCACTAATCTCATACAGCACGCCAGACAGAGCTAGATCAACAAGGTTATTGCGGAACTCGCTCACCGAGTACGGAAGCTGCATATCATCGCCCATCGCGGACTCGAGAAATAGAATCTTGCCTTTCCAAGAGGCAGGAGCGTAATTCGTTGCCTGAAGTCGCACCACACAGATTATAGTGCCCCCGTATAGATGTCCAGTGGCTCGACCATTCCGGACCCACCGCCATGACGGTGATTCACCAACTTCACGCGGTTTGTCGGACGCCTCATTGCCGAAAAAGAAGTCGCTGTGTTCCACTGAGCAGATAGGCGATCGAGGAAGGGGTCCCACCGGATTGCCTGCCTCACTCAGCACATGTAGAAAGTGGTCGATTGTGAATTGCATAGGGGTCGGGAAATCAGAGAGGTCCGTGAGAACGCTCGGTCCGTAGAACGTGCGCAAGCCGGTTCGAGACTGAATCGCATAATGGAGGAAGGTGGTGTCGCTGTAGCCGACGAAGATCTTGGGATTCGAGCGAATAAGGGAATAATCGAGAAACGGTAGCATCTCATTAGCATGCGAGCCGCCTATCGTGCAAATAATGGCGCCGATCGTATTATCGCGGAAGGCAGCATGGAGCTCCTCGCATCGAACGCGAATAGATTCTGCAATAGTAGTTGTGGCTACGCTAGTGAAGAAGATCTGCACGCGGAAGCCCAGAGATTCTAGCCAAGCTTTCCCTCGCGCGAGAGGAGTGGGCAACAAGTCATTTAGCCGTGCGGAGGGCGAGACAAAGGCAATTGTGTCTCCCTTTTTCAAAGCCTTTGGGATTATTGTGTCCATTGCGGTAGGCCCTGAACTGTAAGAAGGTTGCGTGAGCCAGGGAGGAGGAAGTGGTTAGGGAGCTGATCTCGCAAGCGAGAGTTCTTGTATAGACAAGTACCGAGCTGGCCAACGGTCTCCAAATGTGAGATTAAAGTGTCTGACTTCGAAACTATCTGGATTACCCCTATTTACATGACTTCTCTACACGGAGCGCTTATTAATCATTCGGTTTAGGGGCTGTTGGTTAGCGCCATATAGATGTATGATTTCTTATCACCCTCTTCATTACATCGTTCCAGGGCCGATGCGCGCGCCGCGTGCGTCCTCGAGTAGGCACAGAACGGGTTATTTAGGCGCTATCATATGTAGTTTAGCGTATCATGTGTAGGGTTTGAAGGAACAATCCTGTGTTTCCGACATGAAAGGCAATAAAGGTCGTACCTGGCCAGGTGAGGCGGCTCACATGACCCAATCACATGATCAGAAGCGAAGGAGTCCGGTGTGGCTGGAATAGAGACTAGACAATGTGGCAGTGTTGGTATGACTACATATGATTATTCCTATTTTTATCTTATGACCGTGACAATTCCATTTGATGATGATGATTCTACGGAGTAGAGTTTTACAATTACGGGAAGTCAGGGTTGCGGGTGCCTGTCCTCCGTCAGCTAGGGAATTTTCGCTCACCACTACTCTCCGAGGGAAGTCTAGACGAGCTCCGGCGCAAGCCCAAGAATGACACCACCATTGAGAGCTACATACCGCCCACGGTGTGCAAAGCGAGGATAGCCGCAGCATGTCTCGCCCGGTCTCGCCCCGGAGGGATCCGTCTGGGCAGAGACTATAGAAAAGTTTTCAGCGCTGATGACTCGAGGACTCCACCACTTCAGGCACCAACTACGCCATGTTTAAGGCCCTTGAAGAGATCAGCAGGGACGCTAGCTCAGCTCGAGGGACTTCCCGTGCCAAGACCAGCTTAAAAGGGAAGTTGGAAAATCCTGTTTGGGCCAGAGCTCGGTCGGACCCGCCATGACCCATACCGAGGGGAGGGTTTTGGTGGCGATGCGGGTTTTTCTGCGGCGGTGGACACACAATCCCTTATAAAACCCAATGGTCGCCATTTAAGTTTCAGGTACCCTCTTTGATTCTCGCATTGCCAGCAACGTTCCGTCTCTACATTCTGCAGCTGCAGTTGTGCGGTGATAGCTGCAAGGTTATCTCGCACCTTTTGCCACACCGCAACATCTATCATCAACCACTCCCGGTCCCTGATCAGAGCCCGTGCCTAGGAGCTCTGGACAATTGTTCTTATATTTAAGAAGAGCCCCTCTCCATTGAGTCTGTCTGCCGCAGACAGACGTGTTTACAATCTCTTGGATCGATTGATCACAATTGCCCGTCATGGACGTTGACCTTTAACCCTCGTTTCGGTCGCTTCGACTCTTGTACTTCCGTGTTTTGTTCCTCGACCTTTTTCTACCGATCTGATACTACACACCTAATTCACCGGACAATGGCTCCCAACCTTTTCATCTGCCTCCGCGCCGTCTTCTGTCCGATCTACTGGTTCCAGAATGGCGACCGCATCAACGGCGCGGTCAACCGCGAGCAGCACTGGGAGACCCCCGTGCCAGGCACCTACAAGTTTTTCCCCGGAAAGGGCTGGCATCTGATCCACCGCGACGGCGGTGACCATGACGAAAAGCTGCCCGCCCCGCTGGTTTACTGCCGTGTGCTCCACCGCTACATGTTCGAGTCCGAGCTCGAGGACCGCTGCCGCTGGTTCTCGGCGCCGCTGCACCGAGGTGGGCGCCCGGAGCAGCTGCGCTTCTTCTTGCTGGATGATGGTGTCTCGTGGGTTGCTGCGTGGGATGCGCAGGACTGCTTTATTCCCGGGCCCTATCCGAAGTGGTGGCTCGATGAGGATGGCGAGACTCTGCACCGCGGCGCTTCGCCGCCGACCAGTGCCAATGTGTCGAGGTGCAACAGCATTGTTGCCAAATATGATTAAAGTGTCTCTCGGTACACTGCCTTCCGCCATACTCTACGATTCTGTGAGAAGCGTTCAAGCGTGTCTACTGCTCTCAAAAGTGCTTGTTTTCGGATCTATTTCAATCTTACGATCATGGTGTTGGGATTTCGGGTTTTATACACGGTCATAGATTAATTAGACTAGACCTTTCTTCTCAGATGATCTCTGAGCCTACAATCAATTGCACTGCACTCATAGCAAACTCAATGGCTGTCATGTTATATCCAAAGACTTCTCGCGTCTTGCTAGACTTATCTACAATCAATCATTCCGGACGGCGGTATACAGTTCCATCACAACTTCGCATGCTCCTGCGGCCCAACAATCAACTTTTCCAAACCCTTTCTCACCCCCTCGGGCATGCCCCCCTTCCCAACACGCATCGTCTCCCGCAGGCAAAACACATGCGTATAAGTGCCCACCATCTTAACGTCTTCTTCGCCCTTGCGGAACACGCCGACCTCCCACGTCACACTGGACGAACCCAGCTTGACGACCCGGAGGCCTACTTCTAGGGTATCCGGGAAGCGCACGGAGGCAAAGAAATCGGCATGTGTCGACACGATCAGCCCGATGTGGTCCGTGCCGACGGCCAGCTTGCCTTGCTGCGGCGACGGCGCATTCTTTTTCTCGGTGGGGTTGTTCACGCTGAAGGGGTCCATGCCGCACTCGTTGATAAGGTAAGTGTTGGCGATGGTGTCGAAGAGGGCTGTGTAGACGGTGTTGTTGAGGTGGGCGTACATGTCATTGTCGAACCTGGAGATTGTTAGTTAGTTGCTCCATGACGGGCATGATGAGGCTGACCATCTTGTCTGGTGCACTTGGTGATAGCCATAGTCGCTGCGCTGGCGGCGCTTCTTGGCCTCGTACTCTGGGGGAGCCATGATATGGAGAAGAGAGTGTATTGAAGTTGGGAGTTCATCTACACTACCATTTCCCGAGGACGAGCTGGACCGAGGCTGATCGGCATTAGGTAAGCTTGGGCTTATGAGAAGAAAAAAAGAATGTCATGTACATTAGTATCATTGACAATGACAAGGAGAATAGATTTGATTATCATAAGCCCCTGATTAGAGTCTCTGTTCTATCCTTAGTTGTACCCATAGAACATGTTGTTCCTTACCTCCGATAAGGGATGGACCTGATAACCGCCAACTGAAACTTTTTTTTTCCCTGGGCCGCGACCACTTCTTTTCACCAACCACGACAATTGCATTCTTGCAATCTACTCGACTTCCTCCCCCTGGCTCCGTCGCCCCGTATCACAGCCTACCTCCTTCGGCGAGGCAGGCTTCCTCCGCCACCCATGGCTCTCGCCAACATCGACACCACCACGGTGCCCGCGCCCGACCCCGTTCAAGAAACCCCCCATGTCGCCGTGACTCCCTGTGAACCGTGGCCGGCGCCCTATTACATGGAGCGCGGTCTGCGTCGCGTCCGCCCTTACCACTACACGTATAACACCCACTGCAAGGAGCGATGGCGGGGTCGAGAACTGCTAGAGATCTTCACTTCGGAGTTTCGGGACCGGAAGCCAGCATACTACGTGAGTTTTTGTCGGGAAATTGCCACCAGTATCAAGATTAACATATTCCCCACAGAAATGGGCTCTCGAAACCGGCCATGTCGCCGTCAACGGCAAGCCGGCCGGCCCAAACACGGTCATCAAGAACGGCCAGGTCATTTCCCACACTGCACACCGACACGAGCCGCCCGTGACCGGCCTGCCCGTTGGAATCATCCACGAAGACGACGACATCCTCGTTATCGACAAGCCGGCCGGTGTACCTGTCCACTCCGCCGGCCGGTACCACTACAACTCTGTGGTGGAGATTCTGCGCTCAGAACGCGGCAATGAGTGGGTGCCGCGGCCCTGCAATCGGCTCGACAGACTGACCTCGGGGATTATGTTCATTGGGAAACACCCCAAGGGTGCCGAGAAGATTTCCACTCAGTTGGCAGCGCGGTCCGTGCAGAAGGAGTATGTCGCCCGTGTCAAGGGAAAGTTCCCAGACGGCGTGGTGGTGTGCGACCAGCCCGTTATGCAGGTTAGTCCGAAGCTGGGCTTGAACCGCGTCCGGGCAACGGGCAAAGAGGCCACGACGAAATTCCGCCGTCTGGCCTACTATCCTCCCTCCGCGGCGGCGACCACCGCTCCCGCAGAGACAATTGCTTCCAAAACCGCCACGGGCGAAGCCCCCCGCGCGGCTACTCCGCCACCGGCGTTCTCGAACGAAGCGGAAGGCTACAGTATTGTCCACTGCCTGCCTCTGACGGGCCGCACGCATCAGATCCGCGTGCACCTCCAGTTCCTGGGCCATCCGATCACCAACGACCCGATCTATTCCAATCGGCGCGTGTTTGGTCCGGACCTGGGTCGTAACGAAACCACCGCAGACCGCGACGAGGAGATCATAGAGCGATTGTCGCACATGGGCAAGACGGAGCTGCCGGACACGATCAGCTACCGGACGCACCTTACCGCAGCACCAAATGTGCCGCCGGGCACAGACCCGCTCGTCGTGGAAGAGATCATGTCGCGCGAACAGGCGGCCGCAGCAGAAGCCTACGAGAAGCGAAAAGGCGAGCGGCTGTCCGGCGAGCTCTGCGACGTCTGCGGCACGGAGCTCTACTCGGATCCAGGCGTCCACGAGCTCGGAATCTTCCTACATGCCGTCGCTTATGCGGATAAAGCTGGTGAGTGGGGCTACCGCAGCAAGATGCCGAGCTGGGGGTTGCCGCCGCCGGGCTTTGATGGGCCTACTGAAGTCCCGGACTGGCAACCTGCAGCGGATGGTGAGGAGACTGTCATCGGCCATGGAACTGTGCCCCACGGTATTGGTGAAGATCTGGTCGAGGGACAACCGAGACCTGGATTCAGTGGCCCGCTTCTCGTGGAAGGGGTCGGTGTTCTACACATCTCGGACTCGCCCCAGGAGCCGTCGGAGACGGTGCCTGCCGCGTCGTCTTGATGTGTCAACGCCGCTCAGAGCTAAAATTTTGCCTTAGAGCGCTTTGGGCTTAGCGCTATGTTTTGCACGCATCATTTTGGTCGTCTTGATGTGTTGTTTGAATTGGATACCATGATCATATCATCATTTCTTGGTGCAATTGGAATTGATCGCCAGATACCCCTGTCATCTGAGAATATTTCGTTCATTTGCATGCATGAGGTTATGTGTGGATATTTTGCATAGTTGATCGTGGATTCCAGGAGCGTTGTCTCTCCATAGATCAGATCACTTTTGTACTTGAGGGTTGGTTTCGTTTATGACATAGATATATCGTTCCAGTATATTTCAAAGCTCTCTATCAGTCTCGCAGATGCACATGATTCCTAAATACAAATTGACTGCCAAATCGTCAAGTCCCGGTGGTATAGTTAATATAAACAAGAAAAAAGGCAAATACACAAAAACTCCCCAACCACATAAGACCCAAAAGATCAAGGCCTCACCCAATCCGCAATATTGCAATAACCCAGCTCCTCAACATGTGCATCGACCTTATCGAGCAACCAACCAGAACGCAGCCCAGACTTCGGCTTGCCGCGAATAGGACCCCTGGACGTTGTGCAGCGGCCGCGGTCGTCGACGCGGTACTGCATGCAGTGCGGCAGACGGGCACAGTATTCTTCGCAGTCAGCTGGAGAGACCGGGACGGTGGGTGCGGAGATGTCGTGGTCTCTGTGGGCGGGTTTGTCTTCGGCGAGATTATCCCAGTTGTCGCGGTAGGAGTTGAGAGATGGGCGGATGAGACTGCGGAAGACATCGCTGTAGAGAAGAGGGGAGTGTGTTTCCTATTATCGTTGTCAGTCAGTGCCGAGGCGAAAAGGGAAAAGAACAAAGGAGGAGGAAAAGTCGGGATGTACATTTGCAAACCACTCCTGGTCAAACTCCCACATGCGCTCGATGTCGGTTGGGTTCATGTGGTGGAATGTCACGGCCGGGGAACACCACACGTCGCGCTGGTAATTGTGCGAAAAGGCATCAGCCTCCCACAACGAGCCGGTGGTAACATGCGGCCACGACCAGGTCATCTGGATGCCCGCCTTGTTAAGGACCTCGCCGAGCACACAGTCGCCCGCCCACTGCTCCTCCGTGAACCGATCCCACTCATCCTGGCGCGGAGCGTGAAAGTCGACCAGCTGCCGCATCGCAGCCTGCGAGAGCACGAACCCGGACCCGCCGTGCGCAAAGATGATATTCTGGATCTGCATCTGATTCCCGAGATACAGCGCCTGCTCCGGGTCCATGGGCTCCAGCCACGCGAGCAGATTGCGCCAGATCGGGTACGTGTCCGCCTCGAGGAAGACGTACCAGCTCGCGTTCGGGCGGAACTCCGCCGCCTCATGGATCATCGGGAGGAACTTCCACTTGTCGAGCTTCCACCCCGGGTTCCCGGACATGCCGGTCGCCCCGTTGGCGACCTTGTTCATGTCTTGGCTGATCAGACCCGAGCGGCCGCCGTGCGTCTGGACGCGGTTGTAGAGCGCGAAGTCTTCGTTCGCCTCGCGCAGCTTCGGGTCGACCCGGCGGAGCACGTCGCGCGTGCGCTCGCCGGCGATTTCTTCCTCGTAGTCTGACACAATGATCCGGTGCGGGATGCAGCGGAGCGTTGTGTGGAAGTGCACCGGCACTTTTTCTTGCGCTTCGGTGATCCCCGTCTTCACGACGACTAGGATGTCCTCGATTCCCGGCAGAGGAGGACATGGCGGCTCGTGCGGAGAGTATCCGGTTTCCAGCTCGGCTTCGAGTTTCGCACCGGGGCCTGTTAAACTATCATCTGAGCCGAAGCTGGCGCTCAGGAAGTGAATGATGAAGACAATGAGCGCCACTGGCGTGATGAGGGCGCCGAGCCGGCCATAGCGGGCCGGCAGGGTGAGCATTGTTCGGGGACGCCCGTGAGGGGGAGGCCGGTAGTTGCGGTAGAGGGGTCTCAGAATTCAACGGTGCGACTTAACGCCCTCTTTCTCTCTCTCCATACCAGATGGGAGGTTGGTGTATGTACAGAGAAGGCAACGTGTTGGCTTTATTAAAAAAGGGCCTTAAAGCTCAGCCAAGGCGGAGGGTTTTGGGGCCGGACGTGCTGATCATTTGTGGTACCCGCTATGCTGGACAGGGTAATGATGCGTTCGTTCGTATTTGGACTGTCCGACTTGGGCCGGGCAGACGTGCAATGCTAGTCACTCGGAGAATTGAATTTGTGCCGATGCGACATGCGCCATGGTGTGCTGACAGGCGGAGATCGATTGGAGGGTGGGAGAAAAGAAGATTATCCCCGGTCGATGACGCCCGGGTCTACACCGTGCCCTACACGAATATGCTACGACTAGACATCGATTTTCCAATTTTTGGTTGTCATTTCGAGAAAGAAAATGGTAAATAATTCACTCTCGCTCTTTTCGCCCAGCAGTGGGTATAGCCAAGCGCTCGCCGCACACGGGCCATGCACAGTCCTTGAAATATCGTTATCGCCAGACAGATGAAAATCCCACTCTCAAATCCCCGAACCGAACCCCCACGCAGAAACGACGAACTTTTCAGGTCCGATCCATTTATGCCTCGGTGGTGACACGGCCCTTGGAGTTGGTGACCTTGACGCCGAGAGCCTTGGCCTTGGCAATGATGTCGACGCGCTTGCGGGAGGAGACGGCGTGGCCGATCCTGATCATCAATTAGTTTATACCTTCCAAGATGGTATCCTGTCCAGAAAAAGAGAAAACATACTCGGCAGCGTAGGTGCGGTTGTGCATCAGGAGGAGCTCGACATCCTTGGGGTTGTGGACGAGGAAGGCCTTGTGGCCCGAGGGCATGAGGTGGCGGGTCTTCTTGTTGCTGCCGTAGCCGATGGAGGGCATGGCAATCTGGCCCTTGAAGCGGCGGCGGACAGCATTGTCAATACCCTTGGGCTTGCGCCATGCCGACGGCACGCACTTGAACCGGTCAGACTGGTGACGGTTGAAGCGCGCGGTGCCTGTTGCGCGAGGTCAGTCTCTCTTCCTGAATTATTCCTGCATTCCACCCGCTCCGTCCAGTTGGATGGAGGACATGACATCGCCCGACGACCGAACATCTCTCCTTCGTTGCAATCATTTCCTTCTCTTGTTCAATTGATCCTTTCCCCTTTGCTTCTGTCGGTGTTCGGTCGGCCGGGCAATGATATCCAGGGCAGGCATCGGGATGTAGGTGAATCGGGGCAACATACGCTTCTTGACGATAGGGACGTGCTTCTTTGCGAGGACCATCTGAAAAGAGGATATGTCAGTGATGCACCGAGAGGATAAATGTGCGACGGCAACTCACCTTGTCGGTGTTGGCAGGGTCTCGCTGGGCGATCGAGGGTTGTCGAAGAACTGGACGGAGCCTGGAAAACTTCGCTGAGCCTGAGTGGGCGACCCACGCTAGTCCCCGTTGGGCTCGGGCTAAGCGAGTGGATTATGTCAGCTTAGGGCTTGCCGGGGCAGGTGATTTCGGATGGTGCCAAGACTTTGTATAACGTGAACATCGATGAGGATCTTATCTACTGAACGTACTTTCTGCTGAATGTATCTAACACGCGATTGATATCCTCTCGCCATTCTGTTCCCCACTGCGCAGCATTCCCTCCAACACCTCCAGATCCGCCAATGCCTCCCCGGGAGACTGTCGCTTCTCAACCGGGCGACCATGGACAATGGTGCGGGCGAACTCTGCAACTTCAGGGCCAACACCTTTCCCATCAAACTCGATAGGATGGTCGACGCCGTTAACCGTAACCCCATCAAAATGCACCAGCACCACCCCCTTCTCACAGGCAAACTCGAAGACGTTGTCGCTGAACGACGATCCCCAAGACAGAGACACGACGCCCGTCGCCCCGGATTGGGTTTTCACCACCGCGTCCACTGTGTCGACGGGCGGGAGGTACTCCTGAAGTTGCTGCGACTGCGCGGAGACAGTCGTGATGGGGTCGAATCCTAGGATCAGACGCAGCGCAGCGACCATGTGCACGCCGCCATCGAGCAAGAACCCGCCTTGATAGGCCGGGGTCTTGCGCCAGGATGTCACTGTAGTCCGAGCGTCAGTAGAGTAGACTACATAGTATTTTTGGGGAAGGGTCATGGCACGGCCCATCGACCTACAGAAGTACTTGTTATCCGGCTTAACCAGACTATGCACATTCACCCTGAAATTCCGAACAGCGCCCAGGCTGCGCACCTGCTCCGCCGCAAAAATCAGTTTCGTCATGTAGCGCCAGTTTTCACCGACAGCCCAGAGGGTCTTGACAGGGTCGACATTGGCCTGGTACCAGCGCAGCAGCTCCTGGGCTGTCGCGACGTCCTTGGCAATGGGCTTTTCGGACAGGACATGTTTGCCTGCTAACACGGCTTTCTGGATGAATTCCGGCTGGGCGAGGATCGGGAGGCTGCGACTGTTTAGTTATGTTGTGGCGGGTGGTCGAGTTGGTCGAGATGAGATGTCTGGACGTACCCGATGATGACGGCTTCGATGTCTGCGCGAGCGAGCAGGTCTGCGTAGGACTTGCCGGACCCGGAATCCTCAGAGTAGAGATCGACGGCTGAGGCGGATGTGCCGGTGGCGAGGTCTTGGGCTGATTTGAGAGACCGCGAGTAGATGGCCTTGAGGTGCAGGTCTGGCGTGGCTTGTACGGCGGGCTACATGCGACTATGTATCAGTCGGCATCGTGGGATAAACCGATCAGAGTGCATACCAGGTGCTGCTCTTTGGCAAAGAGGCCTTTGGGCCCGTTAGCTGCCATGTGGGATGGGATACAGAGACATTGGGGCCGGACGTACCGCTGCCGACAATGGCGATGCCGATGGGCATTCTGTTCAGTCGCGTGTATTTCCAGGGCTCTGAGTAGATGCTACGGTGAAATTAGAGCGACGTTGGGAATTTCCGTCAAGTGCAGTGCAGATATGGAGTCAGGAAGGTCCAGCCCGTCCCGAGCGGGAGTGATGCTTCAGGCGGATCCATGGACCGTGGATCCCTGGATTCCACTTATAGATTCATTCAACTTTGAATTCTTATCAAACACCAAACGACAAAATACATCTCCCAGATGCCGCCAATAATGAACAAAATCCAGAAACAAAACGCCCAGTTCCGAAAACTGTAAACAGATGCCCGACCCGACCCTCGTTCTCATAGTCATAGTGCAGTCGTGTCCGTCGTAAAATAGGAAAAACACCAAAGAAAACCAAGCCAGACCTCATTGATTCACCAAAGCGCGCAACCTCTCAACCCTCGCCATGGCCTTCTCCAGCCTCTCAAGACGAGACCTCTTCTCCACATCACGCCGCTCCAACACAGCCACGCGCTCTTCCAGCCTCACGCGCGCCTTGCGTTCCTGCGCAACCATCTCGTTCGCCTGGCTGAACAGCTGCACGGTTAGCTCCTCCAGCTCAGTGCTCGCCTGCGACAGTTGCGACTCGGCGGCTTTGCGCAGGCTCTGTTCGCGTGTGAGCGCGTCCTGGAGCTCGGAGGTGCTTTCGCTGCTGGCGGGGGATTGTTGCACGGCGCACGAAGGAGGGTATGTTGCCGCGGTGGGTGTGGTTGGGGCGGCGGTGCTGTTGTTATTGTTGTTGGAATTGTTGCTAGAGCGGCGGTAGGAGGGGAGGAGGGAGGTTAGGGTCGCGAGGCGGCTTTGTTGGGCTTGGGTTTCTGAACTCGAGCGCGGCGTGTCGGTGACTGCTTGGTTCGCGCAGGAGCGCAGTCGGTTTACTTGTTCTTCGTATTCTGCGAGTTGGCCGACTGGAAGGGAAAGGAGTTAGTAACTCGATCAACGATGCGCCCCTGGATCGGTCGGGGCAGTCCAGGGATTTTCGACAGTCGTATGCTGGCCTGTCTAAACAGGAAACAAACACTCTCAAGAAACACTCGACTCACCAGTGATGGACGCATGCTCCATCAAATCTCGCACCTGCCCCTCCAACTCCTGGATTCGGCGCTGGGCCTCCTCGGCGGAGTGTTCGGAGCCATCCCCTCCACAGGTCGGACACTGTTTCTCAGAGGTTCGAGTCGCAACGCTGGTCATGGCAGGAGGCGATCCGACAAGTGTGGTAGTAAACGTTGGAGTTGTGGCCGTAGCCGACATGGTAACATGGGGAGTTGGAGGAGGTGGAAGTGGCTGGTTTGGGCGGCTAGTGTGATTGGAGGTGTGACTAGTACTGACAAAGTAAAGCCGCACCATAGGAAGTAAGGAGTTGGTATATGAGGAAACGAGTGGACAACACGTATGAAAATTACTTTTGGAAGGGGCTTTTTTCATCAATCCCATACTGACGCCACCGTGCACATCCCAAGCCCCAAGAATCCATCCGGGCTAATTCTTCACTTCTGAAACAGGGACAGACCCTCTACTCTGTTTGGTCTTGAGGAGATTATGGAATCCCTTAATTGGCAATAATATTACCATGTCTCATATCCAGTCTTAGATCGAGTTGAGTGGGTGCAGTCCCCCTGCATTTCATACTCCCACCATCCACCCTCGTCATAATGGGGACCAAAATGCATCGAGAACAACAGCCCCAGTCCCACTTGTTTACAGTGTACGAAACAGTGCTTCATTGGCCAGCACCGGCCAGCGGGCCCCACCGTCCGCCCTGGACCCCATAGTATGGACCATCTGGGGTACTTGCGTACCCTACTTTTGCGAATCTAAAATCAATCTATACTGGAATTGCGGTTTAGCTAAATTATTCATTGCACGGAAAGGAAAAACGTGGCCAGAACAGAAAACGCCACAACATGGGAGTGGAACGGGGGGAGGGAAGTAGAGAGAGGAACCGAGCCAGGCAAAGAAATTCGATCAAGAGTGGATTGGATCATCGTCGACAGTTAGGAACAGCGGACACCACTCTCTCCGGACGTAGCGGACGCGGCAGGATGTCGGCGGGCAGAAGTACCACCCGTGGAACGGCCAGAGCAAAAGGAACAAAACAAATTCTCTTCATTTCACATCGGCAGTAATCGTCATGGGCAGATCAGAGTCACACACGCATGGGAATAAGTAGCTAAATAGAGAACAGCAAGAAGGAAACAGACAGGGGGGAAAATAATAAGAAAGAAAACTTTTCAGACTGTCAGATCATCGTAGCAAGGACTAGTTAGTGGTGCATCGAATAGCTAGCCCCAAAGAAGTAGAAAAGAAGTTCATGGAACCGACGGCAAGAGAGGAGTAGAGGAGAGGATCAAGTGGAGACAAAGCATAGCTACCGTTGTCTGCACTGAACGTGCGGTGGAACAGGGGATATGGCCATGGTCATGTCCCTTCATGAAGCTCTAGGGAAAGAAAACTCATCCCAACGCTGGTTCTGCAATGCACCTGGCGTGCCGCCTTCACAGATGCTGTAATTTCGGCGCAAGGGGCGGTTCCTGTGAAGGGAAAGGGGTATCGACGTGTCTATGCGACTCCACGGCCAGCCTGCCCACGACGGGGGTTGCGCGGCTTCGCGCTCACGGTGCTCCATCCCTCATCCTCAGCAGCCTCCTCGGTCGGGGCAGCATTCCGCCATTTGCCGTTGGCAGCGGGCTCTTTGGGCGCCTCAGCAGGAGCGACGGTCGACTCCTCCGGTTCCTGGTCAGCAGTCATGCCAGCGTCGTCTCCGCCGGCCCGCCGGAGGATCTCGAAGTTCTTTCCACCCTGAGGGGTATCGACGGCATCTTTGTTGGAGTCCACGGGCTTCTCTTCCTTGCCCTGTTCCTTGGCAATCCGGGCCTTCTCGGCCTTTTCAGCCTTGGCCTTCTCATCAGCTTCCTTCTTTTGGCGGATGGCAAGTTGGCGCTTCTCCTCCACCTGCTTTTCACGGGCAGCCGTATCGATGGGACGGGCTGCACCGAAGGGGCTAGCCTTGGAGTCGCCGGCAGCAGCCGCGGTAGGGCTGGACACGGCGTCAGGGACAGTACGCTTCTGCAGGTTCAGCTTCGGTCGTGTCGCGGGAGCCGCAGGAGCCGCATGAGCGGCGGCGGGGGACTCGGGGTTGCTGGCCTCCTTAGCCTGGTCGGGGCGCATCCTGGCGCGCCACTGGTTGTCCATATCAGCAGCAGTTGGCGTCCGCTCGGCCCGCTCGGGGCGTGGGGGCCGCGAACCCTCCTGCGAACGTCCCTCACCCCACGCAGGCGAGCCTCTCCGGAAACCAGAGCCAGGTCCGTCGTTGCTGCGGGGGCGCCCGCCTTCGCGAGGGGGGCCAGCGGGAGGTGAAAGCGGACCCTTGCGCTCCCAGTTGCCGAAATCGCGGGGCTTGCCATCAGACTCGAAGTTGCTGCGACGGCCACCACGGTCGCTGCCGGCGTCGGAAGCGGCGTCCATATTGCGCCCAAAGCTCGAACGGTCAGGCACCCGGCGCTGCGGCAGTTCAGGCAGAGGGCCACGGCGAGACCAATCCAGGTCTCTCCCCTCGGGCCGGGCATCCTTGGCTATAAGACCTTGTCAGTTCCCGATATTAGATCCAGGGTCGAGACACTCACGGGGTTCAGCGATGCTGGTACGGATCGCACGGCCTTGGAGAGTCGAGCCAGACAAGTCCAGAGCCTTCTTCAGTCCATCGACGGTTTCGAACTCCACATATCCAAAGCCCTTGGGGGCTTTGGTCAACTTGTCCTCCACAACCCGGACGCTCGTCACGCCACATTCGGCGAAAAGGTCGGAGATATCGGCCTCGGTCGCATCAAAGGAAAGGTTTCCAACGTGGACCGTGTACGGAGGCTGGGTGGGAAGAGGAGGGGGCTCCCTGACGGCATATCCACCGCGCTCTAAGCACCCTCTTGTCAGATCTTGCCGATTCAGAATCGAAGGGAGGGAGTGTTCCCATACCATAGCTACTGCCCATGCCCATGCCCATGCCACCGGCGGGGCGGCTACCGAAGGAAGACATAGAGGTGGTCGCTATCCAAAATAATTTTTTTTAGCAAACGAACATCGCGGGGGGGGGGTTGCCGTATCGAGAGTGGCGGTTGCACGTACCAGCTACACAGAGTTGTAAGTCAGTCCTAGTTCAACAAAATGGTCATTTCGGGGTTTTGCGACGTACCTGGAAGAGGCATATCCTCCATCTCATCAGCCCAAGAGCCGAGACCTGCATGTCGTCAGTATCGACCGTCCCTCCAAAATCCCCCCACAGTGAGACCTACTCTCGTCGGCCAAGAAGGTCCCAATGGACATCTTCTGGGCCTTGGATTTAGCGGGCGCTGGTAGAGAAAAAACAAGTCAGCCATCATGGACCATGAGGAGGGTGCTCGCTGCAGCCTGCGAACGGGCTGGCGCAAGCGAGGCCGAGGGACTCGGACGAACCCATGATTGCGGGTTGTGGGTGGGCAAAGAAACGCGCCAAGCGGAATGTGCGCGCTTCTCAGAGAGGGGATCGGTTGTGGGGAAGAGGCAGAAAGAAAGGACTCCCGGTTTGAGCAGGAGGAGTCGATCGTGTGGAGGGGCAGAGTCTCTTGGTGATAAAAACTCCGTGGAAAAGTAAGTTGGTCGAGGGGAATGCTTAGTCAATCCAGTCAATTTTTAGTGACGGCGCTAGCCCGGATCGGACTGCGCCATCTGTTGCTTCAATTATCGCAGACAAATCTCATCCGATGGATGGATTGAGAGGGAGTATATCATATGGTCACTGCCTCATGGCGACCATCCATCTTGTTTGCTTTTATTGTTTTTGAAGATTTGTGTCAATCACGAATATATATTTTCAGTGGAGCGCTTGTCAATATAATTGCACAAAAGATCAATTCCCCTCTCTCAGTGGAATGATCAAGTAATCACAATATGATTACCCTATCGATTGCCAAACCCATCTCCCTCGATCGATCGATATTATCCCCAACCCCCTAAGCGCCCTAAGCTGGAGCCTCAATCCTCGAAGACATTACATAACCCACCACGTGACCCTCTCTCTTGGTCCCGTCCAACCAAACCGAGTCTCCAACACCACCACGGGACATGCTCGCCATCCTCACCATTATTGACCGTTCGCACCATGAGCGGTCAGAATGGTAACGATGCCAACGTCGAGGCCAGTTCACTGCTGTCGGCAGCCAATGTGGGTGCTTTGAGTGGTTCGTATGTACCTTTCTCATGCATTGGGCCTGGAGCTCACATCTCTAAATAGGCACCGCGGGTCTGATCTATGGCGGAGCGGCCGGGGTGATTCGGTCGCCCAATCCAGTGGTGCACTCGATCTCCTGTGGCATCCACTGGTTTGCATGTGGCTCGAGCTTCTGGTGTGAGTGCGGACCTGAGCACGCGGTCTGGCGAGGAACTGACGAGCGTAGGGCTGCGGAGCAATTTCATCAAGCTACATTTCAAGGATGAACCGTCCCCGTCAGAACGGGCCTATGTCAGTGCTCTCTCTGGAGGCATCGCGGGCGGAGGTGTCACCCGGCTCATGGGTATGTTTCTCTATCTGGCATATTTGACACCGTCTCTAACCGCGTCACATAGGAGGCCGACTGATTCCTGGGGCCATTATTTTCTCCCTGCTTGGCTTCTGTGGCCAGCATGCATTTAACAAAGTCGATACCTGGCAGATGCAAAATGCCCGGAACCCGTCCAAACCCTTTGCGCAGCGGATGGCCGAGTCCAAATGGATCCCGCTGCGGCATCTGTCCGACGAGGAGTATCGCGGCATTCTGAGTGAGAAGCTGCTGAGCATTGAGGCGGAGATAGCCCTCCTAGACGAGAAGATTGAGCAGCTGGAGCAATCCAGACCCGCGCCGACCGATTCGCGAGATGCATGAGAACGAATGGGCGATCGACTCGACTGCAGTGCACGGACAAGGCGTGCCACCCACACTGACGGGCACGAGTGCGATCAATATATTTTTTTTATCTGTACATTAGGTGTAAACTAGACACTCTCTCACATTCAATCTGGACATGGACCGTGAAAAAAGCCCATTGTGCCCCATCCGTACCATCCTCACCTGGTCCACGGCTGTCATGTCGATCGCGAACCACTTTGCGGGCGGTCTGCACGGTGAAATCATCGGAGCCATGGCACCGCGCGAACCAAGCATTGTGCTTGTTTCGAACCCCCAGCTACATCACTGGGGACAGGGATCTAATGTAGCACTACCGAGAGTTGGATTTAGTAGATAACGCGGCCTCCCTCCTGCTGGTGCTGACGAACCCGAGCAAACCCGCGATCTGGCCGGTTCCGCCCTCTAGACCCTATCCCGGCCCGTCCGAACACCGGTTTCAAGCCTCCTTCCCTACTACACACACGCACACTGCTTCCTCCACCATGATCCTTCCCCACACTCTCCCCCGTGGCACTCCTCCATCCCTGACTGTTTGATGCCTACCAGTCGTGTTCTTGTCACTGGCTGGTAGAGGCAGGGAGGCAGGAGACAACACAGAGAGAGAGAGAGAGAGAGAGAGAGGTGTAGAGTGGTCCGGTTCTCACGCGCAGACCCTCATCCTCCCCCTCAATGTGCCGGTTGGCACCGTGTGTGCACCCTGATCCGATCAGTGCCTTGACTGATCGCGCGTCACCATGACTCCTCTCATCAATCCGACCTCCATCCTTGTGGGCTTCATGCTCTTGTACCTCTCCTCCTTCTTCGTCTTCGCCATTGTTCGGATCGCAACGGGGATCTCCATCCAGCGCGTCGGCTACTTTTCACTCCGGCGAATCGCTTACACTCCGAGAGAGGGGCTTCACATCGAAATCCGCGGCCTTGGGTTTTCCTTGCACCCCCCGTCCTTCGCACAGCCAACATGGGTCAGCATTCGATTAACGGACCTGAAAGTCACACTGGACTCGGCATCTCTGCGCAAGAGCAAGGGAGAGCCATCGCGCAATATCCTAGAATCCCCTGACCCGGGCAGCCCATCTGAAGAGACCGAACCGCCCGACCCTCCCCACCGTCGCAGCAAGACATGGCAAACCCTAACGCGCATCAAGGAGCGCTTGAAGCGCTTGCACCGGCAGATCAATTGGCTGGCCCTTGTCGACCTGAAAGCCGTCAACTCCACGGTGCATTTCCTCGATGCAGGACAAATTCAGGTGGGCTCGCTCAGCCTGACGGTGGATACCCGGAGTAAGATGGTGGAACGGGGCAAGCTCTTCCGTCGCAAGAAGGACATGTCGCAGGAGCAACGCCCGGCGGAATGGATTATGAATGTTCAGAATATTCTACTTGTGGTGGACGGCCGAGAACCGACGGAGGTGCTGGACAACGTGGGCGTGAATCTCCATGGACTGCTTTATAAGGACTTGGAGGGACTGAGGGATGCATCCGTGGCTCTGAAAATTGGACGCTTGCATATCCCCTACGACGATCTGCATATGCTCATCCAGCGCATCAAACGCTCTCAATCGTCTTTCAAGGGACCTGCGAACCCAGAGACGGACGATGAGATCTCTTTTGCTGACTTTGTGGAAGAACTGGACAAGCCCGGGAGCCGAGATGATGCCATTGTGCAGACGGTAGCAGACTCCAGGGAGTTTGCGAGCTCTTTACTGCGGGGTATACAGGAGTTCCAGGTAGCGCTGAGCTTCTTTCGATTCTCCTGGGGTCTACAGTCTCTTTCTGCCGACCAGAACCCAGTTTATATGAATGTGGTATCGCATGAACTCGGGATTGACCTGAATCGGATGGACCAGAAGAGCCCAGAGCACCGCATGTACTTCCAGCGCAACGATGTGGCTCACCAAGCCCTGCTGGCTGCGATCTCCCTTTCGGTTAGCTTGGATGACGGCTCGGGCGAAACGGATAACATTCTATACATCCCCATGGCTACGACGACCATTAAAACCACGTTGCCATCCAAGACGGTGAGCGCCTTTGACGAGGAGAACCCCGAGGAACGGAACACCAACGTCCTCTTCGCCAATTTGGTTGTCACTTCCCCCTCCCTCGACTTGCAGCCCCAGCACTTCTCCCGACTCCTCAAGTTGGTGGAGGCACGAGCTTCCTCTCCTCGCCGCAAGAAGCAGAGTAACCACCACTTGATCTCTCGATTGCTTCCCAAGGCAAGCATCAAGCTCTCCGTTCATGAGCCCGTGGTCCGATTTGTCTTGCCCATCGAGAAAAAGCCCGGTGAACCCGGTGACTACAATCTCCTCATTTCCTCCATCTCCTCGATCTCGCTGGACATTGAGTCCTCCCATTCCTCCGAAGGCGGCGCTCACTACTCTTTGTCGTCGGTTTATCGAGTCACATCTCACAAGTTCTATTACCAGACCCCAACCGGCGTTAAGCATAACCTTTTGACAACAGAAAGCCTGGAGCTCAAGGCTCACTTGAACGCGTCCCCGGAAGTCTGTGTCATTGCGTCTGGCAATCTGAATGAGTGCTCCGTGCACATGATCAACGGCGACGTCAATCGTGGGATCCGACAAGTGCTCGAACAATTCCGGACGCACCTGCAACCACAGAAGAAGGTCCAGGTACAGGAGCGAAAGGCAAGCCCGTTGAGACAAGTCCCGCCGTGGCTCCTCCAATTTCAATTTGAAGCCACGGGATTCAGCCTGGAGATTGCCGGTGTCGATACAACCGTATCCAAAATTGCTCGCGGTGTTTCTCTACAAATGCAGTCATGGACGGCGGAATACAAAGCCCAGAAAACAGAACCAACGACCAGCAGCCTCACCAGGCGACGTACTGCAAGTCACTCAACAATTGGAGAAGAATCGCCATTCCGCTTCCCCCCAACGTCGCCACCGAAGCATGCACAGCGCGGTGCTACAGATGGCCGACGAGTGGCGCTCCATGTGCGTGGCTTCGATGGTTTCGTCATTGAATCCGAAGACTACTTGGAGCCTGAACCTTTCTTCTCACTTCCCCGATTTGAGATCGCATTGAGCACACTCAGTGACCGCCTCGGGCCGGTTCTGCACGTCAACTCCGTTTTTAAAGGCGTCTATCTACAATACTCCCTCTATCGCTTCTATTGCCTTGGTGTTGCAACTTCCGTGGTTCAAGACGTGTTTTCGCCTCTACCATCTCACCATGCGGGGACTTCCCAAAAGAAGACGCAGCACTCTGCTGCTTCATCAATTCCCCCACCTCCACCGTCTTCTCCATTATCGTCAAAGAATGAGTTTGTTACGGTCGATGTTCGAGTGACAGTCTTCCAGCTCAAGGCCTTCCTTCCCAACGATCCTGCGATGATGCTTCAGATCTATGGATTAGCCGGTACTTCTCAGCGTCTTGGGACTCCTCATCTCAAAGCCAATCTCCTTCGCTTACACGCAGAGGCGCCCAAGCTCAAGGGTGTCTGGGCAAGGATCGGCAGTATGAATAATGTCAGACTCGACTTTCGCAAGATGAAGTTGAAACATGGCAAAGATTTGGTCGAGGAGAGTTCTATTGACCTATGGGCGGACTTCATCCGGCTGGGTGTTCCCCATCACATGGTGATGCATCGCATTTTCGACAACTTGATCAACACTTCGAAGGCCTTCAAGCAGTTACACCATCGCTTCAAGAATCGCTCTCGGGAATTCGTGTCAGTGCGGGAGCCCGAGGGACCGAAAAAAAGTGCCAAGAGTATCATTGCGCAGCAAAGCTCTGCTGTTCGAACTCGAAGATGACGCGTTTGAATGGAAGCTGGGCTGCATCTACAGGACAGGTTTGATTGAGCAGACCCAACGGTTGGCTCGCGAAGAAGCTTTCTATCTGAAAGCCCACAAAGTCAAGGAGTCAGATAACCGCCGCGCGACGTCCCGGTTACGGGCCAAATCGAGCCATCGCACTCTCCGCAGTGACCGAACTAGCCAAGAGACGAGAAGAAGCCACAGTGCTGATACACGGCCAAGGCAGGACGACGCAGATCGTGGGCGTGGATGCAAATTCCGCTATGATGCTGGAGGCGCGACTTGCCTTTCTTCCGAACAAAAGATTTCTACTGATGCTGCCTGGAATCGACTGCAACAACACAATGCTCAGGTCTGGAAGGAGAAGATTGATTCTGCGCTGAAATTCCAAGGCACGTCGATCAAAGAAGTCCGCGAGCTCTTTTCCGGAGCAGACGAGCCACCCGAAGATGTGAAGGAGACGGAAACCATCCTGGCCATTCCGAACAGACCAGGGCTTATGTCCGCGTTGATCAGCGACGTGAACCTCGTTGTGGACAGACCTTCCTTCCCGCTCGATGATTACCCTGCGTTCCTCCACCGCATTGGAAAAGGAATGCCCATGTCGATGCAGTACGGTCTGCTTATTCCGATGAGTCTCAACCTGGAAATGGGCGAAGCGCGCGTCAATCTAAGAGACTACCCCTTGGATATACTGCACATTCCGGCTTTGCGCCCAGGGCAATCTCCAAGGCTTCCCAGTTGGTCATTACGGACGAACTTTGTGATCGCTGAAGAATGGCGCGGCCATGAAGCTGCAAGACAGGTGCAAGTCGAGCTTGTGCCTCCGTCTGAGTTGCCCGATGGAACAGTCACTGATCCGTACACCATCAATGTCTGGCGTTCCGTGACTCCCGTCAAGACCTATTCTGACCCCGTTTTTGAAATCAATACCAGCCTGCCTACGAGCATCTCATGGGGCTGCTCGTACCAGCCTGTCATTCAAGATATGATGAAGATCATCGAAGGATTCACCAAGCCGGAGATCGATCCCTCGGAGCGGGTTGGTTTCTGGGACAAGATTCGACTGAGCTTCCATTCTCGAATTAAAGTTCTCTGGAAGGAAGACGGTGATGTCCACCTTCGCCTCAAAGGTTCTCGCGACCCATATGTGGTAACGGGCTTTGGGAGCGGCTTTGTTATGTGCTGGCGACGGGACGTCAAGTGGGAAATCCACCCAAGCGATGACCCCATGGAGTTTATGAGCGTGACTAGTGGCGAATATGTGCTGGCTATTCCCGATTACAGCGCCGAAGCACGATGGGCAACCGAGATGACCTCCGAAGACTTGGAAACCAGTTCTCAATCCAGTGAACAGAAGAATGCTGCTCACTTCAAGAAGGTCATCATGAAGCTGTCCGGTGATGTCAAATGGGCCGCCGGTTTGGTTTTTGAACGCGATGTCGACAAGGATACGCGGTCATTCTCGTTCAGACCGCACTATGATGTCGTCCTCAAGAATCCCAAATTCGTCGACTCGACGGAACAGCCGAACTACGATGCTTTCCGTGGGTTCCGCAGTGATCATATTCACCTGTCTATCGCGGTCATTGCACCCCAGAGCCGAAACTGGTCTGTCGACGATGTCCAGCCATCTACAAGTTATAACACCGTTCACTTGACTCCGCGCTTCTTCACCCATTTCTTCTCTTGGTGGTCTCTCTTCTCGGGTGTTATGTCCCTCCCTGTACGCCAGGGATCGCTCTTCCCAGGACCCACCAAGACCAGCAAGAAGTTCAACCGCCACCTTTCGACGGTTAAGTACAAACTTCTTCTTGCACCTCTGTTCGTTGCACACATCTACAAACACAAGGATCGCGAGGACTATGCCGAGAGTGCTGTGACCGCCACAGGATTGAAGGTCCGCCTTGATAGTCTGAAGCTTGACATCCACCAAAGACGAGAGCAAATCAAGACCCAGGCCCGTGGCCGCTCGAAACAGACCAAAACAACCGTTATGCGGATCAACCAGGCTCAAATTGACCTACAGTCTGCCGATTTCCGGGCTGTTTCAGCCGCAATCCAGGGTACAACCCCTGAGGATATTGAGCAAAACCGGGATGATATCATTTCCTCCTTCCAGCAACCAGTGCCCTCTGTTGATTTGTCTCGGTTCACAATCCCCGATCAGAACTTGGACTGGATTGACATGGATGACTTTGTCGAGCCCGACTGGATTCTTCCGCAAGAGTCAAATCCTCGCACGCAGATCTTGCCGCTGGCCTTCACTCCGCGGTTCACCTACTTCCGTCAGACTGATTTCGGCGACGTCGGCCCTGAAGAGAGCGGTTATAGTACCTTTGGGTACGAACCGACTCATGAGTGTGTCATGTCCGAGACCAACGATCCTCGTCGCGTCCAGATCGAGTTGATCAAAGATCGCCTTGCGACCGTTGAAGCACAGATACGGAACTACGATCGTACGATTGGCGAACAGGAACTGAAGCTGATGAAAGAAGGGGACCAGGGCGCGGACGAGTTGAAGCGTCAACATGAGCTCTATGTGCGCCAGTCGGAGCAGCTTACGAGACGACGGAGGTTCTTGACTCATAGCCTGCAACGTCTCGAACGATATCTTGCGCGAGATGAACGGACACCTAAAAGGGACAAGTCAGGAAACGGTGTGACTCCCAGCAACGCGTCCTCCCGGACTGGGTTGGACACGGAGTCTACTGTCGACGGTAAATCTGGTATCGATGGGCTTTACTCCTCAGCCAATGATGAGTTTTCGAGCGATTTCAAGAATCGCTTCATGATACACAATGTGCAGCTGAAGTGGAACAACTCCCTTCGAAACATCATTCTCCGCTACAGCCACCAAGTCAGCCAGCGGCGAGGGTTTGTTTATTACATGTCTCGACGAGCCGTTAAGTTCATCCTTGATATCGTGGAGGAGCAGAACAGGAACAAGCGGAAGAATCCTAGGATGTCCAAGACACAAACGCGAAGCGACAATGAGGACGAAAACGTGGACGAGCGCATTGAACAATTGCTGAACGATGCAAAGCGCTACGTTAATGTTGAAGACAGTGAACCGCCTGAGTCGACCACCGGATCGACACCGCATTCGGAAGACTCGAGCGATAATATCGCACCAGAATTTACACCTCAGAACAGCTACCACCTGCGGCTCATTGCGCCTCAGATTCAGCTTATGAGCGAGAAGAATCAAAAGTCAGTCTTGCTTGTGGCGGCCAAAGGCATGCAGCTCAAGGTTGTGTCGATCATGGATAAGGAGCGTGTCTGGGATGATGTTAGCGGTTTGGTGCAACGACGCTTCTCCCTCGAGATGGATGGCGCCCAGTTCTTCGTTGCAACACAGAAGAATCTGATGGCCCACTTGCATTTCTATGCGGGCAACAAATACGGCAACTCGCCGGGCTCTGCGTGGCCGCCCTGGTTGACCCTAGAAGCTGTGTTTGACTTTGAGCTTAGCCCCTTTGGCTTCTCTCGGATTGTGCAGAAGACATCCGCCACCCTGCGCTACGACAAGTACAACGACCTTCGTCTGAAGTACAACGATGAGGTCGCCAAAGGTCACACAGGCCCACATCGCGGAGGTCGTGAGACTCGCATGGATCAGATCAGTGTCGACTTCCCTCATTTCCGCGCCATTTGCGACTCTGCAGAGTACTACTCCATGTACATCATCGCGCTGGATCTCATGCTCTACAGCGAACCGCTCGAGAAGGTCCGCAACGAGCGCCTGGAAAGGATCATGCTCACGTCCGACTTCAGCGACCTTCGCGGCGCCCCCGAAATGGTCTTCAAACTTCAGGCACGTATCCGGCAACTGGAAGAGATCAAGGAGCATTTCCAGATCAACGCCAAGTACCTCGACAAACGCGGCTGGGAGGACCGGCTGGCACTTGAACGGGACTTGTCTCATTGTGAGGATGAGCTTTTCTTCATGATGAAGGCGATCACCACATCCCAGAAACGGATGGAGCCGAGCTCGTCAAAGGGGAACGGCGTTTTGCGCTGGAGCATCTCTGCGGCAGAGGTGGTTTGGCACTTGATGAAGGAAGCATCTGCGCCATTGGTTGAGTTCCAGCTGCGCAACGCCCAGTACGAACGCACCGATAATACCGATGGTTCCAACCACAACCTGGTGGCTGTGGAACGTTTGGTGGGTCTGAATCTGTTGCCCAACGCCATCTACCCGCAGATCATCGCACCGTATCTCGACCAGCCGCGCCCCTTGGACGACCACATGCTTCGGGTGAAATGGCACAAGCTGGAGGCCGTCGCTGGGATCCCCGTGGTGGACAATTTCGAAGTGTCTTTGTTCCCGCTCAAAATCCAGCTTGAGCGCGAGCTTGGCCAGCGAGTGTTCGAATACATCTTCCCCAATATGGGGTCCGGCGCGAATGGTGGTTTCTCGCCCTTCATGATCAAGAACATAAAACCGCTGGATGCAGAGGACGATGAAGATGAGGGATCCGATACCGTTGGGAAGACCTACGTCCCTGACGGCGTTGATGAAGACAGCACGTCCACATTCACGGAGGATTTGGAGGGCCTGCCAAAGGGACCTGGTTCTATTGAATTGCGGCTCCAGCCCACTCTGTCTCTGTCGGACGAACCCCCATTCAGACGACGCTCTGGACATTTCAAGGGTCTGGCGATGACACCCATCCACAAGGACAAGGGCCGACCCGGGGTTGCAGAGAATAACAAGCGTCCTGCAAGCGCTGGCAATCTGTCTAAGAAGAAATCCGCGGATAGCATTCGCATGTTGACGAAGCAACAGACCGACAAATCCCTCTCGAGCCAGGCAAGCGAAGAGAGCAGGAAGAAGTTTGGCCTGAGCCGCAGCTCGTCTTCCAAGAAGGACAAATCCAAAGAACCCACCGACGACCTGTCGCAGATGATCTCTCGAGCCTCGCAATACATGTCCCTGTCACGCGTGAAGGTGCACGACGTGGTCCTCTGCGTGAGCTACAAAGGCAGAGGTGAACACAACATCGAAGATATCCACGACTTCGTCTTCCGACTGCCCGTGCTCGAGTACGGCAACAAGACATGGTCGAATCTGGACCTCGCGCTGCGTCTGAAGAAGGATGTCATTAAGGCGCTCATCTCGCACACGCCCGCCATCCTCGGCAACAAGTTCTCGCATCACCGCCCGTCCAAACAGCAACAGAAACGCTTCCGCGAACTGGCCTCGTCGTCTCAGCTTCTGCGTAGCTCGAATAGCATCTTGGATTCAGAGCGCAGCCGCAACGGAACTCCCGGCCAGTCGAGCAGCGTCGACTCTAATAGCGAGTACTCTGAGTCTCCGTCGCGCAAGTCAACCCAGTCCAACCCGTCGCCGCTGGCTCGTTCCATTTCTCTTGATTCGGAAGCTCGTGATGTGACCCCGGATGAGGAGGACAGCATTATGGTCGATTCTCCAGGTGAAGCGGATGTCGATGTAGATCCTCGCTGGGAGGCATCTCGCCGCTTTGTCAATGTTACGGATCGGCCTCTGACTTCGAGCGGGGCGAGCACAAACTCCGAAGCCGCCCGTGGGGCTGAACAGGATGATAGGTGAGAATCACGCCACGTTTATTGTCTAAAGCAGAAGAAAATACTAACTGTTTACCCCAGTAACAAAAAGACCATCCGCAATCTTGGCCGCAGGTTGATGTCTCGCAAGTGACCTTGATCGCTGATCGATTCATTCTGTTTCTCTCCATTTCCTCTCCCGCACTCATCCTCATTCCATTCATCTGTTTCTCCGTGTCACCTAATACCCAACCCACATCATATCACGTCATGTAATCCAATACCCTATTTTCCACAAGACCCCTCGTCTCTTCTCTCAGATACCCTTCTCACCATATCATTCACATGCAGCGGGTCGTACATAGGCGTTGATTTGGTTTGATTTGATTCTTTCTGTCTCTGGGGGTATGCGTGGGGCTTGTGTCTCTCTGTGTGTGTTGTCAGAGGAATTTTTACTTGTTCAACCATAGAGGCGGAGCGATGGGCGGATTTTAGTGTTTTTCCCTTTCTTTCTTTCTTTCTTCCTTGATAACCTGTTTTTTTTCTCCAAATTATCCCATCTCCCTTTTCACTTTTATGGGCTCTGTGGCCATCCATGCACAAAAGCATTTCTGCCCACCTTCTTCTTGTTATTTACTTTTAAAAGTGAATTGATAGAATGAGAGAAGAGAAAAAAGACAGATTTGACTCAGTCCAGTTCATGTCAAAGATTCCTTCGAAGGATTACGTTGTGGCTAAGTACTTTTCTGGTAGTTGGTGCCCGTAGCCCTAAGTAATCCACCAGCCCAACTTAGTCCGCTGAGATGATAGAGAAAGAAAGTGGAAGAAATCCGCCCAGTTGTCCCGCCCAGTAATGCTGCTGCACTTAAACATATATAGTTTGTTATTTGGTACTCAACCTTATCACAAACATAAACAAGAATTGGGCGCACAAGGTATAGGTCATTACGTGGCAGTCGTCTCACTAGCAGGCATAGGTATGCCGTTATGCCGATCGAGATCTGCCAGCAGACTCTTTGGACACAGAGTTCTGGATAAGCTGGATCGAGTACCATAATCCAAATTATGCATCACACTCATCTTCTTATCCGGGCGCAGGACGTACTCTGGCACCGCCGGTACAATCCCCTTTTTGGTCCATTGCCAGCCGGTCCGGTCGCCACCATCATCACCGGCTTCCTCGACCACGTATCCAGCGAGCGCCGCTGGAGAGTAGTGGGGAGAGAGTCTAGTCTTGCGGATCCGGGCGATCGGATGGAAGGACTCGTTCGTGGTGCGAGCGCTTGTATCGCCTGGGACCTGTGGATAGTTGCCCGGAGTGCGGTCCTGTTTACCCACTGCCCAATAGAGGGACCCTTGTAGGCCCGCAAAATTGGACTCGATAGGCCCGCAACCCCAATCGTCATCAACCTTGCTTGGGGCGCTGCGTTCGGCCCGCGTGCCCTGGTGTCGCTGGATAAGTTGCTCGATTGCAGCCCCTTCAAAAGTCAGCATTCCAGACAGATTGTCCACCTGGAGCTCGAATGTAATTGTTAATTAGTCAAGCACGGTCACGGATCGTGTAGGCGGAAGGGCTTACCATCCATGCAAATGTAATATCTTCGATTTCCGGATCTGGAGCTCCACCCCCGATGTTTCTGTGGATGCCGGGAAACCAGCATTGCTGTAGATCCTTGGCCGGCGCATCCTGGGTTTGATGCCAAAGGGTCGGTGGGAAGGTGAGTCGTCTCTCGTCGATAGCGAGAGCTTGAAAGGCATAGTCTACATCTACACCAGTCGGTTAGAGGGTTCGGATTTCAGAGCATGAACCGGCGTGTTGCGAATGGAGGATAGGCTCACTTTTTGACACCTTCGTGTTGTGAAAAGCGTACTTTTTGTCAACATTGATGCCCACTTTTGACGCCAAATTGACCAGTGGCCAGTCAGGGATTCCCTAGCCAATGTTATCATTAGCTGCCATTACTGCTTTGAAGGTTATATACGTACCAGAGCGCCAACCGTATCCCAAACGCCCACCACCTTAATACGCACATCATCCGCTAAGCGTAACTTGTCCCGATTCTGCTGATACCACGCGGTCTTCCGGAAGGACTCTCCACCTGTGTTTTCCCGATACGACTTCCACATCTCGGCGAAATGCGACATATGCTGGGATGAGAGTACCCCTATGTCAGAAACCAGGCCAGCGACCGAGCGGACGGTGAACGCGCCACGGGAGAAGCCAAAAAAGAAAAGCTCGTCGCCTTTGACGTAGTTGTTGGAGATGAACTCGTAGATCTGACACACATCATTGTCCAGTCCCCAGCCGATGCCGCCTTCGATCGAGGGAGAGTAGTTGACACGTCAGCCCTGCGAAACGTGCAGTCGGCGCGAACAGGCCTCACCATATATCGCTTTCTGGAACGGGAGCTCCCCAGCTCCTAGTCCGGAATGATACGAGACAATCTGCTGGACAATCTCGCCTTGGGAGTCCGGGCCACTCGTGGCGATAGCGCGAGCGATCCTCGCGACGTTCGACGGCACAGATGCGTCTCCCAGGTCGGATGCCAGCCATGTCCCGTCAGCACAAAGTATAATGCGCTTATATCCTGCCAGCCGAGATGTATCTTGAGGCATGATGAAGGAACAGAGACGTTCAGCTGGTCCGCAGGGCAGGTTGTGTCTGTGATCACAGAAACCGAACAACTTTCAGGTTTCTTTATCCTTAATTCGGCGCACGCCCCAGCAGGGAGTGTTCTCAACATAAGGGAGTCGGGAGACAGGCCTGCTCAGCTGTGGCAAATCAAATCCGTTGTTATGAGCGAATGCTTCGAAAGGGGGTGCAAAGGACAGCAGTCATATGAGGTCTCGATTTTCCATAACAGACATATCCCCGCTTGCAGCGGAGCCCGACCGGTCTGGAAACAGACCTGCACTGGGGACGAATAGAAAACAGCTGGACATCCGATTCGACTTCTTTCCAAACCATGGAGGTTCATTAAGGTTTCGGCCAGTGGATCGATCTATGGATCTGAAGGGCCAAGTATCCACATCGCCAACATCCAACTACGCATCAATGATTCACTGGGATCTCACTCCTAATCAGCTTATATTCTACTGCGTGAATTGAAGGTTAAGGGTGATGGTATTCTTTGGGGACTGAATGGGCTGACACATGGTAATATTGGGCAATATGAGCGAAAGCATGTCTCCCGCTATATCCTATGGCCGTACTATAGGCTTTCACCAATTCCCATTTCTTCATCTGTTCCACGTCGCTTTCCATTTATAACACTGTTGTCGGCCTGGTGACTTGGAGAACCTTCCACCTCAATATCGCTCGCAGGGGGTTTGGACAACTCCCCGTCCGTGTATGTATCTGGCTGGTTTCGTTCAATGATATCCTTCGCATTCATGTATTGTTTTAGAACATCTTCGATTGAGGCATCGATCCCATCCTTTGAAACTTTTCTGTTACCGTATCGTAGTAGGACTGTTTGCTCTTCGATGTGATCTAGCACTTTTGATAGCTCTGCCATATTTCTCCTAAGCCGTTGTGGAAGTCCTCTTCCTTTGAGTAGCGCCAGTAGCCCAGCAATAGATGTGTTGAAGGCCCCAAGAACTGTGATTGCCAGCTTGTGCTGATCCCCTAATGGACCAAGGGCAGTGATAGCGGCGCCTATGATGACTTGCGCAATTGTGAGCAAGTTAAATAATACATAGAATAAGTAGTATTGAACTCTTTGGCGTCGCTCCCGCGATAAAAGCTTTTCCCGGATGGAAGTGGTTGCTGTCTCGAAAACTTGATAATTTGGAGGTTCTTCAGGAGGTCTCCCTTGAAATGGCTCAGACATATTGTACACTTGGTAGCATGGTATATTTACATGCTAATAAACACCTAGGCTCTGGGCAGGCTTATATGCTGCTTCCATCGCGCTCATGACGAATTTTGACATCAGTTATAATTGATTTCTTTCACTGTGAGGTTACTGCCAATGATAACACCAAATAAGCTATTACATATTGTAGTTTGGCAGGCTTTATTACCAGTGTTTTATTACCTCGCCGATGAAATTCGGAATAGGCAGCTGATATCACCACACTTTTTATCATGTTGACGCAGATATCGTGAAAGTGAGTGGCTAGGTTCAACTTCCACAGTACAAGAACATACCATGTACGCAAATTCGAGCAGTTTAGATCCAGGAATGCTTGCACTTGCGTCACAGCTACCTTAGCTATAGATATTTTGCTGTTTGCGGCATGACAACTGATGGGTGCACCGTTTCTTTGTTCTCAGTTCGTTTTAGCCAGGCCGATGATCTGTGACGTCTGTTCCACGGCTCGGGAATGTGTAAGTGCACTTCTTGATGCGGCGGGGAAATGACCCGGTCGGGTGGCCCAACCATAAATATTAGGAACAATGGTTCATGTCAACGCAAACCATGGTCAGCCCAACCTAGTAAGTATATGACAGCCAAATCTCAGGATCGTACTAGAAGACCAAATTAGAAAATTAGGCATATTCAATCCAGAGGAAGGAGCAATGATTCATTGTCTTCTTCAATAATTGAGGATACAATTTCTACACGTTTGCTCGCGGAAAGCGAATGACACAATCGATCCATAAGTCAATTTACTTTCGAGGATCCTTAGATAGCGATGGAAGGCCAGGAGTTGGAACATAGGATGACGAAGAATCAGTAACTTTTGAGTAGTGCATGTTATGTCTAGAGAATTGCATGTTAGACATTTTGGTGGATATTTGCTTCTTCTCTTTGAGTCGACAACTTACCAAGGTCAACGGAAATCGAAACGACCATCTACATTTTTTATTCTTTCAGACAAGTTGACATCCTTATCATGATAGTGGCCTGTGTCGTCCCGCAGTTCAGCTCGCAAAATGGGCTGGTTAGCAGCACCTTCATGAGCATCGAATCTGATATTCGTGGCATTCTCCGTAAATTCGCGACCGCCCCAATGAAATTCTCCTACCATACTGTCAGTAACGATAACATAAGTGACAGAGACCCCAAACCTCTTTCGTCTCCAAGGCAGCCGTCTAGTCGCAGGCTGCTCGGATCCCACCTTTGCGTAATCGGGTTGAAACAATTGCCCGTGAGCCAGGTGTCCCGACCATTGCAATCGATGCTAAGGTTGTCGGTACCATTCATTTTGTTCGGATTTTGGATCAAAAAATATGCCTTGGTTCACTTATTCGTGTACGCAGGTAATGTTGGTTGGGGATTAGGCCATTATTTATATCCTACCCACCGATCAAAGACATTATTACCCACAGATATACCTAGTGTAGTTCTAGGCCCAGCGCTGTAAATTGTGATGATGTATGATGAATCAATCACTTCGTCATATTGGCTTGATGCCTTTTGTTGGTATAGCTCCGCATTTGATATGATAAAATCTAGAACGACTCGATGCACCAAATCTCTTCCTAGTCACAATAAAAAAAATAGAACAAGAGCCTTGATCATCCGTACAATGAGATCATTTGCCGATGAGATCATTGAGGTTTTAGGTGAATTGAACTTAAAAACAACCGATATTTGATATCTGTGGCAAAGGAAATTCATGCCAAGAAAATTAACTTGGACCAAAATTTGATTCCGTGGAAGGAGAGGTCGTGAATTCACAGTGCGGGCATTTTACCTCCTTCACAAGCATAGTGATATGGCAAGGGCAAATTCAAACGTCGCCCCCCACCAAATTATCAAAGTATAGTCTCAGGTTTTCCGCGGATGAGTCTAGCGGTTATCGTGTGGATATGACTCTCAAGAGCATTTGGTATATGACTACGATACTAGTCAAGCCCAATATGTTTCCTGTTTGAGGGTGCGCCTGTCTGAATAGATGGATACTAACGCCAGATGGAGAATAGCAGACAAGAATTCGAGGCTTCTTGGTTGTTGAGGAAACTGAATTTCACCGCCGGGCTATTTGAGCCAGAAGTGGTGAAGTGAGTGCCTTCCCCTTTTCCTCGCCTAATGGCCCACCAGGCCTAGGCAGGAGGTCAGCGCTGGATCTCCTTGACTTAGAGCGCGTATGTGCTGCTAGCAAGCAGTGGAGGTGAAAATCAGCAACTGATTTTAATCATAGGCATACCGGCACGATTTATTGTCTGTAGTCGCTTGCATAGTAGCCCGGCCGGTTGCCGCCCCGGGTGGGGGGTTTACGATGCCAGCATGTCCGTCCCAGGTCTCTTCTTATATCGTGCTCCTAAGTTGCGAAAAAATAAATGTCCCGCATCGGGTGACAGAGACATTCTGGCAAATATATGTGAGTAATCTGGAATATGCCAAGACCCAAATCCAAGCCCGCTTGATACCCCTCAGATTATTTAGGATCGGATGTTCGAAAGGACTCCTCGCAGCCTTGTAGAGGAAATTGTTCATGTTCAGGGGTTTCAGGGTTCAGGCGGCGTCTAACTCGGAGGTGTATCTCCTTCACGATACTACTACATGCCGTAGTCTTACGTTTTGGCGCTTTGAAAAATCTGCTATGACACTATTAATATTCTGTTATTTGTTTTGTTCTCTTAACTAGTGGTTTCAACTGGTAGGGTGCTCATTTTTTTTTTTTGGAATCCTCATGGCCCGCTTTTGAGAATCCTCATGGCCCGATTTTGAGAATCCTCGCGGCCCTTTTTTGAGAATCCTCGTAGCTCCTACTCGCCGGGGCATGTGCTCTGAACAAAACCATGTTATTTTAGTAACAGGATAATCCTTTAATATGCTGAAGCATACTTCGTGCATTATCACCATAGCCACACGGGGAAGTGATCGCCACGTTCAGGAGCTATACCGGGTAGAATACAACGGAAATTGGTACATGGGTAGTGTGGAATGGGGCTGACAGGGGCCGCTCGTTTATTCCGTGGCCTTGCGGTCTATTTATATGTGTTTTAAAGTCTCCAGTTCTCCATTCTTGGCCGTGTTTGCTGATACGTCTCTAAATCTTCCCGCCTTGGTTCAATATGCGGCTCATCTGGTGGTTAGCTCAGTTAACGATCATAGTCTTGGCTATGCCTGGACGGCATCAGCCAAGAAATCCGACAGGGTCATCTAGCTTGCCGGCGGTCTCACACGGTCCAAAGGGGCAGGTATTAGATGAAGGTGCATCTCAGTTTTTATACCTTGTTAGCACGGGAGCTAATTTTGCAAAAGTCAGTGCCAGTATTGCAAATGATGGATCGAATGGCGGAAGACACCATGTATGCCGGAAACATGGCCACCACGGTAAGAGCCAAAAACGCTTTTCTCTATGGTCTAGGCTAAATGCAGTTGTCATAAAGGCTCCGGAGGATGCCCTAACTGCTCGGCCATGTCAAGACCGAACTCGTCCCCGGCGAGGACAACATCGACTGTGCATAGCAAAGCAAGACCGAAGTCGTCACCGGCGAGAGCAACATCGGCTGCGCATGGCAAATCATGCCGGAAACATGGCCACCACGGTAAGAGCTAAAAACGCTTTTCTCTATGGTCTAGGCTAAATACAGTTGCCATAAAGGCTCCGGAGGATGCCCTGACTGCTCGGCCATGTCAAGACCAAAGACGTCCCCGGCGAGAGCAACATCGGCTGCGCATGGCAAATCATGCCGGAAACATGGCCATCACGGTAAGAGCCAAAACGCTTTTTTCTATGATCTAGGCTAAAGACAGTTTTCATAAAGGCTCCGGAGGATGCCCTGACTGCTCAGCCCAAAAGTCACCAGACTGTGGTTATCATGGGGGCCCAGATGAGACTGGGGTTGTCTGTACTTGTACGAATGATTTCACGACGACGCTTCCCACTAGCGCGACTTGTCCAACGACGATTCCGCCCCATTGGACGACAAGTTCTCCGACGCGCACCCCACCAGCACCGACTAGCAATATCCCATTCAGTTATTACAATGTTACAAACGGAGCACTCGTCCACTGCGAGTCGTCCAGTGTGTCAGTGTTGAACGTTTGGACAACACCGATAACGGAAACGTATTGCGCGGGCTCTACCTCGACTGATTCCAATTCGATGGGTGTCACCTCCACTACAACGATGTGGCCCGCTACTGAATCGCCGTTCAAGGGTAACTGGGGTTATTATACAGGGACAGTATCATCAGGGTCGGGTGCCATAGACTCTACTTCAGCCGTAAATGACCTGGCAGGCAGCTTCTACACAGCTTTCAGCGGCGCCTGCACCGACACGGGCACTCCTATCGTTACGACCACCACCACAATGTCACTTTATACAGATTCACAGCTTCCAGGAGGTGCGAGGGGTTCGATTACGCAAACAACCGAGCCGGCCACTTACTACGCATGTGCCGCAACCACAGTGAGCGTCGCGCCATGGTGGGTCGCGTCCGATGAATCTTCAGGGGGCGTTGACCAGAGTGGAACTTTGGAAGTTGCGATTATTGAGTCCCAGTACTCTTTGGAGAACCTCGACACATGGCTTTGGTCTCTAGCGTGGAGATTTGCGCATGCGGCAGTCAATTCCATTACCATTGATTACGTCGACAACCCGGATGCCGGAGGGTATGATGCTACGTCATCCACCACGAACAAGTTCCCTTTTTTTTTGGTCCCGCAACAAGTCCAGCTCATGTACGGAGATAGTCTTAATGATGGCATAGGGCTAGAGCGGATAACAGCGCAAACGACTTGGAAGGAAGGCTCGGAGTCAGAACTGGCGTGCGAAATCGCGAAGGATGTTGAGGAGGGGCTCATGGCCTTCGCATCCTTCGCAGCAGGGCCTGAAGGGGCAGCTATGGGACTTACGATGTCGACGGAAGTGAGAATGGCCATATCGTACGGGGTACAAGCTGGCCGTTTCATTATGGGATGCTCCGGTTCCGAGTGAGAACACGTATTGACCTATTTATGTATTCCATTATGATTTCTTTTCTTCATTGACTGATTTGCTCCATTATATTCTGCTTTGTTGCTGTCCCATGAATCAGAGGGGAGTACTAGAGCCATGGTGGCCTCTGGAAGAAGGTAAGTGATAGGCAAGAAACGTATGAGACCAAAGAATGAATCGTCGATTACTATATTTGCAGATAACCGCGTTGAATACACGCAAAATCTGATGGTCATATATGCGAGGCCAAATAATCGTTAACTATCCCAAGAATGATCAGAAGTCTGCAACTTTACTTGTTACAAGACACCTTATGATCGGGTGTGCTTCTCAGACAACATTTGGAGTTCTGATTTCGGGGCGTTGCTACTTGATGTTGTGTGAGCAGACATGACGCGGAGTTTCTTGGGCAAGTGAGCATGAAATTCCTCGGCGCAAACGACCTAGCTCCGGAAAGAATATCGGGTGAACTTTCAGTTTCTCGTTTTGGAAGGGTGAATGGAGATGGCAACTGTATTCATAAGACATGTGACTCATATTCTGAGCTGCGGTGTACATTTGCTCTGCCACTTGTAGGGTTGTTGCCGGGCGGCATGAGGAATCAAAGCAACTCAGTGCGAGCAGAAAGGACACAATTGCGAGAATCTTCAATTCCTCGATATATGCTCTAATAACTGTCTTCGATGTATTTCCAAGGTAGATAAGCTGTGAATCATGCAGAGAGAATTGATATGGAACGGAGTACTCCAATACGTACAGAGAGGGGAATTTTGGAAAGGATTCGGAGAGAATCTATCCATGAGTGGATTATATTCCAGAGACACACGGGCAGAGAAGTTGATTGTCTGCATTTTGAATTCAATCATGGACGCCTATTCTGTCGGTGAATTCTTCAGGTACCCGCCTTCAATAGCAACGCTCGCTCTGGCATGGTGCTCCGCCACATTGTTCCAAGCTCTTTGAAATCGCCAGACTTGAACGCGCATGTCCTACTCATTCCGCCCCTCCACCTCTCCGAGTACGCACTGCCAAGCTCCTGGTTCTTGACTAGCGCACCTGTCTTCGTCTTCCAGCCGATCCGAAGCCATCCCTGTATCCGGCTTGTTATACCCTCGACCACGTATTTAGATTTTGTTGCGATGAAAAGTTATTGAAACCTTATCTCTATCATCCTTTGTTCGTGTATGCATAGATATAATAGGAGAATGAAAGTCTTGACTCGCAACAACACTTTTGAAACATCAACATACTACACTCTATCTAAGCTTGAGTGGTTACTAACTACTGCATACAACGGCAAGTCAGCAATACATAGGGAGGCCCAAAGCCTCGGGCATATTTACGAACGCATTGATAGAAATAGCATCTTCGTGCAGGCTGTAGATAATACTATCACACATCTAAAGGTTAGCGCAACCCGAGCCTCGTGCGGCTCTGAGCCAACGGAGTGTAGATAGGCCGCACTTAGCAATCATCATCGCTATCATCACTTTCATCATCACCACCTTCATCGCCTTCATCATCAACACCTTCATCTTCACCACCTTCATTCGTATCCTCCCCCTGTTGTCCCAAAATCCGTTCTATCACGTTCTTCGTTATGGCAGTTTCCTCCTCCCTCTTACTTAGATTCACCTGAAGAGACATATAGACCTTCAACCAGTGAAGTCGCTGGGAACTCAACTTCTCAAAAACATGAACCGTGATCCTGCTTCCCTCTGGAAGCCCACTCCGAACTTCTACCGCAGCCACGTTGTCCTGTGCATCGGTAAAAGATACGACGAGGGAGTTGATGTTCTTGGCTGCACTGTTGATATCGGTCCAATCGTAATTCGCTGCGTCTTGGATATTTTGGACACCATCGACGTATTTCCCAAGGGTATCACAGAAATCGTCGACGTTCGTGATGTAGTCATCGGCCATATCCGTTAAATTCTGCAGATCTTCCTCCACCACATCCTTGAGGAATGAATTGATAGCATTGGCCGGCGCCTCGAACAGCCCGTTGATATTCTCTGCGATATGGCTTCTAGTCGCGTTGAGCTTGGCAATTTGCTCGTCTGCCACATCCTCTAATTTGTTCAGAGCTGTCGCAGACAAGTGTATAAGAACGTTCGATACGACGGTATCTAATCCCCCGATGGTTGGAAGCTTGCTCGATACCTCTTGGGTAAGGCTTCCTAGCGTCTTTTCGAGTTGCTGTCTCGTTTCGTCTTTGAGACCCACGATGAGGTTTGTCGGGAGCTTGGAGATATTTGTGATGGCTTCCTGTGCCATATTCTTAACTGCTGTTGTCGCGGATCTGGCATCTGAAGCTAGACCTGTGAAGTCGGCAAGAAGCTCTTTGCCAACTTCAACAGCGTTCTTGACCTGGGTAGCTCCGCTTATAACGGCGTTCCCGATTTGTTTGGCAGTTGTCGTGATCTGGTTAAAGGCGCTTAACCATCCCCTCCGCTCAAGTTCACCGCTCCTCACGGACACGATACTTCTTCGGGTGTGCTTAGACACCTCGTCACTCCACTCAAACGGAGATAGCTGTTCAGTAGGGACGTCATAGATACTGGTACCAGAAGCTTCGATAGGTGCACATTGGATTAGCGAAGGACCGAACAATCCTATGGCGCAAAAGGCCAGAATAAGCAGAAATTGAAATCGAATCATGGCGGCGTGTAGAGTTGTCAATTGATATTTGTATGTCGTGTACAAATCAGACGAACCCCAACGCGGTCGATGGGAAACAAATTCCCTACTATTGCCGCAGTCTCGAATTTAGAATAACTCAAGAAAAAGCTTCTGGCACCAGGCGGAGGGTTTTGATAACAAAACTAGAGGGCTTATCCTTGTTTCAGGGAGCCTCGCTGTACCTAATTACCTGGCCCCAAATAGTAAGCGAATCCACCGGCATAGGCAAATATCAACGGTGATACTTTACGACCACTTCTACCGAGTGGCTTGGCCCCAGAAACCCTAGAAAGGATGAATGTTTCGTTGGTACTAGTAAATGATTCTTTACTGTTTAGAGGTTAGGGTAGCGCCAAAAGGATGCAGGAATGATTAGACCGAATTCTAAAATAGACAATTCAAGCTAGAGAAGGATTAATAGCGTGCTGGCCGCGCCCCGAGGATTATGCCCCGAAAAGTTAGTCGAGTTTGAAAGGAAGAACCCGCATAAAGGCTCGGCCTGGCCAAGACATTTTAAACAAAATCAAAGTTAGCTGAGACACATATTGTCTGGACGTGCTTCAAATTACCCCCAACGAAGAGAAAGGGGCCGCGGAATGAGGACTGGATTAGATTAAGGCCCCTTTTCATCTTGTGCCCTAAAATAGGCCCCGGCAAGATTAACGGATCCGGCCACGGCAATAGATAGGAGTTCGTAGAAAATATAGTTACTCTGCGGATATTGTGCAAGGAGGCAAGTTCTGCTCAGTTCATCATCGTCGATAAGGGGCCGCCCTGCAATCCGACTAAATATCCAGGCGGTAAAAGAGGCGACACCTATGGTTATTCGAATCGAAGGATACGAGGTCAGACACAATACATTCTGTTCTACTCCGTAAACAGGGGCGATTTAGATGGTCGCTTAAAATGTAAAACTGAAGCCTGCATCTTTCTAACGGAAGATTAGAAATTGTAGACTCGGGCATCTACTTACTCCCCATTCTAACGAACATAAGCGATCCATAATTAACAGAAGGGGATGGCGTTGGACGGTAGTTCGGTACCCGCCCCCTAATTAGTCGGGCCGTCAACGGAGAGCGTTGACGGCCCGACTAATTAGGGGGCGGGTATATTTTACTACTAAGAGTCCCTCGAAGACAGTATGATTTACTAATTGAACTGATCTAACTATCTGCGAAGCTGTCTTAGGTAGTACAAGTTGTATTTGCGTCTAATATTATCAATCGGCGCAGCTGTACAGTATGGCAATGAAGTCGCTGATCAGTAACTTCTCCATCCTGAGGATGCACCTGTATCAATTGACAGCCTATGGTAGGAAGCCGGGTCTAGTTCGGGAACTACGACACATCTGGACAGACCCCTTAAAAATCTCAGCATGGTGCAGACAGTTCGCTTTCTTCGAATTGGCCTAACCGGCAACTCAAATCATTTCCTCAGGTGTCAAATCCAACCACTTGAGTCATTGCTTCCGGGATTAAATGACGAACCAAGATGTGGTTCAAGGGTAGTCAAACCCAAATGCCTCGATGGTGGTTGAGGTGATGAGATGGCGCGCGTATTGCTCGAAGCGGCGGCTGCAGTGCCGGTGGTCGTAGTTGCGGACTGAGACTGCTCGTGCAAAGGTAGGATCATGCGACATCAGGGGTATACTCCCAGATAGCCCACGGACAGACAGCCAAGTGGTGAGGTTGACAAATGCTCGCGCATCATAGCTCTAGCAAAAAGCTTCGCGGAAGTTGTTGTGATCGAGCAAGTTGCACCGAAGCTCTCCCGAGGGCATGTAAGACGGGTTGTAACATAGTGTGACACAGGCACAAAGCGACAGAAATTCAGAGGAAAATGTTACACATGCGGAGAAATTGTACAATCTCATCGTTTGCTAGAGATAAACGGGGTGTATATATACAACACGTAAGAACCGGCTCGCTCAAACGCAGGCAGGAAGAACATTGTCCAATGGTGTAGTTTTGTTTGGACGCGCAGAAATTGAGGGTAAATCATAATGTCATATTACAACTCGCTCAGTGAGTAGTGGAGTGGCCTCCGGACGGCGTTTCATTGGGGACGCCGTCAGGGACGCCATTAGGGACTCCATTAGGGACTCCATCAGGGACGCCATCAGGAACCCCATCCGGGACTCCATCATGGAATCCATCTGGAACGTTCTCAGGGTTTCCCTTAGCTGTCGTGCTGCCAGCACCATCCGCAGATGGGGTCGACGGAGCGCTTTGCTTCTCGCGCGTCCAGGGTAGTATGTTAGCCTGGACGGAAGCAAAGCGAGTGCGGGCTGTAGGCGCGGCAATGTCATCCGTCCAGAGAATCCCGCCCTGTACGCGGCCTTCAGCCCAGGCCTGTTTCTCCCTGCGCAGATCACTCTGGACCCAGGGGATCGTAATCAAAGTCCAGAGGCCGGCCCAAGCGAACGGAAGGCTCCAGCCAAGCTGCGGTGACGTCAGCGTGATTCCAGGGTTTGATGAAAGTCACTTTGAACTTACCGTGTACGCAACTGGTTCCGAGACGGTAAAGATGATCGCAGTGATAGCGGCGGCGCAGACGATTGAGCCTCCGCTCCAGAAACAATTCATCTCGAACAGCATCCGACGGAAATAAGGGCTGGAGAGGTATCGTGTCCGGAGCGCGTACCGGTATATTTGTCCGCCGCCTCCGTCCACGGCGACCACGTCTTCGATGAGTGCGTATAATGCGGTTGGCATGGTGGATCCCTTGGGTGTAGACGAGATTCGGAAGGGTGCTTTGAAGCCACACATTCGGAGAACATCGAGGGACAGGTGTACGATGCCAAAGTAGAACATCACTGTCGGGAGGATCATCGCGACAAGGCGTACTGTTGAGGTTTTCTTGTTAGCGCATTGCCCACAAAAACAGGACTGGGACTCGGCCTAACCATAAGGCTCAGCAGGAACCGTTCCACTGTGGTTGCGTTAGTTCGGGGCGCATCAGACAAAACTTCAGGGGGTTCACCGACACAATGAGTTCCACCGCCAGGATCAGCCAGACAATTGTAAAGTTGATGTGGAAGAAGTCCAGCTGGAGACGTCATTAGCGATGCGACCAGCAATTCGCTATCAGATTGTATCGTACCCTTGATTTGCGAGCGTTTAACGGCCGGGCGCGCGAGCTTTTGCGGAAGAGATTATAGAGGCGATAGAAGTACTCGAAGACTGAAACTCCACCCAAGCATGCGGTGATAATAGAAAATACTGCAACGACCCTCCCAATCAGCAAATGCGTACAGTGGATGTCTTCTCCGCAGTAGTCAACATACCCAAGTTGTGCGACAGATCCGTGAGGTACCATAGCGCCCAATACAGCACCAACGGCTGAGCCAAGGTATCGATGACAAAGATGGTCCAGAAGAAGGCAATGGCCTTCTTGCGGGTGTGTAGGGAGTAGGGAAGCGGAGGAGGCTCAGAGGGCGTAATCGTAGCGGTTCCTTCTTCCATGAGCGTGGCGATGGTGGCGGGCCAGCGCCGACCGGAGGAAACGAGATAAGAAACAGGGAACAATCACTAGGAGTGATCGGTGATCGATTCACAGGGGACCGAACGCATGGTGGGAGATGGAGAGAAGAAGAAGAAGAGAAAAAAGTTCGCGCTATCAGCAGACAAGATCCATTCTAGCCGGAAACGACCGAGCAGTACATCCGCCCCCATACACAACACGAAGGGACAGAGGTACCTTTTCCTGACTAAGCGGTGATGTCACCAATGTTTGTCTGTCGAGTCTATTCCTGTTCTACTACATAACTCCTTTATGTATTCTGCATTGGCGACCAGGACGACACCTTGCAGATACTTCCCTCGTGGCGCATGATGGGTTTCCCCTGGCACACGCTACTGTGAGCGGCACGGCGACCAGGCTCCCTCGCGCTCAGCTGTTTTCGGCCCTAGCGTAAATACTTGCGTCTAGCGACATCACCAAACTAGGACTCTGAGACATGGAAGTGCCAAGGTGCCGGATGGCGATTCCCAGCCAGCCGATCATCCGCCGCATCCGTGGAGAGTTATGTATGAACATGATCATAACTTTTCAAACATGATCATCATAACTCTTCATTCTACAGTGGTAATGTGTTTCCAATCGGAGCTTGTTTGAAGGAGTGAAGCATGACCATTAGAGAATTAGCAACAATCACAAATGATGTAAATCTCAATTGCAGTAGTACTTCGTTCATGATTGTTGCTGTTACCATGAGATCCTCAGGCATCAACCCCATCACCCAGGCATCACTTCATCACATGACCCATCCCTAGCTCAAACAGCAACGGCGCGAGTTCGAGTCACACTTTTCGCTTTTTAAAATTCCATCCCTCGACTTACCTTCCCACTTGCCACTTCCCCCAACACCTGTTGAACCCATCATCTTCCTGTCAAAAAAAAAAATCAATCATGACCTAGCCATGGCTCCCGGTCTGCAGGATCTCATCGATTTCTTGCTGAACGAGGTCGCGCTCTGTGGCGATCAAGGTGCGTATACTTAGTTGCCCTCAGACCCACTTTGCTGCTCTGCATGTATATACCCTGTCATCTCCGGTACCAACCCTGCGGGTACCCGACAGGATATCTGGTTCGCTTGCGTGTATCCTGCGATCGCGGAAACGTCAATGTCCTTCTATCAAGCAGATCGGCTAACCTTCTTCCAGGTGCGACGTTGTCTGTTGTTCTTCAAGCCATCGACACTTTTTATGGCAGTCTCGCTCAAGATGCAACTCAGCGCAAGCAGAGTGTCGACCGTCGCTTCCAGGCGAAGGTTTGGTCCTGGCTGACGCGAAACCCAGAAGTGTCCGTGGGCAAGGACAACGAGTGGAATCACCTGACTCTGGACGACGTGGAGCAGCTTGGTAACCTGCCTGATCCGTCCACTGCTGCTGAGCCGTCCTCTACTGCTGAAGATTCGACCGATGAACGATTCAAGTCCAATCCAGTTCGCATCTTTGTCTCCGAGGAACGAACTTGGTATGCGATTACTGGCCACGAGCCGGATGATTCCAAGGTGTTTCCCTTGGAGTTTGTGCTGCTGTCCATCATCGCCTCGCATAAGTCCCAGGGTATCGCCCAGCCCGAACTGGTGAGGCTGAGCGGCCAAGATAAGCGTTCCGTGCCTAAGCGAACAGACAAACTCGCGAAGAATGGCTACATCGAGAAGCGAGCTGTGCAAGTCAAATCCTCTCGGACCAGTATATGCACGCTTCGCAAGTTCGTGCAGCAAATCGATCGAACGAGTGAACTGAGCAGCGGCAAGGAAGAAGTGATTGACTTCGAGGGGTTTACCACCAGATTGTTCGAGATTCTTCAGAACCAGCCCTCTCGGATCATGGCTCGCAACGACCTCAAATCAGAACTAAACTTTACCGATAAGTGGCGATGGAGACTTTTGTCCCGTGCTATCCGCAAGTTTGAGCGTATCGGGGTGCTGAAGCGGGTGAAGGCCCAATCGCAGTACGACAAATTGCACCCTTGTGTCATGCTTCTGCGGGACCCTACACCAGAGGACTTGAAGCGGTATTACGAGTACAGGCATGACATGCTGGACACCGCTGGTGACCAGGAGGATCGCGTCGAAGCCGACGAAGATGTTGAGATGGAAACCGAGGAGAAGACAGCACCATCTTGGACACCAGATCGCAACATGCACAACCAACTCGTGGATATTGTGGACAAATCTGGAACAGCAGGCATTCCCAATCAGGTAAGCTCTGCCCAAAAAAAGGCTCAAATGCGCGGTTCCTGACACTTAGTTCATCAGGATATCATCCGAGCACTGTTTGGAAACTTCTTTCGAAGGCCATTGGAGACTGCGTTGCAGCGGATCGTAAACTGTTGGCAATTGTCTCAGCCACTGCATCTTCGACACCTCGCAATCGTTCGGGACACGGCCATGCTAAACACGACTGTGCTCTATGTGCATTACACTTTCACTTACTTCCGGGCCCTCGTCGAGGCTGGGCAAGCCTCATGGGAGGCCGTGGAATACCCTGCGAAAAAGGCCAAAACGCTTCGAGCCCAGATTCCACCTGTTGACGCAGTTCCTGAGCTAGACCATTACGGGTTTCCCCAAACCGGGCCTCCCAAGGGACTCTTGAAGAAAGGGAATGCTACTCTTTTTCAGTGCATTGCAGCCGCCAAACCGTCAGATTACCTTCGGTCTAGCAGCGATCCTACCGCAGTTCGACTTCAGGATGGTCGCTGGGGTAAGTTACTTGTCTGTCTGAGTTTGGTTCCGACTTCTAACAGAAAGTGCAGTCCTTCGCAATGGCCACCAGCGTGCCCCAGCTGGTGGCGAGCAAGCCGTGCCTGTAAGCGTCCGTCGCCCTGGCGGACGTCCCAAAGGCTCTCGCAATCGACCTAAGTTTATGATCCAAGAGTCCCCGGCGGCTACCTCTGAATCGGATGAGGTAGTTGTGCAAGATAATGCGGAAGACTCAGTCCGGCAAACCCCGACCTTGTCAAGGATGGTCGCGAAGAAGCATGAGCGCTTGAAAGGCTTGTCAAAAAGGGAAAGATTTGAAGCTCTCGGCATGGACGAGACATGGACCGAATATAGTGCTCTAGTCATGGAACGACCGACACCTGGAGTCTATATTACACCGCATGGTCGCAGGAGACCAGCCGGTAAGGCGCGAGGGCGACCGAGACAGAGTCGGATTGCAGTTTTCAAGTCTCCAATGCTGAACTCATTGCCATGGTTTGTAAAGGAACTAGACGATTCTGATGGAGGTGAAGAGGTTCAAGCAAAGGAGCCAACTCCGGTCATCGTTGCTGATGGTGGGACTCCTGCAATCGCGTCTGTCAATGCACCTGAGTCACAAACCACTCGCCAAGCCGTGGAAACCACACCAATGTCTTCAAGAAAAGGCAAGCGAGCACAGAGCTCTGGGGATCGTGTAGAATCTCCCACTGCTTCGCCGGCGGTTGAGGCGACAGTGAAACGGAGGGGACGGCCACCAAAAAGACGTCGCCTGGACAAGGTACAAGCCGGAAATGATGAACCTCTTTCTGCGCCTCCCGAAGGCGGGGCAGTTCCAGAAACCACTCTCTCGGAGGATGTGACCGTGTCGGTTCCAGTTCGGGATACGGGTTCTGCTGTTCATCCTCTGGATGTTGACGCTACTCCAGAGACACCATCCAAACGACGCCGCCTCACCTCTCCAGAGAAGGCCAACCGGCGAAGTGTGCCTCTGCATATGGCATCCGGAAATACGCGTGTTCGCCGCCTCACCAATGACTTGATTTCCCCCAAAGTGGAAGCCGCTGAAAATGGCGATATTGTGTCCGTACCTCCCACGCCTCCCATCGACCGAGATTCTCGCAGAGCTGTGCCAGAAAAGACACCGAGGGTTCCGCTTGCCGTCGAGAGAGGAGGTACTGTTGGTGTGCTTCGAAGGAAGATCATCATCGACGTCGTGGAAAAAGCTGGTGGAGCATATCCCACCGGTACTGCAATGTGGTATCCGTTCGCGACGGCGTGGTCGAAACTGAACTACAAAGAGAAACCAGATCTACGAACGGTGCAATCAACAATCAAGCATCTGGTGGATGCCGGTCGACTCCGACAACTGACGTTCAGTGGCCGCAATGGTAAAGGCAGGATGGTGACGAAGACAATGGTGACAAAGCCCGAGACATCGCCAGATGATCACTGGGTGAAGGAACTCCGGCAAATGATCTTGTCCGATGACCGGCGGATCCATTTTTCTCCCAACATCGAAATTGCCTCTGACATTACCAAGAGCGGCGGTGCGCGACCCTATGGTCAGCCGCCCCAGCAGCAAAAATGGGCGCTACCGGTCGAGTCTAGCATCACTGTGAATTTACAGCAGAAGCCGGCCTCTGTCGAGTATGCAGAGAAACGGAGGGAACGAGGCAGGCAGAAACAGCTGCTGAAGAGCCTCCAGGCCGATGTAGGTGCCTACGACGACAGGCAGGGAACCGGGGTCAAACGGCTCATGAAGATCAACCGCCCTTCGACGACGCGAGAATATACATTTGTCCAAACATCGATATCTCGACCAACGGAAGGCAAGAGGCGCGGACGCCCGCGCCGGGATTCTACTGGCGTGCGGCGTTTTGTCAAGATGCTTTCCACTCTCAGACCCTACGCCATGCTGATGAATCCTGGACAGGCCTTCCATGCAACTACTGGGACGTTTTCTACAGGGTCTGGCTCAGCAGCATTCCGCAAGGCTAGAGAAATCTCTAAAAGGCCCCCTGCTAATGTGCAAGAGTCTGTCAACGAGCTGGCGCAGCTGGCTCGCCCGGCAGGTACTATGAACTTCTTTAGCGCAGCCGACAATATCCTCAAGTGGGAGCTGCAACATGGGGGTGTATTTGATGCCAACCTCGGAGGTTTCCGGTCTATTGATCAGACCGTTCACGATGCTGCTTTCCAAACTGCCCCGATTCGCGGAGACATCCGCTTTGATGTTGACCAGCCCACTCCGGACTTACCGCCAGCGAGGCTGCCGATGACTACGCGGAAAGAAACTTCACGTCGTAAGCAGCAGCAGCCGCCGCCGCAACAGACTCCGATAGATCGCCGGCTGGAGAGACTGGCTGATCCCGCGGCCGTCGTTGAAGCCCCCACCCCTGTGCCCCGACCGATTTACCGTCGTCAGCGGCATGCACGTCCATTGCCCGAGGTCCTGACCCGAAAGCTCATGATTGCGCTTGTGGTCGTTCGAATTCTGGCCGGTGGAGCGGAAGCGAAACTGGTCGATTGGGTTCTCGTCGCGGCATGCTTCCCGGAACAAGACCCGAAGTTTATCGAGGACCGGGCTCGAATGATTCTCAGCAAGAACCGCTTGCAGATTGCCAAGATGCAACGGGATTTCCAAGAGCGATTCATTGCAGCATACATCAAGAACCGTGTGCCTCCAATTGACTACAGCGACATCGACAACTACGACTGGCCTGCCGTTGTTGAATGGGCCGATAGGGAACTGGATGTGCCGGTATCTGAGAATATCCCAGATCTGCCTGCCACCCGCCAGCAATTCGACAGTATCTTCGAGCTGCGCGAAGAGCCTGTGACAGCAACCGATGATTTTTTCCAGACGATGCACTCTATCACCATTCACCGCAAGCGCACTATGCTGGCCCAAATCGCCTTCGCCATTCCTACAGAGGGTGAACGCCAGCCCACCGGTCGCCGGAAGGCTGGGTTGGACCGTCTTGAAGTCGCCAAGACGTGGGTTCGTGCCAATGTCGTTACCCCCGAGGAGGGCTACAACGGAGCCGAGGCAGAAAAGATCCTATCGCGCTTCGGCGAGCCGTTGCTCAACAGTGCAGTGCAATCTCTACTGACCGAGCGCGTGATCGGCCATTCCAATCGTGGTCGAGTCATTCCCGGCCGCAACTATGATATCACAGACCATTTCCTGCACACGCTGAGTCGGAAACGCGGCATTGACAGCATGCAACTGCACCGTGCAGCTTACTTCAAGACCTCTATCCTGGACCCCCAGCTCCAGTCCACCGGCCATGCAGATGTGCAGTACGGAGCCGACGACGGCGACATCCTGGCCCTCATTAATCTCTCTACCAGCGGGCGTATCTCCCTGCGTCCGCGCGATCCTCCGCGCGACAAGTTTGGTCTCACAGACGGCGGATACCTAACGCGGCAGATGGACAAGATGCGACTGCGCTTCGATATCGAAGTACGCCCACTTGAGACGTATGTATACGGCAATCCGATCGACGCGCTCGCCACCTCCATTCCTGCCCCATCCTACCAGCCATCCTCGGACCCGTCATTGCCGCCCAAGATTCCACTCTGGCTTGATATCAATGGCCAGTTCGTGCAGCGTCTCTGGGAGAAGGTGGTGGGCGCCGTCGTGGGGTGCGTGGCTATCCGGCCGGGGATCAATGCTGCCAGTATTGCGAGTATGATCAAGCCCGCAATGGGCGCGTGGGAGACGTCGTTGCTGTTGGGGTGGTTAGAGCAGGTCGGTGCGGTACGTCGTCATGGAATGGACGAGCAGGCTACCTGGGCGGTACAAGAATGGTGGTGGATGTGTTTGCCATGAGGTTTGCTGTGTGCTCCTGTATCAATATCAAGACCAATAAGTATGTATGTGTGCTAGATGGGAAATGAGACGGATCAATGTACGGTTCGATAATATGTTCAACTATCATGAATTGTCCGCTGTGACGCTACCTTGTATACTGCTGCTGTGCTGTGTATATCTCCAGAAAGAAAAGAAAAAACACACGCTAGGACCTCATCCCCAAACGCCATTTATAGTTAATGACCCGACAATAATAAAATGAAATCACAAGTCCTCCACGTCTACGAAGCGGCGCAGGATGAGAATGACCAGCGCGACCACGACACCGATGATGGCGCGGTCCAGCCAGACGCCGTCATTTGCTGCGGTGGATGTAGCTTGTGCTCGTGCTTGTGCTTGTGGCCGAGGAGCAGGGCTGTGTTGAGCTGGAGCAGCACTAACTGGAGCAGGAGATGAAGAAACCGGCGCCACCAGGGACGAGGAGCGAGGTGGTAATGGCTGCGGTGGCTGCGGTTGTTGTATCTGTCTTGTCTCTGGCGTCGTCTCCAAGGTCTGCGTGGATTCCTCCTGCTGCTTCTTCTCACCACCATCACCAGTCTTATCCAGCTTCCCACTTTCTTCCAACCCATCATCCAACCCCTCAACCTCAACCCCCTTCTCCCTACAAACAGCCCACCACTCCCTCATCCGCCCAAGGTTATCCCCACCACACTCCCTACAACACCAACCCCTCGAAAGGCGCGCATAATCCCTCCTCAAAGCCTCATTCCCCTCCATACCCCCCACCTGCCCCTTCGCCTCCGAAGAGAAAATCTCCGACCGAATCGCCAACAGCGCCGTGCGCACCCCCCAAGCAGGCTGCCATGTCTCCTCGTGGTGGCCCGAAATCGATAGACAGATCTCGCGGTTCACTTCGAAACGGCCCGATGGCGTGAGGAAGCGGAAGGAGGGCGGGCGTAACGGGTATGCTGCGGGGAAGGTGATTCGGCCGTGGTAGAGTCCTGAGGCGTAGGGGGATGGAGAGGGCGGGCCTGCGAGCGTGAAGTGCCAGTCGTGCAGGTTGGATTCCGAGGTTGGATGCGCGGTGAAGTAGGGACTTGGGTGTTTGTGGAGGTCTGTTGATTCTTTGAGGAGGCGTTTTGTCGAGGGGGAGGTCATTGTTATGTATTTATGAGAGTTTTTTTTTTTGGTTGGGTGGGTGAGAGGTGTAGTAGTTTAGTTGAGGTGTGAGAGTTGGAGTTGAGTTGGAGAGTGGACGAAGTTTGGGGAAGTGGAAAGGTGGCGGGAGGTGGAGCATTGCCCCATCTGATAACAGGTGGCCATACTAAACTATGCACATTATTTATAGACTTGGGAATTTTCGAATATAAACACATTCAATTCGTACACGGGTGATTCTTCTATACACCACCCTACCCGGATTAACGCCTCAAGTACAATGCAAAAGAATATTCTACCGTACATGCACACTTCATCAATCCCAATCGCGCCATTCATCCGACTGCTCTCGGCCACGACGGTTCTCATCCAATAACCCATTCCCCTCGATTTCATCCTCGAAATCGCTATCCCCCGGCCGCGGACGGGGAGACATCGGCGCGAGAGTCTGTAGCGAGACACTCGTCTGCGGCCGCTCATCAGGCGCGTCCGGCCGCAGACCGCGATTATTAGGCGTCCAGACCGGTTGTGCGGCGCCGGCGCCGGCATCCGCACCGCCAGCCCAGCTGCGGCCGTTATCCATATTGCGCTGGTACAGATCCTGGTGGTACTGCTGCTCGTCCAGGGCGTCCTGGTCGCGCCGGACTCGGAGCCGCTCGCGGGCCTCGAGGAAGCGCGGACTCGGCTCCCAGCGCCAGCCATCGCCGATGGTTGTGCAGATGGGTAACGGCCACAGGAGAGGGCGGTCGCCGAATAGGTGGATGAGATTGCGGCGCCAGCCGAGGTCGAATGCGCGCGGCATCTTCTCGCTATCCTGCTCCGCTAGATACTCCTGGTATCTGTCATGCTCTCGCTGGCGTTCCATTTCGGCGTAGGATCGTGACAGCGCTTGCTGCGCGGGTGTGAGGTTTTCGGTGCCCGGGGCGCCTTGCGGGTAAGCCGGGTATCGCTGGGGTGCTGGGGACAGTCGCTCTTCGCCCTCCTCGGCGCGGGTGACGCCCGGGATTGCGTTTGCGTGCGCATCAATGATCTGGTGCCCATATTCCTGGAGCCGGTGGCTCAGGGTCTCTTCGGAGTGGAGGTCTCCCTGCTCAGAGCGCTGACGGTTCAGCGCCCTCCGTAGTGGCGACACATACCGAGTCTTCTCTAAGGATTCGATGGTGGTAGTGCCGCGCACGGCCAAACTGATATGCCACGCCGTGAAACCCGACAGCACCAGCCCGATGATCCCGCCCAGAATGCCCAGGAGCACGACATTCACCGGCAGAATGGTGTCCATGTACGTGGTGTCGCTGAGCATCTCATCCCACACCCACACGCAGGCCACGGCGCAGCAGACCCAGCAGAACAATGATGTGTATATTAAGAATAACAGAAACGCTTTGTAATTATAGAGCCCCACGCAGGTAGCCAGCCAGGGGCAGTGGTGATCCATCTTTAGGACGCATCGCTTGCACGTGGAGCAGTGGTGCGCGCGGTCCGGTTTGGGACATTGGCACTTCTTGCAATACCGCGATCCGCCCGTCGAGCTGACGGTGTATGAAGTAAACTCGGGCTGCTCGGTGATGGGCAGCGCGCTATATTGGTGGCGATCGTTGCCGCGGGTGGTCAGCGGGGAGCCCGGATCGGTAAAGACGGCGACGGTGTAAGAGGCATTCAGGAGGGCATAGAGAGTGATTCCGACAAGCGTGCTAGGGATGCCTGCTCATCCGCGTCTCCAGTCAGTAAGAGGACAGGGAAAGAAGCGTGCCTGACATGATCCTTACCTATCCAGACGCTCTTTTGCGGCTTGAGCCCGATGCTGGCTTCGACGTAGACAGCCCATGTTGTGACACCGTAGACAAAGGCTAGTGGGAAGCAGCTCACCGCGGCGCAGCAGTATCGTTCGCATTTGAGGGCCCAGGCTCGTGGGCGCCGTTTCGACCACGAGGGGGAGGATGGGGGGGACGAGGCCAAGGTGGCCATGACTTAGGGCGCAAGCGCAAGAAAGACACGGGGCATCGAGAGGTATGGAAAGCACATCACCAGTGAAGCCTGGCGACTACAGAGACGAAAGGAGCGAAAGGGTTGGAGGTTACAGAGTGAACCCGATGGATCATGTGAGTCCAGCCTTACGAAGACGGAACAACTGCGCCACTGCCCAGCCACACGTGTGTTTTTGTACACGCAATTGCTTCTATATTTACACTTATCACCACAATTGACGTCAACAATTGAGGTAGGATTCTCTCTAAGGAGGCACTGATGCAACCTGTTGCTGATCGCACCAGCCATTGACCGGCTATGGATTATTATTAGCAGAGACTCAATAAGAAACACAAAGGATGAACTTACCAGGCAACTCAAGCGGTAGCACCATGAGCAGTTGGACTCGTAGGTGTTGTAGAAATTGGTGATGAGCAAAATGAACCCGATCAGCACCGCAACCAGGCTGCCTGCGCGGACAAACCACCACAACCACCAAAGCGGCTTGCGCCCCTTGAAGAAGTTGATTGGGTTTCTCGAGGTGGACTCAGAGCGGTCACCCGACGAGACCACTCCTCCTCGGCCTTTGAGAAAGTCTATAAACTTGGACCGCGATGAATTGCTGTCACCGGGCGCGGCCTGGCCAGCTCCGCCGCTCATCGCGACATACGGATCGCGCGCTAGGCCGATTCGCTCTCGGAGATTGTTGGGAGATCGCATGACACTCAAGCCGATGGCCAAGCCCATGATGAAACCCCCAATGTGCGAGAAATTATCCAGTGCAGGCAGCAGACCCAGCACAAACGAGACTCCCACGCCCAGAATCATGATGAGCAACTCTATCCAGCGAGAGTCGCGGTTGGGCCAATCGTATAGCAAATCCAATAGGTAGAGCGCCAGAATACCGAACAGACAGCCCGAGCAGCCGTCGGCCGACTCCAGGTATTCAGAGTAGTTTCCACCGAGCACGAAACCGAAGATTCCGCTGGCAAAATAGGTCAGAGTATAGCGCCAGACACCAATCATCCGCTCCATGTCGGCGCCCATGGTCAACTGGACCAGCAGATTGAAACCAATGTGAATGAAACCGCCATGCAAAAAGATTGGTACAATAAAGCGAAACCACTGATTTGGCGCCGGCTGCTGGGAGAGGGACCCTCCGGGCTGAGGGTTGGGAACGGAGCCGCTGAACCCGCAGATCTCCTGGAGCGAGCACGCAGCGATGGCTTGGGTGGTGTTGGGACACGCCCAGACGGTCTGGTTGATGTTGTTTTGAACGGTGTTCATATTTTTCATGCAGGGGACATAGCGCGATCCCATCCAGATCTGGACATAGGGCGAAGGGCCGATCATAGGATTGAAGGCGGGATGTGTTTCGATCGGAGAACCGGTCAGTTGCGCTAGACAAAATGTCAGCCCTCGAGACTCCTCTCCAAAAGTCTCCCAAACTCACCACTTTTCACTAGCTCGACGATGAAAACAATAATCTGAGCTGCTGTCAAGGTCCATGTCACCCACGCGGGCTTCTTGCTGAAGAAGCCCCCTCGTTTTCGCCGGCTATTTTGACGATCGTTATCGTAGAATCCTCCTGGTGACGGCGGTCGGTCCATCCACTCCGGGTTCATGTTGTGGGCGTTTTGTGTTGCGGACTTGAGCGGTATGTTCTCGGCGTACTGGTCGCCGTCCGCCATGCGACCGGAAGTTTGGTATCCGCCTTCCGAAGCGAGTGATTGTTGGCTGTATCGCGAGTGGTAAGGAACAGCCGGGTCGTCGTCTCTGTATGTGTTGGGGCCCGCGAAGCCGTATCCAGGGACCGGTGGTAGTGGTCGGTCCATCGTGCCTGGAACTTGGTCGTAGCCAGGTGGCTGGGGGCTATTTCGGTGATAATAGTCGTTGGCAGCCATCATGGGCCTTAAAGGAGGGCTGTTGGCGCCCTCAAAACGTGACGTAGGGGGTTCAGTGCGGAGGCGTCAATTCGCGATCGAGAGAAAGAGAGGATGCACTCGGCAGGGGAACGAGAGAGAGTGCCGGAGCGATGGAAAAGACGCAAAAAGAAAGAATGGGACGCGGAAGGATGAGGCAGAGAGCCGATAGGGCGAGTGTTTAAAGATGGAAGATGAAAAAGATCGAGTTCAGGCAGTCACATTACTCGCTATTTTTGGGGAACTCAGCCGCGCATTGCGTATGTCTGTGCCCAACTAACTACATTCTCCACGTGTGCTCAATCTATTTGTATTCAACCACTATACACACAGTACTGCAAAGGTCTAGCCTCCAGCACAGAAAAAAGGAAAATCTACAAAACAAACAAAAGAAAACATTGCAGCCTTCACGTCCCGACTTCAGGCGGTCCTTAGTTATCCTTGTTGTCCTCGTTGTCCTCATTGTTACCCTTGAACCAGTCAAGGATTGAGCGGCGCTTCGGGCCAGTGTTTCCATCCAAAGGCTCAATGGGACCACCCGGGTTGGCTTCCGGCTCGTTCGGCAGATTGATGCACTCGATGGGCGCCAGATCCGCATTCGGGAGGCGATTTACATCAGGACAGATGGGAAGGGCCGGGTTGGACGTCGCGGCCGGCGGGATAGAGACAGAGGAAGTAGGCCTAGGCCAGCCAGGAGTAGGCCAGCCCGGAGTAGGCCATCCCGGCCATCCAGTCGGCCATCCAGTAGGCCAGCCACCACCGCCGCCGCCAGGATAGCCAGAGGGTCCGGGGGTTCCCCATGGCATAGAAGTGGGCCAGCTAGGGGTGCCCGTCGGGGTTTCCCACGCAGGCGTAGTAGTCTCCCAGGCAGGTGTAGTGGTTTCCCAAGCAGGCACAGTGCTGGTAGGATCGGGGTTTCCATAGCCTGGACCGCCCTGACCGTTATCCTGGCCGTTACCTTGGCCTTGCTCGCCTTGTGGCTGGACGGGTGCGGCGATGGCGGAGCCTGCGATGCCCATGGCGGCGATGACGGCGTACTTCATTGTGGTGATATGTAAAATGTTCTGAAGACACTCAAGAAAATAAAAAGTTTGAAAATGGTGTTCAGGCCTGCCAGAGGTAATGAACACAGAATATAATGGTGGATTGATGACAGAAAGAAGATCTGGCTAGCACAGACGGGGCACCTTTTTTATAGACATGGCAGCCAGTTGCATGAATCAGTCGATATTGGAGAATATTCTATGAAGGAAGTGTACTCCATGTTTCCAACTCGGATTCGACCCAAGATCTGCATTGTTCTGTTACGTCGATCCTCGCCACGCCCCTGATCGACTGTTCCTTCGATATGATTCGCCTTACACTCGCAGTTGCCTGCGTACGATGTCTACCAGAGTAATTGTTTTTAAAGGACAAGATAGTAAATCATGAAGAGATTATGCTAAGTTTTTCGGTGTGGAGATATACAATTGTCGATATGAAGAAGTCGCAAAGAGCAGGGAAGATGGCGAATGGCCCCCAACACAGGTAGACAGGGACAGTGTAAGAGGCGACATACTTGAGGGCCTTGGTGGCGCATATAAGCATATGTGATCATGATATTCAGGGTGCTTCTAGATGAGTGGATTGTCCGGGGCAGCTTGCCCCACAGCGTGTTTCTTGTTGACGGGCTTTCCTTGTTAGGGCTAGTCCAAAGGCTGAAGATTTACTTTGCTTCTTGCAACGCTGGGGCCGGACTACGGTCAAAAAGGACCCCATGTTCCACCAATCTGCCTGGTCGAGCCAATTAATGGCAAATACATACAATAATAATCCACCACACCTGGATCTTCCTTAGAAGGATTCCACAGCCAGTCTTTTGAGGTGGGTACTCTTTCTCTATGAAGAAACTTCTTTGCCAAGCAACAGGGATCTCGACTCATGTATCAAAGTCATGTTCTGTGGAGTCTGTTTCATGTTGGCAGCCTCTCCTAATCCTCGCCACAGTAACGTACTTCATGATTCGAAGTCTGGGCTAAGATGGCAAAATTCGTACCTGAAATAGAACACGACCATTTTTGACGCCATCCCCGATTATTCCGGGGTAGCTTTGGATCCTTTGACCCTGAACATCTTCAACTGTCTGATATAAAGTCCCCAGAAGTTGGGCCTTGAGCCTTGTGCAACTGCTTTGTCAGTCTTGCACTCATCTCTGGATTATCTCCATCCAGGCCAGAGGTTGTCGTTGTACATACACTGAAATTATGCTAAAATCAAGGCCTCGTGGTGGCGTAGTAAGTGTAGATGTCACCCTGTGCGCCCGACGCAGGGACCTGGTGTTCAGTTCACGTACCTACGTCATAGTAGCTATAGTTGGAGCGTATAAGCATGTATTTTTTGCTGCCTGAAGGAGATTGACTCCTGTGGTTGTCCGGTCCATGCCGTGCAGCCCGACAAGAGTGCTTTACATGTTCAAGTGGTCGGGGAGAATAAAGCCTAGCTTGTAGATCTTTGCGTAAGTTTTGACTGCTGTATGTAAGCTAGTTCCATCAATACTTATTCTTGATATCCTGTGGAGAAACTCGTCGTTCAGTGAGGTAGCTCCAGATAGTTCATCTAATTTGGCACAGGATAGAGAAATCTAGAGTTAACCACCGACAACTCTCGCGATGAGATGGTTCTCTTTTGTCATAACACACTGCTACTTTTATTGCCGGATCATGTCCCAATACTAAGTATTAGAATATACATTAGCACCGGCAACGGCTAGCGAGGCATTTCGACTACACAACCTCTGCAAGGAGGACTCCTGTCTTCATGAAAACGCGAGAGTTGGCGACCTATGTAGACGACTCTTAGCTATCAACTGCAAATTGCAACGCAGAAGAGCGAATCTAGGCGCTACTGGGAGTAAATTGAGCAAGTCAGTCTGATCATATATTGCATTCGGCCCAAGTCATGGTGGGCATTAGTTGTTAAGGTCAATCGCTGGGTAAAATGCCTATTATGCTTGCCAAACAACCAGAAAATCGCCAGCTTTACGAACTAAACACGACTGTGAATTGATTTGATATTAGCATTATAGTGAGTAGCAATGTGGTCGACCTTCTATCTGTACACGGGCCCGACGCAAGACCATCCAGGCCGGAACAAACAAAATTATAAAGAACAGCAAATACCCGCCTTCCGCATGGCGCTCGTTCAAGTTATAGACCGTCGGGCCGTTGAGGGCCCATCCGGTTCGCGTTATTAGGTCTAAGTGGGAGATTTTATCGCGATCGAACGAATGTGGTATGCCCTTCCCCCCAAAACGCCAACCAGAAGAAAACAAAAAAGACCCGCGCGATCAGCGTTTATCGGATGTTGTGCTGGATTTCAGGATGTCTGTGCGAAAGGACAGTCCGGTTGGAAGTCCGTCGCATCTCAACCTCGTATCCGTACAGTGAAGCATGCAGCTCCGGTTGGCTTGTTGGGACTCTCACAAGGACATGGAGTTTTCGGCCGTGGATGCTGGACTGATAGGGTTGCCGTACTTGCCGAGAATTTCCCAGGCGGCGCCTACTTCCTCGCCGCTGGTGCCCGTCAGCAGCCATACGAGGCGGCTGAGCTTTTGATAGAGCAGTGACGGGAAGTATAGTAGCAGTGCCCACAGCAGGAGTGTCAGAACCACGATGACGAAGGTATTGGTCACGAGCTTCTCGCTCGGCGTCATCACGTAGAGCCCGAAAGTGACCTCGTAGCGGTAGTACTCGAGTCGCACGCGGTCGATGGCGCGTCGGATGGGACCGGGGCGTTGGATTTTGTGGGTATGCGATCGGGCGCTGGGTTTTATAGTGGACGAATATTTAGTCCGGAGCTCGTCGACAGCTGGGCCGTGGGAGATGTGCGTCGAGGTGGGCGAAGTATAGAAGGACTGCATCTCGGTCGGACAGATCTATGCGGATTGTAGGGCGGTCTCGCCGAATCGAAACGCGCAATGACGCAGGGATAGGGGAGACACAGTATCAAAGGAGGGCAAACTGCGAAGGCGCAGAGTGACCCTCCAGAGATCAGGATCGGTTGAGATGGAAATCTCTCCCGGGCAGCTGCTGGCCGGATGTAGGCGGATGTGCACAGGCCTTATGGGACCAGGGGTAAAGGATAGAGCGAATGGGGAAAACAGGGCAGATCATAGGGCAAGCCCAAGTTTGCGTGTAAAGAAACGGGAATTGGTGGAGCGAGACCCACGGGAGGAAAGCAAGGAGACATGGTTTGGTACTTGGATTTATTCTCCCGCCATCCAGCGTCGTCGACAGCAGCAGAGACATGGTGTACCGTACTCGCATTCACTATTGTTTGGGCAGGATGAACCTTTGTTTACCCGCGCAGGATTTAGATTGCGCCGACATAACCCGTTATACTACCCAAGGTATACGCCGCATAACATGCACTGTCGCGAATGATCGGCGCCAGAAGTATCCCATCAAGAGGGAAATATCGTTGGTGTAGATCTACATAGATCATTCTATATAATTTCTGCAAATCAACAAACACGGAGTTCTAGATCAGGCGAACAGACCCCCCGGCATGACATCACTGATGTTCCTAATCTCGACTTCGCCCCGCCATTCCTTCTTTTCTCACCATCACCCACTATGCAGTCTGACGACCCGCTGGTCCAGGCTTTGCCGCCCAATACCGACTACCTCACCTACTGCACCCTCCTCGAGTACCAGTTAACCCCGCAGCGTCTACCATTGCTCCACACCCTGCTGCAAGATGAGAAGCTTACCACCAACATCGGCTGGGACCTGGTCAAACTGCTGCTGCCCATGTTGCCGGCCTCCACCGAATGCTTGCACGATGTCGCACGATTGGGCAACCCGCGTGAGGTGATTTTGCGTGTGTCTGAATCCCTGATGCAGCTTCACCCGGAGGACGACGAAGACGACTTTGGTGACGCCGAGAAGCCGCTGCCCCCGCATACGCTCCAGTTCAACTGTCTCCTGGCCATGCTTTCCGTCTTACATTCCCGGATCCAAACCAAATCGCCCAGCCGGTTCGTCGCTACATCCCTGCAAGCAGCCCTCGAAGCATACACGGCCATGCCGAGCAACGAAACCACCCTGGCCCTCCTTGAGTTCCTCCGGGAATTGACCCCGACCAAACGGCCCGCTCCTCCTCCGCGGGTGGCTAGCGAGTCTAGTGTCTTGCGAGTTTTGCAGAAGTCGGCTCCGGATCCAGAGGCCGAGGCGCCGTCCCCATCTCCGTCCCCCGCCGCCGACAATGAGACACTCCTCGTCCAGAAGTTTGTTCAGTTTGGACTCCTCGAGCTCCTCAAGTCCTATTTATTGAACCTATCGGGTCCATTGGACCCCGGGATGGCGTGGGCCACTCGCATGCAGGAGCATTTGCATCCGGATCTGCGCTTGCCCGAACAGTCGCTGACCGATGCGTTCGCGACCAACAAACCACTCAAGGAACGAGATATGATTATGGGAAAGATTGTCGTATGTCTTTGAACTTGCCCTCTGAAAGAAATAGTGCTGACCAATTTCTCCAAGGCGCTATCCCGAGACGTGGAGATAACCAATGACCAGCTGTTGGCCATAATTTCCCAAACACCAACGGACCATCGGCCTCCTCTCGACTTTGACGAGCCTCCGGAATCCCCCGACAACATCCCACTTGAACGCCATGGCTCGCTTTTGTTGCTGGCAGCCCGTGCTGCAGGCGCAATACTCTATGGATCGGGACATCCAATGCCCCAGCTATCCATCTTCCCAGATATGGCTAAGATTTTTGGTTATTTTGTCGGCGGTCACGATAATCTCGACGAAGTAGCGTTTGGACAACCCCATGCACTTTTGGACTCACTGTTAGCTCTTACCGTGCATACCACGCAGCAGCCTATCGCGAAATCGTCCACCGAATCAGAGTTCAAGGACTTCATCCTTATATTGACTGCATGCACTGCCCGCCAAACCCATGACATCGTCCGTCAAATCCCAGCTTCCATCGTACACAGCCATCCCTCGCAGCCAACTAGGTACAAGCTCATTCGCACCATCCTCGAAGACGACCGCCTGCAGGCCGCCCGGGATAGTGCTATCAGCTGGCTCAAGCAGGAGATTTTGACTACCGACGCCCTTACCGCCAACATCTTCCTCGACCCACTGCTATTCATGGTTCTTTTACCCTTGCTGTGCAATCTCGTCCCCGCCACCAGCTCCGCCTCCGACCTCGTTGCCTGCTGGACCCGTCTCACGCAGACGCAGGGTCCGCCTTTGCACTCTGCCCTAAGTCTGTACTACCTCCTTCTCTCATCGCAGCCGCTGCGGGACGGTCTTCAACTTGAGAAGTCCTACAAGTACTTCCGCGAGCACGCCCTAAAGCCCCTGCGCCAGTTATTTAGTGCCTTCGACGCTGATCTCGCCAGGAATGGGGGCGAGGGTCTCATTGAAGCTGCTGTCGGCGAAGACACGTGTGGTATCGGCATGACCCGCTGCGGGATGATTTCCTTGACTCTCGACCAGATCGAGGAAACGGCCGGCGATGCATTTGGCACGGATGAAACGGAGCTGCAGGAGTTTTCCGAGGAGGATTTGGGTAAGGTTGAGAAGGCCAAGAAGGAGATGGTGTTTTGAGTTCATAAATATCCGCTAGGCATGGGCGATATCTACATATTCTGGCTAGATATGATGATCATGAATGGTGATGAAGTGATTTATGACTTGTGTACTTCGTGTTCCATACATCTATCGTACATGGTTCTGCATATCATTGTAGCTATACAACGCACGATCTAACTCGGAATCTCGGCAGATCTAGTTCTCGCAGATCATAACGCTCTTGCACTTCAGCTTTGCTGGTATGAGTTATAACTTACTGCTAATTTGTATACGTATGGAAGTACGATAAAGATGGCCAAACTACTCAGAATAGAGAAGAAAAAGATCGGAGGTAAAATACTCCATTCCTATCAACTACCATGACCAACTAAAAGAACAAATAATTCGCGTCCCGAACCAGTCCCAACCCATCCACCAGCCAGCGAAAAAGACAGAAAAAAAAAAAAGGAGCCCATCCGCACCACATCAAGAAAGATTTTTGTCAACCCTTGTTTTTTTGTGTGTTTTGTGTTCCTCGAAGTGCAGCTGAAAAGGAAAAGACTGGAGCACCACCGCCATATTCTAGAAACCTGTCACCCGGCCTGTTCCGTGAAAGCGTCGACAGAAACAATATCAAGCCATTGGTGATAATTTTTTGTCCGTGTCGTTCGCTGTCGTCACCGTGGTGTCGAGAGAATCCAAGGAGGAAGACTGAAGACAGCAAGGCGAAAAGAAATATCAACGAGAAGCCTGTATTGTCTCCCGACACAGAAGGAATGAACTGGACAGACAAGTAACAAATGTATGCCACACCGCGACTCATTCGACGGAAAGGGAGAGAGTGGAAATCAAGTAAGCTCCAAGAAGAAGCTCACAGACAAACATTCCTCCCTCCCAAGTATAGTGAGCGCTCCCCATGTAAATCAAAAGCGAAGTGTAGTCGTTGGTCATGTTCCGAGGAGAGGTTTTTTATGTTGTAAGGTTGATAAATTCTCATCTGTCGGCGGCACAAGATCGGAAAGTGGTTGTCTTTTCTTGAATGTCGACCAACGAGGCAGGTCAAGCGATCATCGTGATGGTGGAAAAGAAGGGACCTGGTTGTTGTGGGGTGCGGTCATGTAAGAGATTTACATGACAACGCAGCCACCACCGGGAGCAGCTGGAAGAGAAGATGTTAGTATGAGAGATGAGAGAAGGAAGGATGTGTTAGCTAGTTCGACATACCCTTGACAACGGCGCCGTTCTGGATCTGAGGAGCAGACATCTCGATAGATTGATTTTTGCTTAAAAAGCGAAGATTCTTGAGTAGACAAGTTGGAAGATTGAGTAGATTGCGGATGGAGAGAAAACGAATTCGGGGTGGTGAGATGAGGGCTATTTATGCTCCACCAGCCAGGTCTGGATAGACTGGAAGTGAGAGGAGTGAATCTGCTGAGACTCAAGAAACATTTCGAATATACATTCAGATACCTAATCCGGCGACTGCATGGTGAAGCTCTCAAAGCTTTTGGAAGGTTTAGGAAGTTTGATACAATGGGGTGCTCGTATTGTGGGCGCCACACTGACCGGGCTTGATATTGTTCTATCTGGACTATGAGTGCTATCAATGTAGACGCTGTAGTGCTTTCTCCACCCGCCTCAAAAGTATATAATAAGCCCAGTCACGCAGGTACTCCATTGGAGTGGCGTTGTAGATACAAAGAGAGCTGGTGCTCGTGGGTGAGATGACTTTTCGTGATAGTCGAGGACTTGGGTGCCAAGTTAGGCCTTCTTTGTCTAAAGAGTGCATCAGAAGATCAGAACCTTGGCTCTGGGCTCGCTTGCAAAAGGCAACATTCAGCTCGTGCGAAGAACAATATCAAGAGGATGGGCGGTGGGCTGTATTCAATCCGTTGTTGTTGGTCTCGGGAGCGGAGTGGCTAGCAATAAGATCAAAATCCTTTGTTCTTCCTTCACTCTCCTTTTTTCGATCGAAAGTGTCAGCATTCCGAGAGTTGGATGATTCTGCTTGGAGTGATGATTACTTGCGTGGTTGGTTGAACTTGGTTGGACAATGAAAATGCCCTCAACCAATCAGGGGCGGGCAGCGCCCTATTGTTCCTGGAGAACAATACTTCCAAGACAGGACATTTAGCACGCAAATATCTAATCGCAATCATCTCGGAGCGGATTTTGCATATTATGTGGATGCTCGACTTGGATACAACTGCCAGTTTCACATCCGAATAGCTCTTTCTTAAAGCGATGCTCGATGTATATTCATCGAGACCGCGGAGGTAGAAAAGTAGAAAACTCAACACAGAAATTCATTTTTTAGCAACCAGAAGATAATCAATGGTGAAGGTGACTGCGTGTCAGGCTAAGAAGTTGACGGTATTATATTGGATAACCACATACTGCCTCGCTGCCCCATTTCTTTTGATGAAAATCCTATCCATAGAACATTAAACAGGAATCCTTCCTCCAGTCAAACTCAAGAAACACCCCCTCCTGCCGCGCATAGAGTGTCGACTGCTGGTTGTCAAACGCGGATAAATCACTGTTATGCGAGTGAATACGACCCACAATTGGAATTACCAACCGTGTCAAGGCCACCGCTTCCCAAAATGACGGCCTGACTGCTATTCTCTGAAGGATCACAGATGGCATTGTCTGGAGCAATCAGATAACATATGCTGCTTTGAAACGCCGACTGCGCGCGAAACGAGTAACTAGTGCAGGTCTCAGAGAATGTTAAACATCTCACGCAGCAGTCATATGGATTTGTCCCTTGTAGGTGATAGCCGGCCGAAAATCGCTCTGCGACGATCGTTGTACCATTGATTTCACTGATCTGGTTGTCTGGGCCGCAAGCTGCATAGTAGGTTGCTTCAGGAGCTTGCACAGTAACAGTGTTAGTTATATCCTAGGAGGTTAGCAATACATATTGAAGAACTTTGGCATATGAACTTACCTGGGTGCTTGTCGTGTAGGTTGTCCCTGTAGTCGAGACTATCGTGCTTGTCGAAAATGTCGAAGTGATAGAAGCCGGGAAGGGAGTGCTCGTAATAACTATTGTACATATCTTAGCGTATATCCGGAACTGATATATGTTTAAACGTACTTAATGTAGACACAGTTTCCGATGTGGTAGTTATTGCAGGTGGTGTACTGGTCACAGTCAACGTCTTTGCTGCAGTCTTGGTTATTGTACTTGTAGTGATAACCCTGACAATGCCAGCGCATGTCACTGCAGTAGGGTAAATAGAAGGATTGACCCCGGCAAGAGCAGTTGCTTGGTTAGAATGTTTAGACAACTGAGTATCCGCGTTTTGCTCTGCGGCAGCCGTCTGCCGAGGTCCTTGGATGGCTGAAGTGCTGAGTGCTGAAGCGAAAGTAAATCCAGGAGAAGGTGGAATTGTAGTTGTGGAGGTAGATGTAACCTATAAAATTATTACTTATGGGTATCTGATTGTTTGGGCATTAAATATGCTGATAAGAGATGGCCAAGTATGAAAGCCATATATACCATGTCACACACGAAAGGGTCAGGGTTTACGAAAGATATACTTACAGTAATGTCATTTATAATGGTTTGTGTATTTGTAATAGTCTCAGAGAAGGTTACCACACTGGTCGATGTAAGTGTTGTTGAGAGAGTAACTGTAATCTGTGCTATGACGCTTGTGGAATAGACTGTGTCTGTCACCACTGAGGTAATAGTCGACGGAGAAAGAGTTGATGTTTTGATGGGGGTCGAAGTTGTTGCGAGAGTCGCATGACTAGAAAAATTTTAAGTTGAAGCATCTATAGATTCATAAGGAGCATACCTAGTGACAGTGAGGAATACGTTGGCGGTACTAACTCTACTAGTTGAGGTCCGGCCGTATTTGGTCGTACACACGCCTAGTAAGGTGGAAGTAGTGGCCGTAGCTAACGCCGTGGAAGCCGCAGCTAGTAGCACAATCCAATAGGTCATAACAGTTGCCATGTCAAGCATGATGAATTGATTGGCTGCAAAATAAGCCGAACAATGATTCCAGTAAACAGAGAGGGGATTTATCCCCCGTTAAATGCATTCGCGCTACCTTCCATCGCCTTTTTTGACATTAAACTTCAGCAACCCATGTTTAAATTCTCTGGCGCAGATAGCCTTTAATTGAATCACTTAGAGCCGATATGTCAAGTAAGGAGTTAGCATGCCAGTCACTTGACCGCATTCTCCATTCTAAAGTTATTGTCTCATTCCGAAGAGCTTTATGGCTTAAGTTCATTATTAAAAGTGGCTTAAAAAGCATGAATACTCTGGTCAGAGCTAAATCTACTATTCCTCGTCAGATGGTGAAAGTCGACTACCCATTTAACTACGCCAACGCATTCCCTCTTCCTACCCTCGGGAAACGATGTTTCTTTTACTGCCCTTCATGCATAGATCTCGGCTCTATTCCTCGGGAGCGGGCTAAAGTTCCTGCCCTGGATATTTGAAGGTGCTTTACTAAATTACGCTTCCGCGCCACTGAATGCAGATACCGCATCTGCGTCACGAGGCATCCCTAGCCGAGATGTATATAACACGTGATTGTGACTGCACAAGCTTAATCACTGAAATGGTAAACAAGGGTTTTTATAGGGGAGCGGCACCATGGTCGGCGGAGAAAGACATCTACTAGTCAACCTGAGAGAAGAATAAAAGCTCCGTTGGTCGCAAGTAAAGAAACTTTTTGCTGAAAACTTTTTGCTGAAAACTTTTTTCTAGGAGACCAACGGATCTATATAGGTACTAGAGCGCGATGTTCAGGAAGAAGTGGTTATCATCTATCAAAAATATGTAGTCGAATTCTTCATCCAGTTCCATATACCCCTCATGTTGATTGTCGGTGTTGTTACATTGGGTGAACTATGACTTAGAAGGTTTTAGAACCAGTCAGTGGCTGTAGGGACAAGACTGTACCATAAAGCTAACCGAGTCTTGTCTAATGACCTCCTGCGTAGTTGTTCGGTATAATTATAATAATATTGGTAACAAATTAAAATATTTGTACGTAAAAATTCAAGTTGTCAATATGAACTTTCCGCATGGTTGGATGGCGATGGCAACCTGGCAACCCGTATGGCTCTGTGCACGGACCATTTCGCTCATACATGGTTATGAGAACTCGACGGTTTTCTTGTTCACCAATGGAAACTGCCAAGCTTGATTTCGTGGGTCTTTGGAAATCCAAATTTGACCTATTCCGGTCTCCTACCCATCCGGTCTACAGTGGCACCTCGAAATCTTTCGACCACCCCCTTGATTATAATATATTCTGCCGCTTATTCCGCCTTTCTAAAACCTAAATTTCTACGCATACTACCTAATACTTTGTATACCAGCCATCTGCCTCAATATTTTGCCTTCACCCGATGTGGCATAGTCTCAGATAGACGACCCATTATTTCTAGGTCTAAGGCATCCCACGCTTCCTGTGCTGCGTCGATTAAAAGCGCGTGTGTTGTGTCGTTGTTTAGCATGTTTTTAAGCTCTGCATGTATCTTATCCTTTAAAAGCGTCCATAGATTTTCAATAGGATTTAGATCAGGCGATCGCGCTAGCCATTCCATTACCTCAATACGCATCTCGTGTTGGGCCTCGCGTACGATTAATGCAATATGTGTAGAAGCATTATCTTGTTGAAAGATGCCGTCTTGATTTGCAAGTAAGGTAGGTAGGATTCGGCGATATAAATCCCGAATAACAAATCGATCAATACCCCCACGGGCTGATTCAGGATTTCCAAACTGGAAATTTCTAAAGAGAAGTTTATGTAGCTAGCTACTGAGAGCTTCAATGCAGTGATTAATTCGCATATATATTATACACTTGCGCGACGATGCACTATGGAAGTAGTATATATTCTTATTTAATACTTTTGTTAGTTAACTAGTTAAGTTACTGAAATATCTCTTACTAAGCACCAACTAGACAATTAACATCTTTATCAAAAAGTCTGCTTGATGCCGTTCGATAAACGATCATTGTGGCTATAGACGCTTGGGTAACCTCATCCCGACTTTGAGCTGCCGAGTAGATTAGAGTGGGTCTTTCGATTCGGCCAACCTTAACCGGGTCGGAATTATGACGAGATCATCGATGGGCATAGCTCCAAACCGTCTAGAATTGGACGTATGTTAGGGTTTGAGATCGAATATAGGGTTTCCAATAGCTTAAGCATGCTCAGAGGCTTTGCGACATTACAGATCATGCTAGTGTCCGCGTCCGGATCGTCGTTTATATAAGTGGTTCGACTCGAGTTCTAATATAGGGTTAGGTTTGGGTTAGGATGGGCGCTGCCGAAGTCTAGTAGGTACGAGGTGAGAAATAAAATAGACAATATTTGAGCTCAATTCCAGGACTTTGAGTGCCTAGAGGCCTTTTTGCAAAGGTGCCTGTAAATTGAAGATAGTTGTAAAGGTGCAAAACCAATGGTAGATGCCTATGAATGAAGGTAATTGAATGCCTAAGTCCGCATAAATGGCGGGGCATATGGGCCTGAGGCGCGCTCTCTCTGTCTCTCTCTACAAGAGGCTAGGTTGTTATATCGAGGGAATTAGGCAAACAGTTGTCTTCAACACTCTTCAACCGCCGCTTTCTTTTCAATCCTCCCACCAAAAACGCCCAACCATCCTCAAAACTTACTCTCAACATCTTGAATCCCTACTGAAGCCGAACCAACAAGTATTGGCACACACCTTAACAGTTGAGGTTAACCATGTTGCCTTGTTCGCCTTGCGGACCCCACTTTACGGCGATGAGTTGCCGGAGTCGATCAAACAGTTACACTTGCACGTCACCTGTTACCATGCCGCGGCTCCGAAAAAATTCGGAGGACTCATTAAGGCTCTCACACATCAGAACCCTAGCCAGTCTCCGCGTGTCAGTTTCTAAAACGATAGTTGATCGCCTTTCAACCAATGGACTAGATCCGACAGCAATGGGCGCAGAAACAATCTCACCATGCCTTCCTATCGATAGTGACTGGGAATCTTGGGAACAGGTTTTGAACAATCCACTCGGTGTGTCTGATTTAACTCTTTCAAAGATTCTCGGGCTACGATCTACCGGCAGCGCATTTCCTTTATCAAACTCGAAGAGCTGGGTGAAGGAAGACCACATTCTTTACATCCGTTCATTCCTCTTGAAAGCGAATGAGCTACGAGCCATCATAATGAAGTTCCATGAAAATGGGATTGAGACTGGTACCACGTTGTCATGGCTAGATTACATTAATGGAATACGACCAGAGCAAAGAGTCTATATTCGATACGTTGGCAAATCAAATCGTTCGGCAGCGTTGCGCTTCAGGGAAGACATTTTGCTTAGGCAGCGTGGTTTTATCGCCAAATTTGTCCAAGCTTTGGGTGACCTTTTCCCCCAATCTCTTGATTCCGCGTCGGTATATGAGCTTCAGGGCAGCTACGCGCCAAAACTTGCCGAGCACATAGAGAGAGTTTTGATTGTCTTGCTTGGCTTCCCTTCATTGTTAAACCAGCGACTTTGGCCAATCAACCTTTTCAGGCCCAGCGTTGCACATGCAAACGCCTTTCGAAAGCTTGGAACAAGGACTATTGCTCGTCTCAAGCCGTCTGAATTCCACCCATCGCCAAATTTCTTGTCTCTTGAGACCTGGGGTGAAAAGGTCCAGGCTTATGCGGAAGCACACCAGCTTTCCGTTTGCGTTTGGAGGAACAAAGTGTACCCGTTCTCAAATGCCCTTAGACGGACTATCATCGAACAAGGCAGACCGTCAACCTTTCAAGGAAAATTCGTGTTGTTTCTAGTTATCGGAGAGCGGATTCCTGCTCTGGATTATCGAGAGGCAACCGGGTTCTTCTCCAGCCCTTGCAACTCTTCTGATTTGCTCAAAGGCTTTTTGACAAGACTTTGGAGCTGGGAGGAAGGCCAACCGATGACACCCTCTCAAAATGATATCTGCAGACTCATAGCCGCCGGTGCGATACCTTTCGTGGATCTGTGCCCATGGATAAAAGCCGAAGGGACACACCTTTTGGAAGCGTCACATCTTTTAAGAGAATATACGTCATCCGTTAAGCCCATGATCGTCATTTCTATCGCTACAAGGTCTTCGTCAGTTGTTGCCTCCGGGTTTTCTCATGCCTTTGGATATCCACAATCTTGCAAATTTCGCGATAAAGTTGGCCGACTGAACTTGGTTCATTGTGGGTCAGAATTTTGTTGCCTGCAAATACCATGCTTCCACCCTGGCCAGGCGCGTTTCTCAGCCAACCCTGAGACATTTGCCAAGGTTCTAGATATGACTCTGTGGGTACTACTGTTGACTATAAGTGTTACTTTGGACTCCGCGGCAACTTTCGAAGAACGGACACGCGAGGACTGGTGTATTTACATCAAGAACACCGTGGAACAAAGATTACGCAATGAGAACTTTTACAGCTCTTACGACCAGTTGAAAGCAAAACTTCAAGATGAAAGACCGAAATGGTGCTCAACAGGTCTTATCTCACGGGATCGTTACCATCTGGCGGTGGCTTCCCGGCCAGTAAAGGTATGTTCTTCGCCCCTTTCCAGTATATCAGGCCCGCATAGGTACCTCCGTCAAGCGACGCGAGGGACTTTTTCCAAATTATTGGTTCTAATGATGTGACAAAAGGACCGACTTCTCTTGGTGGGCTTTGCCGTTGATGAACCGAGCTTGTCTCGTCGCAGACAACAAGTTTGGACTTTGTGGCATCTAAATATTCCGGAATTGCATAGCCACATAAGTCGAGAAAGAAAGGATGAATGGTTCTCTTGGGCGAACGATCTGGAAAATGGCACGTCTTTTCTGGCCCATGCCATTGTGAGTGCCGTGCTGGATTCCAACTCTACCTCGCCTCCATGTGCACTCTCGGGAAACCAGCAAGTCTCTCTATTTACGGCAGGGAGACCAAGGAAACGCCAGAAAATATTGCAAGAACTTAATAAAGTTGCTGAGAACTTTGGCTATTCAGGGATTCTGAATGTTTCCACGAATTCCGATCTTGTTCCATCAAGCATTGTCGGATTTTTGGAGGCTCTTTCATTGGAGTCATCTGGGCCCATAAGCCACCATGAGGCTGTAAAGCGCGTGACGGCCGAGCTTTCAGTAGCGCTTCTGCCATCGCAATTGCTCGATGCTTGCAAATTGCTCGAAGAGGAATGGGATATCGGTCGAGCTGATCGATTCAAAGCCGAATATCAACAGAGCTGGAGCGGAGCGCCAGTAGCCATTTGGAAAAATTTCAAGTTCGCCATTTTCTGGGAAAGTCCCGATGGGCAAAAATTCAAATTCGTTCTCTGTCCGCCTGCTTCGACCTGTCGGGCCCCCTTTTCAAAAGGAAAATGCATTTTCTTGTGTGTTACCTTTTATTCATGGGTTGGTTGCCTTTCTGACCGATTTTGCTAAGACATGATGCAGCACTCAAGACGGGATTGATTTGCGGGACGAGAACGGCATCCCATGTCGTACACAGGAAGGAACTGTTGGCACAGGAGCCTCTGTCACTTTTCCGATTTGCCGCCTACCCCATACTCAGAATAACGAGGATCTTGGTTCTCAGCTTGTGAGAATGTGGGAGCATGAAACCGGGCTAACATGGAGCAGTATCATAGCGGAGCAACTTAAAAGGGCCGCGGCGATGAAAGGAAGCAGCACCAATGTCAGCGCAATCCCCGGAAGTTTTTTTTCGGGACCGAGCAAATCTCTTCTCAGCTCGCATTTGTCAACCGCGAAATCGCAGCTCTATCAGGGCAACCCACAACCATCGGATGCTCTCTGGCTGTTGCAGATGTGCGTATATCAGCACTGGCCAAAGGGCGGAACTGTGTTCATTGGAGACCCCGACAAGTTTACATGGCGTGACGACAATTTCTGGGTGCAGCTTTGGAAGTAAATTTTTGCCTCTATTTACCCGAAGATACTCTCCATTAACGATTTCTGATAGGTCCTTGGCAAGTGGGAAGTACTCCAATCACCCGCGTATCGACGAAGTAAGCGCGTGGGCGTTGGATCTTTCGAATTCATGGAAAACGCAGCAGGTGATCGCAAATTTGAAATGCTTCTGTCGCATCCGCAATCAGAAAAAGATTCAAGTCAGAGACTATGAAAGAATACGCAAAGAGAAGAAGGATGTTAAGGTCGTTGGAACAGAAGTGGAGATCGTTTATGACCTTGTGGCTTGAGAATGTCGATGCTAATCTTGGTTGATTGATTTATTCATTGCTTCAATTACACCCGCCTCCGAATTTGGAGGTTAGTAGTCTGCTTCCTCTCTTCTTTAGTTTATCACGGGCGCATTCCAGAGTCGTTGTAGCCGTTGGAGAAAGACGAGCTGTAAGGTTTGTAAGGTAAGCGCAGAAATATATGTAAAATGTCCCTTCGAAAACTAAGGTCCATAGTTAACTTCCAGTTACAATTTTGGCCCTACTAGTTAATTATGATACACAGCTCTTGATCATTACTGACTCGCGTTCTTCATAAGTAGTTCTTCTTGTAAGGCATGTTAGTTAATTGATTACTATAGTAGCCCTAAGAAATAGGTGGTCGTATGAAGCAATCGTAGGCTCCTAGTTATCTTTTCAGCATCTCTTCAAAATTTGCTAGCAGAAGAAGAAGAAAAAGCGCGAGCTCTACTTAATCAAATTCTCTACTTACAGATATAGGGAGGATATAGGCAATGCGTTGTATAAATAATTATGGTTAGACTGTAAAATTGGAAGAAAAAAGGCAACACGTAGCCAACTAACGAACGATCTGATTTAGACAAAAGAACACATAACATATCTAGCAACTTGAAAATAGTTATCCAATTGGACCTGTGGCGCAGTGGTACGTTCTTCCAGAAGACTCGCAGGCCTTAATTCAACTAACCCACTCCTTTAGGTAGCGCGTGTGATTCCAGTCCACAAGGTCATCCGATCAAAACGGGTCAGGTTCAATCCGGAGTTAGCTCCTTTTTTTATTAAAATTTAAGATTTTCTTTTATCCCATCTGAACTTGAGTGTTTCAAATTAATTGTTCTAATTGGACCTGTGGCGCAGTGGTATGTTCTTCCAAGATCTTCTAGCCATTTCATTAACTAACCCACTCCTTTAGGTAGCGCGTGTGATTCCAGTCCACAAGGTCATCCGATCAAAACGGGTCAGGTTCAACTCGGAGCAAGCTCCTTTTTTATTTTTTTACTTTTTATTTTTTTTTATTAACACAAATGAAATTTTCTATTCTCCTATGTCAATTTAAGAGTTTCTTTTTGCTTGTTCTTCTTGCCTTCACTTGTAGGGCTTGAATATCAGGCAAAGAACCTAACTCTACATCCAAGGAATCCACCAGCACCTATGTCCTTATGCACACGTTCAATTGCTTCCAACTACCTAGACAACCACATCAATCCAAGCTAACTAAGTATAAAGTGGCTCCGTCAAATCATTTAGCGTAAGGCCTTCCTTGGCAACATCCTCATCGCACAAAAACATAAGCGGCATCTCCACCAACGTCCCCTTGACCTGCGCCAACAATTCCTTCACCTGTCTCGCACCCTCAGCACCGGGCGCAAAGTCCTCGCGCACAACATGGCCCCACTGGTACCTCGCCGGACGGCCCAGATCATCCTTGCCCTCGGCCTGCATATCCGCCTTGTGGAAGTAGTACTCGTAGAACTCCTTGTACGTGGCCCAGTTGCGGACATTGTCGTCCGGCACGGCGTGGAAGACCTTGCGGAAGACTTCGGTGTTGGTGTGTGCGCGCGTGTTCCACATGCTGTCCAGTGTGTCGGCGAGCGGGTCCTCGACGACTTTGCTTTCTGGGCAATCGAAGTCGAATCGGTTGGGGATCCCCACGGGCTCGGAGTTTTCGTTTGGCACCTGGTAGTCTTGGGGTGGGAGGAGGCCGAGATGTTTGCGGAAGAGCTCGCGGCGCAGAGATGACGCGAACCGGCTGGCTGTCCATGGCTTGCCGTTCATTCTTGACTGGACTGGTGTGTAGTCCTCGATCACCACGGCGATTTCGGAGTCGTGGTCGCCGAGCTGCGAGCGGTCGTTTAGATTGGCGGAGCCACAGATCACTACGCGGTCGTCGGCGATCATCACCTTTCTGTGTGTTAGTTTTTCGATGGATGGTTTGATGGGTAAGAAACATACCTTGGAATGAACGTATAGTTCTTCACTGACAAACGCGTCAATCTCGGCATCTGGGTGGCCGTCCCAAGGCACATTGCGAATGTCCTCTCCGCCCAACATGTAGCACGAACTGACACTATCCCAGAGGGTGCTGGACTTGCCGTGAGACTGCTGCTGTGCAGCCTGCTGATACTGCTGGAATGGGGCGGTGGTATCGAAAGCACTTCGCGAAGCATCTTGGGGAGCCGGAGCATAACCTCCAGGACCAGCAGTCTTCAGGTCATACTGTCTGCGAGCATCATCATAGTTGACACCGCTCTGGTGCTCAGCTGCAGCCATAACGCCGCCGGTGTTTATGCGGTCGTAATTGCGCAGATTGTAGAATCGGATATAGTCCATGGGGTTGAAGCCCTCCTTGGCAATTAGTTCCATGATGCTATGTCCGCCACGGTTGATCGAGTTGTACTGGAACTCCATGATAGCACGAGTGCCCAGAGTCTCGTCATCGTGCAAGTCACCCGCGAAGCAAGGAACTGAAGGAATGACAACAATTATCTTGTATTTCTCACCAGCGCGAGCGGCCCGCAGAATGCGCTCCACGATCGCAGCGCCGATCTTGTTCTTCACCGGCTGTTGAGAATCACCAGTCGCCGTGATAAAGAACTGGTTCTCGATGTACACAAAATGCTGACTGTTACGAATCAAGGCTACATAGGCATCTTGAATCGAATGTTCGAGAGGGCTGCCATTGCTCCATTTCGAACAGCTGCGCACAACTTGGCAGGACATGTTGCCTCGTGCATGCGACGAGGGTTGGCCGTAGGGGATCAAACGGTCTTGGTACTGGTGGATTTGACCAGCTAGATTGGCACGCAGGGAGTTGCCATATGAGGATAGGTTCCCTCGCAAACCACTCGGTCCAAGCGATCCCCGCTCTCCTTCATAGGGATAATCATCGATTCCCCGAGTGTTCGAGTGAGATGACTCTTGAGTTGGCGGGGGTGGGTAATAGGATGACTGGGATGGTGTCTGGCCTTGATAGCCTGCAGATTCCTGACCTGGAGGCGGTGCGAAATACGGAGTCTGTCCTTGTGGCTGGCTCTGGTAGGAGGGATGCGCGGATGACTGATTTGGAGGAGGCCCTGGTGGAGGGGGCGGGAAAGAACCCCCAGTATAGTTATACTGAGGCGATCCCTGGCTTGGATGATGGCTTGCCGCAAGTTCATAAGCTGGTGGATCCTGACTTGGAGGTGGTGGATAGGTCTGGCTCTGGGTACCGCCTGGCTGGTACGATGGAGCAGATTGCTGGTGTTGCTGTTCCTGACCTGGATGTGGAGAATAGCTTGGGCCACTTCCAGGGTGGTATGGCTGATAGGAAGTGGCAGATGGTTGGTGTTGCTGCTGTGGTTGCGGGCTCGAAGAAGTCTGACCGGGGGAGGGAGGATACGCTGAAGCACCGCCTGGATGGTAAGACTGGTAGGAGGGCTGAGCAGGCTGCTGCTGCGACTGCGGCTGTGGGCTCGAAGAAACCTGACCCGGGGGAGGAGGATACGCTGGTGCACCGCCGGATGGATTAGACTGCCAGGATGGCTGATTCGCCTGGTGCTGCTGGTTCTGATGACTCGCTTGTCCCGAGGGATATGGGTTGGGCTGCTGCATGCCCGGCTGCTGGGGACCGGTTGAGGAGGTAGGCTGCCCGGACAAAGCGAGCCGGGTGTACCTCGAGTCAGTGCGAACTTTGTACTTGGCATCGAAGATGAAGTTCCAGCGCTCCACAAAATGGAGACGCAAATCCTGAACGACGGAGCCATGCAGACTTATGGAGATATCAGACCATCCCATTCTGGACATGTTCTTACGATCCAGCGCATTCTGCTCCCACTGGTTGACATTCTGGAAGTCAAGGACCCGGGAATTGTTGTAATCTTGGCCGGGGAATACAATCTCGTTCAGGTCAGCGGGATGCGCATCGGCAATGGCGTGTTGGTGCGTGTCCCAGCGCCCGAAACAGAGGTCCAGGCCGCCCATAAAGGCGATCTGACCGTCAATCAGACACAGCTTCTCGTGATGCGCCCAGTACAGGATCACATCGTCGTTCATCCCGTACAGCTTCTTGATGGTGTCCTTGGACATCTTGCCCAGACTTGCTGTATTCAGCGACATGTTTTGGAAGCTGGATGTGATCGATGACGCCAGTTCCTGCCGGTCCGGCAGGTGGTCCGGGTGGCGGAAGACAGCAATATTGGGGTGCATGTTCTCCAGGTGGTGCTTGGTATGAGAGGAGGATACTATCGGTGGTCAGTCTCGCTTTTGGTAGCCAATGTGAGTAAACATACAAGTCAGCGCCTGGGTCACCTCCTTGTAGACAATGATATTGACCCGCACACCACGCTGTGCCGCAGCCTGCAACATCCGGTCTAGCCGATACTGCTCATTCTTGGCGGGGGTCTTCTCAGATAAAGTTCAGGGGATAGCCACCCTGGAGGGTTGTCAGTGGGTTTCTTTTTCCGGGTTGAACCAACTTACAGTCCAAGATCCAGATCGACTCGCGCGCATTCTCCAGCGCCCGGGACACTGCCCAGAAATAACTGCACCCATCCACATACCACTTGACATCGTTGTGCTCACGGTGAGGCGCAAAGCTGCCGAACCGATGCTCGTTGCTGCCAGGATTGCCGGGCCCATATTGAGCATACGCTTGCGGGTCGATGGTGGTGCCAATCTTCGTGGCAAACTCCGATCCTAGGCCGGCCACAGTGCCCTGGAGCTTGCCCAAAAGCCCGCCAATGCGATCATCCTTGGGTGGTTTGTTCTGGTATTCGGGCTGCGGGTATTGTTGTTGGTAGGTAGCATTGGGATTGGTGTTATCGTGACTGTATCCGTACGGGCCAGATTGATTCTGGGGTGGGTAGCCCTGTGAATGTCAGTTGAGGCATTTGTAGAGAGTAGAGGATATTCATACAGTCTGGGGGCCACCCTGGTTGTATGTTTGTTGGCCCGGCTGCGCCGAGCCCTGGTGAGACTTGTAGGCGTGACGGAGCATATTGAAGGTGTCGCCCACGAGACCTTTCGCAGAGTCCGTAGCACCACGGTCAGACCCCTGGTAGTACTGGCCATAGGCCAGGTCATCCTGCTGGGACATGATGAATGATGGTGAGCAGAAGAGAGAGAGTTGAGTGGTGTGTTGGCGGGGCCGGTCTCACTTATGAAGTGGCCCCGCCCAGCCTTTGTGTGGCTGTGTATTTTAGTTCTCCCACATCCATCGTGCCTCGTCTGGTGATGCCAGCTAGATGTTATGACTAGTAATACACAGCATAATACAACAACATGGAAGGTATACATGTATAGGTTGTATAGATCAGCTGATCCATGGTACACGCTGTCATGACGCACATTGCTGTAATCTTATCGCTGATGATCGCAAACCTGTCTCCTTGATCATCCTCATCATCCTCCACCATGTCTCTAGCCACTCTGGATGTATAGACACTCCCCATTATATATTGTGAGTTCCTAATCACTAATCCGGGTAGACCGCCCAGCACCCCCAGCTCTCTGCTGCCGCTGCCACGCTCTTCTCGGCCAAAGCCGCCAAGCAGCTGAGCTTCGAGCAGATCGCCAACCACATCGGGCGCAATGAAGTGGCCACCGCCGCCATCTTCTACGGCCAGGCCAAGGCCTCGCCCGACGATATCCAGAAACTCGCGTCGCTGCTGCAGATCCCCGCCGGCCCGCTGGAGGAGCAGCTGAGTGGGTTTCCAGACCGGGGCCGGTCAGTCGAGATGCCCCCCCGGGAGCCTCTGATCTACCGGCTGTATGAGATTGTGCAGAACTATGGCTATGCGTATAAGGCGGTGCTGAATGAGAAGTTTGGGGACGGGATTATGAGTGCCATTGCCTTCTCGACCAATGTTGAGAAGGAGACGGATCCCCAGGGGAATACTTGGGCAGTGATCACGCTGCGTGGGAAATGGTGAGTGATTGATGGACGAGTGATGTGGTGCAAGGTATACTAAATGCTGCCAGGCTGCCCTATTCGCGATTTTAGTTGCCATCAAATGTACTGGTTTCCTTTCCTTCTCTTTTTCCCTTGTAAACAACCCACCCTTCCTCCATCTCGTCCTCCCTTCTTTGCTATCACCCAACCAACTCTTCTACCTTCCTCTCATCTAGCATGGCTTCTTCCAAGGTCGTCTGCTCCTTCAAGGGTTGCTTGCAGGACTTCGACTCCGAGAAGGCCATGCGAGCCCATAAGATGTACGACCCCAAGCATGAGTACTGCGCCAAATGCAACATGGACTTCAGCGACCGCACCGAGTACTACATCCACCGCATCATGAGCAACAAGCACTTCATGTGCCCGGTCTGCACAGTCGAGTTTCGCAGCGGCACGGGTCGCGAGATCCATATCCAGAACGTGAGGGAGCACCTCTTGCTGGGAAAGACAACAGCTAATCCCCCATCTACAGAATCACAAGCGCGACCAGAACATTACCTGCACGGGCTGCAAGAGCAGTTTCAGGTCTGCTGCCAGTCTGATCGTGCACATTGAGCGCAACGACTGCAGTGGGATCACCTTTGCGCGTCTGACGCAGGAACAGGCTCGTCGGTCCCTGATCAATGCTACCCTCAAGAAGGACCCGAAGGTTGCCGCCCCGCCTGCATCGTGGGCATCTGCGACTGCCACCAACACCGATGACCAGGATGGCGGCGTGCGTCTCAACATCGACGCAGCCATCAGAGAGGCCATCGCCTCCCAGCCGCAACTGCCGGGCTCGGCCAGCGAAGAAGACGCTGCGACCCTCTCCCAGAAGCATTGGCCTGCTCTCACTCCCATGAAAGCCGAGCCAAAATCGAAACCAAAGCCCGCTGGTCCAACCTTCACTCTGCCAATCCGACCTGCAAATTCTGGGCTTGCTCCCGAGTCCGTTACCACTGGCACCTTCACCTTCACTCTGCCCATCAGATCGGGCAAGGTTGATCCTGCCACCGAACCAGTCACCATTACCTCTGCGAACCTGCCCACTGACCCTGTGGTGACAACCAAGGAAGAGCAGGACGAGCCACTCACTCCAAGCCTCCCAACCGGGCCCGACGACCTGATCTCCTTCGACGACGATCCTGTCCCCGTGAAAGGCGGCAACACAGCCTTCGGCACGAACCGCCGCGCTGTGCGCGAGGGCACCTTCGGTATTGGCGATATCCATCCCCTCAGCTTGATCCTTGACAAGAATGCCCGCTGGGATGCATCCAAGTTCTTTGACAAGGAGATGGGCCGGTACATCTGCAACTGCGGACATGCTTTTGCGCGCAAGGACGATTTCGAGACGCACATCGTGACGGAGCGCGAGAATCGGGAGCGTGATGTGTACGTTCTTTTCTTTCTTTTCTTCTATTCCACCCCCCTCCCCCGACAGTTCTTTTCTTTCTTATCTACTTCGGAGCCTAGACTTACTGACTGATATCTAGTTGCCCCAAATGCCACAAGATTTTCAACTCCACTTCCGCCCTCATCAGCCACATGGAATCCGTCCGTTCCCGCTGTGGGATGCGCGCGTACGCAGACTTCGGACACGCCCTCGACGAAGCGACCGGTGGACTGGTCCAGGTCGATGCCTTCAACGCGGACGGCACGCCGCATATGGTTGCTCGCGCACTGGATGATCCGGAGATGACTACCATCGGCACGGATCTGAGCAAGCCCACGCCTCTTCTGCAGTGAGGATCGAATGAGGATTAGAACGTTCTGGTGTTTCTCGTGGGTGGAGCTGATTTCACTTCTGCCGGGGGAGTTTGCGAATAATTGATGGAATGGAGCCGCCGGGGAGTTAGTTTTCTTTTCCATATTTTCCAAGCCTGTTTCTATCCAGATCGCAATGCAATACTCCCAACTCAACAGATTCAGTCTACGTTCTCTACTCTACTCTACTCTACTCCACGGTAAAGGCAATGGTATTGGCAGGAAAGAACCTGGAATTGGCGCTGGAGAAAAAAAGGGTATAGAGAGTAAAAATGCGGTTCCCGAATCTAGTCCCCACCTCCACTGAAAGAAGAATCAAGATACACAGGGATTAGTTATGGCATCGCCAGCCTAGATGAGGAAGCAGCAGAATCATAAAATGAAGCCACAGAGTCGGTAAGACAGTCGAAAACAGCCGAGTTGAATTCAAAAAGCAGGAGCAGAACAAAAGGCACACTTCCATCCTTCTCTCCCACCAACCAACCAGGACAGACAGAGCGAACAGACAAAACTGAACAGACCACATCTCCACCCCGAGTTCCACAGGTATCGTCCATCGGACAGATTTGCGGTCAACAGGAGAGTAGCGAGAATGGCGATCGTTCCATCAGATGGGCCCGTCGAGGTGTCGGGTCGGTAAGAGAGAAAGAACAAAAAGGTGTGGTGGGTATGTTGTGTCCCGCATCGCATGTCTAGCATTATCGATGAAAGGAATGAGGGGAAAACGAATCAAGTCGAAGGAACGCTGCGAAAGGCCACACTCATGGATAGTAGAGAGGGGCAAATCGCTTAGCAGCATTCTTCGCAGCACTCGAAGCAGAGCAGACCGGCACAGCTGGAAGCAAGGATTAGTATGTATACCCCCAGAAAATCAAGGCGATGGATGGGAGAAGGAAGACTTACAGGCCGCAGCAGACGTCACCGGCACCACCGCCGCGCAGCTTCATCATGTTCTCCTGGGAGTTCTGTGAACCAGTTAGTATGGAGTATTGGGGAGGCAGAAGAGAGGTGGAAAGGGAAGACGCACGGGCTGCTCGGTGACGACACGCTCAGTGGAGGGCGCTTCCGGGGAGGTGGGCTGCTGGTTCTGGACGGTAGCAGTGTTGGCATCCCAGGTGGCCTCGGGAGCGGAGTCCTTCTTGGGGGAAGAGAAGAGGTTGAAGCCGAACATTTTGGTGTTGTGGCAGAGAGTGTGTGGTGTGGATGGTGTGGGTGGTGTAATGGGGAAGAGAAGCAAGAAAGTCAGTGGGGAGGGGGGGATGCAGAGGGATTTATGTTTCGGCCAGGGTTGATTCGGCAGTCTGTTAGTTACTTAGTGGCACAAGTCGGGTGAGAGCGATCATGATTATTGCAGCTACGAGAAACACACGGTGGGGTGCCCAGGGGCTTGCGCGGGAGAGGACCACGTCTGATTGGGCCCACTTGTCGCCCTAAGCCCTGTGATTGCGTCGTGGCGGATCAGAGAGTGGCCACTGGATAGATTGTGGCTGCTTAGGTCTGATAGGGCGAGAGTTTGTTTTTGGCTGCTACAGGATTATATTGAATCGCCAGCCTGGTTCACAATAATAATACTGAATCACCTAGAGCTGAACTGGATTACATAATGATGGTGCCTAACCGTGCCACACATGGCGGGCCCACCGGCCCTTTCCACTGGGCCCCGGGCCAAGCTTCGGTTAAGCTTTGTCATTCGCACCTCCCAGATAGCGCTATTTTTAGCGGTGGCTCAGCCAGCCCCTATACGTAATGGGCGCATCGTGGCTGGAGCTGGATCGCAGTCCGGTTCAAGGATAATCCCTGGCGCTAGAACTATATATGCGGTGATAGTATCTATACGTCATCGTTAGATATTGCTAACTGATGATGAGATGAGGACCAGATGCGAGATCGGATATAGTTGTGGAATGTAATACCCTACTTGAACTATCTCGGCCATCTCCGAGTCGATATTCGTAAACCTATCATCAACATAATTAGGCACCTTCTCCACCTCCAGACCCGCCTAACCGAGCATTCTTCCGATCCTTCCGCCAAACAAAAAACCACGAAGCTAGCACACCGGAGATAGCCGCACAAAGGAAGCAGAGACAGATGATGAAGGACACGCGATACGTCGGCCCGAACACCGTGCTGTATATGTGAGGTCCAGCAATCCCACTAAACTGCGCCATGGCATTCGTTGCCCCAATACCAATCCCCGCGGCCACCGTGCCCTCCAGATCACGAATCCGCTCTGGCCAGATGACCGGGTATGCAGACCCGGCACACGCAGTCGCAACGATCAGGGCGAGGTATTTGACCACTGAGTTGGGAACTGTGATCAGGATGATGTAGCAGATGATTGTCGTGCTTTCAACTGTGGCCACAGTCAGTAGGAGCCTTGCGTTGAATGTATGCATGCAATGTGAACGAAGACACTTACTCGCGACTGCAGTGGTCCATGGTCTGATCCATCCTCTATGTAGCAAATACCCGAGGCCATTTAAAAAGAAAAAGCATGCCACGTAAGGAGGCTGTCAGTCCCGAGCTGGTTAGAACTTTCATACGGATCGGTGTATTCTCTTTCGATTCGGGTCCAACTCACAATATTCATCAGCTGTGATAAAGCCGTTGAACTGAACCCAAGTTCGTAAATGACGGTAGGCAAAGCATATTGCACCCCAAACCCACCGATGCCATGCCCGATCCAGTAGGTTGAAAATGTGTAAAGCGTAGGACTCTTGAAAAGCGCTTTAACACCGGCCCAATCCCAGTTTTTGTCTTTTCCCGACGGTGCCGAAGAGGAGAGACGGCCATCCAGGAAGGATCGCTCCTCCTCCGTCAATATGCGGGCGGTCTCTGGGTAATCTGGAAGACCGAACAGCGCCACAAAAGAAAGGGCAATGGCTGGAAGGCCTTCGATAATGAATAGCCATCGCCAGCCTGATAGTCCGGCGGCCCCATCCGCAAAGCTAATGGCATATGCGAGCAGCCCGCTCAATGCGCCAGATACCTGGCCGAGAGAGTAAAAGAGAGCGATTCTCCAGGGCAGTTCGGATGGCTTGTACCAGAATGCCATGTGGTAGAGCACAGCCGGGTAGAACCCTGCCTCAGCCATTCCAATTGCGAACCGCACGCACATCATCCCCGAAAAGTTCTGGGCTGCACCTGCTGCGCAGGCACAGATACCCCAGGACAGGATCAGGACGAACATCCATGTTGAGGGCTTGAAGCTCTTGAGAAGGATCGTGTTAGATGGCTCGAAGATGAGGTAGCTGTACGAGAAGATGGACTGCGTCCAGGACCATTGCGAGGGGCTGAAACCGAGCTCTTTCTTAATCCCCGTGCCGGCTTCCAGGTTGATAATGGCTGCGTTGGCGTAGTTGTTTGAGTCAATCACCCGGAAGATGTATACAACAGAGTAGAAGCCCACAAGCCAGAAGTCAATCTTGCGCATAACCCTCTTCTCGAGTTTGGCATAATACTCAATGTCGGCATTCTCGCGATCGATTTCATTGAGTGGAGATGAAGTCACACTGGTGGTAGATACCCGGTCGTCACCCTTGCCAGATGTCATATTGCCCATCTCGTTTCGATGTTGGATTGGTCTGAGCGACAAATCCCGACAAGCAAATCCCGAAAGGCAAAGCTGAAAGTAATTCCCTGAAAAGACCGCATCCTTATGTCTTCTGCGACACCCCTCATCTTTGATGACAGGAATCTTAGAGTTCGCTTTTGCCATGATAGTTTCGATCACGACATACGCTTCCTCTCCGGTTGCACCTATCCTAGAGACATCAACGACACGATCTGTCGCCCACTCTTGCTTCAGACTGTGGCTTGCATATGGAGGAGTCTAGAAGGCCATAATTGCGTGATGATCGACTCATTTTTAGTATACCGCGCATGTATATATACCCAAACGGATTGTATCCAGGCTCGATATGCACAAGTCAACAACGAACTAATATGCTGTCAACTAGAGACCGACCAATCATTTTATTAATAATCTGATAATTTTCTACCGTTCTGAATTAGCCGGCATGGTAACGCCGTAGCCAATAACGCCATCCGGGCCAAGAATGATGTCCTCATACGACCCCGCATCTGTGCAATGGGATGGGCATGGAACAAATCCCGATAATATTTGTAATGGAGCAGGTTCCGTGGATATATAAGTCCCATTTTGTCGCTTGGAACATAGCTCACGAGTTGGTAACTGTCATTCGGCATTCTCTATAGCTACAGAGCAAAAATGGCCCCATCCGCCATCGAAGAGCAACCCCCCATCCAAACGGTCCCGATCAAAGCATGGAACCGCCCCGCGCCTACCGAGGAGAAGCTTGATTGGGCTCCATTGGTGCAAATTGACCTGTCTCGTTTCGACGAACCGGGCGGAAAGCAAGAGCTCGCAAATCAACTATACGATGCTGTGACGCGGGTCGGTTTCTGGGTTGTAGTTGGCCACGGACTTAGCGAAGAACGTGTCCTGCGTCAGTTCAGTCTTGGTAATGCGTTTTTCAAAGAGCCTCTCGAGGAAAAGCGAAGTTTCCCCTGCAATTTTGCCGAGGGCGAGTATTTTGGGTACCGTGAGAACTCAAGGTGGGTTGGAGATACGGGAGTTAAAGATAATGTGGAGATGGTATGCGCATACCCACTATCTGCATTAGACAAAGGCTAATCTTTGTAGCTCAATGTTCCCAAACCAATCCCTGCATGGGATGATGTTCCTAAACACAGGATCGTCCGTCAGAATTACGATGAGATCGCGAGCTTCCATCGTGATCTTTTTGACAATGTTATCAGAAAGTTGTTTGTCCTAATGGCGATTATTCTCGAATTGCCTGAAGACTACCTGGTCAATGCGCATGCCTATGACCAGCTTTCTGACGACCACTTGCGATATATGATCTACAACACTCGGACCCAAGAGGAATGGGACAAGGCCCAGGGCTACACCAAGGGCGGACATACCGACTTTGGCAGCTTGACGTTGTTGTTCTCGCAGCATGTTGCCGGCTTGCAGATCCGGACTCCAGAAGGGGAATGGAAATGGGTGAAGCCCGTTGACGGCGGGATTACCTGCAACGTTGCCGACACCTTATCCTTCCTTACTAATGGTGAGTGCGCGTATCAATTGACACGGAAATATTCCCCTAATCAAAGACAACAACAGGTTTCCTCAAATCCACGATCCATCGCGTTGTCACACCCCCGAAAGATCAGCTCGACATTCCGCGCCTTGGGTTGCTCTATTTCTGTAGACCTGGAGATCATACCATAATGAGGACTGTGCCATCGCCTGTACTTGACCGTCTTGGTATGCTTACTGAAGAGGACAAACATCCAAGCAAACCTGCCCCTACAGGAACTGAATATGTTCGTGCTCGGGTGAAGGATGTGCATCATAAGACTGTGATTGATCGCCGGGAGAATACGTCTTTTGAGTTCAAGGGGTTGAAGGTGCAGAATTATTATGCTTAGGAGGTCACAGTATAAGCTTTCGTTGAGAGCTTGGATTCAACAAATTATTCAAATTGTTGCTATAGTTAGTGTTACTTGTATACTTTTGCAACCGTACAATAATACGCCCAACACCAGCTTTTGGTCGGCTGGACAATATTTCAAATTCTACAGTCATCGAGGTCTCGCGCAGTTAATTTTGACATTATTATCCTTATTATTTGACACAAAACAGTTGTATAGAAGCCGGGGTCCACGTGATCACCCATCACCTGACCTGCACACGGAGAACATCCGGCCCGCCGTACTTTTTTCAGATGAATCGAGCAAGCAACACCTCGAGAGACTGGCAAGCATGGCCGCCCCCAATAACACCCAGGGCGTGCGTGAGGCCGACTACGAGCGCTTCAAGCACTACACCGCGCTGACCTTCCTCGTGGCGTCCCCCGTGCTGATCGCCCTCCCACCCCGCAAACTCGACCACCTCACTGTCCTCCTGACCGGCGCATTCTGCGCTTCCGCCAACCACATCACCCGCGAACGCACGGGGCGTAGCATACTCGATCGCCTCGAAGCCCGCATCACCTCTTCCTCATCCCCACGTCCTCGAGGATCTCCCGGCATATTCAGCGATCTGCCAAGTGATCGCGCGGAGGAGATTCAGGCACGTCTGCGCGCGGCACGAGATGCGCAGCTCCGCGATGCTGGGCTTACCACGGACGAAATTGAGAAGCTGAAGGCGAGACAGCAGCAGGATAGGGGGGTTGCGCAGCGGATTTGGATGGGGAATGAGACGGAGGGGTGGAAGGAGCGCCGTTTGCGCGAAGAGCAGAAGGCGCTGGATGAGGGGAAGGGGTATGGGGATTTAATTAAGGATCATATCTGGGATGTGTGGACGTGGGGGAACAAGGATGAATCGGAGGCGGAGAATGATGAGAAGAAGGATTGAAGTCGACTGCCTTCTCTTGTCACCACTCACGCCATTCATTCAACTACATGACTCGACTCTACTCCTGCGCCATGTCGCATTGTACATTTATCTATCTACAGCATTGGGATTAGGTGTTTGGTGTTTTCTATTTTACCAGGAACCAGTGGATGAACAATGGTGATTTCATTCAAAGACAACTATCTAACATACATTTCACAAACTGGAAAATACAAGCCGACACTCTCCTCGATAATCGACTCGCGGCCCGGGTACCACGAGGCCAAGGCTTGTCCTCACGACCATGACTCCGCTTGGGGCCTTGACTGAGAGTGAAGACGAGTACATATATCCATCCATACAACAAAATGTCACCAATATGTCAATCTCTCCAGATCAGACAATCTCAACAATAAACAATATTAAACAAATGTGGCAAAGACAGATCCAAGATACATGAAAACAAAGCATCCCCTCATTCGAGCCGTACTTTTTTCTTTTTTGGTTGTTTCGTTGTTTTTGCACGGGGCCAAGGAAAACATCCTCGCTGCTCTTGGACAACTTTGGCAAGCGAGGTCAAAACCTTGACCGGGATGGGAACATTGAAACAATTTTGCTTCTCTCCTTCAGAATAGTAACGGTGCGCAGGCCCGTCCGCCCTTGCACCGTTAAAATGCCTTCCCGTTCTCTGCGTCCCCAGTTTACCAATTTCCCCGGAACCCCCCTGTGCGGGGGAGGATCCTCACTGGCTCCAGTGTGGGCCTTGTCAAAGACAAAAAACTTTCGGGACCGATACTCTCCAAGCAGGGCACGGTCGAGTTTGAACTGAGGGGGATGGCTCAGACCAGAAGACGGCGGATGGTCGAGTGTCGCGAGAACTCGATGGGAGACGGGGCCAGCTGTTGGTGAATGCCGGGACTTGAATTGTTCCAGCAGGCCGTGATGGAGAATGGCCGAGACGCTGGTGCCCGTGGGTTTTGTTGAAGGTAAGTTGGCGTGCTGGACCCCTTTCTAATGATGAATTGTCTATCAGGCGACTTTTGCGGTTCTGGTCGAGAAAAGTAACACATATCCAGGGTGTTGGGACGCGGTGGGCTAGACCGGTACCACCAGATGTCAATGCTTGCCAATTGCACAGACGGGCCGTGGCCAGACGGCGGTCCGAGTCTTATGTTGGGGGCTTGCGCATCTGGCTAGAAGTAAAGCGGAGGAAACAACAGTCGTGGTGGTGACTCCCGGAGCGACCGGGTGTTGTTCTCCTAGTTATTGCCTTGCTGGGCAATTTGACGGATGTAGTTCGCCTGAACATGAACGTCAGTATGCCTGTCCCTTTGATGGAAGATGTGGTGTGGTTGTTACTTACGAGCTCATGCATCGCGGCTGCACTGGATACCAGGGCTTGGATTCGCTGCGTCGGGGTTAGTCTTTGCTCTTGTGACCGAGGATATCGGAATATCACTTACAGGATCAGGAGCAGGAATTAGAGAGACAAGTGGAGGAGCGTCTTCCATCATCACATCTTCGTCAGGCTCAACGACAGGAGGTACGTCAAGCATTTCAACGTCGTGGTTCCAAGGCTCGGATTGCGTTCGTCTTCGGTTTTGGTTGAAGTTGGTAGTAATATTGTTGAAGTTGAATCCTTGAGCCTGGGGCGACTGTTGGCATAGGCTCTTAGTATACTTGCTGATAAAAGAGCCAGGGCCTGCTTACCGTTGTTTGGCGGCGCCGGCGGTTGCGTGCCCCGCGGCCTCTCCGAGGTTGGTTAGGGAGATTGGGACCATTCAGCTGTTGCTGGTTGAACTGCTGCTGTTGCTGGTCTTGCGGGTAGGCGTGAACCTGGCGAGGCGTTCGCGAACGACTTGAGGAGAAAGAGTTGTCTCGCCGATTGTTGTTAAAGTTAGGGTTCTATACCCCAGTCAGTCTCTGGCTCTTCATCAGAGCAAGAGGAGACTTACCTGTCTGCCAGCGTGGGCATGCGCCTATGGTATGGATCAGATCGGTGTTCCATACATGCCAACGGACGAAACCACGAAAGGTCATATCAAACACTGCTGGTTAAGAAATAAATGATACTTACAACCGATCCCGTCCGGACGCCGCCGCGAGAGTTGTAGGTGTAGGAGTAGGGGTGATTGTGATTGCGAGCAAAACCACCAGCGCCTCCGTTGTTCAACGGTCCCCGGCCTTGAGTGGTTTGGATTTGACGAAGGAACCCGGCCGAAGGACCGCTGTCCAAACGGGAGCGTGAGGACTGTCCGCCGAACGCCGTAGGATGCGAGGGGCACCACATGTTGTTCTTGTTTACGGACGAACTCTTTTGAAAGTGAGAGTCTAAACACCCCGCGCTCCAATCCCGAGAGAGACCTTGATCAAGAGGGTCTCCCAGAAACCAATCCTCACAAGAACCGACTTTCCACTTCAGAGGCTCCCACCTTTTCTTTTTTTGGTTATGTTTCCTTGGTGTCACAAACGATTAAGAACAAAGATTCCCCTTTTTTCGAGGTTTTTTAAAGCAACGCGATTTTAAAACAGACACTTCAAGTTGCACTCCTCACAGATATCAATGGCCCCCTACAAGGCCGACCACTCGAAGGTGACCTGGTCGTCCACGCACACTTGATCAAGGCTCTTCAAGGAGGAGGCACTGGTGGGTTCCTTCTGGGGGAACGCGGGAGGGCTGGGGCTTGTGGGGTTTGGATATGTGATTTTTTGAGATGAAAGTAGTATAGGTTTGGATGGCCGGGGAGATGACCACGGGGAGAAAAAAGAGAAAGGAGGATGGGCGAGAGATCCTTGTTCTTTATAGACAGGGGTGCCACTTCTCTGTACTTGATGCTATGCTACGTTGGGACAGAGAATAGCTTCAACCGAGGCCAGATTGGGTGCTCCGTTCAGCGATAACGGTGGTGCAATCAGCCAAACAGGCATAGCAGCAAGTCTTGTCTGCCGAAACCTTTCTAGTTCAATTTTGATCTGAATCTAGATTAGTTACACGCCTACGAGTTGGACTAAGCTGGATTTGATCTGAAGTTGATATTAGGCGGGGGTTAATTCGTTTTCCAGGCGCTGGTAATAGAGGACCATGTTGGAGACAGATTTAGATATCTCGAAGGCTATTCCTGTTACGAACCTTGGAATGCTCATGTCCCTCTTACGAAATCAGTACTACAATGGGCAACTTCGTAACTACTCCCTGATTCTCACATTTTGATTATTAGACAGAAAACAGTTCCAAGAGCGTCCATTTCAACGTCAACACTCAGTCCAGCTAGTATAAATACACTCGGAGCAAGAACATCAAGCAACGAGATGAAAGAAGACATGACAAGCCAAGCAATTCATGCACCAAATACATCTTCAACGCCCTCTTCAACGTCAAAATCTTGCACAACGGGGTAACCCCTTCCATGGCAAGTAACTCCTCCGTCAACGGAATCAATATCAGCTTCATCGGAGATAAAGAATTCGACCAGAAGAGGGTCCAACGTCGGCTGAGCGCCTGATACCGAGCTGGTAAGATTCTGACCTGTCCTCACAGCCGGAATGATGTGCTCCTGCACGACAGATAACGGCCGACGAGAAGCCTTGAATTCATCGAGTAGGATATTGGCCTCGACGAGGGCACGGTCTATCCGCTGGATAATCTCCCGCTGCATGATATCTCGTCGGATAATACCCATCCCCTGGTCTTCGTCCTGGGCGGCAGACGGCTCGAACTGGCTACCGTCAATGTAGTATCTGCCTTGGTGGAGGTGATAGAAACCGGTTTCTGGAATTCGATTAGGAAGTCTGGATATAACGCAGAATACTACGCAACTCACCGATCTCCCGACCCAGCTCGGATTCCATGAGGGTATTGGTCGGCGCAAGTCCGTAGGATGACCCCGTTGTGTGAGACGCGTCTGTATGCCCGTCAAAGGAGCTGGGCGTGGACTCAAACTCAACCTGCCTCCCTACTTGAAGACTTCTCTCGATGCCCAGAAAGAGTTCTCTCAACTCTCTATCAGCGTCCATATTGTCCTGGTGTGCGGAGAGTTCCTGGTGTTCTGGCGCGGCTTCCATATTTTGTTCTTGAAGCTCGGGCACGATCAACCCTGGCATTTAGATAGGAGAAGATCGATTGAGGATTTTGGCAGAGGGTAAAGATGATGGAAGGGTGAGAATAAAGTGACCAAATGTGGCAAGAGGATAGAGAGGGAAAGGGCGAGAAGGGAAGCACAGGTCCAGATCTTACTGGTCTCCAGCTTTTTAGAGATCCAGATGTTCTGGTCCCGACACGGCATAGTCTGACATGCATGGAACCAGGAAGCATCAGAACAACCTTGGCCTCTTTGGGTCAACCAGTACTTCGTTTCTTCGAGCTGCCCAACGTCTCGCCGTCCGACACCGATTCCGCACTCCGTTTCAGATCCGAGCCTGCATCTACATCCGCTGCGACTTCGACCTTCGAGCGCTTCCTCTTCGGCCGTGATCTGTCAGGCGACACACTTCCGTTCGACGCCCCGCTCGTGCGTTTGCGTTTTTCTGGTCTTGCATTATCCCGTTCCCGTTTCCGCCGCTGCTCTTCCTTGATACGTAGACGGCGCTGGACCTCAGCCGAGATGTCTTCTGTTTCTAGTGATGCTTCAGTCGCGTCGCACAGATCATCGGCGGCACTAGGCACGGCGGAGTAGGAGCTCCGCTTTCGTTTTGGGGCTCGGGCGTCGGCATCTTCGTAAGTCTGGTTCTGGTGGGTTGGAGAGGTTCCAGAATCCGGCCCTCTCTCCTTGTCTCCTTCTTTCTCGTTCCGCGATCGTTTCCTCCGAGCCGTATTCATGGTATCTGTAGATTGAGGGGTGGGCGTGTGGGTGTGAGAGCGATGTGCGCCGTTCATGGAACTTGTTTGCGACGTGGCAGTGGAGGAGGTGTCGTAGTGGGTTGTCTTGTCTATAGAAATAGAGACGCATGAGAGCCGGAGAGATGAAAGGATGTGTGTCTGAACTTACGGTTGTCCTAAACAAAGAAAACGAGAGTCAGCCGCTACTGCCTTCATGTAGACGAGTCACACAAAAGAACCCACCATTTTCTTTCGCACCAATTTCAACTGATTCATCGCCTGCACCGTCTTCTGTACCATTGACGACACTGTGCGGAATGCGTTACCGTCCCGGGCCATGTGGTCTTTGACCGAATCGAGCAGTTCGAGGTGCGAGGAAAGCATGGCCTCGTGTCGGGAGAACAGCTGTTGCGAGTCGAGTGCCAGCGTCGCGTCAGCCTTGGTTCCCGAGCGCCATTATTGGGGGGTGTTCCTTGGGGGAGTCGCGGATACCCGCGGTCCTGTGCGACTCGTCCCCCGACACGCACGGATGGCCGACTCACCTCTGCCCAGGCAATTGGAGCGCGATTGGACGAGTCGCATGTTCCTGGTGGTTCATGGCGGTCTTCGACTGTTGGGTTCATGGCTGCGTGAGTGACGGGACGAAAGATCGACGAGCAGGTTTTGGATCGGAGCTGGAGCTCTCCGCGCCAAGAATCCGATCTGACAGGGATCATCAGCCACTCTTGGGTGACGGCGAATTACGCGATGCGGTTTAGCGTCTCTCTGCCCGTTACCATCCCCATGACTAGAAGAGCGCAGGAATATTTCATGTGCAGAGCTAGATATGTATGGAACCAAAAGAGAACTAGCTAGTTAATAACGAGAATCAGGACGCGGCCCCTGGTAATGTTTCCGTGTGTAGAATATCCAATTGATTATACCCAAGGCGACCATGACAGCGAGCACTGCTGAAGCGTAATCTATAAAAGGTAAGCTAGAGAAAGAAAGAGGAATATTTTCAACCAGCGAATCTCAAAAAAGGCGACTTACTCATATTGGATGCAGTAACTGGGAAAGACACCGGGAAACAGAAAAGAATTAGGATAATGATAGCCCATGCGACTGTAATGAAGTTGGCCGTGTATCCAAGGAAGTGAGGAAGACGAAAGTAGCGATCAGTTGGAAGATACATTGCCGAGCGTCTTCGCAGGATTAACAATGCGGCCGGAACCGCGAAGGTGAACTGGAAAACAATTGTGGCAGACCCCAGCAAGGAATTAAAAACTTAAAATCAGAGAAACTAGGTCAGCAGCTTATTCCTCATTTTCAAACGGAACGAGGGGCTCACCTGATGAAGAAATGAGGTATATGACTCCGAGCAGACCCACGAGTAAACCATTAACGAGCAGGGCGTACACAGGGACATGCAAGTTGGGATGAAAGGTAGCCAACTTAGAGGACTTGATCAACCCATTGTCTCGCGCAAAGGCCCAGGTCACTCGGGAAGCAGTCTGATGAGTCGCATTCAAGACCACGAATCCCAGATACAGGAAGAACACCAAGAGGACAGTGGCCCCAGCCGGGGAGCCTAATGTGATTTCCAAAATGTAAAATATCGGTGATCTACGTAATCGAGTTAGCAAATTCCTTTCCCTATCTTGCTTCGAACAGTGAACGGAGGGGACGTACGGCGACTGCAGGGCATCTTGCATATTCGGAAAGCTGTAACATAGGGCGACAACAAATGTAAATCCGGTAAAAAATCCGATAAGTACGGTGGCTACGACAGCCTTCGGGATGTCTCTTTTGGGCTGCGAGGTCTCTTCTGCCATGTGAAGGGTTGCATCCAGGGCCATAATGGAGAATTGCGGCGTTGACAGACCGATCAAGAAGAAGATCCCGTTAGGCCAGCCACCAGAGGTGTTAAGAAAACTGTTCCAAACATCTTGGGAGGTTGCTCGGCTGGGGGAGATTACTGGACACAAAATGGTGAGGATGAGGTAGCAGAGAAGGGACAGAACAGCTAAAGACGAGAAAGGAACCATTAATCTAGCACTTGAAGCGAACATGCACTTGACTCACCTCCCAGATTATTTAGCCACATCATTCGGCCAGTCAGGAAGATGTTGTAGATAACCATCACAATGTTTACTAATTCGAATACCAGAAAGTATTGCCACGCATGAGGTTCGAAGGTGCCTTGCCAACGCATAATGACGGCAAATAAGTTCTGTGCGATGAATAGGCATATGTTAGCAGCTTGTGCCATCCAAGCAAATGCCGTCGCAAGACCGCAGCAATAGGAAATGGATCGGCTCCAACGTGTTGGTGCTAAGATGGATGTAAAGTGGTATTGTCCACCTGCTGTCGGGTACACCGTTGCCAATTCGGCCAATGTAAGCCCAACAAAAAACATAATAACATAAACAATAATGACCCCATAAATAAGCGTAACGGAGCCTCCAGAGGCAATAGCAACCGTCATGCTGATGGCAAGGCCAATCCAGCTACTAGACGTATTGTAGCCTATTGCCAGGATGCTCCAGTTACTCAAATTGCTTTTGATAGCTTCTGAGATTGCCCCATTTTTTGGAGCATCGGTCATAAACTGGACGGACGCTGAATCGACAGGCTCGACTGCCTTCTCGGTGTCTTTATTCATTTTCAGATTGTACTGCCATTTATTCATCAGTTTTCGTTTAATTTAGAATTTCGAAGCGGATATTATCTCTTACCTTTTGGCCTGGGTATGCTCTACGGACTTTGTTGAACCAGTATAGATCCAACCAAGCTGGGCTGGGATAATCCGACCAGGGTAACTGTAATAGACTTGTGAAAATAGTTGACCAACAGTTTGAGTGTTGGGGAAGGTCGAGCCCGAGAACTGGGAACAATGCAAGCTGGGTGTTTCAAACTTTCTACGAAGGGGAATCCTTGGGCTTTTATTTTCGACCTGTTGCCTTTGACCTGATTTATACTTTCCCAAAACCCCAGTAACAGACTTTCCACCCTGTGAACGAAAGCCATGGACTGCGGATATAGGCTGCCGGGGAATTTCCCCGCCCTAATTTCCCCTCGGCGCGTGCGCACAAGTGAGATATACGGATGAAGGGGCCTACATCGAAGATTACTGGGTTGAATTATACGCGAGTCCCAGAAATAGGATTCCGTTTGAACGTAGTCACGCGGAGTAATTCTAGTCTCAGCTTGGAATGTGTCTGGCGATTACCGTAATTTCAAAAGCTCCCTACGGCTGACGGAAGCTTTACTCCACGTCATAGAACTTCCTCCCAGATAAGCGCGTCTGTTCTTATCTTTCCATGCTTCCTTAGCACCGAAACTGGTTGAACAAACCCACTTCCCACATGAGATAAGCGCGTCTGTTCTGATCATACCTTAATCCTTTATCCATGAAGCCGGTTGCCGAGGTCAATGCTTCCAGTACCAGCAAGCTATAAAGAGACCTGGCTCTCGTAGTTCACTGCTCTGTATTTCAGCCTGAATTTTCCACAGCTGCGTCTTTTACAATCGACAAAAAATGTCCGTTACGAACCGGCCCTTTTGGCCATGCCAAGTGGATGTTGTTATTGTGGGTGGGGGATTTAGTGGTCTCCAGGCTGCGTTGGACCTCCAAAAGTCCGACTTGCGATACATTGTTGTTGAGGCAAATGATCGTGTTGGTGGAAAAAGTTTTACGAAGCCTCTCAAGTCCGGCCCTGGATTGGTCGAGATGGGCTGTACTTGGTTTAACACCACAACCCAAAAGCGCGTGGCGGCCATGGTTCAAAATTATGGGCTAGAATCTAAGGAACAATACGTTTCTGGTGATGAGGTTCTCTACGAGGGACCCGGAAATATCCATAAAAACAAGCACGGGATACTACCAAAGGTCTGTCAGATACGCCCATTCTTTCCTGCTTTCGTGCGAGCACCGACTAAGTGGTATGGAGAACAGACTATTGGCGCCAAAGACATCGAGGATCTGGAAAGGATTCTTGGCTTGGTTGTTAGCGAGGGAGCCAAACTCAACCCCGAAACTCCCGGTCGGCCGAGGACATCTGCTCAGCCATTATCATTCGAAGACACGAGCGTGGCCGAATGGCTTGACAGGTTAGGTGCAGGAAATTTTAGCCAGAACTTGATCTCTTCGCACTGCGCTGGGATGATAGGCGCTAAGGCAAGTCAAGTCGGACTGTACTTCTATCTGGAGATGATGGCATCGTGTGGGAATGGACCCGAAGACGTTCTGTCGGACGTATATGGAGGGGCACAGCACCTTAAGGTCAAGACAGGTAGGTCCTCAAAATGACAATCTTGGAAAAATAATTTTGCTAACCAGTCACAGGCACGTCCTCTATCATCACTGCCATGCAGCGATCTCTGCTTCAGGATTCGGTTTTTGTCAGCAGCCCGGTCTCTGGTATTCACCAGACCAAGCAGGGTTGCATAGTGACTGTTGCAGACGGACGGACCATCAATTGTTCGAAAGTCATCCTTGCCATCCCATCGAATCAATATACCAACATAGAATTTTCACCTCCACTGCCTCGGGCAAAACGGGAGCTGGCGTGCCAAGCGAAGGGCTGCTCTTATAACAAGATCATATTGACTTACAAAAAGCCCTGGTGGAGGGAACTAGGGCTTGCCGGCAAGTTTTTCTCCGTTAATGGACCTATCAGTTTCAGTTGGGATATCTCCGACGATAGCACGCAACAGTATTCGCTTGCTCTTTTCTCTGTTGCTAGTCAAGGGGAGTCGTGGGAGAAACTTACCCGCCTGCAACGTGAAAAAGCTCTGCTCGATCATTTGTCCGAGATGGTTGGTGCGGAATACAATCACTTGATCTACGATGTGCTCGAATACAATGAACAACTCTGGGGCAGAACACTGGGAATTGAGGTCGTTCAGTATCCTGCGCTAGGAGCGGGAAGTTACAACACCTTGCTTCCCGTCCTGAAGGAGTCATTTATCCACGTCCATTTTGCGGGTACAGAGATGGCATCTGTATGGCGAGGTTACATGGAGGGTGCCCTCGAATCCGGCGAGAGAGCTGCAGCTGAAGTGATCCCATTAGTGAAGAACACGAAGCTAGCGCCTAAGCTGTAGTACTGGAGCTATACTCATCTACCTCAGTAGATAAGCTGGACCAAAAGGAGCCCATTTTGACAATTGATTCACTTTTAGTCTACATACAAAACTGTACCGATTATCTAGTAGTCAGTTGACAGAAGGAAGACGGAAGTGTAAAAGGGCGAGCTCTGATTGCCACGTGAACTTTCACGTCCAAATCTTCTGAATGGTCCAACGGAAGGAATCCTAAGCAGCACGATTGCAGAGAGCATTTCTGTAACGCATGGTTATATGATGCAAAGCGGATATAGTCATTTGTCGGACTGCAGACAGACCGTGGACTCTAGTGGACGGAGAAAACAATAAAGAGACCACTAATTATCGATAGTTCTGTTTTCCTCAAAGAATTAAAGGCTCTTGATCATTGGCCATTTTTGGCAAAATGCTCTGCTTCTCTCACAGAGAATAATAGTGGTGTAGCACGGTATCCTTTATCCGTCTCCTTCTCGTATTGACTTATCCAAAACGAATAGTTAACTGCAGGTGGATGAATTACCGAGTTCTATATACCACAGACCTAGCTGGGGAATGCACTGTATTACATACCTAGCTGATGGAGAAAGGAAAGCAAGACCGTACCTTTATCTCAAGAAAACACCCCTTATGAGGTGAGACAACCATTAGTTTCGGTTTACCTAGGGCATAAATAAGCAATTGTATTTAAAATCAATCACAACTTGAAACTTCGACTAAGGTAAATATATAAAGGTAAGCACGAGCAGTCTACACTGCATCCGCTTCAATTTCCTCCCATCCTTTTGCCCCATTGACAGCTTTAAAATTTTGAGATATGAACTGTTTGCGTATTGCAATATGACAAAAGTCCTTGCTTGCCCCATTCACCACCAAACCCGCTTTCCTTACGGCCAGAAAAGTATCCGGCTGGATGCGGTTTCTCGAAACTGTTTATCCACAAACTTCCAACGTCGAGGTTGCGTCCGATTCGCTCGGCATCTTTGACATTTTTTGCCCAAACACAAGCCCCCAAGCCCGTTGATGTGCTGTTGGCTCTTTGAATAACCTCCGTCTCTGTCTTCCAAGATAGAACAGGAATAATCGGTCCTAGTGAATTGAGACGTTGTAAGCAAAAGAAAAGGGGCTGATTCAGAGAATAAATAGTTACCGAACTGCTCCTCGGTCACTAGCCGGGAATCATCCGGGGGTCTATCAACAATGGTCGGCTCGAGAAAAAGCCCTGGCCGCCTTGGAATACCTCCACCAGTAGCAATCTTGTAATTTTTGAGCCAACAGTCCTCGATAATGTTGCTAACAACGGAGTATTGCAGCTCGTTTTGGAGAGGTACAAATACGGAAGGTGCATCTGCCAGAGCATCAATGCTGAATTTTATAACATCAGCAACAAAGCGTTCCATGAAGGCTTCGAAAATGTCTTCATGCACATATATGCGTTTTGTTGCAACGCACATTTGACCCGCATTGAAAAAACATCCGGTCGTTACTTGGGGTACGACGCTATCCAGGTCGACATCAGGTAGGATGATCGTAGCATCATTACCGCCAAGCTCAAGGGTAAGACTCTTCAGAGTTTTGCTAGCAGACTCCATGATTTTCTTGCCCGTGCTGGTGGATCCGGTGAAGGTGATCTTCTGTATATTCGGGTGCAATGACATGTGCGCTCCAAGTTCATTACCGCCGTTTAGTGCCTGAAAAACACCAGGGGGAACAATTCCCACGGTAATTTCAGCAAACTTCAAAACACTGTATGGAGTAAACGGAGAGGGTTTGACAATAATACAGTTTCCCATTAGCAGCGACGCGGCTATTTTGGCGGTCGACAGAATGAGAGGAAAATTCCAGGGACAGATTGCACCAACAACCCCAATTGGAGTGTGGGTAGCGACGATCTTCAAATTTGCGTCCTCAAAGACAACCTCTTCTGGCAAGCTCTGACTTGCTGTTTTTTATCAGCCATTAGCTCCAGACAAAGGAGCGCTGAACTTACCATTAAATTCGAGGAAGGCGACAGAACTGTCGACCTCAAAATCACTAAGCAAAGCCTAGATGGAGTTAACTAGGACTTCAATTTTACAAGATTCTGGAGTTATTGAGCTCACCGACTTTCCGGTTTCTTTCATGATGATGCTGGCCATAAATTGGTTTTGCTCTTTTAGTGCAGCGGCCATTCTTCTTAGGACAGCCTGACGTTCCTCTATGTTTGTTTTCGACCAATTTTTGAAGGCTGACTGCGCAGCGCAAACTGCATCATCTAGATCCTCTTGGCTTCCGATTGGAACGGTCCAAAGCGGCTCCATTGTCCTTGGATCCTTGGATTGTGTTGCTTGGTTGGCGTGGTGAATTTCACCATTGATAACATTCCCAAAACGAAGAGCGCCGAGATCCATTGTGGGCGAAGTTTTGGGCAGGGTGTGCAGTCAGCTGGCTTCTTCGATTAACCCCGTTTCTTCTTTAGACTACGCCCCATCGCCAATGCTCGTATTTATCAGCCTCGGTAAGGGCACTGGTATTTGACATCGGCAGTAGGATCGGTAAATTTAAACTTCTATGGAATCGGAGCCACGGAAACAATGCATTCGGTTGAAAGGATGAGCTTCCATTTCGATATATGACTCTAGTGTGAAGTTAGTCCTCAAATAGAAAAATACTGGGAACCCAGAGACGTAGGTATTTGTAATCGATGAAAGGCCAGGTAACCTAACGTATCTAGGTTTCGACGTCACTGACGGTGAGCAACCAGTTCAATGTAACGATTCTTTGATTCTACATCTATTGTTTTGTATCTCAAACCCTCAGTTCTCAGCACGACGATAGGGTTAAAAGCAATGAACCTCTGGATGTAAAGGCCGGACACCAAGAGATGCGTACTAATAACAAATGATTGGGAGAATAATTCAATCTGAATAGGATGATGGAATCATATAGATTGTTCTTTGACTCCACCAATGACTATTGACTGCGATACATATAAGTAATCAGGTACGACTGTGAAATTTCTGGGTAATCCCGGGACGACATTACTAGTTTTAGATCATGTTTTACGAATCTTTTACCGAGGAAGACGAGCGCGGAGGCGGAAGTGAGTTTGGAGTATCCGAAGATTTTCAACCAGCTCGGTCCCAGAACTTCCCCACACACAAGGATCGGCCTACTTAGCAGAACACCGCTACCATGCTTATAATATTGTGATAAGATAGCGATAAGCGCGTCTATTAGAGCACCAATTCAGTCTAGATCAGCCTGCAAAAGCAAACCCGCAGCAGCCCCATGTTGTAGACAGAGTCATTCGATGTTTATCAGATCGGCTAACCAAATTTCGTGAGACCTAACTTAAACGCAATATCTAAGGGATGAAAGCCGAAATACGTATCACACGTCGTATTTACAAGATTTATCACTGTTAAAAACATACACCTCAAGATACTCCCTTTATCCATTCCTTGGCAGATGCGGAAGTCCCCTTTTTTTATATACATCATGGTGCCCTTGCTATTCTTGCAAATGTATCCCATCGGAAGTCATAAATCAGTCGCGATTCGTTGCAAGCGTAAATACATTCGACACGGAATGATGAATTCATTGCGGCCACCTCATCCTGCGATCCCTTTATCTGCCCTCCTAGAATACTAATGCCCGACCTTCATTTATAGCAACTGCCCAGATTGTTGATGTTTCATATCTGAATATTTCTCCCATCTAAACGCTGGGACATTTTATAGGAGAGCCTGGCTGATTCAGTCAGCCACAGTACAAGAAGGTGTATAAAGGAATGAGCATGAATGTACTAGTGTTTCGAAGTTGCTGCCTCAACAATAACCTCAACCTTCCATTCGGGCGATCCAAGCATGGGGACCGGAATCAAAGCGGCGGGTGGCAGGTGAATTCCATCTTTGTCTGTCAAAAACTCTTGGATTGCACCCCAAATCGGCACCTCGGGATTGTAATCGGCAACATAAATGGTCATGTAGGTGATGTTGCGAATGGTTGCCCCGGCTGCCTTCAGACATTCGTGTGCATTTGACAAGGCCAACCGGGTTTGAGCTTCAAAGTATGTGGGGGTTTTTCCTTCCCTGTCGATTCCAACTTGACCAGCTACACGGATCAGACGAGCTGGGTTCTCAATAACGCTGACATGAGAGTAGAGGTGTTGTGTTGGATCAAGCAGGGAGCTTGGGTTTATGAGGCTAATACCGTTCATGTTCGGAGGCATCGTGGGAGTGGTATAAGATATCGAGACCAAAAGTGATGATGGGAAAATGTGCACGCCGGGACTTGATTGAGAGCAAGGCTAGTTTAAATACCACGATCACTGGATTGTAATGGCGCAAGAAATAATGTCAAATTTTCTTCCTCGGCAGACCTGGGTTCGTAGTTAGTAGTTTGCAATTTGTAGGGGTTATTTGTGATAGTAATACTTGAAGAGTCCGCCCCACCGCGCCATTCGGATAAGCGCGCTCCTCCTGTTATCAATAATTTGCGGGTCGGCTCAATCCATGGATCTACATGCGAAGCAAGGTCACATGCAGCTCGCGGGCCCCGCCTTCCCCGGATTCAGAGCCTTGATCATTACTCACCCATCCTGTCATGCACTTATTATAACTGTCAATCCAGTCTATCTCCTGATTTTTGAATTTCAATACTGGCGTCTAAGACCTAGACCCAGTGGAATACAGTATTACTCCACGCTCTCGCATAGCCGCACTTATTTATGTGGCGATTAGGCCGCGGAGTAGCTCGTAACCAAAAGCCAAACGATGGTATGGGAACGTGGTGTGTTACAAAGCTCTACCATTACCAACACCCACAACCCCCCGCGTCGGCAATTGTTAAACTGGGATTTCGGGCGAGTGAGCGAAAAGCGGATCCAAATTAGTTCCCGGTTCGGACTGCCCGAGACCGATTACTGATAAGCGCGTCTTTACATAAAAGGAACCCCAACCAACCCGCAGTTCCTCTTTCCTCATTCTCGATCATACGATGACTTCGCAACGCTCAAGAGCACGTACCGCCAAGACCACCTCCGGTTGTCTCATCTGCCGGCTACGGAGGAAGAAATGTGATGGACGTAAACCTACATGTGTCGGATGTGAGCGAAACAAATTGATCTGCACTTGGCCATCCCCATCCGATGGCCCCGGTGGCGCAAAAAAGGCCTGGCGAAAGCAACTCGCATCTTCGTCTGCATCATTAAACAGCATTGTACCCTCGACTCCCGATGGTAATCCTCGATTGAAAGAGAGTATTACCGAGACATCACCGGTGCCATCATCATGGCCAGCCACATTGAGATTTTATTCCTCGATACCTCAGGCTCCTAGACGGCTATATGAAGGACCCAATGCACAGCTCTTCGAACACTACATCCATTCGACCGCATCTCAGATTCCAGGCCGCATCATCCCGGAAAATCCTTTTCTCAGCCACATTATTCCCATCGCGTTTTTCGATGACAGGGTCCTAGAAAGCATGCTTGCTATCAGTGGGGCTCACCTCTTCTATCGTTACCCTCACCTCGAATTGGACGCACGGTCCCACTATGCGGTTGCGTTACGAGGAATTAAACACGGGCTGCAGTCATATGCCTCCAGTACACCTTCTGAACTGGTTGGTCTCTTGGCTGGCACTCTTTTACTCTGTCTATTTGAGGTACGATTCGATTCTGTCGCTCGATCCTTAATCGCAATCATTACTGTTCTTCTAATACTATGGGGAATCCCGGACTCTGACTTGCTATCCAGGTTATTATCGGGAATACTCAAGGGGCGCTATTCTACCATCTCCGAGCGAGTAGAAAGATTTTATGCGCACTGAAAGAGCAACATGCCTCGCAAGTAGATACGTCTGTTGTGGATTTTTTGAGTGAGCATTATGCCTTCATGGCTATCAGCTCTAACATAACTTTGAGAACCGACTTCCCCGTGAATCGAGACATTCCTGTTGACCCACTTCTTGCGTCCCTTCACCGACTGAATCAAAATAATGGGATATACGGGGTCATGTTTGGCTCCGCTCACGAACTCTTCGAGCTGATCCCTTCCATAGCTCACTCTGCTAGAGAAGTGGATCTCAAGAAAGATACAGATCGATGGAATTCCTTAATTCAGAATTATGAGACTCGGATATACATGTGGCGGTTCAAGCCGAAAAACCAATACACCGAGTGCACGACCGGAGATTTTGATGCGCTCGTTGAAATGGAGAGAAATTGCGAATACCTGACCGGAGCTCTGATCTTTCAACAGGCGATACTAATCTTCCTCTATACCTCCTTTCACGGCACAGAACCCCCAACATCGGAACTTTATGATCGAATCGATCCTTGCGTGGACCGCTTTGTTCAACTCCTCTCATCTCTCCCTGCAAATTCCAATGTTTTTTCAACAATGATGTGGCCGGTATTGGTTGCTGGATCTTGCATGCGTCGTGCTGAGCATCGGGATTTTATTGCAGGGATTCATGAAGAACTTTTTGTGACAATGTGGTGTGTGAAGAGGAGCGTGGAGTTAATGAAGTTCGTTTGGGAGGACCAGGAAAATAATGTTGGCGTATATGGATTGAACGGACTGGAGTTAGCCATGCGCAAGCGAGGTATTAATATCTGCGTAGGTTGAAATTTTTGGGTCATCCTTATAATAATTTTCTTTCCCAGTCCTTAACCTTTTTGTACAACTTGTAGCGCCTAGCGAGCGTAATCCCAGGAATTCCGTTCGCTATCTAAATCGGATACAGGCCATGTCGCCGATAAGCGCGCCTTCCCCGTCAGAGTCCAAAAACTCGCTCGGGTTCAAAAGTATGTAATAAATAGAGGGAAATACCGTAAACATTGTATGGAACGTGTAACCTATAGCATTGAAGATGCAGTAGCCGGTAGCGGCGATTTCCAGAGCATGCAGTTTTCACATGGGGCATTTAAATCACCCTTGAATCAATGAACGCGCTTATCAGCAGGGTTGTTGACCAGATTCCGAATTATGGATATGGGGCCCCATTGATCGCACGAAAAAACTTACAAATTCATAACATTAGCCGGGAGAAAATCAAACAAACAATCAGTATTTAGTTCTCGGCCGCAGCGCTTCTTCTTTTCACTGTGCCCTCGCTCCGATCCAGACTTTGTAGTCTATTGAAATCTTCTCCAGCTTCCTAAGTCGACTTTGGAAGTCCACCAATATCATCTTTTTCCCTTTGGCAGCTCCTATCAGTTAGCGGACCGATGTCGCTACAATCCTGTGTTCAAGGGGACCTTCGAAATGACAATTTCACCAGAGTAGGTGTTGTGATCATTGGTGGAGGTATATCAGGTATATCGAATTCCTCCCCTACATACATCTGAGCGAATCTAAAATAGAAGAATTATTGCAGGAATATGCACAGCCATTGACCTGATCAAGAAAAACATCCGAAATTTTGTAATTATCGAGAAGGGTGGAGGTCCTGGGGGAACATGGCGGGATAACAAATACCCTGGGTGTCGCTGTGATGGTCAGTATCAAATCTCAATTGAGCAGCAATTGGAAAATTGACAACTCACACGTTTTATTTAGTCATGTCTCATCTATACAGCCTCTCTTTTGCACCAAACCCTGACTGGTCTAGAGACTTTGCGGGCCAAGAGGAAATCTTGGTATGATTAGTGCTTCTGATTGTCTCTCTTTCTTATTTTAATCAGCATATAGGACTATCTTTTGGGTGTTGTGGAGAAGTATGGACTTTTCAAGCATCTCAGATTCAACAGTATTGTTGAAGAGGCATGCTGGAGCGACGAGCAAAGCAAATGGATTACTAGAGTCCAAGTCACTGGTGGCAAGGACAGTGAATTTGCAGACAAGTATACAATTAACTCTGACTTTCTGGTCTCGTGTGTTGGTCAGCTCAACTATCCGAAATATCCTGATATTCCAGGATTGAAAGATTTCCAGAAGAAAACAATGCACTCAGCGCGATGGGACTGGACCTATGATATTCGAGGAAAGAAGGTTGTAGTCATTGGGAATGGTTTGTTAATCCCTCACTCTTTACCGTATGTCTATTAACAATTTCTCTAGGCGCAACAGCTGTTCAAATTGTCCCCGAAGTGGCCAAAGTGGCTTCACATCTCACCGTCATCCAGAGGTCTCCAAACTGGCTTGTACCCCGAGGAGACCAAGCTACGCCCGAGTATCTCAAAAAAATCTATCGATACGTCCCTGGTATCCGTCAACGACACAGAGATAGCCTGATGAGCATGCGAGAATCGTTCCATACCTTCCTCGTCGATCCAGAATCTCAGTTGACCAAGGATTTCCAACAATTAAGCAGAGATATGCTCAAATCCCAGCTAGTAGACCGGCCGGATCTGCTCGAAAAGCTCACGCCTGACTATCCAATGGGCTGCAAGCGCATCCTCCTCACTGATGAATACCTCCCAGCTCTATGTCAAGAGAATGTGTCGTTGGAGACCCGAAGACTCAAAGAATTCACGTCCAACGGAATCATGGTCGAAGGAGAGGAGATAGAGTGTGACTTGATCATCTTCGCCACTGGCTTTCGAACTGTTGACTTTATGCACCCAATCAAAGTGACAGGACTTGATCAACGATCACTTTCCGAAGACTGGAAGGATGGCGCGCGTGCATTGTATGGAGTCGCAGTCGAAAATCTCCCTAACTTCGGCATGCTATACGGTCCAAACACAAACCTCGGCCACAATTCAATTATCCTCATGCTTGAAGCTCAGTCCCAATACATTACGACATTGGTGAAGATGGTGCTCGACGGTCGCAGCCGGGGAAAACCCATTCGGGTGCTTCCTCGTGTCGAGAGGGTGCAGCATTTAACGAGGAGCTCCAGGACGCATTATCCAAGACCGCTTTTTCTCATCCCGGATGTAACAGTTGGTTTAAGACTTCTGCAGGGCTTGTGACCAACAACTGGCCAGGCACTGTTGTTGAATATCAAAAACTGCTGTCCAAGGTTGATTGGAATGACTACGAGATAATCGATGGGACGGCAGGGTCCTCGCACCGTCATGCTGCAGAGGTTGAGTCGTTGAGCCAAGAGGCCAAAGTGAGCTACAAGGCGATGGGATTGACTGTATTGAGTGTTCTTGCAGTGACTGGATTACTTAGAGGTGGTGAGCGACTGCTGCACTTTCGTTAGCTAGCTTTACGTACTCCGATACGAAACATAGTCCATATTATGTTTCCAGCTGAGAAATGTCCAAAAGAAAGCACACGAGCACAGTTGGCTACCAATGAATCATGTTGGGATACAAAGACCCCACATACACGAGTATATGGTAACGTCAAGGCATTCACGTCTATCTTTTGGGATCCCTTTATATGAGTACTCACAGGCCTACTATCTATTGGGGGTGGGGGGAGGGGATAAGTGTTGGTGTTATGGTGTTTATAGAAGTGCTTTTGCTTCCTCCACAAACCATCAGACAAGTGAAGAAAGACAAAATATTTGGAGCAGTTGAAATTACTCCGTATTTACCAAATAATGAAAGAATCCATTGGATCGAAGCCAGCACAAATGTTGCCGTTATCTCACAAGGTATCAGCAATAAGCGTCGTCTATACCGAAGGCAATGACAATGTATCTTGCGAGAACAACTAGTTCGTGGGCGCCATTCTCAACCTAAAACGTCATCCCTGCAGCTATTAGCAACACCATGCAATGGGACGTGAGCAGACCTACGTGTACGTATCCTCCGGCATCCGAATACCGTCATTAATCGAGATCCCCAACATCCTTCCACCGTCAACCGTCAACAACGCACTATTCATGTACCCACCCCCGGGACTCGACAACAACAGGACCGGCCCAACCATCTCCTCCGGTCGACCAGGGCGTCCAGCAGTGGACCGCAAGGCAGCTTTCTCAGCCTTGTGGCCGATTTTGTACTCGTGTTTGCCGGCTGTAACGCCAGTCATCTCAGATGGAAAAATGCCGGGGCAGATAGTATTAACGCGGATCTTCATGCTGTTGACCGGATTAGTGGTGGTGGTTTTGGATGGGATAGGTGGAGGGTAGCTAACGGATGCAACCGGCCGGCGAGTTGTTTGGCGAGGTGGACGCCTAGGATATAGATGAGATCAACAGTTCATGAGAGATAGGAGTGGTAGCTTACTCGCGGCTTTGGAGACGCTATACGTCAATGACCCCATGGTCCTAGTTATGAAATATTAGCGACCGTTCTCGGTGTTCGGAAGCAGTATTTTACCTCTGCGCTCCGAGTGCTGCGAGAGAGGCAATCACGCAGACATTCGGGTCTGCCGCTTTGCGAAGAAGGGGAACGAAGTTGACTGTCAAAAAGTAGACACCGCTCACATGAACTGAGACAGGGTTAGTGGCAACATTTCTGGGGAAGTAAAGATATCATACTTTGATTACTTCGATCAAAATCCTCCCTAATCCACTATCAGCAACTATGATCATGAATAGCCGCAACAGACTTACTCCTCGAGGCCATTAATCAAGAGATTCTCCACATCATCAGCTATCCCCCCGTCAGTCCTACCGTTTCTTTTGTGGATATGCATGACAATGCCCAAAACTCACGATTATTCACATCCTTGGTGGGCACTCTCCACGGACTGCTCACACCGGCGCAATTGACCAGTGTGTCAATATGAGACTCTTTAGCCTTGACGGCGTCCACAATCTTCAAACAGCCTTCCTTGGTCTGCACGTCGCCTTGGATACTACGCGTTTCCACCGGAGTCAGCCAATTCTCGAGTCAAGGATAGGGGGACGCTTACATGTGTATATCACCGCCAATCTGTTTCGCCGCAGTCTCCAGGACCTCCTGTCTCCGCCCGGAGATGTATACCTTGGCGCCATTGACGGCGAATCCTTCCGCGAGCGCTTTTCCAATGCCGGAGCCGCCTCCCGTGATCACGACCACTCTGCCCTTTACCGAGAAGAGATCCTCGACCTTGAATGAAACGTGCTGCTCAGCCATGATTGTGCTAGAACAAAGAACCGTCGTAGACTGGGCTAATAGCGTTGGCACAGGAGGGGTGTCTCGCACGTAACCAAGCGGGGCAGTCCCAGCATCCAGCTAACCACGCATTGAAAACACTGATTGGATGATACGATCGTGGGGGTTATCGATAAGCCGGCGTGGGGGCTCGCCTTGGACCTGACAGAAAAGGGCGGGGTTCGGCAAGGCAGGAAGCCACACTCCAACAACCACCATGAAACTCCTTTACCCAACCTCGGTCAAGCTCCCCATCCCGAGCCTCAAGGGCTTTCCCGTTACTCTTCACACCTACGACGTCAAAGAGCCCATTCCGGAGGAGCTCATCGACGCCGAAATCCTCGTCACTTGGTCCAACAGTTCCGAGAACCTGCAGGATGCCGCCAGACGCATGAAAAGTCTCCGATGGATCCAATCCCTCGCCGCGGGTCCCAATGATGTCCTCTCGGCTGGGTTCGATACCTCGCGGATCACCGTCACCACCGGCTCCGGTCTGCACGATCGCCCCGTCGCCGAGCACGCTCTCGGTCTGCTCCTCGACGCCTGCCGCCACTTCTACGAGATGCGCGATTACCAGCTCCAGTCGAAATGGCCCGGCCACCTGGGCGGCTCCTTTCCCCGCGCAGGCCAGTTGACAACTCTGCGTGACGCCCGCGTGCTCATCTGGGGATTCGGCAACATCGCGAAGAAGCTTGCCCCGCATTTGACCGCTCTCGGAGCCCATGTCACCGGTCTGGCCCGCGGACCTGGCGTGCGCAATGGTGTGGAGGTATTCGGGGAGGACAAACTGTCGGAACTTCTGCCGAAGACAGATGCGCTGGTTATGATCCTGCCAGGCGCGGAGTCAACAAACAACGCCCTGAATGCCGAAAGACTCAAGCTCTTGCCCAAGCACGCGTGGGTGGTGAATGTGGGACGAGGAACGTCGGTCGATGAGGATGCGCTGGCGAATGCTCTTGAAAAGGGCGAGATCGCCGGTGCCGCCCTGGACGTTTTCAAGGCAGAGCCGCTTCCTGAATCCAGTCGACTGTGGAAGACGCCAAATCTGATAATCTCGCCCCATGCTGCTGGTGGAAGGCCTGAAGGTTGCGAGGAGTTGATTGCGGACAACCTACAGCGATTCTTGGCTGAGCAGCCGCTCAAGAATGTAATCTAAAGGATATTGAAGAGAATTTAGAATTGAAATATAGCCGTTTCGGATGATAGAAAGTTTTGGACGAAAGGGAGAAGCCAGGACGACTCGTCTTAACCCGAGTATAGTGCCGAGCAACGAGGAATTGCCATCTGCTTTCACGTTTATTTTGGAGTCGACAGTCCCGAACCATGAAGGGTCTATGCATGGCCTTGCATTGCCGTTCACCCAACGTTCGAGGACCTCCCTGGATCGCTATATTTGGTCCACTGTTTTCATGTTCATTTCCCACCACAGTGTCAGCCGGCCATAGTGTGAAGCGAAAACTTGATAACACGTTATCTCAAATCAAAAGGGTTTCGATAACTCTACAATGGCTCATGCTATTATCAGCTTCATAGGCCAAGAGATATAGATATCATGAAGAAAGGGAAACATGATCTTATGATAAGCATATTAGCACTTACTAGAAGACACGCATACCACGTACGATGAAAATAGACAAGGAAGATATATTCTCCCCAAAGAATCAAGGAAAGACGCGTTTCGACCAGAAAGGGCCTATACGAATTTATTGACTCAAAAGAACAGTATGTAAATCAGACTTTTCTTAATCTCGTGGCAGATTTAATCTTATCATGGTAGAACAATGTTGAAATCTGCCTCAAAAGTCACGATGGAAGACGAGAGCTTCTGCAAACAAGAACGATCTCCTGTCTCAGCCTCAACCTCTCCACATTTTCCGGTGGTTAAGAAAATGAGCAACTGAGGATGTGTCATCGAACACGAGTAATCAGCCGCTCTAGTATGCTTCTCGTTTTGCTTCAAGCCAGTCCGATGAATCAAAGCGCCATTGCTGAGGATGAGACGACATCCTTCATTAAGATCGGTCAAGAACAAATCAATTGCGAAGTTGTGCACCTGAGCCTGAGGGCCATTCAACCGCACTGCAATGGACGCAAAAAGCTGATGGAGAGATAGAGCCTTCAGCATTTCCGACTGGTCGGATAGTAGATTCTTGGACATCTTATGCCCGCGCAACTCGTTGGCACCAGACAAGTAAAAGTTGCGCCATGGGCCATTCTCAGCGCCGAATCCGAGCTTTTCATATGTTGAAGCCAATAATTCTTTTCCTTCTTTGCATTCTGGATCCGCAAAAACAACGTGATTTAGTAGCGTTGCAGCAAAACGCAGGTCACCTTCCTTAATATAACCCTCGGATTTCCTGAGAACTTCTTTGGCACCACCCATGCAAGCAATGTAACGTTTGGCAGATGGGACGGGAGGGTGCTCCCACAGATGGGATGGGTTTCCGTCGAACCAAGTCATGTAGCGCTGATATATTGCCTTGACATTGTGAACAACTGTTCCGTAGAAACCTTGTGTATGCCAGGCAGCCTGGAGTTTTGGAGGAAGCGAGAAATTCTCGGCAATTTCAACACCAGTGAGACCCTGATTCATCATCTGCACAGTCTGATCATGCAGATATGCATATAAATCCCTTTGCTCGGTGAGATAATTCAGTATCCTTTCATTACCCCATGTTGGCCAGTGATGTGATGCGAAGACGGTGTCTGTCTTCTCCGCAAATAGGACAATCGACTCATCCAAGTACGAGGACCATGCAAGAGCATCACGCACAGCCGCACCTCGAGGAGTTGCGATATTATGCAGGCATTGTGTTGCATTTTCAGCCATACATAGGGTTCGGAATTGAGGGACATAGATGTTCATCTCAGCGGGCGCCTCGGTTCCCGGCGTGATCTGGAAGAATAGTTCCACTCCATCAATTACTTCCACTTGTCCAGTATGGGTGATATCGAGGTTTGGAGGGATAATCGTGACTGTTCCGGAGGAGAGGGTTGATCCTAGCCCACAACTGATCTGACCATCGGGACTCTTTGTCAATTCATACCCATACATATATCCTGCTCTGCGAGCCATTGCGTTACCAGCAAAGATATTTTCGCTAACGGCGTGCTCAAGGAAACCTTGAGGGGCAATTATCGGCATCTTGGTAGCTTCACTTTGGGATACGGCTCCTTCCGCTCCCCCAAAATGATCAGCATGTGTATGGGTGTAGATCATACCCACTATGGGCCTATTCCCACGATTTTTGCGGTAGAGATCGAGCGCAGCCTTGGCACACTCGGTAGAAGTGAGGCAATCAACGATAATTATCCCCTTTTCTCCCTCTATGAAAGTCATATTTGCGAGATCGAAGCCTCGGATTTGGTATATGCCGTCGACAACTTGGTAAAGGCCTTGTTTCGCAACAAGTTGGGCCTGGCGCCATAATTTTGGGTTTGCGGGCTCAGGAGGCGTCGTGTCTGCTAAGAAATTGTAAGATTCGTTGTCCCAGACAATGCGGCCTTGGCTGTCTTTAATGATGCAGGGATCAAGGCGATCTATAAACCCGCGATCTGCATCCTGGAAGGATTGCGTTGAATCAGGTAGAAGGTCCATTGTAATATCTGAAGAATACTTTTCGTTCTGAAACAGTATAATCTTCAATGAATTTGTTTAAATATTAATGAAATACTAATTGGTGCTCGGAGTGTCTATGACAAGTGCATTCCATGGATGTGCGCTAGTTGCTCTCTCCGCATCCGGAATAGCCATTCGCATGGTCTAAAATAAAACGGACTTACATAACGAATATTTACTCTTGAAGCTTGCATTATATACATCAGTTCTGCCACGGCAAATTCGTTCAATGATCTTCGCACCCGCCGTTTTCGGTTTTGCCTGCCTATCGTCCCGAAGTAGGCCGCACTTCTACTATGGAGAGCTACATTAGTACTTCTTTGGGAGTACAAGCATCAATGAGCACCGTCTTATCGGCCGGTGAAACTGCCCGAATGCTTATTTCCAATTTATAATTGAACTACTTGATCCCAGAAACTGTTTACCCCGACTCCAAAAGCGTTCAAAGAATTCAACCCATGAGCGCATTAGAGGCCGCATAAGCACCAAGCTCACACATACGATACCCATGTTGATCTCGAGAACGGCCCAAACAACTTCCAACGCGCCACTAGCTATCTAATTTATCAGCAATCGTATACCCCATATTATCGACGACCTACCAGTTAAATTGTCAAGCTGGTAGTTAACCAATTCGACAACGCGGAGGATACCAAAGATACACACACTATTATCGGTTAATAATGTGGCTTGACGACGCGGACAGAAATGAGAAGAACATACAGCCCCCCAAACCCGAATAAAATCGTAATTCGAATCTTCTCACTCCGCACAAGCATCATCCGCCATACGACTGAGATAGGAATGACCAAAAGAACCACGTCCTCTGCGAGAGCCAGAGACCCCATCACAATTGCGAAAGCCTCTTGGTCATCTGGGCATCGTCCGTCGATAGTTCTCAGCCAGAAGTAGCGAGGGGGGAAGCATTGCAAGGCGTTGCCGACGATGTTTGTAACGCCCCACGCCACCGTGAAAACTATCAGCCCGGTGGTGATTTTTTGCCAAGATCCAACGATGAATAATATACGGCGGATCAGGAAGATTATAGAGAGTTTCACGAAGACGTGGGCTAGACACCAGAATTTTTGTCCAAGCCAGAATACCTAAAATGTGTCGGGTTAGTGATATCATCTCTGTGATCAGATCCCACAAATAAGCTCATACAAGTGAGACTCGTCCCTGTGTTTGTCGGGCTAACGCCCAAATATTATGTCCTACACCGTTAAATGCGGCTTATCAAATCAAAGTAAGCATGTCGAGTAGTCAGTAGCTCGAGGCAGGGGTGTCAAAATGTACCAATTATAACACAAGCACTCAGCAGGTACGAGAAAAGCAACCCTATGCCCAAAAAGACATCGTCAATGGCTGGCTTCCAGGAGGTCTTCTTTCGGCTGTAAAGTCGAAGGGCAAAGAAAATCGTGGCCAACACTGTAAAGGTGATGGCGATGACTATGAGGGTTCGACTCCAAGACGGAGATTCCCGTTGAATTTTCCTTGCCTCGAGAGTTGAAACATGCATGTCATGTCCTCTTTCATGCCAGCTGCCAGCTGCGAACAGCAGAAGGCGAAACCCATTAAGATTCAACTACATATTGTGGAAATCTCTGGTGCTGGAAGTAATGATGTCATTCCCAGAGAATCAAGCACGTACCTCGTAACCCAGTTATTATTTCCTCTTTCGGCTATGTCTCCATGCTTTCTGGTGTCTCCTTTGTATTATCATAGACCCCTGGAAATTCCTCATGACTTATGAGCAACGGCTGACCATCCATTATTGACGATTGTGTGACCCACGTGACTTGGGCCTACCCATTTTGTTGCTCCCCCCGAGAAGGTTCTAGTTAGGCTAAAGAGCATCATAGGTGGCCTATTATTGCTGGGACCGAAGAGTTTCTAATTAATGAAAGGGAACAGTTCCGGGGGAAGAGGGTTTTTGAGGGGAAGATGATAATGAAGAGGTGCCTTTCCTTATTGTCGAATTCAGGTGAAGAACTAACCAACCATTGATTCCCGCAAAATGGCAATCTCAGGGTCAAAATCACAAGATGTGTAGAATACTCAGCGCCAACGATAAATGGTGAATTCATACTAAACTCAAAGCATCACTCACTGGCACAACATATCTTTCCCAGTCATTTAAATCTGAAATAGAAGCTCGTTTCGGCTCGGAAGACTTTGACAAACTGAAGTCCCGGGATTTCCAAACCTGCTCAATAACAGCGCGGGTTCGAGACACACTCGAGACACTGCTCTTGGCCATCCTCGCAAGCAATTCCAAGACAAGCCTTCTTCCGTCTGTCACTGAGCCGGTCCCTGGATCTGCCCAGAGTTCCGAATCAAGCGGGTCCAGTTCGACAGCGGCAACGAAAAGAGGCCAGATGACGTGACAGACGGATTCCAAGGCTAGTAATTCAAGAATCTCCTTCAATATCCTCTGAACATAGCTCTCGATCACGGGTTGTGATGGTCGCCCACCATATAACGCGCAATTTAGATAGACAACACAAGTGAGTCTCTTCAATTCGGCGATCCTGTAAATAGTCTGGTCTTTTTCGTCGGTAGGGGGCTCTTGTTTGAGAGTATCGAGCCTATCACTCAACGTGGTGGCTCGCAGACTGAAAGTTCTCTGGTCCGCCTCCGAAACCATAAGCCGTCGTGACCGACTTAGGTCCATGATAGTGAATAATATCGAGACAAGAGCCGGGCTGCAACCCATCCAAAGATTTATTGTTGTATCGTCCTCGTGCCAATAGCTCGGTCCGAAAAGGTCTGCCTTTGCGCAAGCAGTTCGGCCCATCACATCTTGGAAAGCAAAGAAAAGTTCCGCAAAAGAAGATACGGGGTCTCGCTGCGTACTGACATTTGCCCCTGATAACAAGTTCTGATGTCGCCTTCGGAGTCGATTAATATCTTTCGCTCCTTGGAGATGGACAATCCACCGTTGATCGCAGTCATCCACGATATCGAAGAGACATAAGAACATTACGATAACCAAGATTTCGGGATCTTCCGCAACGAGAGTCCAGGGGTCACGATTGATTCGCTTTTGGAAGTCGTTCAAAACTCGAGACTTTAACCGCAGGCTGATGTTGCTGTATTGGGGGTCGTATTGAGACCAATGGCAGGCAGCCAGAGCCTGGATTGCTCGTAGCACTGTGGGGGAAGCTGATGCGCAGTAGGGAAGAATGACAGATGCAAATGGCGATTGTGACAGGGAACTATGAGTTGTTCGAGGGCAGATTTGATTGATATAGTAGTCGAACAGCTCTCGGTTTTCCAGCTCGGCTAGTAATGGAAATAGCGAGAGGGATGGTCGTAAGTTCTGCATTAATACCTCATTCATCTCCATGGATTGATTAGAAGGAGACGGTGGTCTTGAAAATGATAACATTGGCTCACGAGGCCCTTGTTCACCAATGGCCATTTTGGCGTTGAAAGCCGGCAGGAGATATGGTTCGGCCTGATTTTGTTCCTCGTCACAAAGTCGCCGGATCGAAGACACGTCATTATTTACGAATGTCCAAAGTTGAACCGGCGGGATCGCAAGCCATGTGGCTTCTTTTGGGGAAGTTGAAGTTGAGTCTGGAGAGACTGTTGGGCTTTGCCGCTCCTCGGGAGAGTTTTTGGTCCAGAGCCCGGACCTGCCAAAGGCGACCCCACGATCACGGAAATCCGATTCCCATTTCAGTTGAAAAGTACTGTAGCACTGCAGGTCCTTTTGCCAGCACCGGGTGCAAGTTGGCTTTTGCTCGTCGCATTTAACCTTGCTTCGACGGCAGTTTGTGCATCCATGGCGTGAACGGTCAGCTGCCTTGCGGTCGCTTTTCCTTGTTTTTGGTTCCATCTGCGTCTATCCCACGTATTCGAATCGCCGACTCAAAAACTCCAGGTTGAGATATCCTAACTCCCCGTTCTTGATGCTGCTGCTCTCGGAGAGTCGGACATTTTCATGTCAGCATCCGGCAGTCCGGCAGGTCGTGGCGATGGCTAAGTTCAGGGTGGGGAATTAATTGGCCACTCATAGTATCCCAAACAGTGGATCCCGTTTGATTGTAGAGGGAAAGCTTTGAAACCCAAGGAGTAGTGATATCAGTGCTTGTCGATTCGAGACCCAGTGCGGGGTGTCAAATATCGATTTTGGAGAGACATCATATTTAATAAGCTTCTAACTCCCCACATTCGATTATAAAGTTCTTCACTCGAGTCCGCACTCAATATATTTTGCAATCACGTCTACGACTCCAGAACTGGTACATACTGTCGCGGCATTCTTCAAACGTAAATCATGGTTTTCAACCTTCGATGGGGCATTCTTGGTCAGTCTCAGATAATTCGGTCTGATTTACCGAAACTCATTTCGTTGTACTGACGTTTATGTGCCTTAGCCACCGGCGGAATTGCGGAAAGTGAGTTGGTTCAATCAGAACGCGTTGCAATCGACGAGGCTAATCTTGCCGACTCAAGCCTTTGTGAGGGACTTGCTGCGGGCCCCGACTGAAAGGGGAGTTACAGACGTCACTCACACTGTAGCCGCTGTGGCATCCTCGTCGTCCAAGTCTTCAGCCGATTCATTTGTCCAGAGGCTCCAGATTCCCGAGCCATGTGCGACATACGGATCCTATGCAGAGGCCGTCAAAGATGCCAGCGTTCAGGTGGTTTATATTGCTAGCCCGCATTCGCACCACTTTCAACATACAATGCTGGCACTGGAAGCCGGGAAGCATGTTCTATGTGAGAAGGCCTTCACAGTCAACGCAGCTCAGGCCAAAATCCTATGCGAAACTGCCCGGAAGAAGGGTCTTTTCCTAATGGAAGCTGTTTGGACCCGGTACTTTCCATTGAGCATTGAAGTGCGACGCCTCGTGCAAACCGGAGCAATTGGTGAGGTCCTGCGTGTGATCTCGGACCTGAGCATTGGAGAGGAGCCTGAGACTGCCTGGAATGTCGACCATCGTATGGTAAACAAGGACCTTGCGGGTGGCGCGCTGCTTGACTGTAAGTCTAATATCCATGGCAGATATTACTGAGATTAATGAACAGTTTGCTAAACATGTTGCAGTAGGAGTTTATGCTCTTACTTGGGTCTTCCAAATTCTTTACCACACCCTACCTACATCTCAACGGAAAGCGCCATCTCAGATTGTGTCTCATATGTCAAAGTATCCCCAAACCGGAGCAGACGAAGAGACGACTATGATCATAACATTTCCTACTACAACGCCGACGGCCCTTCCTAACCGAACCTCACATGCTGTAGCAATGACGGCGTTCCGCGTTGCTACTGACCCAGACAACCGCGGCTCTGCTGGCCCTTCTATCCAGATCCAGGGGACTAAGGGGCACATCCACATCTTCGGGCCTGCTTACCGCCCGGAGAGATACCGCGTGGTGCCGAGTAGTGAGTCAGGAGACGCGACAACTATCCAGGATGTTCATATGCCTATCCCTGGCGATGCGCGCGGTATGTTCTGGGAAGCGGATGAAGTCGCTCGCTGTGTGCGCGAGGGGAAACTTGAAAGCGAGACTCTGCCTTGGGATGAGAGTATCACGATTATGGACGTGATGGATGAAGTTCGGCAGCAGGGAGGGCTGATGTATCCGGAGAGCATCGAATCGACAACTTACCCGTTGCCTCTTTGATATTTCGTGGTAGGGTCGTTGGTGACGAACACCGCTGCTACTGGCTCGTAACTACCTAATTTCGGCTAGGAACCAATCTGTTGTTTTTCTGAGCATTATGCTCCGTAGCAGTCATCCAATTCTCTCTAATAACAAATAGCTCGCTTATGAGTCTGCGTCTTCGTCGTCAAAGGAAACAATGCAGAGCCCTAGCCACTTAGTGCACGATGTAATCAATTTTTAAGGACCAATTTTCCACAGCAATCACTGGTTTCTGAAGACCTGAAATGAACCGTCACAGTTATATAAATACATACAAGCCGATTCCAGATCCTGCTGTTCATCTTTGGCAGGCTAATGCAACCGTTAGTACACAGATTAAAGGCTGACTTAACATATAGAGTTTATATATTGATGGAAGAAAGTGATATACAGAATCAAGCTTCACGCAGCATTTAGATCTAGGACGAACATAGCTCTGTTCAGTTTCAGATTATAATATCCGGGAATTATTGCCTTAAAAATGTTCATATCCACAGTAATGTATAGACACGTTGGCCGGAAACTTTTCCACTAATGACCAAAATTGTTAGTACTAGCGTCGGTCATTCAAGAAGAGAAGAAATGATCCATGACAAATTCGTTCAAGAATGGCAATAGAGGTGCTAAGTATGACAATCTAATTCCCGGAGAGGAATTACAGAGACATAGGCGATACTGGATCTATCATAAACTAGAAAAGGGACGTCTTATGCGAATGGATGCTGACGGTAGAGCAAATTCAGGCAGTAAATTGAGCGATCAGTGGTCTAGTATTTCTAGTCACCGCCACATATGAGGCAAGCACGGCAATGATAACAACATATGTCTAAGCCTACACCGTTTGAGTTGTCTTCCTGGTTCATGGCACAGCCTTTGGAACGGGAACGGGATGTCCTATTTGGGCGGTAAATGATCTACATAGCGGCTAATTTTAACCTCTTTCCTTTCGCCCTATTTGGTCCCCCTTTTTGTGGGGAAATTTGATTGACGTAACTATGTACTACTATACACAGTGATCGAAACACTTGCTATGTGACCAATCTGTCGGGAAATACACAACCCTGCATGAGAGAACCGTTTACAATAAAAGGAAAGGATATCTATCATTTGACAAGAACCTCGAAGTTAAAGTAATATAACAAAAGCAAAGAGAGAAGCGATCTAAGTACATCTTGTGATAGAAATAGGGCAAATACAAACGGGTCATGCGACCGCACTTCCTCTGGTCTGACGCCCTGGCACTAGTACAAATAGACTAGTCTTCAAACGTCGGCTGAGTTAAAAACTTCAACCGTGTCACCATCGAGAGGGATTGTTCCACCGGCTAAGCCGTTCGACGTGCATTGGTCCAAGATAGCTTGAGCCGCACTTGCGATATCCGTGCAGCTTCCGTATTCGATGGCGCCACAGAAAGAGACGGCAGCTGTTCCGGATGTCTTTATAGTGGTACATCCGCTTCCACCGGAATTGCCCTGGTTGCAGTTCCCGTATCCAGCACCCGCGACATCGTTGATTGCGCTCTGGACGTCGTCACTCGAAGGGCTAGCACCAGAAGTATTGCAAGAAACTTGTGCTAGTACCAAGGGACAGATAGTAGCAATAGCTAGGACGATGGTTTGTTTTAGATACATCTAAGAAACATTAGTAAAGTGTAGATATGTGATGCTTATATTCAGAGAAAGTAGAACTAACTGTTGCTCAATGTTTCCTTTTATAGTGCCGATGATGATGATACTTGATAATAATCAAAATACTGGCTTTTGGTAGAGGCATCTATCCTCATTTTATAGTTGAAAGCAGATGACTGATATCCTCTTATTTCCTAGGTTTAGTATCGGGCGCGCTAGTAAAGCGCGGTATCTCAATCCTTTAATCCTTCCGAGTCCCAAGTCCGTGTCAGAGATTGGGGGCCCTAACGATCAGTCTTGTGTGCTATGATATACAGCAGTGTTTCCAGGCATGCCAGAGAAGTTCGTCCTAGTGGTCTCTTTGGCTCAATTTTTTGTACTTACCTAGGTGTACCCCTAAGAGTACGTATCCCTTCTAAAATGACCGAATATATTGCGAAGTACTAGGTAACAACGAAATCTAACCGATTGACATCATAATTATGTTGTTGGCTGTAGTTATTATTACCCAAGCAGCGGTTGCATGGGGCAGTTTGCTGAAGCTAAACGGGACGGTACGATGTGAAATAGCAAACCCCTGCCCCGTAGGATGAAGCTTCGTATGTACGTAGGAGGCGTCCGAAAATGGGTCTCTTGGCGATATTTATTCCAATTTGCTTCAAGATCAGACGAATAGGTTTTCTGTACCCCGTGTTGTAGATCAGGTTGCCCCACAAAAATGGGGCTAAATGGGGCGGTAGGAAGCGCACTGCCGCCTAGTCTGGGGGGCTAGTGAGTAATTCCTGTTTCTATTTCTAACACTGTACATAGTGGGATCATTTCTTTGCCTCTGGATCCTCGGCTCTAAAAAAGAATCGCAAAGACAGATGCCGTGTATCCTGCCGATGCTAGAATCCAACTAGATTTTCAAGTACTGTTTTAGGCTCTAACTTACTCTATCTGACCTCACGAATGTATCAATTGTAGTAGATTTTAATACCACCCAAAGTAGTACAAAAGCACAAGGCAGTCCAAATTTGGGATTTATAGCCAGAGAGCACTATCATGACACCGGAAAGCTAAACCGGCATCTTAAACATCGAAACTTCGCACCTGACACCACTCTTAGAGCTGGCAGCTCGTTTTCTGAATTCTGTCTATTTACTGTTTGGTGTTTCCCACTAATACGAAAGACCAACTTCGCTGTTCGCAAACGGGGACTCACGCTGGGCACCAAAATCCTATGGTGTCGAGCGCCATGTACTACGCCTAGAGAGCGCAAGACCCTCCTAGCGGGTGTAACAGGGTTGGAGATCCGGGCCCTAGGCTTTTAGAATCTGTTCTTTTTCCTTGGCAGAAGGCAACAAGTTTTATTCTCAGTTTTTCGATGCTCCAAAGCCAGCCAAGCAGGTTGGAATCCAACGTGAAAACATGGAAACGAAGAAGCCTAGTACGGTGATGGGAATTGTGCATTCGAAAAGAATCTAGATTTTTCGGACGCATCTCCCATTGGAGCGAGCTTTTTTGAGCGCAAAGAAGTTCATTCCGAAGAAGCCCCGTGGAGATTGTCAGCTTACTTCAAAGGATCAGAATATTCATTCATATTAAATGGTCCGAAAGATGTGCATGTGCGGTAAGAGATGGAGACCACCGACAGCAGAATTAGAGAACCCGGAGGAAATCTTACGCGATTTCCGTACACTTTGCACATTTACTCGCCTCATCAACTGGTTAGCCGTACCTGAGCCTGAGTCCCGAAGGGCCGACGCTACATTCAGTGACAAGTATAGATGCTTCTGACATCATAGCAGATAGACAATGGTACGTGTTCTAATGATTCCCTCACTTGCTCTTGATCCAGTCCTTTGTTTCATTCAAGCTTTTTAAAACGGCCTGAGGGGGCAAAAATAATACTAAATATTCTCATTGACAGATCCTAATTAAGCCAACTTCCAATAGCATTCCTATCATTATCAACAAAAGGAAGAAAATTATATATTATGGAATCCACCGCAATCGTTGTCTCAGACCCGAGCACCGCATTGTGTACGGAAGCTTTTGGGGTTCGTGGATGTTAGGCAGTAAGCAGGACCCACAAAGCGTCCCATTTCTTGCGGCTTTTTTGAGAAACAGCAGACTCTGGGCCTTGGTAATTGTTAATTCGCATAAAAGAAGGAGAGAGATTTGGCGCTCCTTGCTCGCATCAGAAACCGGGTTGTGTTTGTCGCACTCTGGCTGTTGATGTTGTATATTCAACTTTAGGACCGTGCAGCCAGAAAGGCAGCAAGATCTTCAGGTTGACAGTGTTGTCCAGACAAGAAACATGGGCGTGGATTTGGAAAAAGTACCTCCTCTCCAGAAGCACCGTTTTGAAAGACGGCGTCGATTTAAATGGCGAAGGAAGCGTCTCATGAATCAATACTGGTTCGTTGAGCCGCAAAGGGGCATTGACAATATGCTTGTCGGGGCTGAGCGCAAGAGGGCTGAGCACAGAGGAACAGAGAAATGACTTTTTCTCATGCGGGACGCCGGCAGTCGTGGAGCTCCTGAGAACGATAGTGTAATCTTTGAGCAGGAATTCGGGTAAAGGCACCCTATAGTCGGATTCTGGAGAGTTGATTTGAAGCGTGAACGCCAGCGTGAAGGGCTCGCCAATAATTATCGCTGTAGTGGGCTCTGCTAGCAAAGAGAGATCCAATTGGTAGTTCCCAGCACTATGTTGGATAGTGTCTTTGGGTTTGACCTTAGTGAGTGGCCGTGGGATGCCCGAATTTGTGAATGTATAATGCTGCGTGAAGCTGTCATGGGCGTCTGGCCTGATGGCCCCTGGACTAGGGTTTCGGGTAGGTTCACAAGTAATAACAATAGGAAGCTCATCTCCTAGGCTCAGCATGCTTTTCTTAGCCTGGGCAGATAAAGAATATGTGACTTTCCAATCTGTGTAAGAGTCTCGCAGCTGACTTGAGTCCTCGCATGTAGGTGGGATAGGCCACATGGGGCCTAGTGGAGCCGAATAGAGGTCACCAGGTTTTGAATATCCTTCCCATGCCACCGGATTGAAGAAGCTTTTAGGGACCTCAAAGAAGAAAGCGTACTCGTAGGTGGACGCCTTCATCTTGGCGGGGCCCTGAAGCAACGTTTCGCTCAGCTTAAAGATATCGAAGTTGTAGGTACCCCTGAAATTGCCCTCTGTAGATTTTGCGAACAATGACCCCTTGAATGTGACAGATATGTCTTTGATCTTCTCGTCACCTTTTGCGGCCAAGATGACTTTACCTGACACGGCATCGCCGGGAAGGAAGTGATGGGCCCTCCGATCCGTCATCGAGTAAGGTGGGTCTAGGACGATCCTAAATCGCGAACCCATCGCGGTGGTAATATATAAGCCCTTGGCTTTCTTTCTGTCTTGAAGGTGAAATCGGCCATGGGCGAAAGAGCGAAAGGGGGGAAGGGAACCCGGGGTAACTTAAAGGGCAGCCGGCCCCAGAAAGGAGGTTTATGGGCTTGATCGAATAAAGACTAGTTGAGGCTTATTATTCATGCCGCTCGGTTTACGGCATTTACTGCTTACGCCCCCACTTCGTGGTGTGGTTCTCCTATATGCACCTATACACAGGATGCGGTCGGGCCTTTTCGATCCGTATTGGGGCCAAAATTGTAAGGGTGCTCAAGGTCCAGCTCACTATGTAGGCATCAGCAAGGGCTCAGTGCCAGGCGCACATCATATCTTAGGAGTGTCTGTTTATACTAACATAACCTAGTAGAGCTATCGAGTTTCAGAAGAGGTTCTAACATGACCCGTACTATACTGGCCATATGTTATGGCTGACGTGGGCTTCTAGCTGAAACTGTTACGCGCCGTGACCTTGAATCATGAAATCACTTCATGGGAAACAGCAGGGCAATGGGAAGCAGGTTTACCAGGTGTTATGTGGTGCGGAGCGGCTATTTAGGGGTGTTGTGTTTCATGTATGCCTTGATATGGGTTTTGTCCTATGTGCATTAGGTGTCCCCGTATTGTTATGTGAATGCTAAGGCTACAGTATTATAGAAATAGAATATCGTCAGTAAAGACGTCTTTTCTTTAGCTCTGCTGTTGATTCAAGCCTAAGTCACAATGTCTCTTCTCTGTTTGTATACCCTTAGCAGACATAGACCGACCGCGCGAGGAGAGCTCCGCGGAATCGGTCCTAACGCCCACGTAGGCCACAATCTAGGAAACATGTCGGAGCAGGCGAGGACTAGTAAAGCCAACAATCATCGTCCTAGCGGGAGACTTTAACCGGCACTATCCCGCGTGGAGCGGAACCAAACCCCCTTAAAATAACAGGTTGTAGATGATATTATTGAGTTGATATTGTTCTAGGAATAAAGTTGTAGCCCCTTGGCAACTGAAAAGGCCACACTTGGAAGTCCAAAGATAGACGACAGTCCTAAAATCTGCTGCTAAGTGCTCAACATGAGTTTCTGCTTCGATAATCACGTAGAATGGATTGGTAGTTCTAATGATTTAGCAGAGACCTTCCGCCTGCCTTTTTTTTGGTTTTTTTTTTTTTTTTTTTTTTTTTTTTTCTTGACTGTCGCGGTTTGCTCTTTCGTCTTACGCCCACCAGTCATAATACAAAAGGTTGTGCCTACGTGGTTGAGAGCCAAACTTGGCATACAAAGATGATACTTCTTTTTCTATAGCTTCTGCCAAATACCGCGAGTCATTCGCCGCCAGACTCAAACTAGATCTGGTTCTCCCAGTATTCTGAATAACCCTAACAGCGACCTTCGAAGGACTGTAAATGCTTTCCAGAAATGACCCAGAGCCCTTATTGTCGATCATATCAATAGAACACATCACAACTCGAAATGCCTCAACCAGCCCCCTGGCTACTATGGCAACCAGCCAACCATCAACATCTTGCCAGCCCCATATGATCACACATATGATCACAGCACGAAAAGACCGGCAATGACTGCAGCACCACCGAGCACTATTTCTTGAGCCGTGGCAATTGGCATAGCCGCATTGGTGGTGGGAGCTGCAGAACCCGAGCTTGTAGGAGTCGCCGCATTGGTCGCAGGAGTTGTGGTGGAATCTGCAAGCTTTGATGATGCCGAAGAGACCTGCTCTGAATAATCACTCGCAGTCCAGGGAATCTTTGTGAAGCAACCTCCGCCTGCCGTGCTCGCTGGTGAAACACTTCTGGCTTTCATGTTGATATTGATAGTCGTGTCGTGGACGCAGCAATGTTTATTGGCGCCCTCAGCCACCAGGCTGCCATAGCAGCATTGGTCGCCATCTGAGCCCCAGCTGTGGGGGCAAGTGGTTGCCGTTGTAGTGGCCGCGAGGGAAAGGGCTATGAGCAGAGACGCCTGAATGATAGCATGGCGAGTTTTAAATGGACTAGGTGGGGGTAATTATGAACGATTTAGCGTGTTGATGGACTCAAAATATGGGTTCTGCTTACCTTTTATAGACGATATGGATGCCAAAGAGCTTGCCAGGGCTCGGTTGCCCTGCGCACGGAGCTGCGATAACCTCCTTCTCGATTGGTGTGGAGACTCCGAATGAGTTCCCTTGGTGAGAAGCTGGAGACGAGGCTCAAAGGGCCGGAACTATCCGACCTATTCGGGACTGAGCTGCACGGACGCTTCCAAATTGGCGCCAGTCTATGAATATTATTGATCGCAAGTTTGCTGCTACATTCGGCTTCTTTAGCCATCTGAGACGCGGTGAAGGATTGGCTCTCTACCATGTCACTCTCCGAGATGCAACTTCGAAAGAGGGATCCTTGGATCCATTTCGTGAGGACTAATCTCGGATACTATAGCCTTGGAAGACAGACTGATGGGTGAGGAAGTCTGCTTGCTGCTGTGGATGGAGAATCGGGGGCCTGGAAGGTATTGAGTGTATAGGAACTCAGGGAGCAAGCAGTGAGCACTAAAACGGAAAGAGCAAGTCACGGGGCGCCAGACATTATCCTGTCCGCATGTACAAATGATCTCTATGGTATAATTGCCGCCTCAATGCGGCGCAGATGCTCTGTGATATCACAACAGCTCCATCGGTCCTGCGACTGCGGTGCCAGCATGCCCCGGATACAAGCCATCAGCGTCTCCGCCACCGTCGTCCCATTATCTAGCATGGTCTCACCACAATCAACCTTGCGGGAAAAGTCGCGGGGGAATAATGTGTGTTCCGTAGGGTTGTCGTTGGATCCATGCGTTAAGTTGTTCAAAACCAGCTGCCGCTCCATCTTCGTGTTCAGACGGTAGACCAATTCGAACAGAATAACACCCAGCGCATATACATCCAGTTTTTCGTCAATCCGGTATGTATCAAAGTAACTAGGGCCGCAACTCTCGACAGCATTCGCTGGTGGTCGATAGAACTCGGTTCCAACGACACGCTGTATGGGCGGGCCCTCGCGGTATGGCGTCACGGTTTCATCTGAAGAGGTTTCGTTCAGATGGGAGATGTCTGCAACGAGACCAAAGTCGCCGATCCGAGGACGGCAGAAGTGGTATGGTGTGCCACGCTCAGAGCTGCATGTTGCGCAGGTGTCTAGGGGGCTATTCTGAGGCGTGGACAGAAAGATATTTGCTGGTTTCAAATCGCGGTGGACAATTCCCTGGGAGTGCAAGTATTCTACCCCAGAGACAATATCCTGCATCAGTCGCACCGAGGGTAGCAGATGGAAACAATGTTTCCGGGAAATATAGCCGTCACCACCCTCTTGCTTGGTGGCTGCTTGATGGCTCAGATACGAGCCGAGTGAGATCGGATGCAGCGACATCTGAATATGAAGAATGACGGCGGGCGGTTGATGCCCAACGCGGAATTGGCGTTGGACCTGTAACTTGGACTGATCTTGACTTAGACCATCGGTGAAAATGTCACCGTCCGTTACCCCAAACGTGGAAGAATGTCCATGCGAGGGGTTGTCAAAGTTGCGGGGAATAGATTCAATGTCGTCATCCTCATCCTCCTGACCTCGTCCCGAGCTCTTCTTTGATCGATGGGAAGAAGTAGTTGCATGACTCTCCCAACGCCGTAATCTGTTTGAAAAGCCTTGTTCGTCGAGACTCTGATGATGTTCAACCGCTGAGCTCTCGGAGTGCTCAAAGACAATGCCCATGCTCGGCTCATTTGTGGGGTCTTGGCTGGGCAGGCCGACCTGCGTGTGCTCATACTTGATGTGAGTTGAGCGCTGCTCAGCTGAAGCAGGATTGGAGACATGTGCCTGTTCAACCCATGCTCCATAATACCGCACGATGTTGGTGTGTTCCAGCCGAGCGAGGGTCCGAATTTCTTTCATAATGGTCTCCAGGTGAGTTTGTCCGCCGTACTGCAGCTGGTCGAGCCGCCTTTGGCTGAGCGGGATTTTCTTGACCGCATAGTCTTGACCATCAATGTGATTCTTGACATGATAGACCTCACCGAACGAACCACGACCAAGGACTTTGAGCTCACTAAACTCGACGGAATAGCGAGACAAATTATTGTAGGGCTGAGCAACTGGAGCATTAAATAATGGCACGCCCACAGGAGAACTGCCAAAAAGTGGAATGGAGGAATTGGGCAATCCTTTCGCGCCGTTCGGGATGTTATCAAACATGTCAAGCTTATTCGTTGGCGGTAATTGTTTTCTGAAATCCAAATCCTCTTGCCGAGTCAGCCAGAATTGCGCGTTATCTCCCGATTCAAGTTTGTTCGGTGTTGATCTTGAAACCAGTGCCAGTTCCTCGGTGGCGCCGATATGGGGGGATCGTTTGTGAGGCTCATTCAGATTCAACTCATCCAGAGCAGACAAGCCAAGCAGATCGAGATTGTCGCGATAGCTTTGTCGTGTTGAGCCCCATTCCTCCTTGTCAATTCCGTCCGCAAGAACACCATGCGACGACAGGAACTGTGACTTGTATTTGTACAATTTCTTGCCTAGATACTGCACCTCGGGAGACTGGCGTGTGAATGTTCGACTCGAGCCCTGCTGGGCGTTCAGGATGTCTGCCGCTCGACTTTGGCAGTAAAACTCCAACAGCGCAGCTGTCATCACGTTCGCGTGGCGCTCGGTGTTGACATCTAGCGCATCATGGGAGAATTCGGACACATCATCGAAGGTCGAAGTGTCCACTTGGCTTTCCGAGCCCTTCGAAGATTGTTCAGCCGTTTTGCCCTTGACGGAGTCCTGGGAATCATTCCTGGAATCATGCAGCTCGCTGTCTTCCGAGCTGGACTCGTCGGACGATATTTCGGCAGCTGATCGAAACATCGACATGATGGTCACCGCAAACAGAGAATTGCAACAATTAATTCAAGGCCCGAACCACGCCATCCAGAGATTGATACTCCAGGAATGGAGACACAGCAGCCGACTGTTTTATGGCGATTCTGGAAAGAACCGAGCCGTGGCTCCACCGTGGACGTGTCAGAGTCGAACAGAAGGAATAAGTGGTTTAAAGATGCCACGGGGGCCTGTACATCAATGAAAGGCGAATGAACATGTCCCACTTGACTCAGGATTCCATGGGATTCTAAAATGTCGTGGCAGGGCGTGTATCATGGGGCCCACATCCCTGCAAGGCACCACTGGCCCAGGATTGTCGATCAGAGGCAGCAACAGTGACCAAAAGACAAGGGCCTTGACATATCCAAGCCAACTCGATCAGGTGGCGCAAGGAGAATCTCGTGTCCTTTCATCGTTTGGCGGGGAAGAGTGATATTTCTGCCGGCAGAACGCGTGGGTGAGTGATGGACATGGGAAATGCGATACAGAGCACTGTGGAAGAGAAATGCGAAAGTAGTTATTTCGAACCAAATTAAGCAGAAGGGACTAATAGACACAACCATCAAATAATACTTATTATACCCTCATCCAACTCAGGCCTGAAGCTGACACAGATACACCGCCCTATTAGGGTTTCAAACTTATGGCCCACCTTATCACACGTGACACCACGCGTAAAGGGCGTAGAGGGCGTCACGTCGCGTCGAGTCGTGCTTAATCCTCTCCCATTCCTCTGCCTACTCACCCCCCACCCACTTACTCGTCGAGTCGGTAGTCTCACAGCTTCTGCACATCTATTCTATGAATTGCCACCATGCCTGAAGCTGTCATGCCCCAAAAGCGGGTGCTGGGCGACGCCACCAATAGTCCCCGCAATGTTCTCAAGTCTCCCAGCGCGCTGAAGAAGCGCAAACTGGACAACGAGTCCGCGGCTCAGCTCTTACGATCTTCTCAGAATGGACCACGAAAGGGCTTTGGCTCGAGCCAGCCACAGAAAAGCCAGTTCGAGGCGGAGGTCCTGGAGAAAATGACGCAGGACATCAACGGGTTGAAGGAGAACAACTCCGAGAGAGACCAACAGTGGGAGCGCCCACCACTGGGCGACTTTGACGAGACCAAAGACAACATTTGCTTTCAGCAGATTGATGCGGAGGAAGGATCGATGATGGGCGGAAAGATGGCAGTCCGTCTTTTTGGCGTCACAGAGGTAAGCATAGTGTCTTGTCTATATTTGTGCTCGATCTGACGATTCGAACAGGAAGGACAATCGGTTCTGCTGCACGTCACCGGCTTTCAACACTACCTTTACATCGCTGCCCCTGTCAATTTCACAAAAGCAGATTGCGGACCTTACAAGGCCTTCCTCGAATCGAAACTTGCTCAACACGGGCAGGTTATACAATCTGTTGATATAACCATGAGGGAAAACATTTACGGGTTCCAAGGAAACCAGAAGACTTACTACATCAAAATCACCGTGACAGACCCAAGATCGATCAGCAGACTTCGCAGCGCGCTGGAAACTGGCAGCGGGACCATGAACTACAAGGGCCTGTGGAATTCAGCGGATAATGGGATTCTCACATTTGACAGTATCCAATACCTGCTGCGGTTCATGATTGATACCGGTCTCGCGGGAATGGCCTGGGTTGAGGCGAAGGCAGGAAAATATCGCCTTCTTCCTCACCGCGAAAGGCAATCCAATTGCCAAATTGAGGCCGCCGTCGACTATCATGATATGATCGCTCACCCACCCAACGGAGAATGGGCAAAGATGGCACCACTCCGCGTTTTGTCCTTTGACATCGAATGCGCGGGCCGAAAGGGCATCTTCCCGGAACCCAACCAAGATCCAGTCATCCAAATCGCCAACGTCGTTACCCGCTACGGAGAGTCGAAGCCGTTCGTTCGAAATGTGTTTGTACTTGACACGTGCAGTCTGATCGTCAACACACAAATTCTCGAGTTTGAAAAGGAGGAGAACATGCTGAACGCGTGGCGCGATTTCGTGGAGAAGGTGGATCCCGATGTGATTATTGGATACAACATTTCCAACTTCGACTTTCCCTATCTGCTCGACCGGGCAAAGCATCTGAAGTGTACTGGATTCCCGTACTGGACCAGACTGAAGGGGATGAAGTCAGAAGCGAAGGAATCAAATTTCTCCAGCAAACAGATGGGCAGCCGTGAGACGAAGGCGACGAACACAAACGGCAGAATTCAGCTTGATCTCCTCCAATTAGTTCAAAGAGACCATCAACTGCGAAGTTACACCCTCAACTCTGTATCCTATGAGTTCCTGGGCGAGCAGAAGGAAGATGTGCACCACACGATGATCACCGAACTCTTCAACGGCACTCCCGACTCTAGGCGACGACTGGCTGTATACTGTTTGAAGGACGCGTACCTACCGCAGAGATTGATGGATAAGCTAATGTGCCTGGTGAACTACACCGAGATGGCAAGGGTCACAGGCGTGCCTTTCAACTACCTTCTGTCTCGTGGCCAACAGGTCAAATTCATCAGCCAATTGTTTCGAAAGGCTCTGGAACAGCAACTTGTCATTCCCAACGCCAAGTCGAACGACGAGCAGGACTACGAGGGTGCTACTGTCATTGAACCAGTGCGAGGATATTACGGTGTGCCCATTGCGACTCTCGATTTCGCATCGCTGTATCCCTCAATTATCCAAGCGCACAACCTGTGTTACACGACTCTCTTGAACAAGGCCAATGTGGAGAAGCTGGGTCTTAAGAAAGACGATGACTACATTGTGACTCCCAACGGAGATATGTTCTGCACCGCCAAGGTTCGCAAGGGTCTCTTGTCGCAAATTCTCGAGGAGCTGTTGTCGGCCAGAAAGAAAGCCAAGAAAGAGCTGGCCGTGGAGACGGACCCGTTCAAGAAGGCTGTGCTGAACGGTCGACAGCTTGCTCTGAAGATCAGCGCGAACAGTGTCTACGGTCTTACGGGTGCTACAGTTGGCAAGCTTCCATGTCTTCCCATCGCCAGTAGCACTACCAGCTACGGACGTCAGATGATCGAAAAGACCAAACAAGAAGTCGAGGCTCGCTACACAATCGCCAATGGCTATTCTCATGATGCTCAAGTTATCTACGGTGATACTGATTCGGTCATGGTCAAATTTGGGGTATCCGAACTCGAAGAAGCGATGAAGCTTGGACAGGAGGCAGCTGACTACGTCTCATCCAAATTTATCAAACCCATCAAGCTGGAGTTCGAGAAGGTGTACTTCCCATACCTTCTGATTAACAAGAAGCGGTACGCCGGTTTGTACTGGACGAACCCAAAGAAGCATGACAAGATGGATACCAAGGGTATTGAGACTGTGCGACGTGACAACTGCCTGCTCGTCCAAAACGTCATCGAAACGGTGCTGAACAAGATCTTGATTGACCGAGATCTTGACGGCGCTCAGAAGTAAATCCCTCCTGTTCTCTTTTGCGTCCACAGGCTAATTTGTCGTGCAGCTACGTCAAAGATACCATCTCCGACCTTCTGCAAAACAAGGTTGATATGTCGAAGTTGGTGATCACCAAGGCGCTCTCCAAGAGCGATTACAGCGCCAAGCAAGCGCACGTCGAACTCGCCGAGCGCATGCGCAAACGTGACGCGGGATCCGCACCCACCTTGGGTGATCGTGTGGCGTATGTCATGATCAAGGGCGCTGCCAATTCGAAGAACTACGAGCGTTCCGAAGATCCTATCTACGTTTTGGAAAACAACATCCCCGTTGATACCAAATACTACCTCGACAACCAACTCGCCAACCCACTGGGTCGTATTTTTGAACCTATCCTGGGCGAGAAGAAGGCTGGCCAACTGCTCACTGGTGAACACACACGGTCCATCTCCGTCGCCGCACCTAGTTTGGGTGGGTTGATGAAGTTCGCCAAGCGCACCCAGACCTGTATGGGATGCAAGAAGCCGCTCGCTGGCAAGGAGGAGATGGCTGGTGCAGTATGCGAACACTGCCGCCCCCGTCTAGGTGAACTGTACACCAAGACACTGACCAAGGTGTCCGATCTGGAGGTTCGGTTTGGTCGACTGTGGACTCAGTGCCAGCGCTGCCAAGGCAGTCTGCACTGTGAGGTTATTTGCTCTTCGCGTGATTGCCCGATCTTCTACATGCGCATGAAGGCCAAGAAGGATGTTGAGGATTCACAGAAGGAACTTTCTCGGTTTGACTTGGACCCAGGCGCCTGGTGATTTTATTTTCGTTGTGTTTTGGGACGGAGGTGCCTCATTAATGACGGAGTTGGGGGTGTTCATATGTCTAGTGTACAATGATCGATCGATTAGGTGGCCATCGAATCACGTTTCTTGACAGAATGTATATGTACTTGCCTAACGTCTCGCTTTGCTTGCCTACTGCCGCAAACGAACGATTCACTGTCCTTGGCCCTGCGCATACCGACTCCATCGCCGCGCCACCGGCCCCACCGATAAAGCAGTATGGCACGGGCAGAAACACTGTGGCAATCACACCCAGCACGGTCACGGTCCAGGCAATGCCCAGCTTCTTATACAATGGGTTCGCGACAACAATCATGCCACCGGCAGAGGTTAGACGAAGCATATGGACGGTAGCCAATGTGCTAGCAGCGTGGTACTTGAATGCATCGGCCACGTACTAAGCCGAGGAGACGAAGGCACGAACAAGCCCTTAGCCGAATAGCACGATTGAAACACGTTGTCACCTAACTTTTTTCTGTTTCCATAGCTAGAGCCACGAAAATGCATGTATCTCCTTCGAGCTAACTGTTACAGTTCATAGTGGGCTGTATATTGGTCAGACAGAACAGATACTTCCATCTAAGCTACTATGTGATAGATACAGAGTGGATGCTAGATCACGCTGATACTCAGGATCTCTAACTCTCACAAATATAGATCACACAGACCGGATAATTTCTGACACTTCTTGGCTTTCTCTTCCAGTTTAAGTGTTCACCTTTGCTCCCTGAGTAGCGTGAGTATCTGGGGGGTAATCTGTTTTCTAAATCTACTGTATCTCAACAACTCTGCGCTTGTGCTTTATCCGGTCAACTTGGTGTGTTGGTCACATCATTTGGTTATATCTTGCTGACTTCAACTACCTTGCTGATCTTGGTGTCAATCAATAAGCCCCATCGCGCTTATGCCATAGAGAAATTGGACTCATTTCAATTGGACGCGAATAGCTGCTTTGAATGACGGGATCAGCAACCAGTTCCAAATTCTCCACCTTCCCTCCGCCCTCCTCAAGTGCCCATAAACTAACTCCTAGATAATTGGCACCGTGGTAATTCCAAATACCTTCAGGAACAGGGAAACTATCCTGTGGGCCAATGTTGTGCACCCATTTGCCAAATTGGTACCCGTTGACATATATCTGGCACCGGATGCTAGATGTTGTATCGGTCGTGTTCGCGAAAGATAGAGAGATAGGGATGTCGTAACCAGTTGGCATATCTAAGTTGAAAGTGGTGGCATAAAAGGCTACCCCAGGCTGTATTAGTCCTGCCATTGGGCCGGATGGAGTGCTGTTCCATGAGCTTGTTGGTGCTTCGGGTAGATGGTAACCTTGTCGTTCGGCGAACAACCCTCCTTTAATGTTCCAAAATGCTTAGCAGTGACCGGACCAGATCCAAGGGCTTCCACGAGGGTTGAATATAGGACTTCAAGAGTAGGCTCACCTTCGTTTAGCGGGCCACGCGTGTGATCCTGGTAATCCTCACCACCTAGATTTCCTGTGAGCTTCCAAGAAATATCTGACTTATTATGCCCAGACAGCGAATAGTCCAGGATTCCGCGAGGAGTCTTCATGTCGCTCGTTCCAGCGGACCCATTCTCTTCGAATCCCATTTGATCAATCAGAACAGTAATGACGTAAGTTTGTCCATTATTGGTGGGAAGATCCCAGGTCTGATTCATGGAATAGGCCGTAATCGCACCAGAGAACGATCCCACGAATTTGTCGTTGACCCATATTGAGTGACCGTAGGCTGAGCCGCCCTGAGTCTCCAAGAACAACTTTTCATTTCCATTGGCCCGAAACTTGCCACGGTAAAGAAGATATCCTGTGTTGTAGCCATAGTCTGATGCATATAGTGAGACTGGGGTGGTAAGATTGCGCTCGGTGTTATTGCTGGTGGTGAGAGATGCTGCCGTCCACATGCTATCGTCGTAGTCTGCAATGGATTGGTAAGAACTTCAAGATCAATCAACACCTAAAACAACAATTTTAGAGCATACCTGGTTGAATTTCTGGCAGAGAATCCAGAACTTTCCAGTCAATCTTTGAAAGATTCGGCAACGAAAAGCTAGGCGTAACGAAATTCGAAACAGCCTTGATAACACCATGACGGTCTTGTTGGAAAACTGTGGATTTGCTGTTCACAAACAGAGATTTAGTGGCTTTGTTAGCACCTATGATCTCAACGTCGGTTGTGGCGTTGAAATCACCAGTCAAGTAGACATTGTCCTTGTCCACTTTTACAGTTCTCACCAGATAGCCAGCTTTGACAATAGGAGATGCGAAGAAGGTCGTAGGATTTGTGAAATTGCCTGAGACTTGATCGTTGGGCAAGTTAATGGACCAGTAGTTTTACGCGGAATAGCGATCTGTTGTTGTTAGCTGAAGTTGGTTTTTCGCAACTTTTTGAATATCGCTTACCCATAAGATAGACATAAAGGCCAGAAGATAGCATCACAATTGTCCTCGTCTCACCAACAGTATACTGAATCACTGTTGAATCGGATTTATTATCGAATTTGACCGAGTCCTTGCTGCCTTCAACAACGACAGGCTTGCCACCTTGTTCAATAGCCAACTCGTGAACTTCTCCAGGTCCACCATAAACTATGAGAACGCGTTTATCTCCAAACAGTCTCCACGTAAAAATTTCAGCGGTAGAATAAAGGAGATTGAGTCCTGCAATATCGTAGTCCGTGACGTGGAATTTAGAGTCTCGGCCAACAAGTGACAAAGACCCACCCAGTTGAGGAATGGTAGTGTTTCCCTTACTCGTTAGCAGGCTGATTTGATATTTCTCGGTTGTCTGCGAGTCATATTCTGCATGACGAAGAACAAAGAAGTTCGTGGTATTCCCAAAGAGTGCCGTCGTTGCGATGTTCGTATTCCCCGTATATGAGCCATTGGCATGAGAGTTGTTTTGCGGCACGGCGCTGAGGTACTCGGGAGAAGAGTGTAGGAACATCGCTTGCAGCTTCAACTCACTGTAGTTCTCTCGCTCGACTGTACGCAGCTCAGTAATGGGGGCACCATAGTCGTAGCTAGTGTATCCTTCAGGGTAACCTAAGTTACCCCAGTTTGTTCCACCAGCTCCCATGTAGACATTGAAGACTGTTGCTCCGAAGCTGTAAATGTTTTTGAAGAATATGCGTTGATATGGGGGCCCTAATCGGGCTGCAGTCTTGTTGTATCCATATCCTCCCCATGGATCCCAGCTTCCGCCTTGAAATTCCATGACTGAGTAAGGAGTGTCGGGTGCCATTTCCTCGTGTAATTCTCCATAGTCTGTTGGGAGAGCATTGGCGGGCCATTGGTAGATGTCGTCATCAAAACCTGGAAAGACACTTTAGTTTTGAACACCTTTTGTTGCTAGGTAATGTTTTGAGCTTACCCTTGGGATAACTATCGTGTCCATAAACAGGCCATTTTGGAGGTCCCTGATCATAGAAATAACCATGTGGGCTATTATCATTGCTAATGAAAGGGATCACGATACCAGCATCCCTGTACTGGTCTTCGACAGCTTTGAAATAAATAGGGTCGGGGAATGGCGGGTTCCCCGACGAGTACTCATTCTCGGGCTGCAGGAGAATGACTGGGCCACCATTTGTGATCTGAGCTTTGGCAATGATCGATCCAATGCTTGACACATAATTTTGGGTAGCATTTAAATATAGGGGATTTCTCGTTCTGAGCTCCACTGGAATGCGCGCCAGCCACCCGGGAAATCCACCACCACTGACTTCAGCATTGATGTATGGACCCGGGCGTGCAAGGAGATATATACCTGGAGTTTGAGTTTAGCAATCATTCTTATTCTAGGGAAACATTTATGATTTGGTAGTCCGCGAAGCTTACCTGCTGTTTTCGCAGCTTCAAAAATGGTTCTAGAGCGAAAACCCCTTCAGCTTCGAATTCTCCTTCTTTTCCTTCAAGAAGTGCCCAGTTGACATAAAATGAAACCCCATTAAAGCCAATTGACTTCATTTTCTGGAATACATCTAGCCATAGCCCTGGAGCTGGTAGTCGAAAGGGGTGAAACTCTCCAGAAAAGAAAACACGCTGACCATGGACAAAGAAAGAGTGCTGCATATCTTAGTTAGAGTTCTTAAGACCGAAGAATCGTTGAAATAGTTAACCTTGTCCCATGTCACGATATCCTGAGAGCCGCCTCCTGTTGACGCACTGAGCGCAACATTCTGTTGCACGAATGTTGCCGCGATCGAAGTCACAGCAAAGAGGTAACGTAAGAACATAATGAGCTTATATCATTCGGTTCCCACTCATGCAAATTCAGATAATTCAGTATTTTCTACACCTGGGGAGGTATTTGAGTACAAGCAGATATAAGATCAGCATCTCAGGCTAGGAACTTAGTTATTAGGTCACATCATAGGTTCAGGATTAAAGTCTCCATTTTACTGAAAATATGTCCTATTCGGGGTATTCACTGAGCGAATGCAACTGTACAGACGGTTTGCTATGGGGGCCAAGGTTGGAATGTAGCAGATCGGCATCCCCGCATTGGCGGTTAGACAGTCGCCAAGCCAAGTCTGGGCCTTGCAGGAAATATCCGATAATGCATGCGGGGAAAGCCCCCCTTTTCATTGATTAATGCGCTGCTGCTTCTCCTACGGATATTTAAGTCAACACTACTATGACCAGGTCGGGTTAATTGTATCCGAGTCTAAGACAATGAACCTAACAATGCAGTGACCCCTTAATAGTACAGCATCTAGAGACGTAAGATGGAACCCGTATTCTACTGTTACTGCAGACAATTCGGATGAAGCATTATCACAGCTATCAGAAGCATCGTCTTTGCTGAAGAAAAGAGCTCTGAATGCCGATATCTGGGATGCCGAGACAATCGATGCATCATGGCCTTTCTTTGGGACTCTCGTTCATAGTTGTCTCCTACAACCGCTTTTCTATCCTGTTCAAGCCCCGGTGTATTTGATACCCCTTGTAGACGCCTGGGATCAAACAGCATCTAACACGAGATTTGGTCTCCAGGTACTCGTTGTCATGCTGTGGATAGAGCCAGATATTTAGAGATCATCCCGAGCATTAGGTGGGGAGGGTTGGGATGAACACTGTCAACTTACCCGCTGGGTCATGTACGGGTCCAGAACGTGCAATTTTCCGGATAACAGTCAAATCAGTCTGGCACCACAAATGAATACAGAAACCAAAATGCAAGGTATATTGTACGACCATATAATTATTTGTAAAGGAAAGATGATGTCATGGATGCTATTCGACTAAGTAACTTAACTAGGGGACAGGATTAAGTTCGGGGTTGAGATGGGGCCCGAGATACCGAAGAATATGGGTTGATTCGTAATAGGAATATAGTGCTTGATTTAGCTAATATTGTTTAGAAAACACATTGAAACAGATCAAACCAGATAGCTCACTCAGCTGTAGTAGCTGACAACATTGAGCACGTCAAGAAGGGCAATTTCAGTCTGTGCGTCCTCTAGTGCCCATGTTCGAATATCAACGGTCATCATACCCTCTATTCTTACATCTGCTATTCAATAAACAAATAGCTTGAGCCATCCCTGAATAAATCTTATTCTGTACCGGTTCTCAATTAAACGTGCTTTCTCTGGCCCATCTCCATCCTCCACACCACTTGCAAAGTCGAACATTTGAGAGTGTATTTGCCAAGACTGCTCGTTCATTGTTTTGAGTCTTACTTGAAAAAGGACCAACAGTTTTTTGAATGTGATTCAGAATCTAAATTAGATACTACCTTTCCTAAGGCGGTAGATTTTCCTATTCGGCCTAAGAAGTGGCCTCTAGCATCGACAGCGCATACCCAATGGCTTGTGCTAATTATGGGTTCACCTCCATGATTCGCACGGGCATACGTACCTAAAAGATCATGTTTAACTGAAAATTATGTTTGAGAGTATTCTGTAACTAATTCATATTATGGTTCAACCGGACAAACTGTTTGTTTCAGCGTTTATTTTCCTTCGTAACTGAACAAAGCAAACAGCGTCAAAGCATAACACATCTAAAGTTCCGTCACAAGCTGGAGCTTGGCCCCATCACTGTAACTGGTTGCTTTCCTTCATACTTAGCAATCTCTCCTGCGATTGAAATGGCCAACTTCCACTCAAGATGATGCTCATTCTTAATATTATATGTCGTGAATGTCGGATATATCTCCGCCCCTTTAGAGCTCATAGGTGTCTGTATCCCTAGGGCAATGCCTAGATCAATTGGTGGAGATGTATTATCCTGAGGCACAAAGAGTGTATCTGCGCTCGGGGGTGCATCTGCTTGATCCTTTGGTGGCGTCGCATTAGCCTTATATGCTTCTTTAGGACCCTTTCTCCAAGTATAATTCGCCAAGATGAGCGAAGATGTATCTTGCAATTCGTCCGGTCTCAACCGCTTGGAAGTATAGTGCGTTGTCGATAGTAGGGTCAAGGTAAACTGCTTGACTATAATCATTTGCGGCTTTTTTCGTAAAATCTCACTTGTATCCTCCCACATTGGTTTCACTCGCAATCGTAGAGGAATAGTATTGGGGTTTCCAATCTGTAGTATAGCGGCAAAGTCCAACTGGAGAGAGAACGAGTAGGCCGGAATTTGGGATGAACCGAGAATCTTCTTGATTCTTTGGCCGACGGGAATTTTAGAGTCCATGCCTGGGACTAAGCGTTGCGAGACTATTCTCTGCTTAAACTCAGAACGATGTTTAGGGTCGAAGTCGGTGATTGGAATTGGCGACGAGATCGGCCGTACACAGAGTGGTTGAGTGGCTTGGTCTTGCTTGCCGCTATTTTTCTTGCCGCTGCTAAGCAACGTCGCCTCCAGGTGATACTCGACGTACCCTTCGACCACTCTACCCAAAGAGTGGGCTCTCACGTAAAAGGTCGGAGGAAGCCCTTGCGACGAGACGTCACTAAGAGACAAATAACTCCTTTCATCCTCGTTATTCCTCTTTAGAGACGCTAGGTTCGGATGCTTGGGGAGTGCAATAGCAAACGGCCACCTCCCTTTCTCAGGGCTATTAGGCGGTATGTGGATAGGGCCCTGGTGGCTCTTATGAACTTCGCTCGAGCCCCCGAAGAAGCTGAAGCAACTGCGATATTCCCTATGTGTCATGCCACTGTTAAAACGAATCTTGACCTTAGTCCTCCCGTTGACACGAACGAGAACAGAGGAATCCGGGTCCACCAAGGGGGACTTTCGGATAACATGACCACGGATTGTCTCGCCGCCTATGAAGGTAGTCCCTTTGTCCAGAACTATTGAGAGTTCTGGGCTGCTTTGCAAGATAGCTTGGGGCATGTTCGGTTTGTTCTACGAGCTCTAAATGTGAGCCCGACAATTGGTATGGTAGCTGAGAATGACTTGGAAGTATTATTTCTTGCGTATTTTCCTGTCTGTGCTCTAACGCGAAACGAATCTTTGGTGAGCTGAAATCCCTCTGCATTTATTAACGGAGACTGACAGGATGGTGTCTATTATGGTGCTAGAGCTGCAGATCTTTGTTTTGAGATGCCACTCGAACACGCCGTGTTATTAGCTATCAATCAAAGACGATAAATGAATGAAAGAGAAGTCTTCAGATCCGTTCGTGTCTGGTTATCTACCATGACGATTTGTGTCATCATCAAATCAGCCGGCTTCAAACTTGAAACACCACCGAGAGACTTTCTGCAGGGGGCTGATCATTGAATCCTTCGTTTCAGCTCTGGGGGGCCAAACACCTTTTTACAGTAATAATCTACTATGATACTTTGTGTGATCATCAAATCAGTCAGCCTCAAACTTAAAGTAGCTGCAGTTACTCCCCAGTCTTTCCCCACGGGGTTGGTCATTGAATCCTTCATATCAGCTCTGGGGGCCAAAATCTTGATTGGAGGCTTAGGATCAGCTCTGGGGGCATAATCCCTTTCTATTTATCTACCATGATACTTTCTGTCATCATCAAATCAGTCAGCCCCAATCCTGAAGCAGGTATAGTTTCTACCCACTGTCTTTCCCCATGGGGGTGGTTGTTGAATCCTTCATATCAGTTCTGGGGGCCCAACCCCCTGATTGGAGGCTTAGGACCAGCTCTGGGGGCTAATCCCTTAGAATAATATTAGTTCTCACTCTATCGCCAACCGGAACGCACCACCGGTCCGTCTTCTCCACTGCATTATGCTCCGCCCTCAGCGACCCGTGGGGGCCCCGTGCCTCGTGCCTCGCGTGCCCCAGGTTTTCAGATCTACAGTGGCGTAGACGCCACTAAATAAAGTTAACAACAATTAAATGTACACTCAATTACATAAAAATTACCTAGTATTCAATATAAGGGCAGCTCTAAAGTTTGAAGCTTTTCCAGCTCAACGCCTACTTCCCGCGTCGTATTATCACTGTCCTACAGGACCTAATCCTTTAATTGTAGAGTTCTACACTAGTCTTTTTTTCTTTACACTAAAGTAATATATACAGTCAGAAACGCGCAGATCGAAATTGATATTATACATTACATCATAATAGTACATACTGGTACAGTATACTAGTGACTGATTAGGTTAGTCAATCAAATAGAGTTCTTCAGTTACATGATCAGACTCTACTAAATATAAAATGTTGCCACGGGACTATCCGGGACGCCTAAAGTTGAAACTAGAATGTGGTTGGACCCCACATCTCCCACATCCCAGATTTATGCAGCATTGCTCCCCCTGATCTACATTCTGAAGTATTTCCCCTTGCAAGACAATAGTATTATGTTGTCTAGATTTTCTCTTTATTCCCAATGTAGAATTATGGTGTAGAAAGCGAAGAAAAGTGGTGTGTTTCTCCAACGTCTCTGTTGTAGATTGTCACGTCCAAGTGCTTAGGGCCCTACTTGGATGATACTGGTATTAGCCTGCTTCGGCCCTGTTTTGTCCCCCAAGTTACCCGTTCAAACGTAATCATTCTGATAAATACGATGAAGGATGGAAGCCAAAAAAAGTGTTCTAGCGTCTCAGTCTTGAGTCATGCGATGCTACGCTGTGGCTCTGATGCCGTGGGGGTCGGCGAGGCTATGACAAGGCTAATTGATAGAAGGATGGCGAGGATATTCGATGCATTGGGGTCGGCACTGATCATATAAAGCACCCCTATATATCCCTCTCATCATCATCTACTTTTTGTTTTGAACAGCAATTATTCTACATTGGCCCACAAACCCGGGGGAAAAAACGAAATGTCTTCTCCCCACATACCTGGAGCTTCTCCAACCTTCTGGAGTGGTGTACACTCTACTACAACGACCTTCAGCAGTGTACATCCTACTTCAACAACCTCACGTGCTACACAGATGTATAGCATGGCTACTCAGTTCACGGTGGGAGCTCCGCCAAGTATCTGCTCATCAAGCGACTACTCGTACGAAACAAAAATGTCGGTCCCTACAGGGTACATCGATATCGCGAGCGGAGGTACTGGCTGGGGCCCAGAAGGTTCCATTTGGAACATCTCTACCGGCGCTGGGGCCAAGTTGACCGACATGAAAGCTCAATGCCAGGGCAGCGGGTGCACAGGCATTACCGGCAACAAGGATAACAGTGGGAAGATGATCCAGCGACCGGATGGCAGTTGGTTTCTGAACGTCACAGCCGACATGCAAACCTCACTGATGATTTCGGGCCTGCTTATTACTGATACAGCTGGTCCAACCACTGGTGGCAACAAGACGTATCCTCTAGACGTCGTGGCCGTACCGCCATGCGGTTTGCCGGTTGCAGCCAACTGCACCAGCCGAGACTTCACTCCTGATCAGCAGCAATGGGAAGCCTACCAAGTGGACTCGTTTCTAAAGTCGTACTTGGCCAAGCATGACATCAACAGCTTTGAAGCCTTAGTGAACCAGGCTCAGGCGGACTTTGAACCTGCCATGGATGCGAACGGCAAGACATGCGACATAACCAACAGCAATTTCAACTGCGAGCCACCTTTAAATATTGAGTGCAGTAGCGACCCCACTGCAGACGAAATTCGAGGAGTGATTATGACGACGGCCGTCGTCGAATTTATCAACTTTATCAGCACGTTATATCAGTCAGTGTCCGACGTCAGCGGCAGAATAGGCAGTGAACTTGACACCATCACCTCCAACTTCTGGGTGCCTGCTGCAACAGAGACCTGGACCAAGATCATGAGCATTGTCTCCTCTGTTATTGGGCTCATGATCGCCGGATTTGTTATCCTCGACGCAGTGCTTGATGCGGCGTTCACGCCCTTCCTCGTCGCGGGAGCGATCGTTGCATCAAATGCGTTTGGGCTTGCCGGCAATGCAGGCAACCTGGCGGCAAACCCCTCAGACACAGATACAGAGTTCGAACAGAACTCGAAATACGAGGCTGGCGCCCAAAACATGCTTTCCCAGGTCCAGAACGGCTTCGATGTTCTGCTTAAAACCAACGAAACCGGCCAGGCCGGCATCAGCAAAGTTATCGGCGGTGGCGCTTGGGTCGGCAATCAGGTTACAAAATTCTTCAACACGGACGGCGTCGGAGCGAATATCACTGGGTGGTATGAGGAACTCATGGTCGCTCAGTTCATCACTAAAGCCCTTACGGACAACGACGCCTACATCTTGTTTATACCCTATGGCGATAATGTCCAGTACAATGGTAAGACGTGGGGATTCAACCAGACGGTTTGCGAAGATCACTGGACCAATGACCCCAGCTGGAACTATTATGCTGCGTGTGACATCACATTCGGTCCAGGTGGTCCTCCGGGCATGTCTGTCTTCACACGACCCAGCAGTGAGGATTCGGAGTCGGACTCATGGGTTAAACCACTCAACTACAATGGCAAAAACATCACTGGATGGGACATCATGGCGTCCTCAATATGGGGTCAGCAGCAGCATGGGTTCAACTTCACATACTTGGATCAAAACTTCACCAAAACCTTAGCCACGGGGGGCTTTCATCCGCGAGCAGTATTTTCAACAATGTGGCAGTCGACCAGCCCGGTCTTTATACTGTGCCTGTCTGCGTTGTTAAGGACTTGGTTTACATGCCTGGTGTTGATCAAGTGATGAGTGATACAGAAGATAACGAAGGCATTGAAGGGTACTATCATGCCGATAACCCTTGTCCATGCGCAACCTATGGTTATACCTCGCCGGATGGGAGGACGGGGAACTTCACAGACTTTGTCTCTTCAAAGGTCCAGGACAGCATCAACAGTGATTGCAGTGTTTCAGGGGATATCTGGTCGTCCTCCGATGCCGGCACATATGGTTATGGTTATTAGATATAAATTTCTATTCTAATCAAACTATTGATTTAATTTTGAGCTATTCGCTACCAAACTAGCTCCCTAGAACGCTTGTCGTCCGTACAAGCTGTTCTGGTCGACCACAGCCACCTGTCGTGCCATTTGCTGGCCAAAAGGAATGGACACAACATTCACTAAGCCCGTTCTATAAAGGCGGTAAGAATTTATAAGAACTGGGTATTTGTTGAGAAGGATGCGAATGAGGTAAGGTACAGCGATATTCGAAATCAGATATACCACTATATCCTCACGTATTACTTCCCGAACCCTAACGTGAAACACACTAATCTATTTTTGGTTATTTTCTCAATAATCCCTGTTCACCTGTAATCGTATCGGCTAGTAGTAACAAATGAGTTATTGTTATGATACGGAAAGGATCCATAGAATCTCGCAACGATTTCATTGCAATGGCTGGCACTAAGACAACCTCCGTAACAGTTTACATTGGCAGCCTCGTTGTATGGTTACGGTCTCATGCCCATATTCTCCATTAACCACAGTGGCGTTCGTCCCTTAGAATCCTCGGAGTTAATGTTGACGCCTTCCGTTGCAAGCAGTAGCTTGACTACAGTCGGAGTCGAAAACAGATTCCCCTTCGTGCACACACGTATTGTTTCTCGGACCCTATCTTGAAACACACTACTCTATATTTGGCTTAGCTGTCAATCTTTCTTTTCTAAGAATAGAGATCTTATTTTACATGACAGGAGGATGGCGAAAAATACTGTATTTGACAGGCAACATCGTTTGTGCCCATCCTGCTGCCTAGCTTTTGAATTTACAGGTTCCAGACATCCTCCCATCACAGTAACTGGAGAACCTCGAAGGGAATTTGTACAATATGGCACCAAGACTCCCCCTCTCAAAGCTACATTTGATTCGGGATATGATACAGAGCCAGTCACTAACAACGTCTGAAATGGCTGATGCAGCTGAATGCAGCGACCGTACAATTAGAAATGTTCGCAGGAACTTACGGTTGTTTGGAAGCGTCCACGCCCCCCGGAACCGTATTGGCCGGAGACGAAGCATAACGCCGCCGATGCTAGAAGCAGTTTGCGATCGTCTACTGGAAAAGCCCTGTCTCTACCTCGATAAGATGGTCATATTCCTATGGGATGAATTCCAGACACTAGCAACAACATCTAGCCTTAGGAGGGCTCTCGCTTCCAGAGGGTGGACCAAGAAGGCAGCTCGACAGAGAGCCAAAGAGCAAAACACAGAATTGCGAGAGGTCTATCTTCATAATTTGTCGGACTTCCAATCATATCACCTTGTTTACGTTGATGAATCTGGATGTGATGACGGTCGTGGCTCAGGGGGAGTCGGAGACCGGCATGGCAAAGACCTGGAATCGGGGATCACTAGGAAGAGCAGAAGAAGAAGCGGAGAGAGATGATGATGGTATTCCTAGATTCCCAGAAGGGAAAGGTCTATCTACAACGGCGGTGGGCGCTGACACCTCAGGCACCCACTCACCTTCATCAGGATGTTATAAACGGATCGGCTTCAGACGGACAGGCTGGTCACCACTTGGTGTGGCCCCTATGCAGGTGTCACAGTTCCACCGCGACGAGCGGTATCAGATATTGCCTGCATATGCCCAGGATGGGATCGTTCTCTCGCGTGTCTTTCGCGGTTCAACCGATGCCGCTATGTTTGAGGACTTTATCGCGCAGCTTCTTCAGCACTGCGGAAGATGACCGGAGCCAAAACTCGTACTAGTCATGGACAATGCGTCGTTTCACCATACTGAGCGGATTGGGCAGATGTGTGCCGCCGCAGGAGTAAAACTGGTTTATCTGCCACCGTACTCACAGCGTGGGCTTAAATACGGCGAGGGAAGCACGAACGGAACGGAGAAAGTCGCAAAGCAATACGGGGTCTGGCCCGTGACAAGATGTAATCGAACATAGGGCCCAAGGACCCGACCACAACCACTAAAAAAAGGTCCTGGACGCCTGACCCCAAACAACCCCGGTCCCCAGCTTTGGGGCCATTGTGCACAGCTCTTCAGTCAGCCTAAATCCAAGTGGTGCTAGGACGTCAATAATAGATAAACGCGCATTAACCAGGGATGAGGGAGTGAAGATGTCAGGATGTCTGATGGGCGTATGCACTAGTAATTCTACCTAGTAGTCTCATTGGAGAATGATGAAATCGATGCTATTCAGACTAGCTATTCTGAATGTATTTATAGGGCAGACAGGCGGGAATTGTCGGAGTGGAAAATGGACATGTAAATTCCACATCGGGCGCCAGTTTCCATAATAGACAGTGGCGGTTAGCTGAGTAAGCGCTAGGAATGCAGCAGCTGGATCATATTGTAAATTACCAGGTAGATAATTGCACTGACAGAAGATTATCGACCCTAGAGAAGCTTCCCTCATTGGGACTATTGACATGGAGACAGAATAGAACCGACCAGCGCCATGAACTTCACACTCTGGTTGATAGAGAATTTCATGGACTATTAACGAACACACTAAACCTCAACGTGTTTCCACCCTTAGCCTGCACGAAGCAAGGTTGGTTAGTAATATTTCTGCCACATTGGCGTTTTGGACTAGGTAGCAACTTCCATCGTCCTGTTGAGTGTACTTGTTTACTTAGTTTTTCTATTGCATTCATAGCAGAGAATATATGTTTATGCCATTGTCTCAATAAGTCAATTCTATTAATGATAATCTCACACAGCAAGAAGCACGAAATGAATACAGAAATAAACGAGGTATCAAAAGAAAAAATATTCATCCCATGCAAAAGGTTAAGCGAGATTGGAGAATTCGTTTTTGCCTAGGACCTGTTGGTCTAATCCACTATCCAATCCTATCCTCGTATTCAATCCAGGCCATGCATTATACAGTTCTCCATCAGGCATGCCGCTGTTCAATCGACCATGTGCGACGCCACTCCACCTTGAATAATAGGCGCATGCAGATCACCAGTCATTTGGCTAATCCGGCGGAGACAATTGCTGAGCCTGGTTTGGCCTAGTTGGAGATTGGAGATTGAGCGAGGACAGATGCTAGGGATCTAGTCCTCGTCAAAGCCACAGAACTTTATCTTTGAAAGAGATCCGAGAGAGTCTCCTGCAGCACCCAGCTGCTACTGCATCAGATAGTTAGCCTTCTGCTTTAGATCGAATCTCCGGCTGATATCTCGAATTAGCAGCATGCTCAAGGACTAGGCACGTGGAAACCTCATACCTCTTCAGCCTGCAGTAGGGCTAAGCTCCTTCGCTTCCAGCCTTGCCAATTCTCAAGCGCTGACCAAATAGTGGAGGGAAGCGACGCAATTCCAATAATGAACGGGATCAATTGACCTAGGGGCCCAAAAGTCAGCAGAGGTCATCATAGAACTCTTAATAAGGTGCTGACTTGTGCTTTCAACATTGTTGACACCCGTAACTCTGTTCCACTTCAGAGTGAGTTCGATGCCAAGGATAGACTATAGTAGTGCAAATGTGATTAACGATGTTCCAGCAATTGTCCAAACTCTGCGACGTGTTATCATCTCGTGTAGATGCACAATAGCAAAAATGGGACCATACCGCTGTTCTTTGTCCCATGGGACTCTAATATCTCCCTTCTACTCTACGGTTTCTCTCCTTTGCGTTCTAGAACGAAAAGCATAGGGAAGCAAGGTTTCAAACAACCTAAGGCTCCCCTGAAGCCACTTGTAGGCTATAAGGCAGATAGCTAGAATCAGGGCAATCAAGAGTAGTAACCCTAGCACTACACCGACCGTCGTTTTATCAACCGACACTCGGTGTGCCACTGGAAAGACAAAATTGCCACCACACTCAGCTAGAAATTGTTTAAATTTCCTAATGCCGGTACACTAGAAATAGAAGCTGTATATCAACAAACAGAAAGATATCAATAGGACGAATGTCTGCCTAGCGATGAAGGCAATTTTCTGGGGACAAAGCTGGTTTCCTCTCTAACCTTGTAGTGAGACAGCGGCGCTCGTCACGGCCGTGACACTGCCGCCAAAGAACATATAAGTTAGAATAGGAGAATCGGGACAACAACATTAGTAGTAGACGCCCTTTGCGATTGAAGTACAAGGAGAGCGATGAAGTTGGCTAGCAGAAAGATAGACTGTACCTCCGCTTGTGTTGAAGAATCCTTAGTATTCAAAGTAAAAGCAATGAGCCCTACAAACCATTGCAAGTAGAAACCAAGGCGCACACCGATGCCGTAGAAGTCCTGATTCCCCTCGAAGGTACATTGGGGCGAGGCATCGCGAGGCTCGAGAATCGTAATGGTAGCCGCGTCAGAAAGCACCGCTTGTGGCAACACGGCAACTATAGTGAGAATTAATACAAGTTTAGAAGGCATTGTTTGTCGCTGATAATTTTCTTCTAGGTCCACATCGTAGGCTGCAAGGAGGACTACAGGGTAAGGCTAGGAATGTGACATTTCTTATATATTTTCATCTGCAATTACGCGGAGCTTCGTTGTACGCGAGAAGCAAGTTATGCAATTGTCTCTGACTATCCCGTCCCAATCCTGGGCCAGCTAGAACTCCATCGCAACCTGAAAACCGCCTTGGCCAATAGCAGAAATGCCGCAGGCTGCGGCTATCGCTGGTGGCGTGGTTCCGACGCTGCCACGTCCTCCCTCCCTGCCACAGGGTCAGAGAACCCGTACCATCACCTCCGCATCACGGTCACTAGCGGCGGCTGCCATGGCTTCCAGTACCTGATGTCCCTGGAGCCCGCATCCAAGATCGACGTTGAAGAAGACACCGTCTTCGAGGGCGAGGAAGACGTCGCGGCGGTAGCTCGCGAAGCCAAGGTCGTTATAGACTAGCCTTCGCTAGAGCTTTCGCACGGTAGCACTGTAGACTATGCGACTGAGTTGATTGGGAGCCCTTTTAGGATTGTGGATAACCCAAGGGCTACGAGCAACTGTGGAACGAGTTTTGATGTTATTGATTAAAACGGGATCAAAAAGTATGTATCTAGCTGGGGATCTGGATGATGAGAGTAGCATGTTTTTGTCTATTTTAGCGGAACACACGTGCTAGACCCCTTTGGCGGAAAGAGTATTTAACCGTCTGCCAGAAGTAATTTAAGTCGGGCGCTAGGCAGCCCAAGCAGAGCTCTAAACTGTTCATCTTGCTGGTAAATGCGTCCATGATATCTTGTCCGTGATTAGCGCAAACAACCGACCGACTTGCATATAACGAGGCCTCTGCCAGCGAATCCCGATCTTCTCAGGCAACACGGGCCTCCTTGACCTCCTACGAGAACTTGGCGGACGTCGGTCGGTGCAGTTGGCCCGGAATATCCGGCAATGATACCTTTACCCATTAGGCCTAGCTCGCAAATTCTCATTCGTTACCAAGTCTGTTATTATTGAGACAGACCAACTATTGTTCACCCCACCCACCTGGTGCGAAAAGACGGAATATAACGGTGTTGGTAGACGGGCCCATGATAAACTAACTACGTATACCCGTGGTCTAATTATTCTAACTCAGTTCATTTCCGCTGAATTGAAGGGCAGATCCCTGAATCATAATAATGGATTATGTGAGGGGGCACACTCTCGGCGAAGATGACATGCGGTAGGCAGTTGCTGGGGTCCCGACTTGGGGACGAGAACGTCTATCCGTAGGGATAAAGGATAAATTATAGAGGTCACTTGCAGGCTTTTGGGTAGAATCAGACTTCTAGGGCTGCTTATTATGGGTCCTATGTCGCGGTCTATGGTCCCCAGTTGGGCCCAATGTACTATACGCGCTGCTGGTTGGGCCCTTCCAAAGAGAACTAAGCCCCTCTGGGTCTCGGGTACAATTGAATTTTAGGTACTATAGCAAATAGAAGCCAACACTGTAAATTAGTGATTCCTTTCGTGTATATAAAAGAGACAATCTCGAATTTGCGTCCAAGAAATGTACTGCAGTAGGCGTTAGACAAGGCGCCCGCCATGAATATCCATGGCAAGTTTTCGCACACGAGATGGTCTTTTTCCTTAATGATCAGTTTTACCTTGTGTATCGCACTATACAGTTTTTCTCGGCACTCAACGACCGTAGCGATTTACCGAGGCCACGAGGGTTATACTCGCCCTGACGACTACGCCCATTCTACCTTGAGTCTAAATTCAATAATCACTCCGACTGCCACCCCAAGTCCCCCAACTACAAAGAAACCCTCGAGGACCCGCTACGCTGTCGCCATATTTATTGGTACGGAATTTGAGGCGAAGGAAGATGCTGAGGACGACGAACATATGTACTATGTAGGAGCTCGGACGTTGATTTATCAGCTACTCCATGCAGAGTGTACAAAATTCAGCAGTCCAGTTTCTATTGTGATTCTGGTCACCAAAGGTGTGCGCGACAGCAAGCGACAGCGACTACGGGATGATGGTGCGATAGTCGTCGAGGTTGAGGATATGGAACACTCTATCGAAATTGAGGTCGGCCGCTATCAAGAAGTGTTCAACAAGTTACAAGTCTTCGATCCTAGCATAATGCCATTCGAAAAAGTGGCCTTGCTCGATGCAGATATGGTCATCACTCGTCCTCTCGACGCAATCTTCGAAGACCCTGCTTCTCAGCGCTTCCTAGTCAATCAGAATGCGACAAATCCACTTGCCCCCGGCTTGCCCCCGATTCCTAGTAGCTATGTGTTAGCTTCGACGCCCGATATTGCTTATAGGCCATTCGGCTTTCCTCCTAACCTAGCCGCTGAAGACAATCGCGACTATTTTAATGCTGGTGTGATCGTGCTCTCACCTTCTACAGAACTTTTCAAACTCTATCTTGCCGTCCTTGGCCGCCCGGAGTTATTCGATGGCTTCTGGCCTGAGCAGAATCTCCTTAACTACGTCCACGGCCGGGATGGGCCGATGCCCTGGGGAAGCCTTGATTTGTTATGGCATCTTCCAGACCCCACTGCAGCTGATTTTGAGGCTGGCATGGCTATCCTTCACTGCAAGTTTTGGAATCCAACTTCGGATCCGTGTCAGCAGAGTGCGGTTTCTCGACGGTGGGAAATGCAGGGATACTGGAGCGGTAGGGAGGAAAGATCGGCGGAAAGATCGGAGGGGGAGTCGGGAGACTTGAAGAGAGTCTAGTGCTGGCCAGAAGACCCTTTGCTTATAAATGTACCTGACTGTGTGCCTAACTCCTGAGTCGTTGGCTAAAGTCGTCTTTGAGCACACCCTACGGGGACTCAAACGACTCGCAGAAGATGGGATCATCCATCGGGACATTAAGCCAGAACAACATACTTTATACGGCAAAAAATAACCTCCGTCACTTCAAGATTGGTGACTTCGGAATCGCCAACTATGAGGCCTTGGCAGAAACTTTGGTCGGCACAGAAGCATATCTCACGCCGGAGATGGTTCCTAAGGGAGGGGAGTTTGTTCTTGAGCGAGGAAAACACACACACAAGGTTGACGTTTGGTCTCTATACGTTACAATGATCTGGGCACTCAACATAAACAGCTTCTGTTCGGCTTTAAGTTCCAAAAGGTTTCGGACGTGCAAAGAACTTCAGAGGGCTACTGAATCCACTCAGGTCCGATAAGAGACTTTATCTCATCCGAGCAATGGCAGAGATCGACCCGTAAAAATGAGCTTCTGCTGCGGATATGCTTGATGTGCTTGCTCAGTACAGTCGTTCTCGAAATCGCCTTGACCAATATACACTGAGAAACTCTTTCCTGGCCCCACTGCCAAGGCGTTAGCGCGGATCATTTTTTGAGCTGGCCGTCATAAATTGAGGGCGCAGTAAAATGCGCTGCGTACTGTATGTTACAATACCCTGCTACGAAAAATTACACTATGCATGTAAAACATCGGAGGAATTCTATGGAATCCTGTAGTGGATCTGCAAATCATGTGGGGAGGGCTGCCTAGTGCCGGGTAGCCTGATGATCTTCTGGATCGCTACGGCGGCCGATCTAGAGATGGTCTGTGTTGATTGACTGATAAGAAGCGGGTGGGGTCCAGGTCGTAGTGAGTGGTCCCCAGTTAGTGAGTGTATATTCGGACTGCTGCCTCGAATCCACTCTTAGGTGTACTAGAACGATAGGGGCTACACGTGGATCGCGTGTCGTAGGGGCTGCGGAAATATCCTGGGGTCGGGGCGTACTAGGAGTTCCGTTCTCATGGTTTGAACTCTTTAGGCTAAGAGGTGTAATCGATGTGGTACGGAGTTCCACTCATATCTAAACTCAATCAAACTCTGGGAGATCCGTCAGACTATGTGGGGTTGTCAGCTTCTCGACAGACACTAGTAGCGAATGACGATTGTAGGAGGGTAGCCATCGGAATAAACAAGAAGCATGTTCTCCTACCAGAGTCAGTCCTCTATAGCACTAGCACAGCCCTCTTTTGATATGCAGTTAAATGAGTGACAGTAAAACGAGTGGACGAAGGCTGCGTGCGTGAAGAAGGAGGAATGAATGGGCAACGAATTTGCCAGGCTTCCAGATCTTCCACTCTAGGAGGTACATTTGCCTGGAACATTCTACACGATTCTATTAAGATTTACAGTATCTTACAATGACTCATTTAGCGAAACCACTCGATACGATACAGCGAAGCAGGGATTATTTATAGACTGACCAAATCCAGATTAGCGCGCTTCAAGTTAGGGTTCAGGAAACAATTCGTGAGTGTACGAAGGGGAATCTGTTTTCGACTCAGACTGTACCGCCTCTTAGCCATTCATTGCCGCGCACAATAGGGGCGTCCGTCCCTTAAAATCCTGGGAGTTAATGTTGACACCTTCCGTTGCAAGCAGTAGCTTGACTACCGCCTCATAGCCATTCAATGCCGCGCATAACAGGGGCGTTCGTCCCTTAGAATCCTGGGAGTTAATGTTGACACCTTCCGTTGCAAGCAGTAGCTTGACTACCGCCTCATAGCCATTTATTGCCGCACATAACAGGGGCGTTCGTCCCTTAGAATCCTCGGAGTTTGGGTTAACGCCCTCCGTAGCGAGTAGTAGCTTGACTACCGCCTCATAGCCATTCATTGCCGCGCACAATAGGGGCGTCTGTCCGTCAGAATCCCGGGAGTCTAGACTAACGCCTTCCGTTGCGAGTAGTAGCTTGACTACCGCCTCGTGCCCTCCTTCTGCCGCCCACAACAGGGCCGTCTGTCCGTCAGAATCCCGGGAGTCTAGATTAACGCCTTCCGTAGCGAGTAGGAGCTTCATCACCGCCTCATGTCCATTCCGTGCTGCCCACGAAAGCGGCGTTCGTCCCTCAGAATCCTCGGAGTTTGGGTTAACGCCCTCCGTAGCGAGTAGGAGCTTGGCTACCGCCTCATGTCCATTGCATGCGGCCCATGAAAGCGGCGTCCGCCCCTCAGCATCCTCGGAGTTTGGGTTAACGCCTTCCGTAGCGAGTAGGAGCTTCACCACCGCCTCATGTCCATTTCGTGCGGCCCACGAAAGCGGCGTTCGTCCCTCAGAATCCTCGGAGTTTGGATTAACGCCCTCCGTAGCGAGTAGAAGCTTGGCTACCGCCTCATGTCCATTGCATGCGGCCCACGAAAGCGTCGTCCGTCCCTCAGAATCCTCGAAATCTAGGCTGACGCCCTCCGTAGCGAGAAGCAACTTGGCTACCTCCTCTTGTCCATTTCGTACGGCCCACAATAGGGGGGTCCGTCCCTTAGAATCCTCAGAGTCTGGGTTGACACCTTCCGTGGCGAGAAGCAACTTAACAACTGTTTTATTTCCATTCCGTGCCGCCCACGATAGTGGCGATTCTCCTTGAGAATTCTTAGAATCTGGATTGACACCTTTCGAAGTGAGTAGTAGCTTGACTACTGACTCACGTCCATTCATTACCGACCATAATAGGGGCGTCCGTCCATCAGAATCCTGAGAATCTGGGTTCATACCCTCCGCGGTGAGCAATAGTTTGACTACTTTTTTATGGCCGTGTTCTGCCGCCCACCATAGTGGTGTCTGTCCGTCGGAATCCTTAGAGTCTGGGTTGACTCCCTCCGTAGGGATTAGTATCTTGACCACTGCTTCATGCCCATATTCTGCCGCCCACGATAAGGGTGTCCGTCTGTCATAATCCTGGGAGTCTGGGTTGACGCCCTCTGTTGCAAGTAGTAGCTTGACCAATGCCTCATGTCCATTCTGTGCCGCTAACGATAGGGGCGTTTCATCGAATTCAGATAGAGATTGGGCATGAGCTCCTTGATGTAGCGATTTTTGAGCTGTCGCTTCTTGCCCACTTTTTGCAGCTCACAATAATGCCGAGCTTCCAAGTTGTTGTACATCGTAACGATAAAGGTAGGGATTGACGAGATTGTAGAGACAGGTATTCGTTTGAGCAAAAGCATTTATATGCTCTGCGAATTCCAGATCCTTTGTGATGCGCTGCAGCAGTTCATTTGGTAAACGAAGTAGCATCTCAAAAGGTTTTCGTTTCTCGATAATTGAGCTGAGGTAGGTAAGAGATTGCGAGGGGCACGAGAGGTAGAATGTGGATAGCTGTTTCGCATTAAATACAGCATACAAAGGTCTCGCCAACGCCATATAAAATACAAGGTCTATTCTGGGAAACGGAGGGTCTACGACTATACCATACTGACTGACCGCTCACTAGTGACCCGAAAACCCCACTTCCAACTGTCGCTACGTTCTGAGAAAAACGCCACTTTGCTACTGCTATATTCGAAAACAGATTCCCCCGTATACACTCGCAGATTGTACATCGTCTTGCATGAACGGTAATAAATGAGTCATCGTTATAATACAGTAAACCTCTTAAGGAACCTCGTGGAATGTTCTCTGCAAATGATCCAAACAGAGTAGGAAGCCTGGCGATCTGGTGAGGTCGCTGTCTACCTCCTTCACCACACACGCAGCCTTCGTCCACATTCGTTTTATACACATCATCTAGCTTAGTACAGTAAATAGTCCGACACCATCCTTGTCTCGTCATATTGCATCGTGAATTTCTCTATTTTCAATACCATTTTTGTGAGCTATCCTTCAAACCAATGACAGTCTATTCTTGCTAGAGATCCGCATCTGCCAGGATATTGGCGATGCACTGGTTCCCATTTTTGACAGCCCATGATGACGGTGTGCGGCCACTATTGTCTCTTGAATTGACATCCACTCCTGCATCAAGCAAGAGCATGATATTGGAGTGGCTATGAAAAGAGGCAGCCCAAGATAATGGTGTACGACCATTGTTGTCAGGTGCATTGACGTCCACTCTTCCAGTTTCAAGCAATAGCCTGATAATAGGACTGCCGTGAAAGGAAGAGGCAGCCCATGATAACGGTGTACGTCCACTGTTGTCCCTCGAGTCGACTTCCACCTGCCGCGTCTCTACCAATGACCTGATAGAATCCTCGCCAGACAATGCAGATGCGGCCCATGATAATGGTGTACGGCCATTATTGTCCCTTGAATCGATTTTTGCACTGCCCTTTCCTATCAGAATCTTCACAAGATTGACCCCCAGGCCGCAGGAGGTTGCCCATGATAGTGGTGTGCGGCCATCATAATCTTCCAGGTCAATTTTGGCGCCCAAATTCAGCAGATTTTCGATATTGGATCTGGAGTACCCTCCGGCAGCCCATGATAGCGGCGTACGACCGTTGCTATCTCTTGATTCAATATTCACTTTCCGCGTATTTAGAAGGAACGTGACAACGGATTCGCCATGCAAAGAGTTAACGGCCAATGACAGAGGTGTTCGACCATTGGAATCCCTCGAATCAATCTCGGCCCCCGCATCCAGTAGAAGCTCGACGATTGACTTCCTACCCCGTTCAGCGGCAAGCGATAGAGGTGTCTGGCCACGATCATCTTTCGAATCAATATCCGCGTTTGATTTGAGAAGAAGTTTAACCATAGAGTCGCAGCCGTTTTGAGCGGTAATAGATAGTGATGTCTGACCGCGATTATCTCTTGAATCGATCTGGGCTCCTGATTCTAGTAAAAGCTTGACGGTAGACGCATAGCCCTTTCTGGCGGCGAGTGATAGAGCTGTCTGGCCACGACCGTCTTTCAAATCAATATCCGCATTTGATCTGAGAAGAAGTTGAACAACAGAGTCGCAGCCGTTTTGAGCGGCATATGCTAGTGGTGTCTGGCCATCATTATCTCTCGAATCGATCTCAGGCTTCAGCTTGAGGAGAAGTTCAACAATAGACTCGTAGCCTTTTTCGGCGGCACCTGACAGTGGTGTCTGACCATTTGAATTAGTCGAATCGATCTGGACTCCTGAATCCAGTAGAAGCTCGACCATAGCCCGCTGGCCCTTGCTCGCGGCCCATAGTAATGATTGGCTGCATTCAGCGTCAATAGAATCCAAATCAGTCCTCTTTTGACGTAGAAAAAGCTTGTAAACAGATTCGTATCCTTTAGCAGCTGCCCGTGAGAGCGGTGTTCGTTCATAATTGTCCATTGAAAGAATGTTTGCTCCAGAATCTAGCAAAATCTGGACGATGGCTTCACTGTCTTTAGACTCGGTAGCCCATGAGAGCGCTGTTCGGCCCGAATCATCCCGCGATTCGAGATTGGCCCCTAACCCTAGTAGAAGCCTGACGATCGATTCGCGGTTCTTAGTTTTTTGAGCGGTCTGACGGCCCTTGGTGGCAACACACAATGACAGCGGGGTCCGCCCACTATTGTCCTTTGGATCAAGCTCGGGGCTTGACTCTAGCAGAGTCTCAACAACAGACTTGTGGCCCTTCGCAGCTGCCCAGGATAGCGGTGCTCGGCCAATATTATCTCTTATGTTGATATCGGCCTTGAAATCTAGCAGAATCTTGACAACAGAGTGGTGGCCCTTGGCAGCTGCCCATAATAGCGGTGTCCGTCCAGTATAGTCCCTCGAGTCGACTTCCGCCATGGAATCTAGAAGAAGCTTTACAACAGATTCGCGGCCACCTCCAGCAGCCAATGATAGCGGTGTCCGTCCAGTATCGTCCCTCGAGTCGATTTCCGCATTGGAATCTAGTAGAAGCTTTACAACAGATTCACGGCCACCTCCAGCAGCCAATGATAGCGGTGTGAGGGAATTGCAGTCTCTTGGGCTGTTTTTCACCGTCGGTGTGTCTAACAAGAGCTTTGTAATAGCTCTGTTCCCTGCGGTTGCCGCAAAATGAAGTGGTGTTCGGCGATCATCGAGGGAACTGAAATTTCCATTTGCCCCTTCTGCGTCTAAAAGAAGTTTTACCACGATGACCTGCGCGTTCGCCGCGGCCGCACATAGGGCCTGACCAATCCAGTGAACCCTTCGGGCCTCATCTATTTCGTGAGTGCCAGCCAATATTGCTCTTTTTGTTGTTTGCTCCTGACCGTTGACAGCAGCCCATTGAAGTGCCGAGCCAAGAGAATACTGGGCATTGCGACAATAAAGAAAATGTTCGAGGCAAGAAAAGACGCGGCGATTCGTCCGTGCTAGCGCACTAATGTCCCTCTCCTTCTCCAGCTTTGCGGCGACAGCCAGGATAATTTCGGTCGGCAAATGATGCATCTTTAATTTCGTAGACACGGAAGGGCAATGTTTTACGCCCGCGAAATAGGCCTAGTCCTTTTATAATAATATCTCTTCGCACCGCCAAGGCACCCCCACACAAGTAAAAATTTATAGCCGAGACCCGAGACACATCTATAGTAAAACTGTGGCACTGAATAGCCTGCCATGAGTCATAACCTACTGTTACTAATTTTATGTCAGACCTAGTATGAGTGACAGTAACAATGCATAAACATACGACTTATTCAGCCGCCTCGGTGTTTAGTTCCATACCATTCGGCATCAGAACAGATATTAAAATACGGAATTAACCATTAATAGATTAGATAATCATTTGATTAGGTTTGGAAGAGCATCTGTATGTTTCCGACATGAAAAGCGATGCCTCTGTATCTTCCGATATATAGCGAATATCGTTCTGGGAAAATGACCGAGGCTGCCACCAAGATTGCGGGTCTACACCATAAGAAGGCCTTCGGGCCACAGACTCAGACCATCTATATGGGCTGGGATGCCGCAGCTGTGGAAAGGAAGCCAAGGGACACGCTGCTGAGGAGAAGAAGAGACTCCACGACAAGGAGAACGAGCGGCAGAGTGAGCAAGAGAAAATGCATACAGACTACCTCAACGCACTTACCCAGCCGAAGGGCAGAGCCAAAGGTTTGAAGCGTCTCACACCCGTTGGCAGCTACATCATTGATAGCGAAGATATTGAGCAGCAGTACAGAGACCTGGCAGATGATCTAGGCCTCGATATCGACCACACCGATATGTCTGGAGTTTTCCAAGCTGAGTTTGATTTTCGGATTTTTGGAGGGGGTTATGATCATTTGTGCCCGGAAGTCTGCCCTTGAGGCATAACTGCTCCAAACTTGATCATCAGGATGAATCCGAATGGAACGACTCTACGGATGAAGATGAAAACGAAGATAGTGATCAGTATGGTGATTGGGCCCAAGAAAATTCCAAGCCGGGTTCTAAAAGAAAGGCACCAGCTTCTCAAGTCCAAGAGACGCCAAAGAAATCCAAGGGAGAAAAAGTCCAATCCGGCAAGTATCTGCTCAGGCTCAGGTGTCGCGAGACGTCGGAGGGCGTGATTTATTACCAGCAACAGACGGCACTATTGACTTCCAGGATGGAGATTTTGTTAGCTTTGTTGGAGAGGCGGATTTGCCCTGCCTCGGCCGGGCAGTATCGTTTTTGGTGCGCAAGGTTTCTGATGTGCCTTTTTCGTCTGGAAGGGAGTGGACTGACTATTCGGAGAGAAATTACGAGACGGCAAGGATTAACCGATGGCGCTAGATCTAATCCTCCTGGATTTTGAAAGGAGTTTTGCCAGGTAATTTTGCTAGAACCTATAGCTATAAATAATGATCAACTGTAGATCGCGACTCGGGCCTCGGTCTGGGCAACCCCAGCTTCACGCGCAGCCGAGCTCCCCGCATAAAACTAAATACATGTCCCATAACTACAATAATGCATTAACAAACTCATCACCACCACCACCATGTCGCGCAAAACTCGCCCCCCAACAGCACCATACAGCGAACCCCTCCTCCCACAACTCGACATTCCAAACCCCTATTACACAGACCTTCACCACAACCTGCGCGCCTTTGTCCGCGAGTACGTCGACACCTCGATCGCTCCCTACGCACAAGAATGGGAAGCAGCGGGCCAAGTGCCCGAGTTCGTGCGCCGCCGGCACTGTGAGCTGGGGTTTGGGATCGTGCATCCGCTCACCTCCGAAGAGGACTCGGCCGGTCTGGCCCTGCCGGGGAATGTGCCCCGTGAGAAGTGGGATACGTGGTGCTCGCTGACCGTGGCGGATGAGATGACCCGCGTGGGGTTCGTGGGCGTCATCTGGGGTCTCGGGGGTGGGAATGGTATTGGGTGTCCGCCTATCGCGAGATTTGGGACTCCCGCGCAGCGCGGGCGCTGGTTGCCCGGTGTTGCGAAGGGGGATATTCGGTTCTGCTTAGGTATTACGGAGCCCGATGGTATGTCTACTGTGTATTGTGTCTTTTGCGGGGATACATGGGCCACCAACTGACGGTTTCTAGCTGGCTCCGATGTAGCCAATATCCGCACCACGGCCAAGCGCGACGGTGACCATTACATTGTCAACGGCGCAAAGAAGTGGATCACCAATGGCCTCTGGGCCGACTACTGCACCGCCGCTGTCCGGACTGGCGGCCCCGGCCGATCGGGGATCAGCCTGCTGGTCATTCCCTTGGCCGCGCAGGGCGTGACTCGCCGGCGCATGTATAACTCTGGTGTGAATGCGAGTGGTAGGTGCTGCCCTAGGTTATTAGACCCAAATCTAAATGACATCCGACAGGATCGACCTTCATTGAGCTGGACGATGTCCGCGTCCCCGTGGACAACCTGATCGGGGAAGAGAACAAGGGCTTCCAACTGATCATGTCCAGTACGTATATCTACCCTTAATGAACTTGAAAGATGCTCACCAGCCTAAGACTTCAACCCCGAGCGCCTCTCACTAGCATGCGCATCTCTCCGTCTCGCGCGCGTCTGCGCCGAAGACGCCTTCAACTACGCCATCCAGCGCGAGACGTTCGGCTCGCCGCTAATCCAGAAGCAAGCGATTCAATCCAAGATCTTCAAGTTCGGACTGATGATCGAGCCCGCCTACGCATTTATGGAACAACTCGTCAATATCCTGGAGCTGACCAAGGACCGGCCCGTCGACGACGTCAATATCGGGGGCATGACGGCGCTGCTGAAGGTCATGTCTACGCGAGCGCTGGAGAAGAGTGTTCGGGAAGCGCAGCAGATTCTCGGCGGGGCCGGGTATAACAAGGCTGGCAAGGGGGCCAGGATCGAGCAGATCAGTCGCGACGCAAGAGTTCATGTGGTTGGCGGTGGGAGTGAGGAGATTATGATGGGATTGGCGCTGCGGGAGGAGACGAAGGCGTTAAGGACGCGGAGAAGGGCGCTGGAGAAGCGGCAGTCCAAGGTGTAAATAACTATGGGGAGGAGACCTAGAGGACTATGTCGTGTGTTTTTGATTTCCTCATGGCGTGGCGTAGGTATATCCCAGGCGGTCTGGAAGTCTGAGGTTGCATCGTGATGGGTAATGGGCCGAGGGCGAGGACTTGTAGATGCTGGGGATTCGGTGAATATTGGCGAGCGAGGGTTCTGCTCAGATGCTGGTTGAACTAGAATGTGGAAGGCGCGTCGTCAGGTTAGTCATCGGAGCTATACATTTAGGCATGTGGGGAAAGCATCATTCCTCGTTCGACACTCCCCCATCAGCCATGGAAAGCTTCGACGATGTGTCCCTAGTTGGCCCCGTGTCCGAGGATCCCGCTGCGGTCGATCACCACCCAGACTCGATTCCTGCGAAATCCTCGGTTCCGGTCTCCGCAAATGGCTCGCAGCAGGGCCTGAACGACAACGATGGGCTAGCCGTGGATGCCTCGATCACGCCCGAGTTCCCTCCCTTATCGTACAACCCACTCTCAAACGACCAGATCGCCGACGACGAGGGCGATGGCGAGGATGAAGAGCCTCGCGTGGCCACCTCCTTCGAGCGCGAGTCCTCGCCAACGTCAGCGCAGAAGCAGCGATCGGGACTGGACAACAGGGAGGATGAGGGCATCAGCCGCATGCGCAAATTTACGCTCTACGAGACCGCCACCCGCTTCTACATGGTCGGCATTAATATGGCGGAAACGCGCTTTCGCATCCTCAAGATCGATCGGACTTCAGACTCGGGCGAGCTGAGCATTACGGAGGATGATATGGTCTACACCAAGAAGGAGATGATGCAGTTGCTGGACACCATCGACGATGGGAACAAGAGCTCGGGTGGATTGGTCCAAAAATGCAGCGCGTGGGCCCTGCTCGGCTTCATCCGGTTCACGGGGGCCTATTACATGCTCCTCGTCACCAAGCGGAGCCAGGTAGCCATGCTGGGTGGTCATAATGTCTATCAGATCGATGGGACGGAACTCATCTCTTTAACGGCGTCGGATTCGTCCCGGGCTAAGACGGAAAAACACCCCGAGGAGGCTCGCTACATCACAATCCTGAACTCTCTCGACCTCAGTCGGTCTTTCTACTTCAGCTATTCCTACAATATCACCCGCACGCTGCAGCAGAACATCTGCCGGGAACGCAAAGCTCATCAGGATGGATTGCCCAAACGCTTGCCGCAAGATTACAACACCATGTTTATCTGGAATCATCACCTTCTGAGTCCTGCTGCGGGCAGTCTCAAAAATCCCTACGAATGGTGTCTCCCCATCATCCATGGCTATGTGGACCAGAGCAAGATGAGCGTGTATGGACGGACGGTCTACATTGCCATCATCGCACGACGCTCCCGGTTCTTTGCGGGAGCCCGTTTTCTGAAACGCGGTGCGAATGATTTGGGCTACGTGGCCAACGACGTCGAGACCGAACAAATTGTCTCGGAGCAGACGACAACATCCTTCCATTCTGCGGGCCCCATTCTCTACGCCAACCCGCACTACACTTCGTATGTCCAACATCGTGGGAGCATTCCTCTCTATTGGACTCAGGAGAACACCGGCGTGTCCCCCAAGCCAGATATTGAACTCAACCTGGTTGACCCCTTCTACTCTGCGGCGGCCTTGCATTTTGATAATTTGTTTGAAAGATACGGAGCTCCCATCTATGTTTTGAATCTGGTCAAATCTCGAGAGCGAACACCGAGAGAATCGAAGCTGCTCAAGGAGTTTACCAACGCCGTCACTTATCTGAACCAGTTTCTTCCACCGGACAAGAAGCTCATCTACAAGGCCTGGGATATGAGTCGTGCAGCCAAAAGCCGTGATCAAGATGTTATCGGGACGTTGGAGGGGATTGCAGGAGACATCATGCCGAAAACTGGCTTCTTCAAAAACGGCGGTGATGCCGAATTTGGCCTGCGAGTTCAAAATGGCGTCGCTAGAACGAATTGCATTGATTGTCTCGACCGAACCAATGCCGCGCAGTTTGTCATTGGAAAGCGGGCACTTGGTTACCAGCTTCATGCTCTCGGCGTGATCGATGAGACGACGGTGGAGTACGATACAGATGCCATCAATCTGTTTACAAACATGTGGCACGACCACGGAGACACCATCGCCATCCAATACGGCGGCTCACATCTAGTCAACACCATGGCTACATACCGCAAAATCAACCAGTGGAGCAGCCATTCCCGGGATATGGTGGAGAGCTTCAAGCGGTACTACAATAATTCGTTCCTTGACGCTCAGCGCCAGGAGGCATACAACCTGTTTCTGGGCAATTACATCTACTCGCAGGGTTCTCCGATGCTGTGGGATCTTCCAACTGATTATTACCTGCACCATGCCGACCCCCGATCCTATCTGAACAAGAAACGACCCAACTACATTTCCTGGTATACGCCCGAGAACTTGAAGGAGAAGGAAATTCCGCCCCTTCCATCCCGTCCAAGAGAATCACTGTCCCATTTTGATGACTACTGGCTCGAATACTATCGCCCTCTAGCCATGTCAACCCTTTCCAAGATCTTCTCCTACAAAATGAACTCGACTCTCCGCTACATCCCCCATCCCCGTCCAGGACTCGGCCCAACCGACCTCAGCCCCTTTGTCCAGCGCATTCCAGCAGACCAACTTCACCGTGACCGTCCATCAACGCGAAGCGTCAAGATCCAAGAGCCATCCGACAACCGCAATGCCCTGGCCACACCCCCAATTCCCGAGCCCCCCTCAGCTGAGAAACACCCCCCAGCAACAGGGATAATCAAAGAACCAACATACCAAGACCCGCCACCGTCTCGCATCCCGCCCATCAACGCACCCCCGTCAACACCAAGCAAAGCCCAAATCGCACAATGGACACTCGGCCAACTTGTCTCGGACTCCCTAAACCCATCCGTCACATCCACCGAAGCAGAAGAATACGAGCGCTACATCAACCACCCGCTCAAAGTCCCTCTCGTCGTCACCTCCGAAGATGAAATGACCGCCGCCTCTCTGCGCGAGCACAAGCCCAACCTCGATCTACTCGAGTATGCCGATAAGACAAACGTCGAGGAGTCTGCGCTCGAGGCGAACGCTGAGGAGAATATGGCTGATTATGCGGAGTTCCTTCGTGTCTCGCAGGATGGATTGACTGTAGTTGGGGAGGACTATCAGAAGAAGAGGTATAAGCGCTACCGGCAGTGGCTGCGGGGGAAGAGCCTCTTCAAGCAGAGGGTTGATGTTTGAAATTATGATGTTATGATGTTACGATTTTGTTTTTATGATCAGCAGTTAATGATTAATGACTGAATGATACCCCGACGCACAATATATTTCTATCTGCACATCCTCACGACCTCTCTTCATCTCCTGAGCTGCCTACATCAGCATAAAGCAGATCCCCCAGTTCAGCATCCGCATCAACCAGTACTCGCCACTCCTTGTCCACACTCTCCTGCGCCAGTCTCTGCTCTTCATCTACAGATGTATCGGCTCCAGAGACAGGATTCTGCAAAGCATATTTAAGCAAGAATACCGCACCCTGCAGCGCACGCTTTAATTCATCCAGAGAGTCGATCTTCTTCTCCTTTTCTTCCTCGAGAACATGCAGCCAACATGTGCACAGTCCGCCTAGGATCTCCCCCCGCCAGCGCCAGATGCGCGGGTGCGCGTTGAGAACCACTGCTCTGGTGGCATTTGCTGCGGCGACGAGGAGGGGTGGGTGCGCTGTGCCGAAGGGATTTGAGAGTGTCGTGTAGAGGATGGGTACGAGGTCTTGGAGGTATTTCGTGGTGTGAATGCGCAGTTCACTCACCCAGACGGCGATCTGTTCCGTCAGAAAAGTAGATAGTCGGGGGTACGGGAATGAGGCGGAGGTGGTGGTTGAGATGGAAGTTGGTGTCGAGGAGCTGATATGGTGGAATGAAGAGATGAGGTTCGCGCGGAGAATTTTGGTCATGCGAGTTGTGTATGCTTCGTTATTAGTGTCGGGATTGTAGGCTGTTTGGAATAGTGCCCGTAATGCTGTGTACGCTACGCCCAGGAGTTTGAGGGATGCGTCTTCTGGTGTGATGGTCGGTAGAGATAGGAGACATGGCGTGACGGCGTCTTCGAAGACAGAGGCGAGGTTTGTCCGTCGAAGAATATCGGATTTGTTTTCTCGGATTGGGGACAGAAGTTGAGTGAGAAGATGACACCCTTTGGTTTTGAATAGGAGGCTTGTGTCGTCTGTCAAGGCCAGAATCGTTGGTACTAGAAACGGGAAGTCTGCTTCGATATATGTTTGATCGGTTACCTGTATCGAAATCATTAGCGAGCGAGCAAGAGGAATGAATCTATGTGAGTTGCATGTAATGCATACAGGATACTGCGCCATGATCCACCCCAGAACGGCAGTCGCGTAGAGATCGCTACCCTTCCACGGCCTCGCTTCATCATCCAAAATGCTCGCATCGAAGCGAGCTAGCGGCACGGGATGGAAATTCCTGCGGCCAGCGCCGGTGATGGCGGGGTTTCTGGTCCGGGTGAAAAGAGGTCGGATCTTCTCTTTGAGAATCTGCTGGAGGGTGGATCTGAGTGCGGCTTCATTCTCCGACCCGGTCGCGTGGCTGTATACCTGGAGTGCTGCAGTCGCGTTGGCGAAGCTGTCTGCTGTGGTCCATGGATCTTCTGTGGAGGTGAAACTCGCCAGTGCGAGGATGGGATCGGATGGACTTTTGGCCTTGTGGATTGGCAGTATTTGATTTAAAAGCACTAGCACTGCGATGGCATGTTCTGATATTGATCTGCTCTCATCCAGTGCTTGTTGGGTTTCTTGTGTTGCGTTAGTGGGTAGGAATGCAGCTCGGATTCCATGGGGAACACACCATCTGAGATGTCGGCAGTTCCATCGAATGTGACTGCGAAAACCGGTGATGGCAGGGCAGCGGCACTGATCCACTCGTAGAGGTGGTTCGCGGCCTGTTCATCATCGTCCGACAAAGGCCGGACCTCGCGGGCCTCGAGAAAGGCACGTACCACCCGCAGGCTTTCGCCCGTCTAGGATTGATTCAGCCAACTGGCCAGACTGAACTTAATGAGGACTTACATTGTCTCCGGACGAAACCTCTTGCCACAATTGGGGTAGAGTACCTGGGGGCATGTTGGAAAAGTGGTGGTGGATGAAGAAGAGTGGAAGGGAATGAATCAATTGATTTTCTACAAGCCCAACTCGGCCCGCTGCCGTCGCACTTCGTCCAGGGCCTGTTCCTTGCTGATCCCCGGCCGCAACAACTGCACATTCATCACCACCGTGAGCGCCTTGCTCATCCACGGGCCTTTTTTGGCCTCCAGCGCCTTCATGATCTCGTCGCCATTTACAATGGGTTTCAACTCGCATACGTCTTCTAGGTCTTGGTCTACTATGTACGCTAGGAACCGGTCGTACTCGTGCACCAGTACTGTCATGGTCAGATAATATTCCATAGGACAACGAAGTGGTCTTACCGGTAAGATCGTGCCCTTCCATGATTTCCTGTAGCAGGGCCAGCAGCACGCAGATCCGCCAGTCCTTGCCCCACGACCGTATCAGCAATCCAATCTGTTGTCGGATCTCTGCCGGCGAGCCGCTTATGCTGTTGTCGAGTAGACAGGACTTGGTCGCGATGATTCCCTCATAGTTCCGTGAGGCATCGCGCAAGATAGTGAGTGTCTTGTTATCCATGCGCAGACTTTCTCGGGCAACTTCAACCGCTCGTGGCGCCACGTTTTTGGCCTTTGCTCCCGTCCCCTGCCGTTCAGGGATAGAGATCCACGGAGTAAACGCTGCGCCGACCCATGCATAGTACACGGTTCCTTCATCGCGCACCAGGATCCGCCGGACGCGTTCTGTAGCTGCGCGGACTTCACTGCTCTCCTCAATCTCTGGGTGGAGGAACCGAGCGAGCGCGTTGTACGCCAGAGACCACGTCCTTGTATCAACAGCGACTCCGTCTTGGTGGTTTGCAAAAATTGTATGATAAAGATCCAGTCGGTCGATAAATTGAAGCGCACCACGAGGGTCGGGGCCTGCCAGCAGGTCAGAAAAAGCAACTACGGTACGGAATCCAGCTTCCTCACCTTTCAGCATCTTCTCCAGCTCATTTGCAACACGCTCCTTGCTAATTTTGAGCCTCAATGCCACCCTGATATCCTCATTCTGCATCGCCCTTTCCGTCTCGGGGTCAATTTGGTACCCCAGTCTGCTCGCGAACCGGACCAACCGAAGCACACGCAGCGGGTCGTCCCTGAATGTCTGGTATGGTTCCATCGGCGTTCGAATGAGCCTATTTTGCATGTCCTCCAGCCCGTGCCCTGTCAAGTCCTCCAGCCGCGACTCGTTGAGATTGTAGAAAAGCGCATTGATCGTCGCATCTCGCCGCAACGCGTCCTCGGTTGCGGTGCCAAACTCCATCTGCGGATTCCGGCTTTCCTCCGAGTATGTCTCTTTTCGTAGATTGACCAGGTCAATATCCAGGCCAAAGATCTTCGTCGTGACCGTCTCCAGGTGCTTGGACTTCTCCGGGTTGGCCTCGATTTTGTGGAGGCTCACAATCGCATCGTGCATCTTGCCCTCTGGGAGGCTCTGTTTGTACTTTTCCAGGTTTTGCGGGTCATCCAGGTACTGCTTCAGCGCCATGCCGAACTGGTAACCAGTCATGCTGCTGATCCCGACGTCGATGTCATGGCTGTCCACTCCGAGCAGCTTGTCTCTAACCCAGCCGCCGGTGAAGCGCAACACGGTGTCTGGATGATTCCTCACATCGCTCCCTCCTTCGACAATTTCTTGGTCTCGGATGTACTGTGCGACGTCAAGGAGGAGGGTACGCAGGGTGCTCTCCAGTGGAGTGAGCTCGATCGTGGAGATGGTGTGATTCATTGCGTCGGAGGAGCTATCCCGCGCGGGGGAGGGGGAAATGCGTCGTCTCTTGGTGACTCGCTCTAAAGAATGAGGATCTCGTTTGCGGCCATTCATGAGAGAGCGACAAGGAATGCAAGGACGGAGGGTGGTGAGTGTCGGCGTAGCTCTCTGTCGCAAAAGAACTGCTCTCGGTGGGGGGACGCGGGCAGGTGGAGTATTGCAGGGCGGGCGACAGGCCTCAAGAAAGGGACGTAGAGAGGACAGCCGGGGCATTGACTACGGCTGCTGCCATGTAGGGAATATCAAGAGGACGCGAGGGAAAGAACAACGAAAGAACAAAGCGCGGCTGGAGATCAAGCAGGCCTTACCTCACGTGGCATTCAGTGGTCCTTCAGTTCCACGGTCCCATACCTCGTTATTGTTTCCTGCCTCTGCAACAACACTGGACTGATAGCAACACACTTCCTCTCTTCCTTCCCTTACCTGTTCACAGCACATCCTTTGGCGGTCGCCTTATCTGTCAACCTCGGCTTTCTTGCTGGTCGGAGTCCGCTCTTGGCTTTCTGCCCACCAACCTTCTGCCCCCGAACTATCTGTCCTCCTCCGCTCACCGCGCCTCTCTCACTCCCAGTCAATGGGGTATCCAGATACACGCCCAACCCTTTGAATACGCGCAAGCAGCTGTCCATGACATCACCGGGAGATGCTGCCCCGGTTAAACCTCCGCCGTCCTTCTCCCCCGGCGTTGCGCGCGGCACTTCCAAGTCGCGATACCCGGAGCAGCGCGAGTCCACTACATCGTTAGACACGGAGCTGGCAGAGTCTCGGACGGGGTCCTCTCCCACTCCGCCTCTGTCAGCCACGAGCTCCGAGCTTCCTATACGCACCGACTCTCGCACGTTGAGATCCTCCACACCGCAATTATCCAGGTCGTCGCTCGGCTCGCCCTTTGATGCTCAGGCGGATGGTTCGGATGATCTCAGATCAGTAATTACCCGGTCTTTTTCGCCCACAATTGCGGTGTACGCCTCTGAGGATACCGATGAGTTGGTGCGCAATAAGGGGTTCAAAGGCGGGTTTGTGGAGCTGATCCGCCCCTTTGGAGAAACCGTCCCGGGTAAAGTGGTCATTCGGGATAGCGTCGGGGCCAGTCGTGCTTGGGAAGACTATGGGGTGCGATTCGTGGATCTCAAAGGGTTTGGCCGTGCTCCCCTTGGTCGAGATGCGCGGGATTCACCGTTAACGCAGATGGAGGAGGTGCTGGAGAAGCATTTGGAGTCTTCAGATATCTCGCTGGCCGGGTCGATTCGGCCCAAGGATGCACTAGGGTTGCCGGCAATGTCACCATTGTGCAAACTTCTCTTTCGACAACTTCTATCGGCTACACTTCCCGCGCCGCACGAGACCTTTGGCCATCCGGTGGCTAGTGTCATTGCCATCAGCTCGCGGAATACAGCTCCTCTGGAGACACTGAGACAGCTCTACGCCGGGAGCAGTACCGGTGACCAGCGGTTACCTGATTGGGTTCATCAAGAGTATCTGCGGTATTACGTCTTGGTCCATGATGAAGAACGAGATGATTTCGTCGAGTCTACAAAACTCTACGATCAGATGAAGCGGCATTTTGGTCTCCACTGCCACCTCTTGAGACTTCGGAGCAGTCAATGTGTAGTGACGGATGATGACAGCATCCAAGCACCCCAGTCCGAATGGCTATCACCCTTGGAGCGCCTGTCGGGGGCCGGAGAAGCAGGTGGGGTCAATTATCACCCAAAGAAGGCTTTGCTGACTTTTGTTGCTAGAAACATTGGTGGATCTGGGCACGGATGGAACCCCGTGTCTGTTCGATTCCGATGCCACCGCAATCCGGACCTTCGTTCGTGAGCTAGTGGCGCAATCAGTGATCCCCTTCATGGAGAACCGCGTGGCCGTCTGGAACGATCAAGTGGCATCTCGAAGGCGCGGGATCAGTGGGCGGTTCATGTCCATGTCGCGGCGCTGGGCCGGGTTTGGGTCAAGTTCACGCTCTAGCATGACCGGCTCGTCCAGCGGCAGCAGCGGAAACTACGACGCTGCACACAATTTCTACCAACCAGACTCACCAGAGGCTGTCTTGCGAAAGATGGCTGATTTTGCGTTTATGCTTCGCGACTGGAAGCTGTCTGCGTCAACGTACGAGATCGTCCGTTCGGATTTTGGCAATGACAAAGCATGGAAGTACCATGCCGGTGCGCATGAGATGTGCGCAGTGAGCATGCTCCTGAACCCCATGGCCATGTCGTCCAAGATCAAGCTCGAGAACGTCGACCAGATGTTCGAGACTGCTTGCTACTCCTACCTAACGCGGTGCGACGACGCCCTACATGCCCTCCGATGTCTCGCGCTGGCTGTCGAGCTTCTCAAGTCTCGGGGTGGCTCCGCCACCGAGAGCGCCGCCAAATGGGCCATGCGGGTCGTGGACTTTGGTCTGGTCGGCTCGGTAGGCCAGATTCTCTTCAGCGAACGGATATCCGCCTGCTACGCCTCCAAGGTTCCCGCCAGCGGCGCCAAATGGGGTGCACGACGCAGGAAAGCTGGGATGTGGAGCATTCTCGCCGCTGACCAGTGGCTCAAGGCCGGCAAACCCACGCTGGCATCGGCGTGTCTGGAAGAAGCCGAACGACTCTACGCCGATGTTCTCGAGAACGATGGCATCTTCCCAATGCCCGAGATGCAGAGCTTTATCGATGAGCTCCGCCACGCCGTGAAAATGGAATACCTTGTGTCACGAGGGTTTGATAATACCCAAGATGAGCCCGCCAGCGCCATCGAAACCCTGGGGGGCAAGGAGGAAACCAGCGAGAAGCTCGTCAAGCGCAATCACCGCCACTCACTCATCGGCCTGCCTACTCAGCTGGATACCGGGGCGCTCAACTTGGCCCAGGGGCTCATGGATGCCGAGAATGCACCGAATGACGACTTTGAACGAGCATAGCTGGTCTTAATGATATGTAGTCACATTGCCACATACACGAATAGAATACAGATCTTCGATGGTACAATGACTGTGCCCTTGTTTCATCAATAGAAGTATTCGATATAGTTATTTGATCAACATCTTCTCATCAAACTGCCCCGTACAATATATCGAACCGTCACGTGTTGCCGCTTATCGATAACCGCCGGAGCTCATGCGGGCCTTGCTTGATCTGTTGTTGACCAACCCTCACTTCCCCTGCCAACTCACCGTCGCAAGATGAGCGACCTCCTCAACTACATCCTCAAGAATGAGGATGCCTTCCGAAAAGTATGTCCCGTCCAACCGCCCTCCCCAAGTTCCGTCCAAATGCGAAACCCAAAAATAAGAACACCCCAACTAAACTAATCGAATCGCTCCAGAAACCGCCTCCCATCCCTCTACTCCGACTTCACGCTCCAAAAACGAACAAACCCCGACGGCTACGCCGTCAATATCGCCGCGTGGGAACAAGCGCTCAACCACGCCGCGAGACGCGGATACACTTCTTCGCGCGGTGTGCGCGTGCGCTCCGGGTCGTTATCCTTGCCGCCATCGACGTCCACGGCTAAGCAAAAGACGGGGACTAATGGCCCACCGCTGCGGAAGAAGACGGATCATCTCGTTCTGAGGACGGATGAGTCGCTGCTGAGGGATTTGGAGAGTTCGGAGTGGGGGAGGCCTGTAGCGCTGGGGGCTGTGTTTGTATGTTTTCCCTCCTTTGTTTTATTTTCCTTGTTATGTATGTGCGTCTTTGTCGGTGTGGAGGTTTCTAATTCTGTTGTACTGTCCAGGATGAGGCATTGCGCAAACATACCATGGTCGCATTACCGGCCTATAGAGCCAGCGCCGGCAGTCTGCAGAAGAATCAATGGCGGGTCATTGATCCCGGGGCATTTAGTCCGTGGAATGTGATGAGTTGGGGGATGCGACACTTAAAAGGGTTCGTGGTGGGATCTGACGAGTCTGCACCAAGGCTGCAGGTGCAGGAGTTGGTCTTGGTTGAGAACCTACGAGTGAGAACCTTTTGTTTGGATAGAGGTTGATCCAGACTTGCTAATAGACTCTTGTAGGAAACGGCAGATCTGGTTGTAAAGAAGGCCACGCGGGGCAATGCATCCAAGCTGGACCTTATATACTCCAAGGAAAGCTTTGTGGAAGAGTACGCTACGGTGCTGAACGATGCGACGGAGCTGTCGGATGAAGATTTTGATGTGTTATTGCTCTATCTTTCGCGGGACTCTGAGGCCATTGCATATGATGGAAAGGTATGATGCCAGATTAGAGGGTATATACAAGATCCGTGACATGCTGACCAGCCACCGGCAGACCATCAAGTTCAAGTCTTCTAGTGATGAAACTCCCGCTATCACGCAGCAGGACACCACTATCGCCTCCATCAAGACCCTCATCTCGACCATGTCAAAACAAGTCACGAATCTGGAGGCAAAAATCGAAGAGCTGAACCTGTCCGCGAAGACGGCGCTGACCAACAAGAACCGCATTTCCGCGCTTTCAGCTGTGCGCTCTAAGAAGTTGGCCGAGCGCAACCTGCAACAGAGACTTGATACCCTTGTCCAATTGGAGCAGATCTATTCGAATATCGAGCAGGCTGCAGGACAGGTGGAGCTTGTTCAGGTGATGGAGGCGAGCACCGGCGTTCTCCGCGGACTGCATGCACAGGTTGGTGGCGCAGAGAGGGTCGAAGATGTGCTCGAGGAGTTGCGTGAGGAAATGACCAAGGTGGACGAGGTCGGAAGTATCATGAATGAAGCCGGGCCGGTCATCGATGAGGGCGAGATTGATGATGAGCTCGAGGCGCTGGAGCAGGCCGAGCGCGAGACAAAGGAGAAAGAAGAGGCGACACAGACACGGCAGAAGCTCGCCGAATTGGACAGGCTCAAGCAAACCTCTGATGAGGCAGCTCGCAAGAAGTTGGCTGAGCAAAACGTGGATGCCGTGCTGGCAGAGAACATTGACAAGATCTCCGACATGTCGGTCGAAGATCGTCAGATGCCAGCGAAATAGGGGAAGGTGGTCGCTCGCCTGCAGCTAACCTTCGAATTCCTCGTGTCATCGGGGTGGGTTTGATGGATTGGCGTGCGGGTTGAATTCAAGAGCGCCATAGACTGGTAGCGGCTGGATGGGTTCCTGCGAAGAGACATCCACGTCCTTGGCAGTTGAGGTTGTGGCAGGCTGTTCCGATGGAGATTCTTCTTGGACAGCAGAGGCTCCTGGGATCGTTGACCTGACAGCGGCATCGGTCCGTTTCCGTGCATTCGCAATCAGGCGCTTGAAATCGCCATCGTGAGAGGCACTCCAGTCGGCAGCATTGAAATCCTTGCGCATCACCGGGTTGTTCGCCACGAACAGCGAAGGCGCCGCCGCGTGCCCTCCTTGAGTCCGCTCCCATACATCCAATTCCTGCAGCAAGTCTCGCTTCAATTTTGGGTTTTTGGAGTCACAGTTCGCATTCCACAGGTTCATCCACTCGGTGTGACGCCTCTGCAACAGCTGCCGTGCACCCCAGTCGGGGATGCCGAGATCACGGAGCTTTCTCCGCAACACGCTGTCTTTCAAGATCGAATAGTTCATTGCGGGGATTCTCTCAGGCGGTTTAGTGGTGGGATGTGAGGCAATGGGGGCGGCAGGTTGCAAGGATCTATATACACGGTTTAGTTAGAGCTCGATACCCTTGACTCATGCAATGCACATAGACTTACCCAAAAGACTTGGTCTTCGGCGCAGAAGGGGTTCCTGGACAATCTCTATCAAGATGCGCAAAGACCGCCTCATTCTTCATCTTGCGTTGGCAGATAGGACAATTAACAAGGCCATCCTCTGTAGTCCCGTTAGCCCAGTCAATGTGCGCAATACGTCGAAGATGCCATACCTGGAACGTAGTCCTCATCCTGGCTGTCTTCGATAACTTCCGGACCGGACGAAGCGCCTGGCACATCACTTCTCCACCTTTGCGATCTGGTGCGCACACCCTGCGGGTTACCGGGTGCTCCGTCCAACCCCTCCGTTGGCGGCTGATCCAGCTTCCGTTTCTTAGGCGAGGACGGTCCATCCAGCGCAGGATCACCACGCGCAAGCCGCGTAGCCTCCTTCCTGGCCAGCTCCAGAACCTTTGGCCGTGCAGTCTGGAACGCATCGACAAGCTCCTGGACCGCCCAGTTGCGACGGAGCTTCAGCTCTTGGTCGGAGGCGCGACAAGCGGGACACTTCCCCTCTGTGCTCAAACAGCGGCGAATGCATAGCGAGCAGAACGTGTGGCTACATGACGTGATGACTGGGTTGTCGAAAAGGTCTTTGCACACTTGGCAGCGCAGGGAGGACTCTAGCGGCGCGAGCAGAGACAGCGGAGTGTCCAGCCAGTCGGTGGAGTCGGGGAGATCGAACGAGTTTTCCATGGAGATGGAATGTGGGAAGAGGACGACGGAGAGAGAGTAGACATGGGCAGGCCGGCAGAGAATATATGCAGCTCAGGAGAGAAGGCCGGGCTTTGTCCGTCTCTGCAGAGAAAGAAGCAAAGGAAGAGTGGACGGAAGGAAGTGAAAGAGAGCCAAGACCCGCTGACTGACACGCGTTAAGTGGTGTCGCGTCTTCCCTCTTCTTGACTTCCACACCACATCTGCCATGGCGGCTTCGTATCTGCCTGAGACCGTCCTCAATGAACGGCGCACGGTAGGTTCATTTCCATTTGTGATCTTCTTAATGCTCATGGCTGTCTAGGTCACTTATCGCTCGCTGAGCCGCGCGCTCAAGGTGCATGCCACTCTGGCCAAGCAGTACGCCCACCTGCAACTCATGGAGACATTTCTTACTGACTGGGTATTCTCTTCTCACAGGATGCTCTTCGACTTCCACCGCATCGAAAACGCAAAGAAACCCCAAAGCGTCCACGCGACCTATGTCATCTCCGGCATCCAAAAACCACCACCACCACCCGGGACAACCGGCCATGGCGCGAATGACGAGGACGCAATCATGCAGAGCAGCCCTTACATGCCCAGCTCTATGCCGAACCAAGACCCCGCGGACGCGGTGCGCGTCACCTCCCTCATCCTAACTCGCGAGGAGGACCTGGAAGGTGGGTGTTGTGAGGAAATATTGGGTCTTGTTCTAACCTGAACTTGCGCAGCTGCCAAATCCACCTTTGAGTCGGTCTCAACAATACATGTCTACAGTGTCCAGCCAACGGTGCTGCAGGACCTGAATGTCTTGACGGATGTGACTCGGGAGACGTGGAGTGCGCATGTCCATGAGGATCCGTTGGAACTTGGGAAGCAATGGGGTATGATCCAGAACACGCATGTCCAGGTACGCCAATTGTTCCTATTTGTCTACGAGGAGCTAACAGCTGGTCAAGCGGCGAACGGGGGCGCGGCCACCACCACCACTAGCTCCGGCTGCGAAAGCGGCCGAAACGTCGGAATCGACGGTTCCAGCCAAGCGGCCATTTCAGAAGGAGGCGCCTCCTAAAAAGACGGACGAGCGGGCCTCGAAGCAGTCCACTCCAGCTTCGGACTCTCAGTCATCTGCGAAACCAGCAACCAAGGCGCCCAAGCGCGAGAAGAGTGATCTTTTCAGCTCATTTGCCAAGGCCAAGCCGAAGCCGAAGAAAGCAGAAGATGGTTGGTTGCATCCTTTAATTCACCGAACATGAGCTGATACTTCACAGTGGTCCTCGACGACGCCTCGGAGGAGGAACCAGAGGAATTGTTCCCGGACCAGGGAGACAGAAAGACCGAACCGGCCAATCGTGAAAGCAGGAAAGAGCGCGAGGAGAAGCTCAAACAGATGATGGAGAATGACGACGCTGACGGTATGTATTTGTGACCATGGCGTCTCCACCGCGCCTAACGGAGTTTTAGATGAGGAAATGCCCGATGCCGACGAAGAGGAGCCACCCCGCGAGCCGACGCCACCAGTGGAGCAGCCACCCAAGCCTGCCGAGCTGAAGGAGGAAGCCACCGTCCAGGGTGGGCGGCGGCGGGGCAAACGACAAGTCATAAAGAAGCGGACGGTCAAGGACGAAGAGGGGTATTTGGGTAAGCGGGTCTTGCTTGAGTCAGTTGTACAGCGAACTAATCCAAACAAACAGTGACCCGAGAGGAGGCTACATGGGAGTCCTTCTCCGAAGATGAGCCGGCACCCAAAAAGAAACCCGCGGTCCAGGTGGGCAAGGGCAAGGCTGGGAAGGGCCAGGGCCAGGGGAACATCATGTCGTTCTTTGGGAAGAAGTAGTTAATTAGCTTGGTCTGTCGGATAATTATGAAGTCGAGCTATGTAACTACCTCTCCACGTACTAAATAAATAATACAACCGTGCCCCTGGCCGATGTCACCCTGCGGGGAAATACAGCCCGAATTCAATGCTTGTCTTTGCACCGCAGACCGTGCGAGCCCTAATCCAGCTGTCGGGGGATCCGGAATGCACCCCTGGTTGCGATCGGCATCTGGGGGAGATTGGCTACTTAAGCTGGGCCTGGCCGGATCGCTTTGTGCCCCGGTGGTTGTTTACTCCTATCAACAATGGTGCTGTCAATTCTTGCCCTAACCTTGCTGGGCCTCGGCCAGGCCCATGGTCTTGCTCGCGACCACCCGGCCATCTTGAAACGTGCCTGTCCCGACTACACCACCTACTCCGAGCAGCAGCATGGCCCCTACAGCGGGGGGCCCTTGAACCTGCCCTTCCAGCGTCCCGCTGAGCAATGCCGCACGTTCACGTCGGCCGCGGTCGAGAAAGTCATTGAGGATATCACGTCCCGCCTGGTCGACAAGGACCTGGCGCAGATCTTCCGGAATGCCTACCCCAACACACTGGACACCACCATCAAATGGCACGTCCCCAACAGCACCCACTCGACTAACTCGCGCCTTACGCGCCGGGACGGTGCCGACTGGTCGGGTATCCAAACCTTCATCGTGACCGGCGATATCGACGCGGAGTGGCTCCGCGACTCGACCAACCAGCTGATCAACTACCAGACGCTGGCCACCAAGGACAAGAGCCTGTTCACGCTCATCCACGGCGCGATCAACACCCAGGCCGAGTTCGTCATCCAGTCGCCCTACTGCAATGCCTTCCAGCCTCCCTCCGTTAGCGGGCTGGCGCCCTACAAGAACACGCAGAAGGACACCGTGCACCCGACCTACGACCCGTCCTTCGTGTATGAATGCAAGTACGAGCTGGACTCGCTCGCCCACTTCCTAAAGCTGGGCAACACCTTCTACGAGACCACGGGCACGACCAACTTCCTGTCCGATCGCTGGTTCCTGGCGCTGCAGACCGTCCTGAACGCCATCGACGCCCAGTCGCAGCCCACCTTCAACGCCGACGGCCAGTACGTCGAGAACGAGTACACGTTCCAGCGTGAGACCACCATCGGCACCGAGACCCTGAACCTCGGCGGCATTGGCAACCCCATCGCCAGGAACACCGGCCTCATCCGCAGCGCCTACCGGCCCAGCGATGACGCCACCATCTTCCCGTACTTCATCCCGCCCAACGCTATGATGTCCGTTGAGCTGCAGAAGACTGCGAAGCTCGTCAAGGCTGCCGGTGGCCATGACCAGCTGGCTGAGGAGCTGGATACCCGCGGCAAGAAGCTCGCGGAGGCTGTTAAGGAGCACGGTATCGTGAACCACAAGACCTTTGGCGATGTCTATGCCTACGAGGTCGATGGATACGGTGGTCACAACATGATGGATGACGCCAATGTCCCCTCTCTGCTCTCCCTGCCTTACCTTGGCTTCCTGGATCAGAACGACAAGGTCTACCAGAACACCCGCAAGATGGTTACCTCCCAGGCTGGAAACCCGTACTACCTGACCGGGTCTGCCTTCCACGGCATCGGCGGTCCTCACAGTAAGACTTCTCCCCCTTTTCCTTCTATATATTATTGAATCTCGAACGTCCCTAATGCGTGTTTGTAGTCGGTCTCCAAAACGCCTGGCCCATGTCCCTGCTCATCCAGGCCCAAACCTCGGACGACGACCAGGAGATCATGGACTGCATCAACCTCGTCAAGCAGTCCAGTCTGACGGGCCTCATCCACGAGTCCATCAACGTCACCAACATCAACGACTACACGCGCTCGTGGTTCTCATGGGCCAACTCTGTCTATGCGCAGACGATCCTCAAGGTTGCAGAGGAGCGGCCGCATTTGATCTTTGGGAAAGGCGCTAAGCCTTACAAGCCGGAGTAAAAGTGAACTGGCCTGCTCTTCGGGTTGTAGATAATGCAGGGTATTCTGTTCTTGTCTTCTCTTCTTCGTGACCACAGTACCTACCTTACTTGTCTATCACTGGTCGAGGATTCTCGTCTAGCCTTGACGCTTGTTTTCCTTTTCAGTATTTAAGCATTTTATTCTAAGCACCATTGCATTGCACTGCACTGACAACATGCCGAGCCTGGATCATTTTCGATCCAGTATGCAAATAATCATATACATAAGAAAAGCAAAAGGTATATACAACCACATCCAAAACAGATCAAATCAAAACCCGTCGCAATCCCTCCGTACCACCCAGCACCCTCCGCCCCGTAACCGGACACCGGCCCTTCCCACTCTCCCACTTCCCACTGCGCTTGCGCCATCCCACCTTCTCATCATCCTTGGGAACAGTCTCCTCATCAACACCTTCTTCTCCCTCCCCATCCATAAAATCCAACTGGCGTTGATGTTCGCCATTCAACCAGTGGAAAATACACACGTAGCAGAACACATACCCCGTTTGACACGCCGTCGGGTTCACGAGGGCGCTCATGCAAACGGGGCAGGTATTTGCACTGGATGTGTCGGCTGGCGGCAACGGGACTGTGAAAATGGGGAGGAATGAAGAAGCGGAGATGGGTGGTTGGTGGCGGCGGGGAGATTTGAGAGCTGGTTTGAGGTCGGACGGGGAGGTTGGAGACGGGTTTTTCTTTTCCTTTTCTTTCTCCTTCTCCTTTGCGTCCTGCGCTGCTCGACGCCGTTCTTCGGGTGTGGTTAGACCGGACACCACGGGCGCGGGCAGGTCCAGGACCTCAGTGGCTTTGCGGGCTAGTTGTCGTGAGAAGTCGCTGGCGTGCCACCATTCCAGGAACTTGAGCGCGAAGATCGAGGCCGGGAGGAAGTAGCGCAGCGAGGAGAGGAGTTGCGGGTAGAGGTTCTGCGGGCTCAGAAGACCCAGGAGGCCTGAGCCTGGACGCTGGGAGCGCACAGTCCCGGGTCCGGATTTGGGGTCTAGCACTGCGGCGATGGCGCGGTGGTCTGCGGCGCCGAGTCGGCGGATGCGCGTTCCGATGAGCCAGAGGAAGGGTGAGGAGTATTTGGTGTTGTCGAAGAGGTAGGCCAGATTGAAGGCCAGGACGGAGAAATAGTATGCCGCGTTGACGGACGGGTAGACGTTCCGCAGGAACCACTTGTAGTAGGCGAACAGCCGCTGGCGCAGCGTCGGGTTGGGCGGCAGGTCCTCGCTGGGGTTATAGCGGGGACCACCACCGATAGCCAATGCGGCCTGCGGCGCGGCGTAAATATCGTACCCCTCGTCGAGCTTGCATTTCAAGTAGGGAATGCCCACGAGGACGAGCAGATTCTTCCACACGTCGGCGGAGTGGAGCTTCAGTGCTTCGCGGACGGGGCCGGGGGCGCCGACTTGGGCGCGCGGGATCTCGCCATTTTCTGTGCGGAGGACGCGCTCGCGTTTTAAGGAGTAGAAGTTCTCGGTGAAGGAGCCGCCGAAGGTACGGAGGTAGTAGCGTTCGACGATGAGGGAGAGGACGGCGTAGACCTCGTCGTAGGAGTTGAGAATGCGGAGGAGGTAGCGCGGGTGGCGGTGTGTTGCGACAGCAAGGAGATAGCGCAGAGAGGGAGGAATCAAGTTTGATAGCTGTTGCTCTGCGAGGAGTTCTAGGATGAGGTCAGTGGAATGTTCGGTTCTCCGCGTCTGGGGTTCCGCGGACAAGGACGGGGCGGGTGAGGTGGGTGGGAGAACTCACCGAAGAGCGAGGGCTTCGACTCGTCGAACTCCTGTTGAAGACTAGGCAGGTACTCCATAGTGAGGAGCACCGGGCATCGTCCAGGGATGGGAATTACGAAGGACAGAGGGAGTCGGTTGAAGGAGGAAGAGAGAGGTGAAGGCCGGATTGAGAGAGCCGAGGTCCATGGCAATTTGCTGCCTTAGGCACCAATTTTAAAGTTGTTCCAACTATAGCATCAACATTCACTCTCAACTTCTGAGAAAATTAGGTATTTTTGTCATTTACTGGACCACTTATAGCTTTGGGGATTAATATTGAAATTTGTTTCATTCTATGGCTCTTCAGGTACCAGTTTTGATAACCTGCGCAGCTGAGGACCGTACCTCATAAACAAGAACGGAACGGGGAGTAAGACCGCAGCCACCGCGCCAATAATAGAAACTGCCGGTCCAATATCCAGCGCTCTGATCATCGGTTTGGCCGCTAATGGAAGCCCCGTGGCCATAATACTCCGGAGGAAAGTAACCGCTGCGGTCGCACTCGCCGCATACAACCGATAGACGTCAATCAAGAAGTTCAGACACTGCTGGAATATACAGTTGAACCCTGCGCCAATGAACATGGCCGCCAGACAAGGGAGGATCCAATGATGAGGCGGTTTCGCGGTCCACGCAAACCAAAACACGCCCACCACGAAGAAGACTGCCCCAAATGCCATTGGCGGTAATCGAGCTTCGGGAACGAGTCGGCCATTGGCAGCGCGAGAGACTTCATTGTAGTGGAACTGGTTCCAGATGTTAAGGCCTAATGACGCTATGACGCCGATCAATAGTGCCAGAAAGGGGAGCGAGCCGACGAGGGGGTCCCACCCGCGGGTTTCTTGAAAGACAATTGGGAATACCTCCAGGGTGAGGTACATGACGCCGTACACGAACGAGGCGTAGAAGGCAATGCAGGTGACTATCGGCTCAGTGAACAGCATTTTCCAAGGTCGGGAGAGTTGCTTTGTGATGATTGAGTGGAAATCAAGCTCCAGGTGCTCGTGTGGATGATAATAGCCCGGGTTATTCGTTTCTTTGCGAAGACGCTCTGCTTTTCGCTTCAATATGACCAACGGATACACCTCCGGCAGGAGGAAGTACGCCATGGCGAAAATGACAAACGTCCAGATTGCCTGGATGTACTCGGTCCATCGCCAGTTGAGATGAGGATTGCGGATAAGAGCTGCACCTATGATCGGGCCCAGTGAAGGGCCGCCGTTCACTGCCACAGCATATAAACTGACGGCAATTCCGCGAGACTCCCGATTAAAAATATCCCCGAGTGCAGCAGAGACGTTGCTGATGGGGGCAGAGCCAAAGAACCCAGCGAAGAAACGCGTCAGAAAAACTGACGTTGCGTTCTTGCTTTCTGCAGTTCCGATTGAAAAAACCGCTTGACAGAACACTGGGGGCAGGATGCTCACTCGGCGACCCCAGATCTCTGAAATCGGCGCCCAGAGAATAGGGCCGAGGACGAAACCGAGACTGATTCAGGAGTTAGTCACTAGATATACACAACAAGAGCCTGGGATGTCACTCACAGATAAAGAGAAACATCAAGAACAGCAACCTCGCTGTTCACGCCGATGTACTTTGCGATGGTATCGTCGGCAGGCGTAGTAATACTCGAAGCCAAACTTCCCACTAAGGCGAGCATGCCCAACTGGAATGTAATCCAACATTTATAGAGGAGAGGCCAATTCTGGGGATTGGCAGGGTCATCCTGATCAAACTTGACGAGATAATCCGGATCCAGTGCGGGTTTTTCTTTGCGTTCTGTCCGCGATGTTCTCCGGAGGGCGCTGATGGGCCATATTCGACCCATAATTGTTGCCAAACCAAGAATTATTGTATGGGCTAGGTTTTGGCATGGTGAAAAGACGCAATTATCTGATCGATTTTTCACCAGAGTCGCTCGGCAATTAAATGCCGATGTGTGCGGAGATTTGCCAAATTTGTTATCGTCGCAACTAAGAGACTAAGATAGTAATCTCGGCCGACTCCGATGGATCGATCAGGTTGGATGTTATGGCATGTACCATGGTCTGCTCAAATTCTTTATTCTTGTAGAATAATAATCTCATATACGATTCAAAGCCAATTTCTCGAACTGGTAGGTCTAAATAAGAATTGGGCAAAGGGACAAGAAGTTCTTCTGCTCGAAGCGAAGTATAAACAAAGTATGAACAAAAAAAGTCAAACTATGAACATGTCGAACGTATCTTATCGAAGAAAAGAGCTCATTCCCGGAGCCACGGCGGCATTCTGGCTTCCTTGGGAACCACGTGTCTCCGACGGACACGGGGGCCGATTACGCTAGAGCTGGTGGTACTCTTTGGTGGAGGTGGAGGAGGCGGCGGCGGCGCCGGGTTGGATGTAATAGATGATGGCGGCGGCGGCTTGACTGTAGAAGAGCCTGGCGGCGGCAGTGCAACTGTGGTGGAACCTGGCGGCGGGACTGGACCTGACCCTGAGGACGGTGGAGCAGGCTGGCGTGTCCACGACGAGGGAGTGGGAATTGAGTACGGTGGGTACGGGAACGATGACGAAGGCGCCGACGAGAAAGGAATCGGTTTCGGCGACGTTAAAGTGGGAACCGTATACGACTGCGATGAGAATGAGGCAGTTGGAGTAGTAATTCCGCCGTCGACTCCGGTACACCAGCTCGCAAACGTATGGACCCAGGACTGATGATGGACACGTTAGCAGAGGATGTGAATGAGACGCGCAAAGACCTACCCAAAGTGTTGCAGACAGGAGCGGACTCTCTGTGCCATCTTCATACAAAGCCTCTCCAATGAGGTTGACGCCAGCTGATGGAGTATATTTCAAGGCTGTGTGTTCGTCCCCTGCCTGGTTGGGACAGGCGTCTCCAGTTGCTATGTTGGATTAGTGGGACGTTCAATCAACAATACAGGCAATGACTTACTGTCCGTAAGGCCTAGGGTTGCGCCATAGAAACCCTGCAGATCCAAGCCAGTCTCGAATCCATGGTCTATTGTACCGTCAGAACAAGAAAGAGGAAGTCGACCCAGTCAAGAATAAAGACTTACCCAACGCTTCCAATGACAGCATAAGCTTAGCATCAAGGTTGATTTGCCAAGAGCCGCTGAGACCAGCACTGAAGGTCAAATCCTTTTGCTCCCACGATGTCTCCCACCCATTCGAATCGGAGCCGGGATCCAACAGGTCAACAGTCAATGATCCCGAATCCGCAACAGTCATAACCCCTCCGCCTGTGATTGAAGCAACGCCCTTGAGCGGACCTATAGAGGCACCCAATGAAAACTCGATGTTGGGGCCTAGGCTCAGAAGGCCATCTCCGAAGGATACTCCATCGAGGGGGATTTTCCCCAAAGATAGCGGATCTGGCTTAATAGCCTCTGTGAGAGCTGCAGAAACTCCCAGTGTAGGCTCGTATGTGAAAGAGACTCCTTTAGGAGACAGGATAAGTTCAATGTCATGCGGGATGTCCAGCCATGTTTTAATGTGGAAGTCAAAATCAAGGGATCCCTTCGTGCCACAGCCAATACAGTCGTATGTCAATTTGTAATCACCGCTGCCCAGGCTGATATGGCTGAGTGGGATCCCTGCATCGATATCAAAGGTGAAGCTCTTGTCCCAATCGCGCTTGGTCGAGGCAGGGCGGCCGCTCACGTAGAGCTCGTATGAATGGGCCGACTTGGTCCAGGTAGAGACCTCGCCAGTCGTCTTAATAGTGTTGGTCTTATCATCAAACTCAACATTCTTGACAACAAACGGGAGCCGGTCTTCGTTCCACTTGCAGTGGCCCTTTCCAGCAACAAGCAGGAAGGTGTGTTTTTCGTGCTCATTGACCCATTTCCAGGCCTCAGTCCCGTAGTGGAAGGCCTTCTCATCCTCGAACTTCATAGTCATGCTATCCTTGGTGCACTCGGTTGACTTCAACAGAGGATAGAACTTCTCCATGGCAATGATGCTCTCGTGCTTGCCAGGCATGAAGGTTGTGAAGTTTCCGAGGCCGTATCTGCCCTTTGCACTAAGACCTGTGTACGATGCCTGTGAGTCTCTTATGTTCTGTAGTATGGAGGTATACAGTGATGGACTTACCACCCCATAGGAAAGTCTCGTAATTGAGAAGATCCATTTTAGAGTAGTCCGTGTCACGGGCACCAATATGGCCCTCCTCATACTCTAGCATATCAATAGGCTCGAGAACATGGGCCGAGCAGACTTGAGTGAAAAGAGCGGATGCCAGGCCATAGGCCAGCCAGGAAAGGTGCTGAACACCCATTTTCAAACAACAAGAGGCAGCAGCTCTTTGTGGTTACAAAAGGAGTGGAAATCGGACGGTTGAATCAAAGCCCCAAGAAGTCTCCACGAGCGTCCTTTATACACCAAGACCAGACGATCATGGAGAGGGTTTGCACAACGTCGTAGAAATACGAGCAAGAAACTCAGCCGCGAGAAACGAAACTCGCAAAATCGAGCCACGTTCATAGAAGTTTAACAGGACCTCTCCATCAGTTGTCGATCCTTGCCCGTTGCTTAAGGCGATCTTTCGTGTTCCTGAACATGGCCCCCAACGTGGAGAAAATCGCAGCCAACCAAAGCCCGTATATTCCTTTCATGGCTCAGATAAGCTCTGGGCATACATAAATGTTGTTACATGGCGTGTTTCACAGCCCCTCCCGGAGCAGTCAGCCTTGCCATCTCGTATCGTGTCTAGGTTTATCGCTCTCCGACCATGATACACGTCCCGAAGGCTTAGGGTTAATGATGAATGTGGCAGATCTATAGATAGGCCTGCAGATGACACTGCCTCCGTGCGGCTCGTATCCGTCGAAGTCTATCCGCAAGGAATGGCGGGAGAACAGAACGTGCCTAAATATTATTCCTGTGACTACCGCACGTCATTTTCAGCCTTCTCCGGAAGAGAATACGATGCTTTCTAGATGCAGAGCCGTAGTCCGAGTCGAGTCATCTACATAGTAGTAAGTTTCAGCCATGTCCACAACCTCCTGAGATCGACTAGTGGCACGCCATTTTGGTTGCATCCGGCCGGTGCAAATCTCACACGTGGGGAATTTCGCTTAAGTACATAAAGCCAAATAATGATTGATGTGGCAAACAATAAAAGGATGTCCCTGTTCTGTTCTCAAACAGGAAACAGGCCTAGAACGTACAGCAGCAAAAAACGTTGGAGTTGGCGTCAGCCACAAAACCGACTGAAGAAAGATCGTCATGCACATCTGCAAGAAAAAGCCTTCAGCGCATATTCCCTTTCAGTACTTTACCCATACTACATCCGTCATCGCGGCAGACTGGCCGGCATAGTTTTAGAGAGAGAAAAACTAGAGTCTAATATTCATGTAAGAACAAACAGCGCGATTAGAAAACAAGTCCGACCGCGGATGCCTCAAGTTGCGTTTATGGTGACAGAGAAGGGAGAGAACCCTAAGACCAGTCTAGAGTAGAGTACATACAAGTACATACAGTGAAAGATGAGTTATTATACATGAAGCCTATACATGAAGCCTCACCAGTCACCCATCATTTCGCAAGAGCTGCGGTGCAGCTGTCATAGACATGCGAGAAGACACTCGGAACAGCATCAGCTGGTCGGTCGTTGACGCCCGGTTCGGCCACCAGGACACAGTGCATGATGGTAGACGCGATCGGGCCCTCCAGCTCAATCGCGGGAGATTCGTGGGCCATCTGCGGCACCCACATAGACAGACAGTCCCGAGCTCGCCGCTCGTCACCCAGTTCCGCGTGCAACTGGAACAACTGCAGATAGTCATCCTGCGTGCGGCCGCTTCCTTTCAATGGTATTTGACGCCACAGCCGCCAGAATCCATCAAAGTCGCCGTGCTGGAACATGGTCACCATAAGACGGCGTGCCTGCTCCGGTTCGAAGGGGAGGTCGACCGCGGATACGAGCTTGGACACCCGGGCCAGAGCCTCGCGTTGAGACTGGCTTCTGGCATACCCTGCCATCATCTGCGCATTGCCCTCGGGATCCTCCAAGTTCAATTCTGGCTCCGGTAAGGTTGCGTCCGATTTGCTTGGAATGCCGATTGCGCGATAGAGCATCTCGAATATGCCCATGGTCAAAATCGGTACACCGCGGAGGCTGAGACGGTCCAATACACACAGCGCCAGTTCTACGTCCGTTTCCGGGGTGTATTCCATCTCAGCCGTAGAGCCTTCGATATACGGTCGGCTTAAGAGGGCGGAAACAACTTCGAAGCCAAGTTCGTCAGGAAGGTCATATCCCTGGTGCAGGAAATCCGAGAACTCGTTGAGCAATGCTTCCTTGCTGTAAGCCGGGTGGCGTCGAGAAGTGGCGATGGAAAGCAGCCGCAATCGGGCTACCGCCAAATCGTGCGCGGATGAGTGGCCGGCGTAGAAAAGCCGTAGGAAAAGAGTTGATTCTCGATCATTCGGGCCACTCCCTAGCTCATTTTGTACACTGGTTTCGGGGAGTTCGGACAGCATCTTAAGCAGAGAGGCCGGAGTCATCTCGGATGAAACAGATTGAGTGGTTGGCGGATCTGAGGACGGAGGGTGTAATTCAGACAAGCGAATCGAAAGACTAGAATCGGTCATTGCGAGCCGACGATTTGTATGAAAGCTTCTCTTCTGGACAGTCGAGGTACTGACAGCACTAGAGGCTGGCGAACTGCTCGTGGGTTCTCGAAGCCTCTTCTTCTCCGCTCGGTCCAGGGTACCCTGCCAAAGCCCGTCGAGGTCGATATCGGCCCTCTTTTCCTCGGTGAAAATCTGGACAATCAAGCTAGTACCGGTTTCGACATCTCCAAACCCCTCAAATCCAGCATCGGCGAGCTGTGATGTGGGAGAGCCCTCATCCACAACACCGGCATTCACACAAATCCACCCCGTGGTGATGCCGTCATCCTTTTCGTCCAGCATAGCACCAGCGTGGCTGGCCGCGCGCGCCCGCTTGGCCTTGCGCCGGAGTTTGATCTTCAGCTCGTTGCGGCCCAGCAACCCGTCTGCATATGGAGATAGTTTATATTGGCTTCGCAGCCACCGGCAAAGACGATCCGCGGAGACATTCAGGTGCTTCACGCTGCGCGCAGTTCCGAGGATCATAATGACATTGGCGCCCAGTGCCGCGGGAGCGTCGAGATCCCGCAGGTCGAAGAGTTTCAGGTCGTCTAAGCCAAGGTCTTTGTATGTATACTCGAGCAGGACTGGAAGCATCTCTGGCGCGTTGTCCGGGACTTGCGGGAGATGCTCGGCGGACGCTGGGCGAGATTCGGTGGCTGGTGACTCTTCCTGCAGATACCAGGGAACATGTCTCGACGCCGGTTCGTCAGGTTTTGTTCGAGACTCTTCTCTGGCCGGTAGCTGAATATCGGGGCGATGCGGTGATGGAGGATCGGAGCGCAGTGGACTTCTTGCGGAGAAAGCTCTGGCGCCGGGGATAGGAGGCGCGACAGCGAATCGCGGCATAGGTACACCGGATATTGACAGGAAGACCCGGAGGGCTTCATTACGACAGGAATGGCACACGGCCCCCCGAAGAAGTGTGCGGTTCATAGCGAGATGGTGAGCGGACAGAGAAATTCCAGCCATCGCGGTTGATTGTCGATAACCTTGGTGCAAACAGTGCAAACAGAAGTATATAACCTAACTACTGCAGACCTTTGAGATACTACAACCCTTCCCCTCACGGGTTATGGTATTAGCTCGTTGATCAATAGCTCTCAAGCTTAACAGCTCTTTGATAAAACTCCTACTCTGACGTAAACGCGTAAACAAGGGGGCAACAGCCCCCCAGGTCATCAACCACCTCCGACGAGTTCAATCCATCAAACTCCTGGCGATTCACCGATCTCAAACACCGTACACCAACCGGCAACCTCTCAGAGCGGTGATCTCACCACCTTCGGAACTTCTCGCTCATCAAGCCTGCAACAACATGGCGCTGGATCGACAGAACCGTTGGCTTCACCTTGCTGATAGTGGCCCAGAATGTCATTACCCCACCAATCCGCCCACGATCTACCTCCCCAGAGAACAAGTTACAACTTGTAAGGCTGATTATAAGACAGATGATGTGCCAAAAATATGAAATTGTATGTGAGTTTGGGTATGTCAGCTAAGCCTAGTGCCGAAAAAGCCCCCATGAAAATAGTAGTCCACCCAACGCCAATAGTAGTATAAACCACTCGGGAATCATATCCAATTCCAAAAGAAAAAACATGCCACGGGGCGATATTCTATCCAACCCAGGGATATTCGTAGTATATGCAGAATGAAGAGAACAGAAGAGAAGGAAAGGCCAGGTTAAATCCCCAGCGACCACTTCAATCGCTCATAGACAAAGAAACTCGTCGCGACCATGGGCACGACCTTGAGATACCCAATCGTCAACCCAACCCAGTACCCACGGAAACCCTTCTCAAGCCAGATCTTAGATGCCGTCTCGACGATACCCAGCCGGCGCCCATCCCCCACCGCGCCACCGACCTGCATACGCCGCCGGACCACCTCGAGCGGATACGAAGAGGTCTGCGAGACCAGGCCGGCGAGCGCGCCGGAGGACAGCTCCGCCGCGGCTGTGAGCTGGGGTCTGCGTGAGCCCTTTTTGGCGCGTGTCGATTCTGACTCCGGGAGGGTTGTGTATTTAGCGATGGCCGGGTGCCGTAGCCAGTCGCCTACTGTGTCGTGGGTGAGGAAGGACATCCCGGCGTATGGTAGCATCCCCAGGATCGTGGGACCGAAGCCGCGGTAGAAATTGGCGAACCCGGTGCGCGGAACGACGTGGTTGACGGCGGAGGAAACGTTTTCGGCGGTGGCAACGGCTGCTCCTCCCCCTACAGCTGCAGAACCGTTTGATGGCGGTACTACTCGCTCATGATAAATCTGTCGACAGATATCCGTGAGAGACGAGCGAGACGTCCGTTTAGTTTCGAAGGCCAGTCGTACCCGGACCAACTCTAATGGGTACGTGAAAAACACAGAGGTAACGCCGGCCAAACTGCCCGACACCAGTCGCCGGATAGACGTCTCCTTGTCGGGCGACGGGATGATGATCGCGCGGATCTGTTCGTAGGCGAGGAATTTGATGGCGGCGTAAGGGAAGATACGGAGGAGAGTGGCAGAGTGGCCCTTGAACAGGCCCGATGCGCCTTCATAGCGCTTGATGTCGCGGAGTGCAGCGGCCAGACCGGACCAGCTGCTGGAGTATTTGGCGAAATGGGGGTTTGATGCTTGAAAGAGGATCTTGACGCGGTCTAGCGGTGCCACCACGGTTTTGGCCTATCCTCCTCGTCAGTACTTGGCATACAACCGGACAGACACAAACAAAACTTACAGCACATCCCGCCAGACCTCCCGCTAACCCGCTCCTTAACACATAGTCCAAACTTCGTTTTTGTGCCTGGCTGGTCGACCCGCGACTACTAGCCTTCTGCTGCTCATCGGCGGCATTCACCGGCTGCACAGGCGCAGTAGACGGCCGCGGGTGCGCGATCCCACTCATCGGAAGATCAGGCTGTGGGCTTGCGGACTGCGGTGGCGGGCGAGGAGGGTGGCGTGACTGGGCGGTGGTGGTGAAGACGGTCGAATCGGACTGCGCATGATCTGGGATACCAGCCGACATGAGAGGGAAAGCAGACAATCGCTATCCAAAGCGTGATGCCAGAGCCAGAAAGAGTGTGGGTGAGTGGAGAGCAGTAACACACGATCGACGCTCCCGGGTTTGGTTTTCGCTCGTGATCGCGATTGTCGATGATCCGAAAACCAAAAAAGTTTCGACTATCGGGTGCGCATCGGCAGTGACTGGATTGGAATAGCAGGAATCGGGATAGCTAGAAAACACACACGCCTTAGCTAGAGGAGAAGAATAGAGACAAAAGAAGGCACCGGCGAGGCGGCAAGGTTGTGTGTCTTGGTGGCCCGCTGACGTCGGGCCAGTGGCTCCGTACCGGCTGTATCGGTTATCCGTGGCAAGAATGAGTAATGCGGAAGTGCTGAAGCGCGAAGATCGCTCTGCCAGGTCAGGTGACCGCGAGGTACACAGCAAATGAAAATGAGGGTTTAGGTAGGTCGGAGAACAATTAGAGCCGTTACCATGTATTTTCTTATTTATTTGTCTATCTGCTCCTAGAGGCACTCCACCTATCTTTGGTGAAGTCTCCTTGGGACAACACCTGCATCTTCTGCGAATCCGCCTGGCGGCCCGCCGGTAAGCGGTAACGTACTGTTACAACGTGCCGAGGGGTAATGTCGGGATCGCCGAAGCATCGACTATGTCTATACAAGAAGTACACGCGATAGAAAGATGAAGATTGTGGATAGAAGAAAAAGGTGGAAGGAACAAACAACCTCCGATGCTAAAAGCACGACTCCGGCTACTCCGCCTGTCCACGACCAAAATGCTGCTCGGGATGGATTGTGTACATACAAAGGAAGGGCCGGTGAGATGAAAGTAAAAAGAGAAAACAAAGTCGTGGTCACGTCGCTCGTGTTGTGGGGGGTGAGAGAGCTCTAAAAGTTGTGCCGCGAGTCGGACCGGGTCATGGCCCGCCCTCCACGACTTCCACGACCTCCCCGGCCTCCTCGGCCTCCTCTGGTCGGCTTGGTGATCTCGCGCGTGTCGTCGGTGTTGCGCTTGGTCCGCTTGGGTGGCCGCTCCGGGTCAACGTGAAGATGTCCGTCTTCAGACAAGGCGGTGGTATTCCGCCAGCGGAGACAGCGGAGGCTATGCTCGTTGACGTCTACGTAGGTCTTGGTGCGCGTCGTCACTCGCTTGGCGGGCAATTCCTCGGACTCGGCCCGTTCGGCGGTCTCGGTCAGGTAGGCCTTGCGGTTGTCCATATACTTGACGATGGCGTGGCGCTGGAGCTGGAGCTCCTTCAGCAGCTTGCTCTCACGGTTACCGCGCGGGTCGAGCCACTCGATCAGCTGGTCCACCGATTCGCCGTCCTCGTAGTATCCCCATTCACGGGCGTTTGACACGTGCGTCGGTCCTTCTTCGTGCTTCTTGCGCTCAGCGGGCGTGGTCTGGAAATGCTTCTGGTACTGTTTCCGTTGCTCATCCGTCACTTCAATGAAGCCTACTCGCTCCATGTCGTCGGGACCCTGGACCCAAAGACGGCCGTTGGCATAGCGTGCCTCGGACGTTGAGCTGTTCGGCATACCCTCATACGGCATAGCATTGCGCTCAAACCACCAGTATCGGTTGCAGAACCGATCTAGCCCCAGGCAACGTGTCCGCGGGCAGTCCGCCTCACGTAGATCCTTGTCACAGACCTCAATCTGCTCCTCGAGTTTCTCGATCTTGGCCTTCTGCTCCTCGATCTTCTTGAGGACCTTCTGGTACTGCTTGGAGCCCTTCGGCTGTTTGGCCAGTTGCTCCTTTCGCTTCTGCTCTTCTTCCTGCTTCCGCTTGCGCTCAAGGGCGCGGTCCATACCTCCGCGCAACGCGCGAGGCCGGGCCGTCTCTTCGTCCTCGGTATCCACAGGTATTTCAGAGTCCCCGTCTATGCCGGCCATCTTTGAGTCGTCCAATTCCTCCTCCACCTCGAGTACTTCGGGCACGGGTGTGGGGGATTTCTCCCGTTCCGGCTGCAGAGCTTTGCGCTCCTGATGGAGTTGGCGGAGTTCGACCAGACTATAATTGTTTTAGTATTTTGCCCAGTAATCATCGCCACAGTATACTTACGCCAATTTGCGCGCTTTCTGGTGCTCAATCTTCTCCTTGCGGAACTCCGTCATCTGGTTGCTGCATTCCTCTAGGTAATTCCGGATCGCCTTGGTCTCCAAACTCAGCATACAGATCGTCTGAAGCGCCTTTGCTCGCAAGTTGATATCAAGGGTGGCATATTGGTTCCGTGCAGTCTGCTGCGTAGGTTCCTCATCGAGTGGAGCGAGATGCTTGAGAATGTCGTTGCAAGTCTTCTCCAAGCGGGGTCGAACAGACAATTGGTGTAGGAGGCCGACCATGACCATCTCCCATCCGCCATTGCGGAAGTCCCGGTTCCGGAGACGCTCGATCCATCCATAGTCTTCCAGCATCTCAACAGCACGATGGATTTTTTGCTCATCTGGCGAGTCTCGACCTATTTGTGCTTTCAAATCATCGGCTTCTTGCTTGGCCAAGCTTCCGCGTGTGGTCATTCGAACCTCTGGCTCGACATCCAGGTGGTCCTCTTCCTTCGTATCTTCTTCTTCATCCTCCTCCTCTCCCTCTTCCTTCTCTTCATCTGTGCTGTCGGATTCGTCGACTGGAAGATCTGGTAAAGAGATCTGAACAGCACCGCCTGCATCATTCTTTTGATTGACAAGCTTTTTCAGAACTGCGCAATGCATCTCCACAAAGAGTTCGCAGTCAATTTCTTCAGAGGAGAAACGCATCGCTTGGAGAAAATCGTCGAAGGTAAAGGAGTCGAGATGGAAGACCTCGCAGTAAACATTCAGGATATCCCAGGTCTCCAGGAGTAATCCTACAGATTCCACTTCCAAATCATCAGGCAGGAGATCCTCATCTCCTTCGTCATCATGCTCACTCAGCATCAAAAACTTCAAGGTCGGCCGATGAGTCTTGTCAGAGCTGGGAGGTAGATCCAAATCTTCAATAGGGTACTTGATCGGTGGTGGTGATGGAGGTCTTGACATCTCGTTTTTGATGATCACTGACGGTGGTACAGGGATCTTGTTTCCTTTTCGTGCTGCCGGGTTGGAAAGGAGGAAAGACGGGTTCCCATTCAAAGACCGCTGGTACTCTTGATATTGAGCATCTCGCGATTTCGCCATATCCTGTGCGGACATCTTTGATTTTTGCCCCTTGAATGCCGGTTTCAACTCGGGAAGCTGTTGGGACGAGAAGAACCCGAAAAAGCCTTCTTGGTCGGCCTTCTTCATCGCCTTCTTTTCGGCCACTCTGGCTCCATACTGGAGGTGTTTGGGTACCTCCATCGGAATCTTGTACTCCTCGGCAACAGAAGCCTTGACCAGCCAGGGTGCGCCGGCCCATGACTCTCGGGTGACATTGTTTTTAATGAAGCCGCGCAGCATCAGCTTGGTAAACGATTTCCGATCCCGGGTGATGTGGTCCTGGTCCAGCAGAGCTTCCTCATCTGGCCGGTCGAGAATTTTGACCAGATATGTGGCATAGGCTGGTGTTTTGATGGTTCCATCGGCGTACAACTGCTCTGCAAAATTGACCTTGTCCCTAATTATACCATGAAGGCGACCGCCATCTTCCAGCAGAATTAGGACTGCCTCTCCGGGATAAAAGTCTTGTTTGAATTCCTGTTATTGTTAGCGGCTTTTTGAAAGTGGATGGCGCTATGGATATCTCACTTCGTATATCTCATCAACTAGATGAAAATGTCAGTTCAGTCTTGAAATTTCCGCAAGCAAAGAACAACATACCCAGGTTGTCAACCCTCGATACCGTTGAAAACTGAATCCTGCGCAAGATGGGCTCTCTCAACGCGTCCGGGAACATGTTGTTCACCTCGCGCGATTCCTCCATCTGACAAAAAGTCTCAATATCGGTTCGTATTCTGTCCATGGCCACAACATACCTCGCTCCGGAGCGCCTCAAAAAATGTCAACCCCGAGTGGCCCGTGATCTCGCAAATGAACCGACGCTGCTTGTAGAAGTCCATCCGCTGGAGGTATGGTTCATAGCTAGTGAACACCTCATTGGACTCCGGAACGACCCAGACCTAAGAGAAAGGCCAAAGTTAGCTAGGGCTGCTGGGGTGGTTGTGGATAGACATACCTCGGAACTGTCATCTTCAATGACAGGTCGCGGAAGGTATACAACGGGTTTTCGTTTGAATAACACCTGACACGCAGTGTGAGCTTCTTGTACCTCCCAGCAACATGCATCGCCTCTCTCTAGCGTATGTCCCACCAAGAACCACCGGGATCGCATACCATTGTGCTTATCACTCGAGCGGACACGCGCCCAGTCTACTGGAGACTATCGGAGGCGGAATCGATCATGGACTGACTATATCTCGGATCCAGCTGATCAGTAAACGAAGTGGTACAGGTTGTGGGTGGTTGCGACGGGCGTATGGCCGCGTTGGGTGGGAGATGAGTGGGAGGCGACGGGAGTCCCCGAGAGATGCGCGGCCGCAACTGTTTTCGAGATGGTTGTGGATGTTGGGATTGAACTCGCGTCACCACCAGGAACCAACACGCGGTGGCAGTCGAGGAGGCTGCGTCCGGGGAATCTGGGCAGTGCAAGAGACTTACCGGAGAAAAACGCGTCCAGACTATTCGATACAAACACAGTATAAGGACAATCGACGCGGAAATAGATTAAATAAAATGAGGAAGGGAGAGGATGCGCGTGCGTGGGTGATGCGATGGGGTTGGGGGTGGGAAGAAAGAAGGAGAAGAAGTCCGGAGCGAGGGAAAATCGGAAAGGGAAAGAAAGCAAAGACTGGGCGCGCAGGTCATGGCGGTGGGCCTTGATTGGGCCAGTCGAGGAAGGGAGCTACGGGAGCCAAAACGAGCGGGTCCCCAAGACTGCTGGGAGCCCTGCTACTCCCCCATCAAGGGCCCAAACAACCGTCCACGCCCAACACTAGCAGTATTTGCACTCGTTCGATTCGTCTCAATTGGCAGATTCTACTGAAATTAATCTCTGCGAAATTTTGGTCCATTACCACCGGGTTTTGGGTGACTATCAACCCCGAGCTCGGCCACCTAGCCTTAGGCGCAGTGCGGGCCATGACCACCATGACTCGAAGGTGCCTTCAACATCCACCATAACTCTCTAGTAACAGAATTGAATCAAATTTCTTAACATTTTCTTCTCAGTCTCCGTTTTCTCCGTTTCTACTAACAAAGTAATCCCCAGGTGCTGCAGTTCAGGGATTGCTAAACCTGGCCGGTCGACGCGGTGGATCACGGGCTGGACAAGTTGACTTGATTTTTTGCTCTGTTCAATATCCTAGCACCTACAGTAGAACTATTTTCCATCGTGTTATTTCACACAATCTGCACTGCATTGCAGTCTCTACTTTGATCCAGTCGCGCCGAGTTTGAGTGCTGAAGGAGTGTACTTGAATGGTCAGTTGACTGCAAGTATACTATGTGTCTATACATTTTCCTCCTTACACCATTATAATACAGTCTTTGTCCACTGCTATCCCTATTGCCTCGGGGTGTAGATCGCGTGATCTACAGCTTGCGACCCAGGTCAGGTACACAGCATAGTCGGGAAGGAGACTGAATAGGAGGTTCCCACACTCGAATCTTACCGACTATGCATTACTTGTCACTCCGATTGCATGTTTCCTGGATGGCTTTGACATGTTGGACTTTTTAGCAGATATTTGGCGTTTTTGTTTTGGGGGGGGGTTCTTGTGCTTTCCTTTGCTTGGGCCGAGGTTCATCCGCCAGAAGAGTTGATACCAACATGATTTATTACACTGGCATTGCTAAACCAAGTATGCCATGAGTAACATACATGCAGGGGAATCGAAATGATCCAAAAATCTAAGTTTCTTTGAACCCAAATGTGTCCCCCCGGTGGAAATGAGCATGTCCATTTCACAAAATATATACTTGGTACAAACCCCGCTCAAGGCCGAGTATCTATGTAAGACCATCCTAGCTACAATAGCAATATGAATTAGTTCCTGTTGAAAAACACAGATTGTCTTCAGTCCCGATTTGAATGCACTCCCATCACACTAACCATTCCCGGACTAGCTCGGCATTAGGCTCCGTGATCAGTGGGGATGGATTCTGCCAGGCGGTGAATACAAAACGTGGACAGTGGGTTACGTCATGCCAGTAAATGGATTCTATAAGGTGCCATGTGTAAAGCAGAAGATCTACTGAAAGCTACGCCGTAAAGTACACCACCAGAAAGCTCACCCAGCTCCCCACCACCCCAAGTGCAGAGTAACTGCTCATAAACATCAACGGCAAGAATTGCAGACGGTCGAGGCCGAAAATCACCTGGTGCAGCAGCGAGCAGTACACCATCAGCGGGATCGAGACAACCAGGTAGATCAGGGAAAGGCGGTCGAAGACAAAGATGCGCGGCCGCTCTGGCACAGGTGCCACACGGTCAAAGACAAACAGGAACAGCACCAACCATAGCACTGTGTAGACGGTTTTAAGGGGGAATTCGGCGGTGGTGAAGAGGAGCGGGAAGAGCGAGACATGGCCGGCGACGGCTAGAGGGCGGAAGGCGCTGAAGTAGCGCCGGTCCTTGAGCGCGATCAGGCTGAATGGGATGATGATCAGTAACACGGCTTTCTCGTGAACGTGCCATCCGAAGAGAAAGGATGCGTAGCCGCAAAGGGTGATGGCTCCGACGAAGGTGTCCCAGTCCGGACGGAACCAGAGCTTGATCAAAGGTAGCTAAATAAGAGTCAGCAGGAGTTTATAGGTCTCTCTGGGACAAGGGACATACCAGTTGGAACACAAATGTCAACAAAAAGGTATACTCCTTGGTGACCTCCGGGAGGATGGCAAAGGATGTGTCTCCCACTAGACCTCTAGTGACGCTGGTGAGTGCTTCCTGGTTCACGGGAAGGCCCAGTCGAGGAGCGACTGGATATTGTCAGACAGATATTGAATAAGATAGGAGAAGAAGTCTTACGTGGAATCAACGCCCGATCTGTGAACGAATACATCGCCCACATGTTGGGCGCCCAGTAAGCATGGCACAACCCTCTCGAGAAAGGGAAGAGCCGGTCCTTCACCTGCAACAGCTGACCCCACTGGGCGAAAGGACCGAACGCGATCCCAAAGACACCGAGCACGCTCACGCCGAGTTTGAAAATATTTCCGAATCGAGGCCGGAGAATTGATCGAGGGTCGAGGCAATAGACGCGTAGCAGGTAGATAAAGTATGCGAGGGAAAGGTAGAGATAAATGTGCTTCATGCACAGCAAAATGGCGAACAAAATGCCACTGTAGAGCAGCGTCGACTGCTTGCGTGCTAAGACGATGGACAGGATCAGAACACCATACATGAACCCGTTGTATTGGAAGTGGATGTGGTCGATGATGAAGAGTCCGGGAGAGAGCAGGATGGAGAGGCTCGCTACATGCGCAGCCTGTTTGTTCGGCAGAGGAGCGGACTTGACAAATCTAGTATTTCTTGTTAGCACTGCATAACCATGCATGAAGTGGTGTTGCGCTTACCGACTCAGCGCATAGACAAGCACGAGCTCGGTCAAAATGACCGTCGCTCGCTGGAAGTAGACCGTCTGCCACGAGTCATAACCCAGATTCTTCACCACCAGCATCGCAGGGTCAGCATAAGCTGCTGCCTGAGCAAGCAGCCATTCGAAGGCTGCAAAGAACGGCGGGTAGTCGAGGGTCCATTCTGAGGTTTTCTAAGGAAACTGGATGTTAACAGCTGTCAATTCGACGCGTAGTGCAAAGACCAGCATACCTCGTAGTACCATTCTTTGACGGGGAGGGAGTAAGTGATGGCGAGCCAGTTGCGGTGCACTTCAAAGTCGGTGGATTTGCTGCGGCCAGACAATTAATTCGCGAAGGGTGGGAATCACGGGATGGACACGCACTAAGCAGGGAATAGCAGCACCTTGAAGGCAGCTGCCACAAGGGCACACTGGGCCAGGGAAGGGTAAAGGTCAGCCATTATTCGAGCACATGGTAAGAGTGAGTGCGTGAGGGAAAGAATAACCAATGGCCCAAACCAAAGTTGTTTTTGGTCCTCCGCGGAGGGACCACGTGATGCGGAGAGCTAACGGAATCAGGGGAGCCCAAAGGAACAGCTGGTGTTTACAGACTTGGCTTGCTTCCTTCACACATGGACTTGGTCTCGGACATCGGTGTGCGCCATACCTTTCTCAACAGCATCGACCTGCGCCATTTCATCGACATCTCCCCGTCGGCCGCCACTGTTGCTCGTGAGGCTCGTTTCTGCGTGATCGCCGTGGTGGTAGGGTGGATCACCACTCGTCTTGTCTCCAACCTTTGCGATATCTGGAGACCATCGTGTGACCACTGTCGCTCGAAGGATTGTGGGAGAAAGTGATTGTAGTTTTCAGTCATTTCCACGGCCATTCAATTCGCTGTCAACAATGAAGACCTTCGCGTCCCTTGCCCTGCTCGCCGCTGGTGCGGCGGCCCAGGCGATTGAGGGATTGAGCTTTGGCCATGAGAGAACGTAGGACAATATATTCCGCCCTATGATATTTCACATCTGACCATTATATACAGGATATCGCCAGACCGATACTCGATTCCTGGGTGGAAAATGTCAGGAGAGGGCCACGACCCGACATTGGTGAGTTGACCGCGCCCAGCATATCTGGCCTGTCTAATAATATCCCGCCAGATGTCGAACAAGCTCATTTTGACGCCTCCGTATCCGGGCAACACTCGAGGAGCTCTCTGGGCACAGAGCCCGTAAGTGGTCGCAACAAATTGGGAATGCCAGATGCTGAACAATTTCCCACAGGGTAACGCTACCAGAATGGTCGGCAGAATTTCAATTCCGAGCGAGCGGCCCCGAACGTGCAGGAGGCATTCTCCAACTATGGTATACGAAGGATGGCCAAGCGAGAGTGGGCACGTCCAGCATATACACCGTGGGACAATGGGACGGGTTTGCCCTTGTGATTGACACCCATAGTGGGAGGGTATGTCGAATGGATACTTTTCAAAAGCTACCGACTAACCCAATGCTAGGGTGGAAGCATTCGTGGCTTCCTGAACGACGGAACGACCGACTACAAGGCCCACGGCAAAGTCGACAACCTGGCTTTCGGGCACTGCGACTACGCCTACCGCAACCTGGGTCGGCCGTCCGTCGTGAAACTGAAGCACACCAACTCCATCTTTGAGGTGACGGTCGATGACAAAGTCTGCTTTTCGACTAACCAGGTCGCCCTCCCTGCGGGAAACACCTTCGGCATCACCGCCGCCACTCCCGAAACCCCCGACTCCTTCGAGGTCTTCAAGTTCGTCCTCCAGTCCGCCGCGGGCCAAGGCATCCCCGCCCAGCAAATGAATTCCCAACAAAAACAGCAGCAGATCTTGAACCAAAACAGCGGTAATGCAGCAGCGCAACAGGCGCAAGCCAACCTGGCGGCCGACCCCGGGACGGCATCGGGATTGGCTGATCTGGGCGCTCGCCTTCAGCTCACCAACAAAGCCACCCAGAACATCCTGCAAGATCTCCGCACCCAGTCCCAGAAGAGCGACTCCCGCCACGCAGAGCTCCAGCAGACGCTAGTGACAAAGGGTGAGCTGGCTGCACTGGACGCCCGGCTCCAGCGCATCGAAGCCGCAATACAGTTTCTCCAGCGCGACCTGCCTGGCAAGGATATCCGCGAGTCCTTTAATCAGCTCGAGAAAACGCTGCGCTCCTCGCATCTTAGTCTGAGCGAGAACCTTCAGGGCCACGTGTTCAATGGTGAGAAACAACCCCCTCCAACCTTTTGATTGTTTTCTCGTGATTGATACTAACTGCTTTTTCTTATGATAGTCATCACCGCCTCCACTCCTCGCATGGGCTTCTTCATCTTCCTGGTGTTGGCCTTCCAGCTCCTCCTGGCCGTCTCCTACGTCATCTATAAGCGCCGTCGTGCAAGCATGCCCAAGAAGTTCCTCTAGGTTACACTCTCACACAGACACAGGTCTATAATCTTCAATTCTGGAAATGTAATTCCGCATCCGTTGTGCATGGCTTGCTTGTATGAGAACGTCCTTCGGTATGGCGAATAGCCGAGAACCGAGTCCGAGTCTTTGTCGTCTTCGTCTCTGCTTTTCGCTGCTGTTTTTCCAATGGCCCAGTTCCTTCATGTAGAATACGATTTGGTCATGGCGAAGGGGGGGGTGGTTTCCTTCTGTTATTTTTTCGGATTCATCTACGAAGATGGTGCTAGTAACGATGAATTATGAGAAGAAAAATCAACGATTCATTTGGGCCCATGGTGTTATTGTACAGTAGTCCTCCATATCGCAACGCTCTAGCGCCAGCTTCCCATGCAATTTCATACACGACGACAATTTCAAAATGGAGATGAAGACAACTTTCGAATCGAAGACCACAAGGAAAAGTAAAACAAGAAAACAAATGGTACCATGGAGGAGAATATGGACTTCTGACAAAGAAGACAATAAACAAAATCGAAATCCTGTCCCGGCGCCTGTCTTCCAACGCCGGGCCTTGCGCAAATGTGTCTGGATGATCGAACGGTAGATATGACGGCCCTCGATAGGAGTGGGTGGCTGGTCGGGAGAGAGAAAATGTGAAAATGTGCTGCTGTCAAATGCCGGACTCCGAATGTGAGAAATCAAAAAGAAAAAGGACGATGCTTGGGTTTGCGCTCTCCCACCACTATGAATGCAAAGTATGTAACTTCGGAGCATCTCTCACAGCTCCTTCTCGCCGTCCGCCTGTTCCGCAGGCTGAGCGTGTTGGTTCGTCGCCTGCGATTGGCCGCCAATGCGCCCCCGCAGGGCCTTTGACAAGCCCTCGATCTCATCGAGCAGGCCAATCTGCGTCTCAGGGTCAGTCTGGCCCTCGCGCAGCATCGTATCAACACCCTTGAGACGGTCTTTCAAGTCTTTCACGATTTGCTCGTTCTCTAGCTGCTCCGCCGACTGGAGGCGCTCCTTGTCGTTGGAGCCCCAGGTAGGTGCGTCTTTGTCTTCGTCGTTGACAATGACTGCGTCGTTGGGGCGGGCGGCTTGAATGTCGCTATCGCCATCGGCGTCGACGCCGGCGTGGGTCCGTGAGCGCTGTTCTTTGGGCGCGGAGCCAACGTGCTGGCGTTTCTGCGCGGGCTCTTCCTCCGTGGCGAGGGTCTCGGTTTCTGTGAGATAACGCTTTCGGCCACGGGAAGCCTTCGAATTGAAGCCGGGGAGATTAGGGACCTTGGGGAGAGGATCTGGCCCCGAGGATTCAGAGGCCGAATCATCAAAAGTAAGAGGGGGCGCCGTGGTAGGCTCAGAGGCCTGAGGGGCTTCAGATGAAGTAGCGTTCTGAGATGAGCCGATGGTGATTCCTTCGTCGGACTTGGAGTTAGGCTCTTTGGCGTGAGAGGATACAGCGGCGTTGGATGAAGTCGGGGCATCTTGGTGAGAGTCCGTGGGCTGAGACGCTTCGGCATTGCCGTCTGCGCCGGTCGTGGTGGAAGAGGTAGGCCCCGTGTGAGCGAGGGCCAGGAGAACGGTGGCTGCCTCGTGATCGGGCGTCTTGCCATCCATCGACTGTTTCACAACAGTAGAAATGCCATCGGCAATCTCAGAGGACACTCCATGTTCTGAGACCACCTGTGCAGGGTCGTCGATGCCCAGGCGTCGGTAGTATTCCATGGTAATGATGCGCGCCATGCTCATGCACTGTCTCTCGACGTGCAACATGTGTTCCTTCTCGCGTCTGCTACGGTCAAGCTTGACCGTGTCGATGAACTGCAGAATCAGGTCACCAGCAGGTAGACGAGCACGTCGCTCGCGCCATTCATCGTCAAACAGGGTTTTCTCGGGATCGTCCGAGAAACTCACGTCGACATCGATCGACCGCATGTTCTTCGGGCGGCGTACGCGGCGCACATGCTCACCACCATCTTCCTGTTCTTTGATGGCAATCATGTCATCGGGAGTAACATGGTTGGGACACATCCATCCGACATAAGGGTTAGTGGGGATGGCGCGGGGCGGATCAAGGCAATCAAGATGGAAGCGGCAGGGGCAATAATCGCAGGAGATGATCGGTCGCTCGCCGCCCGTGCCGCGGCCACATTTCATACAGGAGATCAGCTTCCCTTGCGCGTCCATCTCCCGCAGGAGGTTAGGGTCGTTGTAGGCTGGCGTCGAATAATACTCGGCCGGCTTGGTCGGCGGTTTAGTCAGCCGTGGCAGGTGGGGGACACTCTTGTAGTAGCGAAGGTGCTTCGGGTCAGAGCCATAGCGTTCGTCGGTGACGACGCCCTCGCCGACACCGGCGAAGTACTCCTTGATGGGCGTAGCCAGTTGGAATTCGGTTTTGTTGAAATACTGGGAGTGGCAAATCGCCTCGGTGAAGTTGTTGCGCATCGTGCATTTGGGGCAGAACCAGTCTCCCGAGGGCGGATTCTTCGGGTCGATGGGGGGTTTCACGCATCGAAAATGCAGGGCGTTTTCACATCCTTCGCAGCAGAGCAGCGAGCCGCCCTTGCCACACTCGAGACAGTTGTCGCTGTTCTCGGGAGGTTCACTGAGGCCGGGGTCAGTTTCACATCAGGGGAATAGCCAAGGCCAAGCCAGCACTTACATTTGATTTGGCATGTAACGGGGGTCATGGGGCGCAACCCAGTCATTGATCCGCTCGGAGCAGTCCGAGTCGGACAAGATGGACATATCAGATAGGTGGGTGTCAATAGAGAGCGACCGGTAATGCTGGCGAGCACTCTCATCCTGATCGGTGCGATCGGCCCCCTTGTTCAGGGTCGAACGGCACAGGCTCACCTTGGCGTTCGGAAAAACTACATTTTGTTGATCTTGGGAGAGCTTCTGTCGTTTCTTGCGCAACTCATCTCCAAGCTCTTCATCGTTCTCCCATTCCTCGCGGCGCTTGTGGAATTTCTCCAGGAATGGGGCCCTATTCTTGGGCTTCTGGAGTGGAACAGTGTTCGACTTGCCCTTTTCAAAAGCAGTCGGCACGGGTTTGCGAGCAGCAGGCTTGGTCTGGTTGGGCTTGTTGGGGTCGATCGACTTGGCCTCGGAAAGATTCGAGTCGCTATCAGCCGCTGCAGCACGGGTCCGACGCGTGGTGCGTTCTTTGATAGACTTCTTCCTGATCCATTCAATGGCGTCAACTCTAGAATTGCGTAGGACCGTTTTGAGGGCAAGATCGAGTTGGTAGTTGGGCTCCTTGCGCCCGATATTGTCGATCAGGGACAGCAGGAAAGAGTCGTTGGACGATCGAGACCAGTAATAGACGAGACACAAGGCAATTTCGCCTTCTCCCTTTTCAAGTGCATGAGTGATGGCGGCCTCGATGACCCGCTTGAGTTGGGAAACATCGTATTCCGTCGAGGATGGGAGGGGAATAGAATTTAGGATAGCCACATAGTCGGGCGAACCAACGTCGATCTTCTTCCGGGGGCCCTTGAACAAGGCAGGAGCTGAGGTAGTCTGGGCATCAGGAAGGGGAGAGGTGGAGGTGATGACCGCCTCGAGTTGTGTCTCAGGCGCGGTCGAGATAGGTTGCGTGACAGGAGCAATAACAGCGTCAGTGGCAGGAGTGTCGGTGGCAGGAGAGATAGAAGTGCGCGCAGTCTGCTTTCCATCGACTGCTTCGGAGACAGGCGTAGCCAGGTTGGTCGCGATAGCATCATCCACTTCCGCAACACCATCTTCCATCGCATCCGCGCCAACACTGTCCTCGACAGAGTTCTTCCGAGTCGCGACCTCACTGATCGGCTCAATATTCTCCATCTCAACGTCCAGACGGGGCACATCGGCGACTGCCTCCTCCGCAAGAGGAGTCATGGGCGTGTCGGACTCGATGGCTTCACCGACGACATGCACGGCCTGCTGCTGCAGGGACTTGGCAGCGCGGTTCTTCTTCACGCTGGGCGGAATGAGGTTGACTGCGCGGTACTCCGCAGCCGAGGGGAACTCGCCGAGCGGCTTCATCGTGGCGAGGATAGGGTTGGTGGCAGGGCTGAGTTTGTACAGAGATTCCTTCCAGGTTCGGCGCGCAGGCGCGGGCGTAGGCTCTCTCCACGCGTCCGGATTCACGGGCCCATCGGGCGCGGAGGGTTCAGCGAACGAAGCGCGCGAGGAGCGCTTCTTGACGAGTTTGCGAGGCTTCGAGGCCGGTTGGGAATTATTATTCGCGTCCGCGGGCTGGAAAGAAGCTCGGGCGCGGAGCCGAGTCAGCAGCGCCATACCGCCCCCTGCTTACGGTTAGCCGTGCCCTAACTCAGTGACCACCACCACTTTCTCTTACTGACTTATTTTGAGCAAACAGTGAATGTCGGATCTCTCTGTCTTGAGATTAGCATTGTCTATTGTTCAAAAAGCCAGCGAGAGAGAATTTGGGGCAGTTAATGGACTTTTAGGGCTGCTGAGAGGAGAGGGGAGAGACGAGACGAGATACTGAGCTTTGAAGAGAAAGGATTAGGTAAATGATTGTCCAGAGAGAAGAGACAGTAAGAGAATAGACGTATAGTGCGTAGGGAAAGGATAGAAGGCAAGGGAAGAAGTAGGAGGAGGAGGAGGAGGAATAAGTAGACGGACGAGAGCAGTGAATGAGAGCGTTGCCTTATTGAGACATAGCAGCAGTGAATGTCGGCCAGTCAACATCTATTGAGCCAGATAGAGCTATTGAACCAGGTCCAGGGACAATACGGACAATGTCTAGGGCTCTGTCTACACGTAAAGGTAGGGTTTACCTGCTGCTGCCTGCGAAACATACTACAAAGTCTGCAAGAAGACGAGCTATAAGTTTTGCACTTGATGGCAGACGTGTATACTCGAAGTTTGTTCTACGAGCGCCTTTTAGAGCTATCCCGGCAAGCCCTGATGGCTTTGCCGTAGCGTGAGAGGCCACTATACTGTCAGATATTCCATCCCACGGGAATGAAAACCCCGCCGGTATATAGATTTTCAATATAGACTTG